AGGTGGCGAACGCGAGCCGGTCGGACATGTATCTCCACGTAGAAGACGGTACATGGGCTGAATATACTGTGTACACTATTGAGCACACAGCCCGTTCTCAAGAGCTGTGATGTGGTTGTAACGTGCAACCAGCCGCTCTATGGGACCCCCGCTGACAACAGCAATAACGGCAGCAAGCAACAACAACAAAAGTGGTTCTGGCTTTTTCCGTCGTCAATTCTTGCCGCTGCCGTGAGCCGAAGTCGAGGACGGCCCTGGCAGAAGCCATTGGGCCGCTAATCCAGTTTAGGGGGAAATCCGCCATAAGACAAGGCGCCGATGACCTGTTCACCAGTCGTTAATCGGCGTGCACCACTTCTAGTAATGTTGAGACTGCCAGAATGGGGTTGGCAAGCATAATCCAAAGCCCACAACCTCTGGCCTGAGTCAATATCGCCACCTGGCAGGATCATTAAAGCTCGAACCGGGGAAATTTCCTTAATAAAAGCCGAACACGGAGTACGAGTGCACGAGGGCGACGGGAATAGCTTCGTTCCTGAAAGAAGTGCAAGCTGTGCCGAGTCCTGGGTGATGACCCGTTGTGGCCTGGGGGTTAACAAATGTACCGTAGGAAGTATGACTGGCAGAGTTTGGTCTTTGCAATTCTAACTCGTAGTATATACCCGGGAGGGGACGGTCGAGGACGCAGCTTCGAGGCTTTACCGGACTGAGGAGGGCGGCGTTAACCAGTACGAGGTAGTCCTTCGAGCTTCGGACAAAGCAAGGACAGGCCCTGCAAGCTTGGACGGTTTCGACGGTTGGTGGCGATTCTGATTCCGAAAATACCTACGAGCCCTAGCAACTGGCGAATCGGTTTCTGCATGTCGTTCGTACTTGTGAGGACCGGTCTGAGTAGTAGAAAAGGATCTGGTGGGCAAAAGCTAGCCCTCAAGGTAAGGCCCGGGGCAAGATGGGACTCGTAGTGGTTCTTAGTTCCAATAAGCACCCACGCCAAAACGAGGGTTGTCGGCTGATCGGACCCAATAACCACAGCGGCCATTGCGCCACGACCCCCGTGGCACTGGCGAGGCGAAAGCAGCTGGTCCAAGCTCCTTGGGGGCCCGAAAGGTCACCGAAGCTTCCGTAGAAGCTACGGGGATGAACTAGGTACACGAGATCAAGGTCTCACACTGACACATGTCCGACCAGGACTTTGCCAGACAAGCCCTGATTGTGGCAGCCATTCGTGGTCCCGCCACCAGTGCCGTCCCTCGATACGGAGTATGTGCTTACGTGAAATTCCCAACGGTTCGAGAAAAGTCCCAAGTCATCTTGTAGCGCTAGACAAGGGCACACTGGAGGAACGCTGGACACATGATCCTTGATTTCGACATCTGAAATTCGCCTTGCGAAGCCGAAGGAGTTTGCGCGTGGTCTTTCTTCGAGACGAGGGGAGAAGGGGTAATAGATCGACAAGCGCTGATCAACCCTGTCGTTCTACAAGGACGGGCTCGGTCTTCTACTCCTTTCTTTCTGCATCATGGCCTTTGGCGATCTCATGGTCGACTCGTGGCAGATGCCCATCATCTTCTGGTTGAGACACACGACCGAGCTCGCTTAATTGTAGGGGGGTCAGATCGGCCCGCGAGTGTCCGCGTAGAAGAGATATCCGGGGCTTCAAGGAGTCGTGCAAGGCTGGCAAAGACGATCCATTGCAACTCTGACATTCCCTAAGGAGAAAAGATATGACGGATCTGCAATGTAATGAGATGCAATGGACTTATTCCTGGTAGTTGTGATATATTTTTCATCTGCCAAATAACGGTTAGTGACAGGCCAGGACATGCGCGGTACGAGCACTCGTATACAGATAGATGGTGGGCCACAGCTCATGTCTCTCTCTAATTGTGGCGTTTTGTCCTTCGTACTCCGTATGAAGCAGGTCGCTCGTCACAGCCTCAGGAGAACTGCTTCGGCAAACGGACTTGCTGCTGTGCAGTTCCAGGACGTGTGGCGTTTCAGGGGGCCAATGAAACTCGCTTGTCGACCTACCTTCCGGCAGTGGGTGGCAGGGCAATCACTGGCTGTGCAATCCTTGATTCCAGACGAGTCCGGGGTCTGCAACAGGCCGTCAATCGTGATCGCAGCCCCGTTGACGCCTCGCTTCATACGAAGCGAAGACTAACTTTCCCAAGATCGCCGATCTCGAGCCTGCGCTCCCTGATCGAGGACACAAAAGTTAAATGGAGATGTCTTTTCCGGGGCAAAAGATTTGGATATGCCGTTTGACACTAAGCAATGCTTCCTCTTTCATGCGACCTTGACCGCTGTGTAGACCACAATTAAGGAGCGAATATTGACCAGGCGACGATCTCACTGAATATTGATCGTCGCCTCGTGGAAGTTGCAAAGTCCGATGCAGTCTAGTCCCAGAAGTTGTCATGGTTCCCAGGTCAAGTCAGTGGTAGCGTAGATCGTGCTCGAAAACCATACTTCATCTCGTAATTGTGTCAGCAAAAGGGGGACAATATCTGCAGTCTTCGAGAATGGTGGGTAGTAGTCACCCCGAGCTCCTGCTGCTCGGCCGCTTTGCGAAGGCTTGTTTGACGTGGTGATCATCATGTCCATGGGCCGATTAGGGAGGGCGATGACAACTCCTATCATGGACAGCCGAAGAAGACCACGATGCATGTCGCTACACCGCAATGCACTCGGTCCCAGAGCCTGTACATACAGACATCCTGCCACCCCACCGTCCTCTGGCCACCGTTATCTTTCTGACGAACGGGGACAATTCCGAGCTGTGGCTTGAAACAACAATTTATTTTCCGTGGCCGAACACCTTTTTCCGGGGGCCGAGCTCGACGGATCCAAAGCCTTCAGCCTTCGCGCAGGCGTAGAAATTGGGCGGCATTGCTAAACCCTCCGTAGGCTGGGAACAGCGAGAAAATGAACAACAGGGGAGCCCTTTCGTCATTCGGAGGAAGGGAGACACCGGCAGGGAAAATGGGCCACAGCAGCTTATGGGTGGCACTCCTAGCCCAGGGATATTTCCACTGATCTACCAACGGTCTCTAAAATGAGACGGGTCGAGAGAGGCTTGTGTACGGTCCAAGTTGCATCATCATCTCCATCATCGTACTTTCCTCATGGCCAAGCTGCACCTCTCAAGTTCTTGGGGCCTACTTGAGCGACCACTGACATGTGGGTACCACTATCCAATCGAGTGAAAAGATGTCAGCCAGAAAAGAGCACTCGCGAGTTGCCAGGCGAGCTGGAGAAACGAAGTACCCAGGTACCGTAGCGGCCTGTGGCTTCAACGTCCGCTGTGCAGCCCTGACCACGCCCGACGTATAACTGGGACACACTGGCCCTTCTGCCATCGTCAGGTGTCGTACATGGGTTGGACTGAGGCCTTGGCCGGCACAACAAATCGACAATTGCTAGCGGGCGGACAAGCGAACGAGCCCTGGGTCCGGCAAGCAGGCCATCTCGACCTCTGCAGCGGTGGGAAGGAGCCCACCAGCATCCACCTATCCACCCAGTGTAGGCCAGTTGTGCCGAAGAGGCACCAGGCTTAGAGTCCAACGCTTGACCTGGGCCTTACCTGGGGTCAGCTCCAATTGTCCGCTACGGGGACCAACTGCTGAAGCCCGATCGGCGACCCAAAGTGGCCTGGGAGGCACCCATTAGACTTTCCTCTATGTGGCTGCTGCCCAGGAAGGCTAGTCGTGGCCGTTCGGCGGTCAAGTTGACAGTGCGCGCGTCTGATCTCCCTCTAGCCTCGTCCCCCTGTCGACCTCCTCGCTTGTTGGCCCTGCTAGAACAAGATATCTGGCCTCTAGCGCAGCTTGGCGATCTCTCAAATCTTCTCGCTGGAGCCCTGCCGTGACACCATCCCTGCGCGGGCGTGTGATTGGCTGCTTGTTGGCGTCAGTCCTTTGCAGAGCAAGGTGTGCAGCACGGTGATGGAAAACGATAGTGCTGCTGCCACTGGGATCCTGGTGACGGGACACGGCATACAGTGGACCAGGCCTTTTCGATCACCTCAGCTTCCCATTGTATTGGTATCCTGGAATTGCGCCTGTCTCTTTGGTCGACCGTCTGCCCCATGGCCAGCCTCCCCGGCAGGAAGATCGAGTGACTGCCGGGCGTCGCCACCGAGGGCTTCAGTGCCCACCTCACGAATAGAAGGACGATGATTGAGCCAGGAGGGAGAGGATAGGGTGGGATCAGATGCATGATTGCCTGCAGCAAACGTTCGACAACGGTCTGGCCAGTTGGCAAGGGCAATCGTACAACCAAATTTTGGCAACTTCACTCGAGGTGCTGAGCGTGGTCGTCGTGGGTTATGCAGTCAGCGGCAAAAGTTATTTCATCAATAGCAACAGTCAAAATAGCGACGGAACATGAGGTCCATACCAGAGACAATGTACGTCAAAGCCACAATTAAACAATAGATTTCTGTATCAATATTTTCTGGATCCGCCCGCAGTATTTGTGGGCCGTTCCAGCTTGAATCAATCCTGCCTGCCCTAGCTATGGAAGAGCCCGCCCATCAAGTGCCTGTCAAGTGCCCGTCAAGGTCTGCCCGCAAAAAGAAAAAGAGACCGTCCCAGTGAGTTCGCCCTGCAACCTGTTTCCTGGAAGTCCAACTGGGACATCCGTTGTAGAATCAATACAACTCATGCCCCAGCTCTGGGGTTCCCGTCCCGCCCGTAAAGAGTAGATCTCGTCACATTCCACCAACATTAAATCAATAAGATAAAAAGAGATTTTCTTGATAACATGAACCCAATAAACTCCCGACCCGACCAGTCCCTTTGCTCAGTTTTGGGTATCGTAGAGTCTTGCACTCATGAAACTCGAAGTTAGCGCCCGATGGCTAACCTGCCGCCCGTGTTGTTACAGTTGGTCGCGGTGGACCAGAGGGAATGAAGCAGAAATGTTGCTGCCAGGCTCGATGCAGTGCCGCGCATCCCAGCTCTGGCGGCTGAGGGACCCTGATAATCCTGGCACCATCATTCAAGAAGCCGTGCCACGTTCATACGAGTGTCCTTCTCAGTGGGAGAGTTCGGCTTGCCGCTGGATGGGCCGGGGCTGTACCTCACCGCCGTATTCAGGCTGGGCAGGTGGTTTGCAGCATTCTGGCGTGATGGTAGGTGCGGCGAGCTCGCGATAATAGTGACTTCGGGAATCACCGAATCTGCCCTTTCCGCTGAGCGATACGGTGGCAAATCTTGTTGCGCTCGCCCTTTCCAAGAACCATCAATCTCGGCATCCGGATAGTTGCCTGTGCTGTTTCTGCGGTGCATCTCTGGCCACAGGTCTAAAGGCGGCAATTTACCCACGGTCCCGCCCGGACGAGGAGACGTAACCGTCTTTGGCGAAATAGAACAGTTCGACTGGTTGTCTGATACCAGCGATGGCGCTTGTTGAGGAAATGACCCTTGTGAGGCTTCTGTCGCGGCCGGAGATGGGACAGGCGCTTCGGGCCAGTTCAGCGGCGGCAACTGGCACTCTAATCGACTGGGAGACCAGTTATGAAGCCCAAGGAGTGGTTTCCCTCCTGGACTGGGCAGAGCAGAAGCCGAGTGAGGCTGGAGAGGGCTTGGAATCTGCTGTTCACACGCCGGGTATAGAAGAGATCTGCAATCAGTTTGTACGGAAAGCTGGCGCCCGTCCGGTCGCGGAAGCAGGTCGTATCGACGGTCTGGTCGCATGCCTAGGGTGCTTGAGGGACTGAGTTCAGGCCTGTGAAATGGGTCTGAGACTGAGAATGGTGGTAGGCTTAGCTGCTCTGGGAGATAGAGCTGCTTCAATGGCAGGGACGAAGCTGATGCAAGGATAGGTTGCGACCGATATCCCACCATTTTGGCAGCAGCACCGTGCGGTCCTGTGTTTCTTTTTCGGCGATTCATGCTGCCATTCCACCAATTCTTGACCGCATTGTCGCTTCGGTTGCCCAGTCGTCGTGCGATTTCGGCCCATCGCTTTCCCATGTCGCGGACCAGTTGCTCAATAACTTCGCCCTCCTCTGCCGAAATAGGATCGTGGTTCAGAGAAGGCTTTAGATTTTGGTGATATCGTTCTCGACACTGCTTGGGAGATCGGTGTTGCATGTGTTCAGAGATACGAACCCAGTTGTTCGGTCCCTGGGTTCTGACAAGATGCAACAGAGCAGCATCTTCCTCTGGTAGCCATGGGCCTCGTCGGCCGGATCGAGACATGTTGATGCGGGAATGGTTGCGCAGGACGTAGTCGGCGTCGGGCTACTCTTCTCAGAAGGTACACGAGGTCGAGAAAATTCACACTCTCAGAGGCGAGTCCAGTCGATATAGGAGGCAAATATGTAGAGACGGCCTCCAGTGCCTGCCTTGAACTGAGTTCTGGGCCAGTGGGGGTGGGCGTGAACGGTCCGTTGGAACCCTCAACCTAATATCCACAACTAAAACCCCCAGGAGAAACGGACAGGAAAGAAGTTCTGTCTTCAACTGTTGTTTGGAAGCGACGGTTGTGTATGAGTTTCGAAATGCGAGTGCGATGGTCGAGTAGAAGACGGAAGAACAGGCTTTCTGAAGAAGTTGAGAAAAGGAAGATCGGCCCAGAGGCAATAATTCAAAGATGTTTTGGATGTTCAATGATGATCCTCCAATAGACGGTCAAGGTTACGGGTGATTCACCCCTCCGGTCCGCGCTTGACTTAACAATGATCCGAGACCAAATCGAGTCTTGTGAGTGGGAAGCGCAGAAGAGTTTGGGCTCGGTGGTCCAAGGGGTTCAAAAAGGTGAAATTCTGATATTCGAAACTTGCTATCATTCGGTGTTTGTAGTGTACGGATAGAGGTCCTGTGGTCCGTAGAGGGGGAATAAGGGAAAGAGGCGCTGGACGCACGAGCTAGCATCGCGCCATGGATGGCGAGTTGGGAACTCTCGACGTCCTCTTTCGGAAGCCCGGCCGGTTGTTTGTGGATGGTGGTTGAGAAGCCAGAGTCCAAGTTGGGGACCCACGCCCATCCTTCCCGGATCACTCCTGACCGAACTCTAAAAGGATATGGGAAAAGTTAAGGATATGGAGCAGTGTTCTTCGGCTAAGCCTGCCAGCTCACTTTGACCCAGGGCAAAGTCCGCACCCAGCCAGAGCAGGACCGCAGGCCCAAGGGGACAGGGCCTCAGCGCCAGCTCAACGCCGCGATCGCGGTGACGCGCTAGCCCTTCTCGTCCCATGGATCCATTTTGTTTGCCTTGTCGAAGCTGGAAGGGCAGCGTAAGAGCCCGCTTAAGGTCGACCCAAAACGCCCAAGTACTCCACCAGATCGATCTGGCGACATGGGTACCCCCAGGCCCATTGAGGGCAGCCTATACCAGGACAAGCAAGAAGGTCAGGGCATCTTGACAAATTCACCCTCCCAACACGGCAGAGTGGAGGTGTGCAGAGTTCACGCTTTCAGGTCTCTATTGCATGCATAACGCGCGGAAACTCTCTCGACACCGGCGTCGATCTCTGGAGATTTTCAGCAGCATTGAGATGAGTATCCCTAGAAACCTGGGATTATCAGTGACCGGACGCTGAGGGGCAAACCTGTCGATCAGGGCAATACGACTCCATTCCGAGCCCGGCGGCAAGTCCCGAGGGTTGTATTGGTTCCAACAACAAGCTGAAAGCGGACCCTTGGGGGAGGGTGTGGGAGGGGATACTTGAATTTTGCCTACGCAGTAGAGTTAATTCGGCCTTGTTGGATCCCGTCGCCAGCGGAAATGGACTCGACCCCCCTGATCGGTGATGATGATGGCGGGTTCGCCCAAGAGCAATCAACAAGCGATGTCGTCAAATCACCGTTTTGCTGAGATGATGGAGGAAGCAGCTGCAAGCAGTATAGTTGCATGTCAAGGACTCGATCGAGACCTCAGAGCGACGGGCACTGTGAGTGGTCGGCGGTCTGGGCTTCACGTCAAACATTCGAGCAGCTAAAATTGCGAGAGCCACGGCTTGCAGCCGGAGCGTTTTGACCGTTGTGGCCCCTGCGAGGCCCGGGCGTCGATTGGAGCAGCGTCCTGGCTGCAGATAGCATTGGCGAACGGAGGGCCCAATGACAGATGATGGACAGGGGTCGCGATCGCGTCCGGAATCTGGCGCGCGGAATCCAGCGACTTGAGGACGGTGGGAACCTCCAGCCAGGCTGAGACGGCTAGCGGCGACTTGAGACGAACGCCACATTCGTTAGAACGTCCCCAAACAGTCAGTCGCCAAAGCTCCTCACAGCCAGCTCTGAGCTTGTGCCAACTTTGGATTGGGAAGATCATCGACTCCGCCGGGGTGCCGCTCTGTCAGATCCAGTCGCGGTATCGTCGAGACCACCCCTGTTGTGTGACGACCCCTCCCCGCCTTTGATTCCATTATGCAATACAACTGTGTGAAGATGCTGCGCGCCCGACTCTTCTTTCAGCTCAAACCACCAACACTAAAACGTTTGTGTGGAGTGGCCATGGTGCTTGGACGGCGCCTCGCGGGGTATTGATTGCCTCGTCAATTCAGCTCGTCTTGATCACTACGTCAATTCAGATTCGATGGACAATGGCGCGACGGAGGTGAGAAGAGGCTCTGAATCGGTGGAAACCCATCCTGCACCCTGGATCCTAGTCGGTCAACAGAGGAGTTCGTCAAGTCCCACGTTCAAAAGGTAATAGTACCGAGTATAGCGGCAGTCTTTGGCGAGGGGCACACGTAGTCTGTCTGCTGCAAAAGTCTGACTGGGGCCGGGAGGAGGTGAAAACTTCGGATGCGGTAGCCGGACTGTCATGGGGGAAGGAGACGAATGGAGACGAATACGAGTCTCAAGCGACGGGGAAGCGCAAGAAGGGTGGCAGGGGATGGCACAAGGACGGACTCGATAGCAAAAGGAATCTGAGTTCAGCTGCTGCAGCATCCAGGGCCAAAGTGGTGTGTGAGTTATTGAGAGAAGGAGGGGAAGCTTCGAAGCTTCACGGACTGGTCGACCGAGAAATGGAAACTCTGATGCCCCGTGAAACCACCCGCCACACGCACGAGGGGAAGATGCTTCTTCGTTGATGACCCTTCAATTCATTTCCGTATTTCTTGACTTCTGGCAATGAATATCTTTTTCCATTTCCGACTATATTGCTCCATGTTTATGAAGAATATCGTCCCCTTTATTCCCTTCTCCTATTACTCCTGTCACTCGCAACTTACACTCTCTTGGTCCGAATGGGAGTTTCTCTCTGCAACATACCCGCGGTGCTGGGTCTCGGACAAGAAAGGCGCCAACCTCATGCGGGATCCCAGAAAGGACGGGCAAGCGTCTTACGGAGTTCGTTTGTTCCTTTTTCCTAATGCTCTCAGAGCAACGGGAAATGCTTTCGTTTCCTCAGACTCCAGCAATGGCTTTGACCACTCCTCGCTTCCTCTTCCTCCCCTTGGATCCTGTGATTTCAGCTGAACGGGTGGTGGCGAGGACGTCGGCGACGGCCGCACCGGGGCTCTAGATCTCGTCCTCGGCTATCCCAACCTCGAATTTCTCCCAGATCGTGTCCTCATGCAGACTACCTAAGACGGCATTTTTGGAATCCCAACTTCAGCCCTCAACGACTCCACTCCGGCAGCAGTTGTCAATTTGCCACCGCTGGCGGATTGACGCATCAAATGGCTCGGGACTTTTGGCAGAAGGACGTGGCGACCGTCCCATGCTTCAGCCGTTGCCCGTCAGATGTTGTCGCGACCCGTCCGTCGCCAACTTGCCGACGAGAAGCCCGAAGGTTCCACCGATGAGAAGAACTCAAAAACGTCACGCCATCGAGCTTCACGTCAAGGAGGTCTCGGACTCTCGCCCCTGTCAATATTGGTCTCCAGGAGTAGCGATGCCTCCGGTTGCCACCGCACCAGCGAGCACGCTCCTCGAGGGACTCAGCTACAGTCCCCAGTTTACGCATGGGGATGGACGTCCGCAAGTCCACGCATGGTGGTGATCTCTCGACCGAGTAGAAACAAGCCAGAGCCACCCCGTGGGCCGTTGCTCGAGTAGCAGTAGTAATTCAGTAGTTCCGACGTGAGCTCCCTCCCTTCTCTCCCGAGGGAGGGCATTGCTTCGTTCTGCCCAGTGTGAGCAATCTCAGAACTCCCGCAGGCCGTTTCGTGTCTATGCAATATTCACAAACTCTCTCTTCTTTCCTCTGGTCATGCCAGCAGCTGCGCCGTCGGCCTCCTGCCATGTCGCTTCATCGACGTATTCCGATTCCCCTGCGACTTCTCTCACTCTGCGGCCCAGCACTCTCAGTCCCGCAAGATTAAACCCCAGCTCCCCTTTCTGTCTCATGAGCGTCCACCTCAGTTGGGCCCTGACCTCCTCCAACATCCCCTTCATTGCTCTTGAACTCACAATCTGTTTCTGGTGCGTCTTCAGCATGAACAGTAGTATCCGACATGTCAGGGGAATAGCCCGGCCTTCTTCAGCCCAAAGGGCGAGGAATGTAAAGAGTGCGGGAATCTGAGAAAACGAGAGGACGAGAAGGGCATCCTGGAGAGATGCTGAGGGAATCTTTTGGAAGGTGCTGAGGACGTAGGTTGATGCGGACATATTGTTGTTGGCAACGAAGATCGGATTCCGCTGCGGTGGTGCAGCTTTGGGATTCGTTCTTTTCGTTTCGTCGTATACTCGCATTGTTTCAAGATCTTCCATGCCGACCTCCAGTGCCTCCGCTATCTTCTCTCCGGCCATCAACGTCTGGGCGGTCTGCCTACCGGCGGGGCCTGCTTCGACACCATCGGCGTTCGTCTCACCCTCAACCTCATTTGAGTCATTTTCTAGTGATGTCAAAAGCGTGTTCTCATAGAGATCCTCGAGTTCCTTCTCTCTTTCTTCCTCCAGGAAAATCTGCTCATCGGTCTGTTGCCATATACGGATACTTTTATCGTGACTCGCCGTCACAACAAACTCCCCAGAATGTGCAACTGCCATGGCCCAAATCTCCCCGTGGTGACCCTCCAGCTTTTGGATCTGCTCAAACTTATCCGCATCATAGTATTTGATTATCTTGTCCTTGCCAGCGGAGAAGAAGTGATGGCCATTGCCTTCGTCGTTATTCGGGACGAATTTCACGGCGAGGATGCTGTCCTGGTGGGCAAAAAAAGCCTTGTGACAGTCGCCAAAGTCGAGGCCCCAGATGCGAACGTTCTTGTCCGCACTTGAGGTGACGATCAGTTTGCTATCGTAGCTGATGTCCATCGCTAGCACAGGCAGTTTGTGACCGTAGAGCGTGAGGAAGAGTTTGAGCGTGTCGGTGAAGAAAACCTTGACAGTATTGTCGAGGGTACTGACGGCGAGGAGTTTCTCGTCAGGGGAGAAACAGATGCTGAGAATGTCGTCGCTGACTTTGAGCGTCCTGGTATGGACGAGGGTGAGTTTAGCATTTTTCCGTGTCGTACCCAACACTTCTTCTTGGATGACTTTAAACTGCCAGAATTTGGCACATTTGTCGGCAGATCCTGTGAGTAGAGATTTGCCGTCCGGGCTGACTTGAAGCGACCAAATGTCTCGCTCGTGCGCGGTGATGGTATCCAGCAACGTAGACGCAGCGATATCAAATACTTCGAGCGTACCCTCTCGTGTCCCCACGACGACGATCTTGTCACCTGGCAGGAATGCCACGCAAAGAGCATGGCCGCAATCTAGGGTTCGCAAACAAGTCTGTGTTCGTGTGTTCCAAATCTTCAGGCTGCCCTGGGATGCCGTGGCAAGCATTCTGTCATCTGAGCTGAGGGCGACACAGCGAATATCTGTACGGTGGCCCGGCATATCCACTGTGAGTGCACGGTTGTACTCTGGAGTTTCGGGTGATTTCTTTTTGTCTGATGCGGCCACATCGAAAAGCTCAAGTTGATTGTTTGAAGTGGCCACCAGAAGCCGGATTGACTTGCCAGATTTTCCGCCAGCCCAGTCCATTGATCTGACCTTGCCTCCCGTACGCACAAGAACGTAGGGCACGAATATGTCGGCAGCTGTGGCGCTGGAAATATCTGTCGAGTCTTCGACGTCATCAGCGACGTCGACTCCCGAGTCCGCGTCCGCCGCACCCTCCTTGTTCTTCCTCCGTTTCCGCTTTCGGGCGAGAGATTTTCTTACTTCAGTTTCTGAACGAATCCGTAGTATCTCGATGGCTTTGTCGGAGCCGTGCACGGCAATCAAGTCGCGTTTTGGGTGGAATGTGATGCCCAAGGGCCGATCGCGGCTGTGCCGGTACAGTGTTCCTTGCTGTCGCAGGATATTGTTTCCTTCCAGCATGTCAATGCCGTTTTTTTGCTTCAAGACGACTTGATTGATTGACCACACTTTCAACTCCCCGTCGTTTCCGGCGGTAATACAGCCGCTGCCATCCCTGGTAAGTCCCAGGGCCCAGCATTCCCCATTCGTTTGTGTCACATGCGTCTCGATACAGTGCTGGGTAGCCAAATCCCACACCTTAATCAGGGCATCCTTGCTGGTAGATAGCAGGGAATCATGAGACACAGAGTCACCATCGAGCCCATCTGGAGTGTCGCCAACGGTGAGGAAGTTCAGCGAAGTGATTTGGTCCTTATGACCGCGCAGACGATATAATCCCACCTCGGCGACCAAGTCCCAGAGGATAATATCAGTGTCCTTTGATCCGCTGGCTAGACGGACTCCGGAATGATCAAATGCCAGTTGGGTAATCGCCCTCCTGTGGCCATTGAAGGTGATTATCACTGTTGCTGTTCTTGAGTCCCATATCCGAATCTTGCCATCGTCGTAGCCCACGGCAAACACATCAGGGTCCACCTCACTTCGGCAGATGACGGTCACAATGGCATTATTGTCCTCGACGTTCCATACCCCAATATTTTCCGACTTCTTCAGATCCCATACCAAGACTTCCTCATTGGCGCCGACATAGGCACGACCTGCGCCACCTCGACTCGCAGTGTCCTCATGCTCGGAGGTTGGGTCCCAGACGACGTTCGCGGAGGCAGTACAGATCTGGCCAAAGGTCTTGCTGTGCTCGAATTTGCTAAAGACATGAGTATCACTCTGGTGGCCTGTAGGATCTTGTTTTCACTCACAGATATGACTTGACCATTGCGGGGAGTTTGGCGGCGCAAAGTCAAGTGAGGCCGACAACTTTTTTTTTCTCTTGAAATGCGGAGAAATTTTGTCGCAACCGGTGCAAAAACGCCAAGACATGAAGATGGCCGTCTCGCCGTATAAGCGGCGCAGGCAATTACGCATGAGTCCGGAAAAGCTATCTCGACAGCCAGCTATTTGCGCCTCTGGCCCCTTCACGGCCGTCAAGTTAATCCTGTCCAATCTGCCGTGGGCTTGTCACAGTTGAATCTTCAATTTCCCCTCCCTGGAGCATGACGACCCTGGCTGGCGGCATTTGTCATGTGGATTCCCACCTGCGCCGTCGGTCCTGCCTCCAAATCAAATGAATCCGGAGACCCTTAATGGTTATCCATTCTGACACCTCATTGGCAGGATATGTGCTGACCACTGGGGGGCTCTCGGAGGCTGAATTCCCTGAGGAGGCTGTGCTGCATAGTGTTGGGTCACTCATGTCAAAACGTTGTTCTAGACCCCCGAGGGCCTAGAATCCATCGTAGAAGGACACCACGCAATCACTTGACTACACGGAGAGGGCATCTAATATAAATCGCTCGAGTCTCGCTTTGATGACCAACTGCAATGCCAGGAACGCCGCCCTTGGTTGCCAAATGGCTGATTTGCGACAACAGTCCCTTGCGAATATGATCTCTACAACCGTGGAACGACTACGCCAGAGGAACCTCACATGTGTTCGGGTTATCGAGCATGACTGTTGTATTCCCGGGCTACTTCACGGTGCGACGCAAGAAAAAGTTCCATGCTTAAAGAGCAGATATGCGGAGCGACCTGGTGGTACGGATTTTGATTGCTAACTCTTGTTTCCAGCGTTCGTCCAGTTTGACAATGACGGGACTCACCTCCAGAAACTGTGTGTCCGCCTCCGCTGGGACTTTGAGCTGTTGTGCCAGATCGCGACGGAGTGGGAGGCACGAAACAGCAGCGATGCGAGCATGTTTGGATTCGATTCCACCATCTTCTTCTGCGAGGCTGTGTGGGGAGTCGAGACGTGTCGACGCAGCCAGTGGACGTCGAGTATCCAGCTGAAATATGCCGAAGCATTCAATCAGGTGTACCGAGATGTCAGGAGCTGTCTCCACCCCAAGAACACCAGAGGGAACGGCGAGGACTTGTTTACGACTGTGCACGTCTTCGAAGCACAGTCTAGAAACAGCATCACATATCAAGTCAGTGATAACATCTAGCCTATAGAGAGAAGGTTTGATGCATATCGAAGTGGGCCGCTATATACACGGAAGTAACGCATACCGGATATTGAGCACTCGGTACGGAACGGATAGGGAGCCAGGGACACGGCAAATATGAGGCTCAATTGATTTTTTCTGCTACCGAAATGGGATAATCAAAGCCTCCTTACATGAGACCGTTGACGGAATCAGGCCATTGGGGAGGGTTCTGTGGCATGAGGACAAGAATAATATTAGTCGTGGAAATGGCGATATTAAAAGCCGCTTGGAGGAGCATCTCCGCGGCGACCTTAAAAAGATTTTCCCCTCGTCCACTTTCGCAGCAGATCTACGGAGTACCTCGTGCTGCCTCAAGTCACGACGCGACAGCTCTTTAAACTCTTCCTTTATCTTATCTCTTAGAGACACTGGGCAGCAACGCGATGATCGGAAGGTGAAAGAAGGACCGTCACCCTCGAATCAATATGCTTGCCTCGACACTGAATCTGCTCTCTGAACATAGCTTCATCGACATGCCCGCGGAGTTGTGTCCATCTTACTACTACCGATCTCCCACTGTATCCCCTACATGTGGGACGTGGCCTGACAGGTAGCCTGTCCTGTTTACGTACTGAATTGTTTTCGTCCCAAAGAGTTCTTGAGTTGAAGAAGCGTCGACGGGTATATAAGACTTGTATCTGTGCTGATCTCTGCTCCCAACTTACGCACAAACCAGCATCTATCCTTCACCCTTAAACCAACAGCTAAACCAAGATGCTTACCTCCACTCAAGTCCCTGAAGCACTACACGGTGACGAGCCAGACATCACACCAGTGCAGCCATCTTCGTCTCCATCGCAGCGCCCCCAGCTTAGCCCCGAGCACCAGAAGATCGTCAAGTCTACTGCGCCCGTGCTGGCCGAACACGGTGTTGCCATCACTTCGCACTTTTATAAGCGCATGTTGAACAACCACCCTGAACTGCGCAACATATTCAACTCAGCACACCAAAGTACGGGGGCGCAGCCTGCGGCTCTTGCACACGCGGTGTGGGCATATGCTGCCAACATCGACAACTTGGGGGCCTTGACCAGTGCGGTTTCTCGAATCGCCCACAAACATGTCAGTCTTGGGGTCACTCCCGACCAGTATCCCATTGTTGGGGAGAACCTGCTTGCCTCTATCCAAGAAGTACTGGGGGATGCGATCAACCAACCCATTCTGGACGCCTGGGCCGCAGCCTACCAACAGCTCGCCGATATCTTCATCGACGTCGAGCACAGCCTGTACGAATCAGCCGAACACAGTCCTGGCGGCTGGACAGGATGGCGCAAATTCAAAGTTGCGCGCAAAGTCGTCGAGAGCGATGAGATTATCTCGTTCTACTTAGAGCCATTGGACGGAGGTCCGCTGCCGCACTTCAAGCCGGGCCAGTACATCTCGGTGAGAGTATTCCTACCGGAGCTAGGAGTGTACCAGCCTCGTCAATACAGCCTTTCTGACACAGATGATGGGAGACATTTTCGAATTTCGGTCAAGAAGGACGCGGGCACGAGCCCCGCGCCGCCGGGACGAGTGTCTAACCTCTTGCACGAGAACTTGCCGGAAGGCGCAGAGCTCGACGTCAGCAACCCGTTTGGCGATTTCACCCTCGACGTGGCCGGCTCAGATGAACCCGTCGTGCTGATCAGCGGCGGCGTTGGGATCACGCCCATGTTGTCCATGCTGGGGACGCTGGTCGAGCAGGCGCCCACGCGGCCGGTGGTCTTCATCCACGCCGCCCGCAACGGCAAGGTCCACGCCATGAGGGACTACCTGGCGCGCATCATCAAGGACAACCCCCAGGTGTCAAAGGTCGTCTTCTACGGAGAGACCGAAGCCGCGGAGCGTGAGGGCGTCGATTACGACTTTGTCGGGCGCCTCGTGCTCGAGAACATCAAGGATAAAGTCCTCCTGCCAGGCGCGAGCTACTATCTGTGCGGACCGATCCCGTTTATGCGCCTCCACCAAAAAGCCCTCGAGGACCTGGGCGTCCCTCCCGAGCGGATCCATTCTGAAGTCTTCGGCTCGAGCGTGGCCTGAGTCGACATTTTGGGTCGTTGGTCCTTCCCGCCTCCTGGATCCTAGAATCATACAATGTAGTGTGGCACTCACACGAAATAGAACAGCGGCGTTGGAAGAGGTTCGATGAATTAGACCTTGTATAAAATCTTAGATGACCATACCAAATACATTTTATTGCCACTTCTTCATCAGGAAATTCTCTCAGGCAGACAAGCACGGACTGTATGAATTGGGATTGGAAATGAAACTCATCACCATGCTCGAGTTGTCACCATAAATAAGAAAGAGGCGTTAGGAAGTATTGGTTTTCAGCTGTTTTCTAAAGGAGGGTGATAAGCCATCGGATTTTATCAACCTACCACCCTCCCGGTGTAGGTTCAGAGCATGTATCATTTCTGCAGCTTTCAAGATCCCTTGTCGGTAGTACGGAGCAGTTTGGGACAGTGATAGAAAGAGGATTGTAGTCGTATGGTGCTGACTTTACGAGTACATATTGTACATATTCAACCCGCCAAGCAATTCCGCCGCTGACATCGGCACCTCCCCGCACTCCCTTCTTTCGACGCATTGCAGCTTCGCAACAGGCACGAGCGCACTAACTACAAGCACATCCTCATCCAGTCGTCAGTGTCCCGAGACAATTCGAGCACGACTCCCAGACTTTCCTCACCTTCTCGTTGCTGCCGGCCTAAGCAGCCCGACCTACGGCTTGCAATGCTCCTCCTCGACTACCAGAATGTCCTCATTCAATCCCTTCTGACTGAACGCTTCTCTGGCGCCCCTCCCACGTCTATTGACCAGGTGGTCTCCGACTTCGACGGCGTCGCGTTCCACATCTCCACCCCGACGAGCAAAACCCAGATTCTCATTTCCCTGTCCATCAAATGCTACCGCGAGCTGTTGCAATATGGCGCCGAGCAGGTCCTGCAGCGGGAGTATGGGAACTATATCACCAACACAGAGGCCGGTTATGACTTCAGTATCTTGGTCGACCTGGAGAACTTGCCGCCCTCGGCGGAAGAGAAGGAAGAGCTGGTGAGGCGGATCAGTCTGCTCAAGAGGAACGTCATGGCGGCGCCATTTGAAAAGGCGTTCGACGAGTTCGCGCAGTTGGCGGAAGAGGCGAGCAAATACACCTCTGAGTCCGCCCCGCAGGGTGTCAAGGAAGGAGGGGACGTCATGGCCATCCACTACCGCGAGGAAGAAGCCATCTACATCAAGGCCAGCCACGATCGGGTCACGGTCATCTTCTCCACCATGTTCACGGATGCCGTGGATAGGATCTTTGCGAAGGTCTTCTTGCAGGAGTTTGTGGATGCCCGACGGAGAGCCATCCAGAATGCGCCGCAGGTCCTATTCCGGAGCGATCCGCCGTTGGAGCTGCAGGGGCTGAGAGGAGTTGGGAAGACGGGCGAGAAGGGTGAAATGGGCTTCATTACATTCGGTATGCCAACTTTGTCCTGCGCTCTCTGGGTGATATAAATCTTCCCCAAGGCTAATGTACCGACAGTGTTGTTCCCCCGACACCTCACCCGTCAGCGACGGGACGAGGTCATCTCCCACATCCAGACCTTCCGCGACTACTTCCACTACCACATCAAAGCCTCCAAGGCGTACATCCACTCGAGAATGAGACGTCGGACGGCAGATTTCCTGCAGGGTAAGAAGCTTCGAATCTAAATGTCCATGTCCAATTTGAACGAAATTTGGAAAACTGACAAACGTCCTTCGTAGTGCTCAATCGTGCGAGACCGGAGACGGAAGAACGCGAGAGGAAGACAGCAAGTGGGCGGACGTTCAGAGTGCAAGGCTAAAAACTCTCCCAAGCCCACGCACGACTTTGGGGTACGAGATGAAGACGAAACCGGATGAATGTGATCAGAAAAATGGGCTTTACGATGGGCGTTCCCCTACACCTAGAACGACTCTAGATCTTATTGCCGTCCCAAAGGGCCTATACGCCATTTACACATCCGTAATCCTGACTTGCTCAGGGGCTTCGACTTCTCTTGATATCTTGTGTATCAAGCTTGCTATACAGTAGTCATCACGCTCGCATTGGAGTACCACGCCAACATGGGATTCTCCCCATTCCGGACCTCCGTCTGCTCCACCAGCGCCCAGCTCTCCAGAAACTGCCTATGACTTGACACCCTCGTCAATTTGCCCGTGATCGCGCGATAGATGTCCTCCATCATGGTGAAGTCGGTCGGGAAGAAGATGTCGAAATAGCCCTGGTGCACAAAGGGCGTGGACACCTGCACGTTCCGCCGCTGGTAGCGCGTCTGGACGACGGGGGCGTTGAGGCCCGGCACGGCGTCGGGGAGGTAGTTGAAGTCGGACAGCACGAGGCGGTGAGCCGGGAAGTACTGGTTGAGGATGTCGAAGAACTCGAGCAGGCGCGTCGGGATGTACTCCGGCTTGCTCAGGTTGGGCGACAAGGGGAGGGCGTGCCGGAGTTGGCGCAGGAGTCGGGGATACTGGGTGACGGGCGTGACGAAGGGCGAGCGGGCGGCGATTTCCCTCACGCGAAGGTACCGCAGCGCCAGCGGGTCGAGATTGCGGTCGTAGAACTCGAAGAACTCCCCGTCCTCGTCGATGAGGACGCTGCCCTGAAGCGGCTGCTCCGTCTCGGGGTCGTAACGCAGGCAGTCGTGCGCAAAGTTGTCGATGACCTCGAGCGCCAGGAAGAAGCACGGCGAGTGGATGTACTCCTTCCAGTCGAAGATTGACCGATGGACGATCTGGACGTGGTCCAAGTGTTCGGCGGCGTAAGGTGACCGTCGCAGGCTGGTCAGCTGCAACTCGGCCAACGCGGAGGATATCTCGATGATCTTGAACTGCGTTCGGCTGTAGACTTCCGGCTCGTATTCGTAGATATAGTCGAGTATGTTCCGCATCAGGGTCCCGTTCCCTGCGCCCATCTCGTAGATGATCAAATCGTGGTATGGGAACAGGGTCATCTTGTAGTTGGTGACCAGATACCGCGCAATCGCTTCGCCATAGTATGGCCGGAAGAGTTCGGTGGGAGTGTGCCACAGTTGTCGCGTCTCGTCCGGCTCGATCTCGTCCAGGGCATTTTCAAATTCAATATAGCTCAGGTCCACCAGACGATTGAACTCCGCGCCGTCCTTGATCGAGGCAAAATCGAAGGGCTTTCCGGCATTGAAGATCGTCGCATGCTTGGTAAAGTAGCCGTAGTTGGGGTTATACAGGCTGTCTGCGTCCTGTTAGTGGAAGGCTCCTCGAGATCCAGCTTGAGGACTCACCGTCAATGAATTCTCTAGTCAGCATTTTAACTCGACGCGGCCGTTGAGTCCTATGCCGCAGGTCATGCGCCGTGACTTGAGGGTATTCCTTGAGCTGTCTTGACATATCTTTCGGGAAGGCATCGATCCTCTGCTGCCACGAACTGCCTCCTCCCGCATCATCTTGCTTGCGTCGAAGTGCAAATGTCCGATGCTGTTGGATCGAGGGGGCTGGACAAGGAAGATTCCGTCGTGTGCGAGTACATCGCAGTCGAAGGCAATGCCGCGACGGCCTCATGAACAGCTGTTGGAATAGACGAGTCACGGCCGGCGAGTCCATCAGAGGCTCAACACCAGAGGCACCGGGTGCAGATGGTGCTGAACAAGTAGATAGATCGCCAAGCACCCCTGACCGAGCCTGGAGCAGAACAGTAACACAGCCAAAGCCCAGTCAATGGAAACGAAAGTAAAATGCGGAGTAATAGTTGCTAAAGATCTGTTTCGGGTAAAGTCGATTTACTACAGTGGACCATTGATCCGGCGAAGTTGAGTACGGGGGACTGATACTTCCCCTTGACGCATCTCTTGCTGTTTGATACAGCCATGACAGTCGACATTTGGACACTTTGGACCTCGAGATGTGGTCATTGATAGCACGATAAGAGGTTTCCGGTACTTTCCTTGGTGATAGTTCTTGAGCAGAATCATCACGTTCTCAGCTGGCGGCCAGAAAACCCACCCTGTATTGACGCAACGTTCAAGGTCTCCAACATTTCAGACAAGCAGAGCACTATTATGCCATGGATAGACCGTACCTTTGCTATCGGCATCGCTTCCGGCCTTGCCATCGCCGTCATATTTGATCAGCTCCGTCAATTCTACCAGAGCCATAACTCGCCTTTCAGAACCCGGCGGCTTTCGTACTCCCAGTCCAACGTGGACGGAACCATAAATTCCAAAGGAGTGAATCAGATATCTCCTCCACCCATTGGCATGGGCATAGAGTCGACCATAGGTTCCACGCCTCTGATTGTCATTCCCTCGCTTTCCGAGCTCACTGGTTGCACAATCCTCGCCAAATGTGAACACCTCAACGGTGCTGGTGGCTCACCCAAGGATCGGGTAGCGTTGTCAATCCTTACTCGAGCGGAAAGCCAGGGCCTCCTGACGCCTCACAGCGGAGACACCATCTACGAGGGAACAGTCGGGTCAACAGGGATATCTCTGGCAACTTTGTGCCGTGCAAAAGGCTATCTTGCCCATATTTGTATGCCGAATGACCAATCTCATGAGAAATCCAACCTTTTGTTGAAGCTCGGTGCGGTGGTCGAAAGAGTTCCACCTGCGCCAATAGTGGACCAAGAGCATTTCGTTAACCGTGCCCGCAATCTCGCCCGAGAACACACGGAAACCCCAGAGAAGAAAGGCAGAGGATATTTTGCGAACCAATTTGAAACAGAGGCGAATTGGCGAGCACATTACGAAGGTACGGGGCCAGAGATATATGCTCAATGCCAGGGCAATATCGATGCATTTACCGCAGGCGCCGGCACAGGAGGAACGATTTCAGGCGTGGCGACCTATCTTAAAGAAAAGCTGCCAGACGTTCAAGTCGTCCTGGCAGACCCTCACGGTTCGGGACTGTATAACAAAATCAAACATGGCGTCATGTTCCATGCCCTGGAAAAGGAGGGGACAAGGAGAAGAGATCAAGTCGATACAATCGTGGAAGGAATCGGGTTGACTCGTTCAACGCTCAATTTCGAGCAGGGGAGGGAGTTGATTGACGATGCCGTCAAAGTGAACGATCAGCAGGCGATGAATATGGCGAGGCTGTTGGTCGAGAGGGATGGCATCTTTGTGGGAAGCAGCAGTGCAGTGAATTGTAAGCTATTCCCTGTCCCGCTCCATGTGTGCCCGCTCAACTGATTGATTGCCAACACGAAGGTGTTGCTGCTTTACAAACGGCACTTAAATTAGGGCCCGGCCATACGGTCGTCACGATTCTGTGTGACTCTGGTATGCGCCACCTCTCCAAATTCTGGGCACGGATCGGTGAGATTGGAGGGGAGGCACGCACGACCGTCGAGGATATCCTCGAAGGCAGAAAGCTGAACTGAAGCACCTTCTCACCAACTCTTTTATCTTCGACCAAACAACTCGTCGTCGGAATCAGGCTCCATTTTGAGAAACGTAGGCGGATCCAACGGTGTCTCTTCCTGTCCAGTATGCTCCGTCCGGTTCAGATCAGACTGTTGTGGCGGATTATGAGCCTGCTGTGTTGACGTGGGAGACCTTCTTCGAACCGAGCTCCACAAACTTTCCAACCACATTTCAGCCAGTTTATTTCCAATCTCGCTCTGGTGGCGATGTTTAAAATGTGACGCAAATGCTCCAATGTCTCGCCTCGGTTTCTGACAGAGCTCCGCCAACATACAAAGTTCCGTCTGCGACCATTCTCTTGAATTGTCATTGCGAAAACCAGACGGTGTTCGATATCGATCATAGATGTCGTTGAGCGCGATTCCACTTTTACGAGTTCGAAGGGCTCCGCACTCCGCGATTTCATCGAAAGACAGTCCTGCACCCTCATGCAATTCAACCAAGGTCTTAAAGTCGGCAATGATTAATCTTGGCGCACGCGGCCCCCTGCTGCTGCATGACACGTAGCCGTGGATATACTCCAGGTTATGCACGTCGTCGTCATCTATTTCGCCCTTGTCATAGTCCCTTGCCAGTTTTGCCCAGTGCTTGAGGACACCTGCCCTGGAGGACCACTGGCGAGAGCAATAGAAACAAGACCCTTCCCTCAGCCTTAGGATTTGCTCGTCCTCTTTATCTTGCTTGCGGGACTTTCTTTTGAAATCCTCTCCGCTGTCGTTGCTCCCCCCTCCCTCGTCCTGTCGGTCAGAAAAACCGTCCTGAAGTGGATCCGCGGACTCAGCCCGAGAATAGCGACTCACAGCAGGTTGACGCACAGCTTTCTTTGACCGGACTCTGGCCGGCTTCCAGAGAGATCCGGTAGGGGCCGGAGAGGTCGTTCGTCGATCTGTTCGAGTAGGTACAGGGACTGGTGGCGTCCCGGAATTCGAAGCAGATCTGCGTGGCTCTGCAGGAACGAGATCTGTGGGGAGGCGCCACGCTGGCTCGATATGCGCTTGAGCAGCATAATTTCTAGTTCTTCGTATAATTGCCAACACCTCCGGACCATGCCTAGGTCCAAATTTCTCAAGAAGACTTCTGTCGTCCACCTCCTTATCGAGAGTCTCGAACTCGGTCAGCAAATCAGTGGTCTTGGGACCAGGTGAGTCTTGAAGTTGAACTTGGAACAACGAGTCGGGACTTGTTGATCTTTCCGGCTTTTGTTGGTCTCCGAAAAGTGACTCATCGTCAGAGTCGCCCAGACCAGAGCGGACAGTGGTTTGGCTCTCTCTTGAATCAGGACGCGCAATGTAAGATGCGCGAGCACGGACGGGTACAAATAGTTCGTCGTCACTGTTCACCGGGTCCAATCCCGGGTCATCGCCTGCCAGTGCAGCACTCTCAGCGATTTCCTCAATACTCGTGATGGCCTCGTCTGCGCCCTTATTGAAGTACTCATTTGCGCCGTCTTGAGCCCCAGTCATTGCTCTTAACAACGATTTCGCTTTTGCTGTGTATTCACCTCCTGGATCCGTCTCGTTCTCCATTGATTGCACATGGCCGTTGTTCACGACGATAGACATTGTATCCATGTCTATCTCGTCACCGACGCCGGAGAAATCGTGAGAGTACTTCTCAAAGATTGATTCGAACCGTGATTTCAGCAGCAAATCATTACGTAGCCGTCGGGTGCCCAGATCCTCGTCGAGACGGGGATCAGAGGAATGGTTGGCGAACATGAAGAGGCGCGGCCTCTTACGGAACGGTTCCTCCATTGCGAAGCTATGTGGTAGTGATTGAACGAGACGGTCTGAGTAGGTGTGAGAAGTGGACAATGATGGGAGAGGAGGGGCATTGGGCTGGCGAGACTAATTAATGAGCCTGATGTTCCGCAGGCGCGTCGCGCGTTTCGTGTCCACCACCCGCAACGTCATCCGCCATTTGAGGAGGTTCTCACTTCAACACCATCTACACTATCACCATAAAACATAACAGCAGAGATGTATTGCCAGAAATGCCGACAGCCTGTTCGCTTTGATAGCTCGCTCGAGAACATCAATCCAGCGTCCTTTGACCTGCTTGTTGGTCTGTCGATCCCCTGCCGCTGCGCTTCTGCCTGATACTGACTGTCTCGCAGCATCCACGGGCAAGTCGCAATTGAACAATGTGACCTCTTCCATCTCTCGCATGAACTACCCGCACGAGAGAAAAGAATTATATGACCGCGTCTCCCTCCAAGCGAACTCTCCCGTCTATAAGAGATCTATTGCTGCGCCAACGGATGAGGCAGTTCTCCCTCGCCGGGCTGACCACCCAAACGGCCACCCTGATATGTCGTTCATTGAAATCACACAGTCACAAGTTGCTTTGACCGACAAGGAACATCAAACTCAAAAATTACAGAGTCCTAACGCGAGAAAAAATGGTGCCGACGGTGATCCCGTGAAAGACCTGCGGATGTCTGCCACGAAGAATCAGATTGAAGATCTGTTTGCCATCCTCTCCTCCCATTCAGACATCGATCATCCCTTGTGTCAGGAATGCACTTCCATGATGCTGTCGCAATATGCTACACGCCTGGGTAGTGCTAACAGGGAGAGAGACGCCTATGCTGGTTTTCTCAAGTCAACCCAAAGTCTCTCCTCCGAGATTCGGGGACCTTCAGATGGGAAACGAGTTGGAGGTACAATCTACGAGCAACTGGAATCGACCGAAGCCGAAATCAGAAAAGTGGATGTTGAGATTGCGGCTTTAGAGGAATTGTTGCAACACGAGGAATTAGAGCAAGAAGCGTACTGGAATTCGCGAAACATAGTCGATGACGATCTCTACCATACGACCACATATTTCTCATTCCTAAGAGAGAAACAGATCCATGATCTCCGACAGCTTGAGCGTCTGCAGCGCACCAATGTCTACAACGACACTTTCTGCATTGGCCACGATGGCTATTTTGGCACGATAAATGGCCTGCGTCTAGGCCGTTTGCCTGGCCAAAATGTTGACTGGTCTGAGATCAATGCTGCATGGGGCCAAACCTTGCTGCTCCTTGCCACTGTTGCAGAAAGACTCAAGTTCACATTTCAGGGTTATCGTCTGCGACCTCAGGGGAGCACGTCTCGCATAGAAAAGCTCGAATACCCTCAACAACCTCCCGACGTGCAGAGACAACAACCAACAGGCCGCGACGGAGGTTTGCGTTCAGCTGCTGCGAACCCTGAACCGAAGGTCACCCCCCTCGACCTCTTCAGCAGCGGCGACATGGCAATCGGCCGCCTTCTGAACCATCGACGGTTTGATGCTGGCATGGTAGCATTCCTCGACTGCTTAGGGCAACTCGGGAAACACGTCGAGAAGACTTCCAGCGTCGACATCAATCCCAAACCATCCGTACGGAATGCAACACTAAAGAACACACAGTCGAAAAGGGTGTTGCCATATGGGATACAGGGTGATAAAATAGGGGACGTGTCAATCAAGCTAGGAGTCGGTTTTCATCAGGACGAGAACTTCACCAAAGCTTGTAAATATGCTTTAACTTGTTGCAAGTTCCTCCTGGCTCATGTCAGCAACCTCGAAAGTCAGAAGGAAGCATGATCACTGCACGACGACGACGACGACCATCACAAAAAGGGCACATGATTCGGCCTGATCTAGAGACAGACCAGTGACTCGGAAGGACTAGGTCGGGTTCGAAGCAACCGTTGACTTCCACCTTTACGGAAGAAGCACTGGACGTCGAGACGAGCCTCTTAGAAACCTCTCACCAACCACAGCGGACTCATTGCTGCTCGTGGTGCTCTTTTTCCCACGGACTGGAGTTCGAGACTGGGGTGGAGACTAGCCATTTCGAGTCCGTCAAACGACACTCGTGATAGGTTGCAGCAATGGTGGACGATGGTAGCGAGGATGGCGTCTTGAGGGTGCGATTCAGACCCTTTATCACCTAAAAACTGACTAATAAGTGTTACAGATGTGGTAGTAGTTCGAGAGGAGGCAGCTATGCTAAGTTCCAGCCCGTGATGGCATCGCAGTTGATTTGAGGTGTCACCAATGTGGCTGCATTAGTTGAGTAATCGGCTGCTTCTATGCATCAGGTAAGCCACAGGGTCTTCCAACACTAAAAACACCGCATTACCCAATCTCAGAGTGGATGGTTGCAAGCATCCATCCTTCGTGCGGCCGTTACCACCGTGAGATGTTTCGCCCTTGAGGCCTTTGACAGACTCAGCCTGAGGAGCAAAATGGACCGTTTTCACCCCGCTCGTTGGTATAGAATGCAAATGCCGTCCTCTTCGCCTCGTGGGCAACGCCATCACTCCAGATCTACTCTTCCCCTTATACTACCATCTACTGACGCGCTGGCGCCGCTTCTAATGTGATTCACTTACTGCAAGTATTTGTACTTCTCAACGTCTTATTTGGCTGTCTTTAGCCATGGCGCAGATTACCCATTCTACCGTTCGTGAGCTTCGATTTGTCGCCGTCAGCGGCCAGAAGGCCCATCCGACCACAGACAAGAAAGAGCGCAGCTCGGTGCGTGCCTTCGTGATGCGAGATTACCTGAGACAGAAGAGCGATCCCACGTCGAAGTTTACCCCTGCCAACGTCGGCGAGCGTATGACTTCGCACATCTCACGATTTCGATCCGCCAGACCTTCTTCGACGGTGAAGCCCAGGAAGCGAAGAATGGTAGCCACTCGTGATCGCAGGTCAGAGGGAAAGCCCAAAGGCCAGCGATTGATCGTCCCAGCGCCTGCCGAATCGCACGAGGAACGTTCACGGACCTCACGGCTGCATGATCTAGACTCGCTAGATCCCTTCAGCACGCTCGATGTTGATCTCGCCGGACCGCAGACCCAAAGTCTTCTCCAATACTATCAGACTTCTTTCTGGGCCAACTCGTTTGCTTGCAATCCCGAGGCGAGGTGGATTTCTGTAGCACTAATGGACCCAGCCATCATCCACGCAACATTGAGTTTGGTAGCAATCCACCGAAGGGATTGCTTCTCGATGGACCTGACCAAGGTCTACTTCAAACACCGGGGCGAAGCCATGCAGATCGTTGCACGGAGACTGAGCAATCTGCAGGAATCTCTGAGTGACGAGACGATTGGGGCGGTCGCGCTTCTCTCCAGCTCCGACAACCACTTTGACTGGCCGTCGGACACCCAAACAACCCATTCACGGGGTCTGGGCCATTTGATTTCCATGCGTGGTGGCATGGAGACGTTAAACTCGAACAGGCACATTCAAAGGGTGGTCGGATGGGCGGATTTGCTGCAATCCGCGATGCATGGGACAAAACTTCGCACCCAGATGCCCGCCGTGGTGGAGGAAGCGTCAGCTGAAGGCCTGATTCCCGATAATGACAGCGAAAAAGAGGAGCCAATGGCATCGTCAAGCATTGTCTTGCAGGATCTCCCTCAAGAAATAGGAGACGTGCTGCGACAGCTCCGCATTTTGTCGTCTGTAAAGACAAACCTCCTCGAGGATCGCCAACAACAAATGTGTCGAACCTTTAGCAACCTCCTCTGGAAACTCGAGTATTCCATACTAGATGAGCCGCAGAGTCCGACCAGCACCGCCGATCACAGGCAAGGGGATGCACTCAGTCAAGAGAAGCTGGTGGGAAAGGTGGTGGGCATCGCTACGCTGATTTTCTCCTATCTGACTCTCCGGGATCTTGCTGCACCGATCCTCTACCTCAGGCTGAGCGGTCGGTTGAGGGCTTATGTATCCGCGATCATGACTCCTCTGCAGCGACTACCAAAACACGTGGAACCAGCAACACCTGAGGGTCAGCTCCTAGGCGATGAGTTTTTGGGCGACAGCCAGCTCGCCATACTCTTGTGGTCGCTTTATCTCGGTTGGCGTGGGTCACAAAACGACGTCAAGCACCGGACCTGGTTTGCAGATCAAGTTGCACAGCTTTGCTGGAGGCACGGAATCCTGTCGCATGAGTCGATCAGGGGGAAGATCCAGAGCGTGATCCCCCAGGCGGAAGACTTATTGAAAATTCAAGAGGGGTTCTGGGACGAAGTAGAAGATATCATATGGACAGAGATGATCTCTCTGCAGTAGTACGACGAGAGCATTCCATAGTTGAATGAAAGTGTGTGCTGAATAGATACTGGATACTACGTCGGTGATTTACGCGCTCTTCCCCACAAATCGCGCTGCCACGTCTGGACGTTTTGTCGCGTATTATTAATATTATGTCCCTCGCGAGACAAAATAGTGTCCACCTTGAATCTCAACCAACCTGGTATTGTTCGCGACATCGCACCCCTTTTTCTCGTGCAGGCTACTTTCACAATGGCTCGAGGACGACAGCAGCCTAGCGAGCCATCCGACTTCGAAAAGCAACGACTCGCGAACATTGCTGAGCGAGACGCCCTCCTTAAAAAGCTGACGCAAGAAGCGCAGCAAGCGGGCCTCTATTCCAATGCGCCGTCGGCCGGCACGCAACATGGCCAGAAGCGAACCTCCAAGCCCAAGGGCCCACCGGCCAAACGAGTGAAGAAGGAGGCTGTGGAAGTCGTCCCTCGTCGCACATCCTCCCGATTGGCGGGTATCCAAGCGGACAGCGAAGTTGCGCGGCAGAAAGCAGAGGTGCAATACGAACAACAAAGGGAGGTCGAGAGGCAGAAGAGACAACGTGTCACGGGCGACCTCAACTTCGCGACCGATGGGACGGGTCTGATTGGCACGGACGTGATCCTCAAGGGCGTCGCCAAACCGTACGAGCGCACCTTTGACGAACAGGATGTGCGGGCGACGACGGACAAGGACCTCAAGGCGCTGCGGGAGAAGATGAGCGCGTTGGCACTGTGGGATCAATGGGAGCCGAACCGCATCAAGATCACGCCGGAGAGGATATACACTATGGCGTTTCACCCGACGACGTCAAAGCCCATCGTCTTTGCCGGCGACAAGCTCGGGACACTGGGAATCGTGGACGCCTCGCAGCAAGGAGGCACGAACGTCAAAGAGGAAGAAGCAGGGGACGACGATGAAGAAGCACAGGAGGAGGCACAGTCCGATCCGCAAATCACGCATATCAAACCCCATACTCGCACCATCACCGCGATGCACAGCCACCCATCAAAACCCCAGACTCTCTACACATCCTCGTATGACTCCTCGATCCGGGCGACCGACCTCTCCAAATCGGTGGCGGTGGAGGTGTACGGCCCCTCGGATCGAGAAGAGGACGAGCCCATCTCCGGCGTCGACATGTCCGCAACGGACCCGCACACGTTGTATTTTACCACTCTGAACGGCGCGTTTGGCCGGCACGACACGCGCCAGCCGCCTTCTGCGTGCGAGCTGTTTCAGCTGTCGGAGAAGAAGATCGGCGGGTTCAGCCTACATCCCCTGCTTCCGCACTACGTGGCCACGGCGTCCCTCGATCGGTACATGCGGCTGTGGGATCTGCGCAAAGTGACCAAGAAGCTGCCCACGCTGGTGGGCGAGCACGAGTCGAGACTAAGTGTCAGTCATGCGGCGTTCAATACCGCCGGGCAAGTGGCGACCACGAGCTACGACGACACGATTAAGATCCATTCGTTTGGCGTGGGGAAGCATGCGAAGAAGGGGGCACAGGCGCTGGAGGGCATGAGCTCCTGGGCAGCCGGCTTTCAGCTGGAGGAAGAAGCCATGAAGCCGGAGGTCGTGGTGCGGCATAACAACCAGACGTGAGTTTTGGGACGGTTGTGTTCTTGCACACGTTATACTGACAGCATGCGTCTCCTCCACAGGGGTCGATGGACGACCATCCTCAAACCACGTTGGCAGACATATCCCGAAGACGACATCCAGAAGCTGGTGGTGGGGAACATGAACCGGTAAGGACGCCCTCGTTGTTGACCTCTGTCGCTTTCCTCTCCGATGGAACCTCGTTTCTTATATTCCGGGCAGATTTGTCGACGTCTACGCCGCCAATGGGGATCAACTTGCGCAACTTGGCGGCGAAGGTATCACCGCTGTCCCGGCGGTAGCCGTCTTCCACTCTTCCAAGGCCTGGATTGCTGGGGGTACGTCGAGTGGGAAACTGTGTTTGTGGATGTAGATCCCAGCATATCATATACCGAGGACCGTCTGTCGTCTCGCGAGTACCTCGTACTGTACGAGGTACTCGGTACCACTTCGGAGAAAACGACTCTTAGGCCTTTTGTTATCCACCGTACCTCGTACTGTGCCCATTAACAGAGTGCAGAGTTTTGGACCAGTAAAGGGAGGGTATTCTCGCGAACCCTCAGGGGCAGACATTGCTAAAATGAAGCATTGGACCACTGCCAGAACGGTTCGGGTGATTTCTTTTGGCTTCTTTCTTCCTTTTGGTTCAGGAGCAAGTCGCCCGATCTGGGACGCTAGTCGATGGCGTCACTGGGCGGCTTGATGTGGTGACTTGGTGACTTGGTGGCCGGCGTCAGTGCTCCCTGCCCACACCGCGCTGCGCGTAGCCGGCGTCCCACCCGCATTGTGGATGAACAGTAAAACAATTGGATTGTCTGGGAGGGCCTGAGTAACAGCGTAATCTCATCGATATGCCTCACCGCACCACACCACACATTTTATATTTTTGGACGATGAACATACGATCGAGAAAAGGTAAGCTGAGTGTGGTGGACCCGTGCCTCTCTTCCTGTTCCTCCTCCTCCACACGCACCTAACTGATCGATAGGTATCGAGCAAGGTTTGTCTTAGTAGGCGAGCCCAATCTCGGCTGGCCGTTGAGAGCCACCATGTCGCTCGTCCAATACTGATCATGAGCCAAGGACCTAACGGAGGTGTTTGTGGCAAATCTAGGTTGGCGCTGTCCCGTCTAGCAGACAGAATCTGGCAGTGTCTGGCCAGCCCAAAGGCCTCAAGCCTTGACCAAGCCTCACCAGTCTGTCGCTGGTGAGTGGCGTCAGCTGTGAGCCTGTGACTGAGGCAGGACTAAGGAAACATTATTTGTAGGGTGGGATTCCCCTGCAGCTGGTGTCATCCATCCCATCCTCTCGTTACCCCGGTGTGCCGCCCATTCGATCGCAAAGTCACAACAACAGCAATAACAACAACAACAACAACACCCACCAGAGCGAGGCCACGCGGGTACTGTCGTTGATTTGAAGGCCGTTGGGTTCGCTCGTTACCCGACGACTGCTGTGTTCTGGTTATTCCATGTCCTGAGTCGGGTTCCTGCGTCGTCGTCGTTGGATCGACACTCGGTCTTATCGCCCTCATCAACTCGCTTCCCGAACTCTTCTTCGTCCACCACGACCTAGTTCGTTTTGTCAAAGTCAACTTTCATCAACCAAGTCAGAAAGCCATGGGGCCCAGTCACCGTTACGATCTCGTCAAAAACCATGACGAATCCGATATCAAGGACGAGAAGGACGAGCCTCAGCTGCCCACACCACCCACATCGGTAACCTGGTGGAAGATTCTGCTCGGCGTCTTCTGTCTCTTGGCTAGTGCCGGTATCGGTGCGACACTCGCACTCGTGCTTCGTCCCTTGCCCCAGCAGTCGAGCAGCCCTGCTGCCACCGGCACAGCAGCGCCCGCGATTATCAGTGCCTCGAGCGCCATCGCCAGCTCCAGCAGCACCTCACGCGTCGACCTCCCCCTCCCCACGCGCCCCGTCGACTCGGTGGAGGACAAAGTGGAAGACGCCGACGGTTTGGACGGCGAGATTCTCGACTGCGGATACAGTCCCGAAGAGGCGCGCGCCAAGGGCTGCGTGTACGACGTGATGATGCAAGACTGGGTGCCGGAGCCGTGCTACGACGCCGTGCTAACGGAGCGCTACCTCGCACAGGGCAACTGGACGTGGTACGCCGACGCCGAGGGCAAGGTGGTGCTGACGGACGAGGAGATGCGCAAGGGCGAGCACGGCGCCGCCTGGATGTCGTCTAGCTACCACCAGGCCCACTGCATCTTCTCGTGGGACAAGACGGTGCGCGCCCTGCGCAACAACCGGCCCATCAGCCAGGAACTCCTGTCCTACGACCACGTCCTGCACTGCAGCCACCAGACCCTCAACGGTGCCGAGGTCGACGAGAGCATCGGCGTGCGGGCGCCCACCAACTACGCCAAATGTGCGCTGTACGATACGTGGAAGTACAACTGGATCCCCGACAGGCATTCTTCCACGACAGATTGATGTGTTCTTACTATTATCTATTTTAATATACCAATCGATCGATGTACGCATGCACGGCGAAGCGGTCCATAGCAGAAATTCCAATACATATATAACATACTTATATACCAGACCAGAACAAACCAGGCCAGACCAGTCCAGTCCATCCTACCTTCCTCCAAGAATCATTAGGGTCCGTACTCGAAGAATTGATAGCCATTGCCCAAGGCAAGAAGGAATGTGTGGGAAGGAAGGTATCTTTTCCCTACAAGGCTTCCGAATTGCACAACTCTCCTCGAGTTAGTGATGGCTCGGCCATTGAGAGGGGACACGATATACGTATATATGGATATGTATATATATTCTCAGTCGGCTGTTTCAATAACACCCCACCACATGAGCCCTTCCGGCTCCCTCTTCTTCCTTTGCCTTGGTCGCATATCATATTATAACGTTACTATTACAGCAACCTCCGTCAATGAATCAATCAACTAACCCCCTTCTAACAAACAAGCCGTACAAGCCTATTGTCGTCGTCGTCGTCGTCTTTGGTACCGAGATCGAAAGTAAAAGCCAGAAGGGGGAAAAGAGGATGGGGGAAGTGAGCTCTCGTGTGTGTGTGTGTGTGTGTGTGTGTGTGTGTGTGTGTGTGTGTATCTCTCTCTCTCTCTTTCTCTCCCTCTATCTATATCCGTACGAGTTCGGGACGTGAATACGAGCTTTGAGCATTTTGGCAAGGGTCTTGTCTTCTGGATCTTCTTCTTGACTTCCTTGATCTCTCCGTCTCTCTAAATATAGTGTGATTCTTCAGCGGGGAGATGATAGAAAAGCAACAGTCTTGCCACACACACACACATGTCCCACTCCATACTCTGTATACCCAGGAAAGGTAGGTATTGATTGACCCGTTCCCCCGAAGACCAAACTCGGGGGGGTCAAAATTCCATCTCGTAGTCCGCGTCGTTCGGCCTGTCCAACACCTCGAACGGCGCGTCCTGCATGTCCCAATCGACGTCGCGACGGTGAGGCGCCATCCTCTCGCCCCGGTCTCCGGCTCCGGCTTCAGCTCCTCGCCCTCCTGCCCCCAAAGACGCTTCCAACCGCGCAATCTCCCGCTCCGCCATGCGCCCGGCCTCCTCGAGCGCGCGGAGCACGGTGCCCAGCAGCGCCTCGAGCTTCAAGTCGCGCAGCACCTCCTCGTACCGCCGGACCTTGGCTGGGTCCCATTCCTCCTCGACCCGCGCGGCGCCCCGGAACGAGTCCGCCGGCCGCGACTCGACGTCCTTCCACTTGTTGCGGAACTCCTTGGCCACGCCGATGTACGCGCGCGCGGGACCCGTGCCCAGCACCCCGTGCAGCGGGTTCGCCGCGTGGTCGAGCGCCGCCAGCACGTTGGCGTGGAAGCGGTGCGCCGCGCCCTGGAAGGACAGCGAGTCGCCGATGATGGGCTTCGAGAGAGGGGGGGTTCTGCCGTGGGCGACGTGTGGCTTGGATGCCATACCCGTCTTGTCATCATCATCATTACCATCATTGTCCGCCGTTCGAACTCCTGCTGTCGCGGAAGCAGTAATCACAATCCCCCACACGCCCAGGAGACAGACAAGCCCCCGCTCCAGCAGGGTGTAGAACTCGTAAAAGTCGATCTTGAACTGCCGCTCCGCGTCTACGGGGTCAATGATCAGGTCGTACGGGCCTAGCGTCGCCTGAGGCCCTGACGCAACCCATTCTTCGTCTCCAAGACTGCCGTTCGTGTGCTGCTGCTGCTGCTGCTGCTGCTGCCGTTGGCTCTGGTGCTCCTGGGCCAGACTGAGCGCGCGGTGCGACCAGTGCGTCAAACTGTTGGCTTTCCACGCCAGGCGCCGGAACAGGCGGCGAAACCGCTGCAGCTCGGCCTGGCGGGTGAGATAGCGTCGCTGCTGCGCCGAGCTGGCGGGTTCCGACAATGGTGTGGCCGTCGGCAAAGGTAGTTGTTGCTGTTGTTGTTCTTGTTGTGGCTGTTGTGGCTGCTGCTGCCACGGCACCTTACGAGGTGAGGGCGTTCTTCGAGTCCAGGCCTGCGTCTGCGATGCCCTCTCGCGACGGACATCGGGACTCGCCCATTTCGAAGCGGTCAGGTCGAGATTCTGCATGAGGTTGTGAAGTGGCCGTCCGAAAGGAAATCATGATCCTGACTTGGTCAAAAAGGACAAAGTGGCGGGGAATGGGTCGTAGCCTCGACTTCACTGCGTCTTTCTGCATTCACGATAGAATGGGCACATTTTTGACTACAGTTACAGTAACAGGGACAGAAAAATACTCTTCCAGCAAAACAAATTACAAGATTGGATTGGGTGTATCAACATAGTGCGCGTCCATCATTGACTGCATAAAGCCTGATTCCAATCGTCCCATCGCCGTGTCGACCGGACCATACAGATGCCATCATAACCCAATGCCAATAACATTTCATGTGCTTCACCAATTATTCCATGCTATCGAATAAAACTGGTTCCCTTCAACCAACGGTACTGCTGAATCAATGACTAGTGCTGTCCCTCGTCCCCCGCCCCTGCCGATCTCTCCTGCCGCCGTGACTGACCCTGCCGGTGATGTCTTGCCAGGTCGCATCAAACCGTCTGCCCGTGCTTGCTAAGAGACCTTCCTCTTCTTCTTCAAGCTCGTCTTCCTCCGAATCTGGGTCGGACAACTTCGGCGTGCGGAACAGGAGAACAATGAAGCCAAGCAGGAATATTCCGAGAAAGACAAACTGGGCCCAGAAATCGATCACCCCAAAGAAGGGGAAGTTGACTGTCACTCGGTTGAGGAACGTGGACACCACAGAGGGAGTGCAGACATTCCTCGCAGCAGGATTGTCGGTGGACTCGGTACACGACACAATGTGCTGCGGATGATCGGTACAGTCAGGCTGTTCCCCAGGGTGCTTGGGCGGGTGGTCGCAGAACGTCTGAGGGCCAAAGGTGGCGTATTGCGGAGCCACCATCATTGCGATTGAGTAGTTGATGGCCAGTGTCATGAGCGTGAGCATGACCGTGGCCACCAACAATGCCTGTGGCGACGTATGAGCTTTTCGGATTCGAAAGATGGTGATCCACAAGACCCGGATGCCAATGGTCGCAATGCCGAGGATGCTCGCGCTGAAGAACAGCATCACGATCAGCATGAAGATGACATAGTCGATGGGGAACACTTTGGCCGACAGGACCAGGACCCAGTTGACCGGTTGGAAGATGCTGATGTGTGCGAGCAGATAACCGCAGTGCTGTTTGCAGATCGAGTTCTTAGCCTTGTCAATCCCCGTGATGAGCATGCTGGCAAAAATCAACAGTACAATCACCACCAATAGAAGCCCTAGGATGAGCTTGATGGGCCGCAAAATGGCGCCCAGCTTGATCCAAATCTTCCAGAAAATATTTTGATCTTTACCTGAGGATTCCTCGGCGAGCCGCTGGTGACGGCGAAGAGTACGCTCCTCACGAACAAGCGCGTCCAGTTCTCTCTGATCTTTGGAGGACAGGCCATCGGGATTGCCCTGTGCGCGGCCCTCCAGCTGTCGCTGCCTCTCGAGATTGCTTTCCAATTGAGAGGCGGTGGATTCGCTCAACGCCGGCGCCGAGACACTGGGCGCCGACTTGATTAGGGTGAGAGGCAGAAGCGCGAGCCCGGCGGCCGTGTAGAAGCAGTAGATGACGGTGCCGATCGTGATCAAGAGGCCGAGCGCAAACGTCAAGGCGCGTTCGCCGTGGTTTTCGGCCAGCAATTTCTTGAAAAAATCGAGGTCGAAATGAGCTCCCTCTCTGTGGCGAGCGACCGGGACGAAGAAGCCCACGAGGAACAGCGCAACGCAGAGGAAGACGAAGGCGAGAGTGTATTTGAAAGCAGCCCAGAATCGGGAGCCGAATGTTTGCGTGCCCTCCTCTTGGGCGACTTCATCATATTCTTCGTACCAGAAATAGGTGAAAGGAATGACGAGCAGGCACAGAAGCGCATCGAGCGAGTAGAGGAGATAGTAGACGATGCGCAGGGTAAAGGTGATATTGTCGACCTTCTCTTGGGTGGCCCAATCCTTCCGTTGGCCCAACTTTGAGCTTGTGGTACTGGAGACCAGCGCAACGTCGACCGGGAGCAGGAGGACGGTTGCCAGGAGACATGTGATGGTAAAAATGCAGACCGTGGTGACGAACATGGACCGTTCGCGATGTGTCTGGTAGAGGTAGACGAAGAGGCTGGCGATGGAGAGGAGAAGGACCACGGCGATGGCGTAGACGACCCAGATCAAGGTGATTTGGATATAACCGGCCGCTGCCAGGGTCGTGTAACCGGGCTCATCGAGCCCAGTCATTGTCAAGGGAGAGAGCTGCATGGTGATGTCCTGACGACCTGGGGGTTGGTTATGGCTTTGTGGGATCGCACGGCGTCATCTCAGACCAGCTGGATGGGATGCGAAGAAGATGCAGTGAAATGATCAAGGTAAGAGGAGTGGGCAGTAGTGTATGTAGTGCGGGAGTCAGGCGCACTGGTGACCTCAGAGCGGGAGGAGTCGTCGCAGTGTCGCAGTGTCACAGCGTAACGCAGCTTTAAAGATGTGCAGCTCTTCGTCGTCATAGCTGCCCACTTGGTGTTTGTCTTTCTGAATTCGGACTAGTGGCATATCGGCGGCTGGTCACGTGCTATGCCAAAATATCAAACCCGTGTCGTGACTTTGTCCTCTTCGTGTCTCCAGCCGCTCTACAAGACATGTCCATCTCGACACTTTTCCTTCAGCCCGTCGCTCTTCGGTGATGGGACTATCAAATACAGCACTAGGACAAGCTCATGGAGATGCCAGGAAGTGAATAGGGCTGCTCTTGGCACTCACCAACCACCTGTCACCTCCTGTTCTCCGGTCCCAAATCCCAGGATGCAGTGCTACTCCGAGCTTATCCCGCCTTCGGGCGTCACCCACGCCCTCTCACTCTCGTTCACCTCATCTAACGCCGATAACCTGATCGTTGCGCGGACGTCTCTGCTCCAGGTCTTCCAGTGCAAGCAGGTCAACGCCGGCCAGGACACGAGACTGGTCTTGGTCGCCGAATACAGCTTGGCAGGGACAGTCACCTCCTTAGGCAAGGTCAAGATCGCCGACTCGAAAAGTGGAGGGGATGTCGTCCTCATTGCTCTTCGCGACGCTAAGCTGAGCCTGGTCGAATGGGACCCCGAGTTGCATAGCATATCTACTCTGTCAATACATTTCTACGAGCATCATGATCTCCAGTCTGCTCCGTGGCAACCTGATCTCGCCGATTGCGTCAGCCATCTGACGATTGACCCATCAAGTAGATGCGCCGCCTTCAATTTCGGCGTCAGTAATCTTGCTATCATTCCTTTCCACCAGGCCGCAGACGATCTCGCTATTGACGATTCGGACGACCTGGACGGGGAGGACAAGGAAAAACCTCTGCAAACAGAACAAGCCGATGGGCAGACTCACGGGCCCCCAACGCCCTACAGCCCATCATTTGTTCTGCCTCTGACGGTTCTTGATCCTGGGTTACTCCATCCTATTGATATTGCTTTCCTCCATGAGTATCGCGACCCTACCATCGGGATACTGTACTCAACCGCTGCTCGCTCTTCGAACATGAGCCCAGAACGGCGGGATGTCACAATATACGCCGTCTACGCCCTGGATCTCGACCAAAAGGCGTCAACCACTTTGCAATCGGTCCAAAAGCTTCCCAATGACCTCTATCGGATCATTGCTCTTCCTTTACCCATTGGCGGCGCCTTACTGGTTGGTGGCAACGAGCTGATTCATGTCGATCAAGGAGGCAAATCGAGCGCTATGGCCGTCAACGAATTGGCGAGGGAGGCGTCTTCGTTTACCATGGCTGACCATTCCGAGGCTCGTCTAAAGCTGGAAGGCTGTCAGGTCGAGCACTTGGGAAATGCAAACGGTGACATGCTCATCATTTTGAAGACGGGAGAACTTGCCGTCCTGACGTTCCGGATGGACGGTCGTTCCGTCTCTGGGATGACGCTTCGTCGACTCGGAGAGGCACAAGCACACAGTCTGTTCATGGGGGCAGCGTCGTGCACGGCAAATCTCGGACCCAACCGCCTCTTCGTCGGCAGCGAAGAAGCCGACTCAGTCTTGCTGGCGACGGAGAAGAAGGCGCCCCAATTGAAGCGAATCCGTTCCCGAGCGCAAATACAGGCCAGTGAAGCCGAACCGCAGGACGACGACGATGAAGAAGATGGTTATGACGATGACGATGATCTCTATGCCGACATGATCGACGGTCACAACGGCCATGTGTCAAGCGACCTGGGCGGCCAGCACTTTCGACCGGTCGATCGACTTGCATGTTTAGCCCCGGTCAATGATCTTGCCTTCGGCACGCTGGGCAAACGAAAACGTGATGATGCCGATGAACCGGGCCGGCCTGATTCACGACAGCGCGAACTCGTCTGTGCGTATGGGCGAGGCAATGTCGGTGGGGTCGCCTTTATCCGTCGACAGCTGGAGCCGGAGGTCACGCGCCGAATAAAGTACGACGATGCCACTGGGATCTGGTGCTTCAGTTCCAACGGAAAAAATCAGAAGGAGAGGGAAAAGAATGTGGGGTCTCGATTCGATAACCTCGTTTTGGTCTCGCAGATGACTCCAGACGGCGCCGGGAAATCGACCTTGTTTTCACTGGCTGCCGACGGCCTGGTCCCGATCGCCGACACGGACTTTGATGAGTCGGCTGGATCTACCATATCTGTCTTCAAGCTGAGCTTGACAAACCACACGGTCCAAGTGCTCGCCACAGAAGTTCGTGTATACGATGCCAACTTCGGTCTCTCCCAGATATTCCCTGTCGTGGATGAGGAAGAAGGGCAGATGGCGCGGGCAGTCAGCGCCACTTTTGCCGAACCATATCTCGTCCTCGTCAAAGACGACGGAAACGTGACGTTACTCCAAGCCGATAGAGCCGGTGAATTGGATGAAGTTGAAGTTTCCTCATCCCTCAAAGACAAGTCTGTCCGGTCAGCGTCGCTCTATCAGGACACTAGCGATTTCTTCCAGACATCGAGATTCTATCAAGGTGCTGGAGGAGCGTCACGGGGGCCGGTCCTCGCATTGTTGACCGCTGAAGGGCACTTTTGTCTACTGTCACTGCCAAACACCGCCCTTGAAGTATTTCAATGTGACAGCCTACCTTTCCTTCCCACATATCTCATGCAAGGCCTCCAATTGCCAAAACATTGGAGGAACAAGGACGACCTCGCGGAAACGCTCCTCGTCGACCTGGGGGATGCCATCGATTCCCGGCCGTACTTGATCGCCCGCAACACGACGGGAGACGTCATTCTTTATGAGCCTTTTGCAGATCCGGAGGTGGTGGGGAGCTTCAAGTTCAAGAAAGTCTCCACCAAGCCCGCCGAAGCACCTGAAGATCAAGTTGAGGAAGAAGGTGAAGAGACGTCGTTCCGGCAGATGCAAGTCATCCAGGATCTGGCTGGCCGCGCTTCTGTCTTCATCCCGGGATTGCAGCCAATGTTGATTCTGCGCGAAGCGTCCACGATGCCTCGCGTTTACGAGTTAGGTTTGCAAAATATCAAATCGATGAGCACCGCCCACCTTGATAACTGCCACAACGGCTTTGTGTTCATTGACGAATCAGACGGCCTCTGTTTCTCTCGGCTTCCTCCATCATTGATGCTGGGGCACTCCGACTGGGTCATCAAGCGCGTCCCGCTCGGACAGAATATCACCTTTGTCAGCTACTGTGCCCCCACGAACTCCTACGTCCTTGCCGCAAACCACACCGTAGACTTCCAACTTCCCCAAGACGATGAATGGCATCCTGCATGGCAAGACGAAGCCACGACCTTCTTCCCAACCACCCTGCAATCTACCCTTCAGCTCGTGAGCTCGACAAGCCATCGAGTCATAAGCCAGCATCACTTCGACGTCTCTGAACGGATACTTTCCCTGAAGACGCTCAGCCTCGAAGTTTCCGAGGAGACCCACGAACGCAAAGACCTGATCGTCGTGGGTACGGGTCTGGTGAAGGGCGAAGATGTCACCACGCGAGGAAATTTGTATATCTTCGACGTGGTTGACGTCGTTCCCGAGCCAGATGTGCCCGAAACGGATCTCAAACTCAAGCTCATAACACGAGAAGATTTGCGTGGTGCGGTCTCTGCGATCACGGGTGTGGGGTCTCAGGGATTCCTTTTGGCTGCGCAAGGCCAGAAGAGCATGGTCCGAGGGTTGAAGGAGGACATGTCCATCCTGCCTGTCGCGTTCTTGGATATGCGATACTACGTGCACGTCGCCAAGGAGCTTCCAGGTACCGGTCTATGCATTTTGGGAGACGCCTTTTCGGGGCTATGGTTGGTGGGATACTCGGAGGAACCGTACAAGCTGCAGATTCTGGGTCGTGACCTAGAAAACCCGGCTGTGCTCGCCGCCGAGTTCTTGCCAGACGGGAAACAACTATACCTCATCTCCTCGGATGAGGATGGCACGTTGAGGGTGTTGCAGTATGACCCGGAAAACCCAAAGACGGAGCGAGGAACCAAGTTATTGTTGAGAAGCACATTTCACACCGGAGCGGTGCCGACAACCATGACACTGATTCCGCCATCGTCATCCAATACATCCACCAGCAGCAACATGGACTCTGACGAGATGGACGTCGAGGATGACAACGTCGCCAATCCCCAGCGGCATCCTTCTCAGATCCTCATCGCCACGCAATCCGGCTCGCTCGCGCTCTTCACTCCTCTCCGCGAGAGCACGTACCGCCGTCTCTCCACGCTGCAGAACACCATCATCGCCACCCTCGACCACCAGCCTGCGAGCCTCAACCCACGGGCGTATCGCCAGGTGGAAACTGACGGCATCGGTGGTCGCGGCGTGATCGACGGAGACCTGGTGAGGAGGTGGTGGGAGACGAGCACACAGCAACGCGTCAACAGTGCTGACAAGGTCGGCGGGAGTATCTGGGAGCTCCGAGGCGACCTGGCCATGATCGATGGCGGTAACATTGGGCTTTAGCCAGTTAGCCAGGCAGGCAAGCAGCCAACGTGGACTTTGGGATGGTGCATGGTGAGGGATGAAGGGACATGAGATGACATGGACGGAGGTGATTTCTAATCGCAACCGTGAGTCTTTTGTGTGCTCTATCTACGCTGCTTTGCAGGAATGGGGAGATGAATTGATTGTTTAAGTTCTATAGAATGCCCGAAGGAGGCGGCTATCTATCTCTTTGGGATGCCCAGGCACGTGATGCATTCTCACGTGCCATGGTGAGCCCACAACAACCTCCCTGCTTGCTTTCCTCGTTCTTCCATGCTTCCTCTTGGTGCATTCATTGTACACTGGATATATATATATATCCCAAAGCACCACGGCGAGATTTATCATTTCCACCCACACGAGCATAAGGGAGAAATTGCGGTACCTTGTCACTCCCCTTCCATCTGTTCTCTTGGCATTCGGATTCACCAACCGAGTGAGGTTCATCTTCTACTCTACCAGAGGAAGATTCAAGTTGAACCAGAGAGGCAAGGCCATTGAGACATAAAAAGGACATTCTCTGCCACACAATGGTGATCATGTGCTCGACCATGATTCTCCATACACACACACATCACCCAACTCTCGTCCCACCAAAATCTGCGTGATGGCCAAGGATGCTTTCTCCTCCCTCGGACGTGGTGTGATGATCTGGTTATGTACCCAACAGGCAAATGTACCAACCATTAACCAAGGCACAACGTACGTGCATACAGTATGTCATGGCGTGTCGTTACCTAGGTTTGTTTGTTTTGTTTCTATTTCCTGCTCTTCTGTCCCCCTCTCTCCCTTTTCTGCTCACTCACTCTCTCCATCTCGACCGAGTGCGTGCGGGCGTACGTCTTCACCATTCGCGCCTGATGTACTTCTAGCTAGCCTCTGTTACTCATCCTCCCGCTGCTACAAGCTTATTGTGGTCGACTCACCATCATGGTGCTCGGCATGAACAACACCCCGTCCGCCAGCACGCGGCGCGTCGGGGTCATGACCAGCGGAGGAGACTCACAGGGCATGAACGGCATGGTCAGGGCGGTGGTCCGCATGTCGATCCACATGGGATGCGAGGCCTACGCCATTCTAGAAGGCTACCAGGGCCTCGTGCGAGGCGGGGACGCCATCAAGCGCATGTACTGGGACGACGTCCGCGGCTACCTCTCACTCGGGGGCACCTTGATCGGCACGAAACGTTGCCGCGAGTTCTTTGAAAGGGCCGGCCGGCTCAAAGCTGCGAAGAACTTGATCGTCAAGGGTATCTCAGGACTCATCATCTGCGGCGGTGACGGCAGTCTGACCGGCGCCGACAAGTTCAGATCTGAATGGCCAAGCTTGCTGGACGAGCTGGTCCAGACAAGACAGCTCACACCCACCCAAGTCGAGCCGTACCGACACCTCAACATCTGCGGCCTCGTCGGGTCCATCGACAACGACTTCTCCGGCACCGACGCCACGATCGGCTGCTACTCGTCGCTCGACCGGATCTGCGAGATGGTGGACGCCGTCTTCGACACCGCGGCGTCGCACATGCGCGGCTTTGTCATCGAGGTCATGGGCCGGAACTGCGGCTGGCTGGCGCTGATGGCCTCGATCGCCACGGGCGCCGACTACGTCTTCATCCCGGAGAAGCCACCGGGCCCGGACTGGGTGGAGGAGATGTGCGAGATCGTGACCAGCCACCGCACGCTGGGCAAGCGCCGCACCATCATCATCATCTCCGAGGGCGCCCAGGACGTCGAGCTCAACCGCATCACGGCCGACCAGGTCGTGGCGGTCCTGACCGAAAAACTCGACCTCGACACCCGCAAGACCGTGCTGGGTCACATCCAGCGCGGCGGCCTCCCGTCCTACTACGACCGCTGGCTCGCGACCCTGCAGGGCGTCGAGGCCGTCAAGGCGCTGCTCGAAGCCACGCCCGACACGCCGTCGCCGGTGATCACGGTGTGCGAGAACAAGATCTTGCGGTCCGACCTGCAGGAGTGCGTCCGTCTGACAAAATCCGCGGCGGCGGCGGTCAAAGCGAAAGATTGGGCCAAGGCCATGAAGCTGCGCGACGTCGAGTTCAAGGACTACTTTGACTACTACAAACTCACCACGTCCACGACCGAAGAGAGGCCGCGTCTGCGACTGCCCAAGGAAAAGCACATGCGGATCGCCATTATCCATATCGGTGCCCCTGCGGCTGGCATGAACCCGGCGACTCGAGCCGCCGTGGCTTACTGCCTTTCTCGCGGCCACACGCCCGTGGCGATACACAATGGGTTCCCTGGATTGCAGAGGCACCACGACGACAAACCGATCGGCTCAGTGCGAGAACTCAGCTGGATCGATGTCGATGACTGGGTGAACCAGGGCGGGTCAGAGCTGGGCACTAACCGCAGTCTGCCGAGCGAAGATCTCGCGACGACGGCCTATTGCTTCGACCTGTATAAATTCGACGCCCTCTTCTTGATTGGAGGCTTCGAGGCCTTTACGTCGGCCAGCCAGATCAGGAACAACCGCGACCGGTATCCTTCTTTCCGCATTCCCCTCCTCGTCCTGCCAGCCACCATCTCCAACAACGTCCCGGGGACCGAGTACTCGCTGGGGAGCGACACGTGCCTCAATACACTAGTCGGGTTCTGCGATGTGATCCGGCAATCGGCGTCGGCCTCCAGGAGAAGAGTCTTCGTCGTCGAGACGCAGGGTGGCAAGTCTGGCTATCTGGCGACCATGACGGGTCTCGCCGTCGGTGCTCTGGCCGTTTACACGCCAGAAGACGGCATCAACATGCACATGCTGTTGCGAGATATCGACTTTATCCGCGAAGACTTCCAGGACGACAAGGGCGCGTCGAGGGCTGGAAAGATCATCCTCCGCAATGAGCGCGCCAGTCAGACGTACACCACGCAAATGATCGCCGACGTGATCAACGTCGAGGCGCGGGGCAGATTCGACGCCCGCGCTGCAGTCCCCGCCCACTATCAGCAGGGCATGAAGCCGTCGCCCATTGACCGCATCCGATCGTTCAAGATGGCCATCAAGTGCATGCAATTCCTGGAAGACAACTTCGCTGGCAAAAGCCAGGAGGAAATCGACGCGAACCCGCTGAACGCGGCCATCATTGGCATCCAGGGGTCGGAGGCCGTCTTCAGCCCCATGGGCAGCGACCTCGGCTTGGAAGCCACGCAGACGGACTGGGGATTGCGTCGGCAGATCAACGAATATTGGCGGCCCGTCAAGGGGATCGTGGACATCCTCAGTGGCCGGCCCAACGACATGGATGGGGATGCCGAGTATCTCAACCTGCCTGGAACTCCAGGAGAAGCATTCAACTCCGTAGCCCCGAGTCGTGCAATCAGTCCTTTGCCACAAACTCTTTAGGCTGCTTCAGTGGGGGGAGTTCTCGACGGTAGCGAACGCTTGTGCTCTATAGGCCCTTGGCTCGTCAGAATGGGCATTTGTGCCAGGGTTGTTGGGGTCGATAGCACATGCGTGATCTTCATCATTGTTGAGTGTTTTCAAGGGGTAAAAGGGCCATGGCGACCGGCTCGGAGTTGATTGAGACCCAAGGTTAAGCGTATGGTGACGGGAGGAAAAACCGCGACGACAATGGCAGGCACAAGAAATAAAGAATGAGAAAAAAAAAGGGTTGCTCTCGATAACTCTGGAGATGCATTCACCTGGATGGTGCTGGCAGAGCAGGCAGACTAAATACAGGACTCGTTTCCAATGTTGCAAACTGGACAGTGCTTGTGCAATTGCGAAAACCGGGTATTCGTGTTCTGATGCTATTCAGCCGAGAAGCACGTTCCGCCATGCTCGTATAAGCCGGCAGAAAGGTGATAGATCGACAGCCCCGATCTGCTGGCGCAAGGTGAAGAGACCACTATGGACACACGGTTATGACAAGCACCATTGAACAGCACCCATTCCGGTAGCGAGAGCTGGCTCTTCAGGGGAAGCGAAACGACATCTCACAATTCAGGTGTAGAAAGACGGCCCACGACGATCTCCACAGGCAGCCCGTGATGTTCAAGGGGGACTATCACCTCTTAACAAGTGTTCATCTGGCTCAAAAGGGACGTCCTGCGCCGCAAAATCCATCATACTTGCGCTCGCATTGTCATTTTCATACAACCGGGCCTGTGTTCGGCTTTTCTTGCCTTTCTTCTTCTTGGTGTTACTAACGGCTTGGGGTATCTCGTCGTCCAACATTCCAGCAGGACCTGTGGCCAAAGACGTGCTTCCCGAGAAAACCGTCGTTTCTCGATAGATGATAGAACCGTCGTCTATAGCTTGCTGGCTGGTGATGTTCTGTGCATATGAGAGAACCTCATCACCAAACACCCACTTCTGCTGGGATGTTGAACCCGGAGTTTCGGCGAGAGGAGCCTGACTAGACATCGCAGCCGAATTGACTCCAAGCCTGGTCTTCACCCCATCTGGGAAGAGGGAGATGGTGACTCTGCGGTCTGAGTGGAAAGGCTGATACGGCGCATTGGTCTCAATTTCGGCCGAAGCGAGCGGATGCGGCGTTCTCAAACCTCCATCTCTGGCAGGCCGTACTTTCCAGAAGCTGAGCAGTGCAGAGCTCTCGCTGCCTTCCTCTCGTGCTTCGTCTGAGCGGTGCCTCGAGGGGAGGCCCGCAGCGAGTTCCGCAGCTTTGGGGAGCTTGATCGCGACAGCCCTTCGTGCATCGAATACAGATACCGTCTCCATCTGCCGGTTCCCCCTAGGCTTTGTCATACGTACGTAGTAGTTCTTGATATTGCTTTCGTCGAGAATGGATAATACTGACTTCGCGTCCCGCCGCAGCCAACAGAATATTCCCACTCGGGCTGGGATCTTCAGGTGGAGCCTACTCTGATTCGCGTGTCGTATACTGGTAACAGTCTCAGTAGCGGCACCAAGAGACTTGCTAAGTCCTGCCGCCACTGCCCTGCTACCACTTTTAATAGTGGTGGTGGAGGCATACCCGATTCCAGACGGAGCCATCCCTGCCATCCCACTGCTGACACTTGGTGCCCTACCACGTAGGCTTGCAAGCATCGGTTGTGTTCGACCTGCAATGCTCATAGCCGAGGCAAAGAAACCTCCCGCCGGCGCAGGATCATGGTCTGCCTTGATCTGTGAAGGATCAATTGGCGCAGAAGTCGGCCGATCTTTCTTGGTAGGAGGTGGCGGCCACTGGAAAGCAGCTTTAGGCAGATCGAACAGGTGAATTGTCCGATTCTTCGTCAAAATAGCAAACCGGCAGCCTGTTGGGCCGTCCCAGGCAACGTCGACAATTGAAGAAGGACTCAGACGTTCGTAGCGGGCAATTTGCCGCACGCGTCCGCTTTCGGCAGCATTTGGGGTTGTCGAAGTTCTGACATATTTCATCTGCATCAGATCCCAGATATACTGCACGTCACCCTTGCGGTTCGCTGTCAAAATACCGAGCCCGGTTGGCGTGAATGACAGAAAGCTACAGCCTCCAGGTGGCTGGAAGGTGATCATTGGACTGGACTCGGAGATGGCTTTCCGACCTTGGTTGTCTTGGAGCAGCTTCAAGTCGATTATCGTGACGAGATCGGGGTCCTTAGACGAGCCTTGTTGGTCGATAGCGTGAGTAGGCGGAAACTGTGCCAGACCGAGCTGAGGAGAGTAGACTGGAGGGCTGGAGGAGGGAGCAGCTGGCATGTTGGGGCTGGCCGTGTCTCTTTTCCAGTAACTCTGCCAGGTCTGCATGCCTTTCTCACTAATCCATTTCGCGCCCCGTACCGCCTCTTGAGCGAACCCTTTGGCCACCTTGCTGAGGAATGTGTCCACGTCGGGAGACTCCACGTCGCAGTTAGGTAGAGGCCGCGATGGAGCCGTTCCTGCTGTAATATTGGAATTCTTGTTGTGAACCACGTAATCACCCAAGATGGCCCCGATGGACCTCCGCGACGGCGTGCTTGCAGGACAGAAAGCAAGCCATCGTCCATTAAGACTGAGAATCGGCAGATTCTGGCAGTCCGGGCCACGACCGAGGTCAGCAGGTGAAACATCTGCATCCGACCCCGGTCCATGAGAGGAGGAGTCTCTTCTTTGAAACTGGGGTTGTATCGTTGTCCAGTACTTGCCCAAGCATTCAAAGACTGCAGAGTCCTTGCCTTGCCGAATGGAGAAAACTAAAGTCTCTCCGCTGTCACCAGACGCCACAACCAGAAAATTGCCGCCCGAATAGAGTTTCAGGTTCGCTGCTTGATTAATGCTTGAAGGCACCCCGGGAAAGGTCTCCGTGGCTGTTTGCACTCTCAGTAGCTCGGCGACCTGGTAGCCCTTGCTCAACGAAAATACCACCACCTTCGTCTCGAAAGGTTTACGGTGAGTGCCTGGGAAGAGACGGTCTTCTTGGGCCGGAGAAACAGATCGGGATTCACCTGGTCCAAAGATGGTGAGTGCAACTAGGGGTCTGTAGTCCGCGAAGGGTGCTTCACCAGAATTCCATGTGAGCAATGCGGCATCAAGGATGGTACCCTGCACGCCGCTGAGGGCTCCCACATGTTCTGCTTTCTCGCCATTGTAGCTAACAACATGCAGTTCGCCGTCTACAGCAAGCAAGGCAGCCTCGCGAGACTCGGTCCCTGAACCTGGAAGGCGGGCGAACTTCAGTGGGACGGGTTCTGGTAGAGGCGTATGTGGGGGATTTAAGCCCAAGTCGACATCATGAGCGCCGTAGAAATGTTGTTGAGGGAGATGAGGCGGAGCAGGCGGAGATCCATAGGCCGTCATGCCGTAGCCATAAGGCGAGGTCGAGATTCTCGAATGACTCGGGAGCGGCGGGATAGCACTGCTGTAGCTAACTGGACGGGCCTTCCGCAAGGGAGGAGAAATGGGAGGGCTTCTGCTATTGAAGACGCCTCGGCTACTGAAGCCTGGTTCATAAGGGGGGGAGCCGCTGGTGTTCACGCCAGGAATGGGTTCGATGGGGGGAGTTCTGCCATGGACAGCACTCCGAGCCCAGTTGTCAGCTGGGGGAGTGTGCTCATCGGACACCTTCTGGGAAGCGTTCACATCGTTCAAGATGTCGAACGGACTGATTCGTCTGTTCGAAGGGAATGCCTGGGGCAGTTGACCCAGGATGGAAGGAGGAGGGTTTGAGGAGAGAGGAGGTTGCTGAGATTGGCCCATTGACTCGACAGTTCTTTCGGCATGATCGAGGCTGGACAGCTGTTTGACAGCAGCATTCTTTGTCTTTCGCTTTCCTGCTCTTGAAGCGGGAGGATCTTGATCTACCACGGTTTGGAAGCCTTCTCTTTCTGAATTCCTGGACTCGACGGAGGCTGGCTTGTTGGGTGCTGGCATTCAAGATTTGGGGGTGAGACACCGTGCGAGTCCTTTGGTAACTACTCTTTACGAGCAGTCTGGTCCTATCTGCAAGAAGATAGACCAAGTAGCCCACGGTGCATGTAGGGGCGCTTTGTAGTTGCTCACGACTCAATCGAGGGACTGGCGCGGGGTTGTTCGACGCGTCGGTTGGAGAGAGAATGGATGACGAGTGGTCTCGAGCCGTAGATCAGCTTGCACCAGCAGTTGCGTGTTTGGATCTAAGGAGGGACCGATGGGTTGCGTGCAACGAGGGACTTGAGGGTATCTTGTTCTTTGTCTGGCTCAGAAGAAGGAACGGCGGTAGTCAGAGTCAGTCAGGTGGCATCACTTATATGTACTGAGGTGAGAGCAGCGATGTTCAAGAGGCACTCACTCAGCTTTGAGTCAGGAGGCCTTCCAGGCGAACTCTAGTGACCTGCTTATCGGCAACGGGGCGCTGCGAGGGCGTCTGAATGGTCACTGCACCCCCAAGCCCTCGAGCGCAGTCACCTGCAGCACCGTGCGGGGGAGACATTCTCATGGCCACGGCATGTGGCTGGGCGAGTCACGAGTCACTAAAATAGTAAGGCTGTTCGCAGTTTCAGGCCCGGGCCATGGGGACGTCGTCACATTTCGGTACTCCGTACCACACCTCCTACAGTCCGTTGCAACCAGAAGATCAACTTGTCCTCAACATCCACTAACTTGGTCCATACGGATGGATGTTCTCTTGAGTCACAACGTTTTTGTGGTCAGTACGGGGGGAGGTCCAAGAGGAGGAAAGTCTCATCTTGTTGGATGCTGAACGCCTGACTCACATTCCCAAACTCCTCCAATGCTCTTCGTGTCTCCCCACTTGGGACAACCATAGATGGACGCTCCAAGCAGAGTTCAGACCGCAATAGGGCGCAATGCAGAACAGTCCATGCACAAAGATGCTTGCGCCGAGCCAGGAAAAGAGTTTTGGTAGGCGATTTCCATTGATCCGCGATATTGGTTCCATCGACAAGTTATAGGTACAAGATCCCTCGTCACTTTCCAGGCATGTAAATAACTGCAACCATCACAAAGTCTCGGGTTCTCAGATGATGTTGCATACACCTGATTTGTCACTGGACGGAAGGATAACTGCGTTCACTCGACACTGACTGGTCGTGTTATATGGGAAGGTCTTCCGGTGCAAAATGATTGTCAATCTTCGATGTATTGATGGCAACAAAACCATGATGGCCGTATGGTGGTGTCAGCCTGGTTGTCGCCAACACCGGGCATGTATTGCCATTCTGCCGCCTTCTGGTTTATTTTGACTTCTTGGCCGCGGCGGTTCTAGCCTTTGCCGCCTTCTTTCTGTTGCTTCTGATCATGACCATGGCGAGGAACGTCCCCACGACCGCCGAACCAAGGAGAGTGAGGATGACAGGGATTCGAATTGCCCAGACTCGAGGAGGGAACAGGCTCTGAAGTGGATGGTCGTCGTCCACAAACGGCTGCAACAAAGTTTAGTCGGAGGCCTCGTATCTGTGGAATACATCGTACCATGAACAATGTCCATAATGTGTAATATAAGAACACTGTGGTTGCTACCACGAGCATCGCCATGCCCACAAGTTTGTCCAGCTATTGTATGACAGGGTACAATTAGTATCTTGATTGACCGCGCTATCTGCAGAGTAAGGACATACCATCTCGTCACGATTTCCTTTCTAGTTGTATATTCTGCCCTTGAGAGCTCACACCTTGCAAAAGACGGGTCGGAGAACCACTACTGAAGTGTTTGACACGTAGACAGAATTGAACACGCAGTCGCGTTCTCGGAAAATGTCACACATCTCTGGATGGCCGAAACGGGGATCGGCCCCGGGAGAGTTTTTCCGGTTCCGATTTCTGAAAATCAACTTTTTGTTTGCCTGCCGCTCGTTGCCTTCGCCTCAACTTCGAAACAAGGTATCTTCGCCTTCACCAACAAGGTGACTTCGACGATATGAGGTTAACAGTCCATTAACCACCGATTCCAGTCTTTCATTTCACCAGCATGGCGGACACGATGTTGCTCTCCTCCGCCGTCCGCTTGCCCACCCCTCCTCCAGGTGGTTCCTACTCCCCCGGACCTTCAGCAGCCAGAAAGAGATCCCCTCCCTCTCGGTCGCCTTCTCCTCGACGTCGCCGACCTGCGCCCGCCGAAGACAATGAGGAGCGGAAACCGAAGGGGGCGGGGGCAGGGGCGGAGCGTGAGATGGATGACCGAGAGAGGGAACTGCTTGCGCGGTTCAAGCCTAGAGAATCAGATGAAACGAAGCGGAAGCCAATGACTGCGGAGGAGAAACAAGCAGCCGCAAAAGCCGAGTATGAGAAACTACTTACAATGCGATCGGGCGGCACCTATATACCTCCTGCGAAATTGCGTGCTTTGCAGTCACAGATCACCGACAAGTCGAGCAAGGAGTATCAGCGAATGGCTTGGGAGGCGTTGAAGAAATCAATCAACGGCCTCATCAACAAGGTCAATGTCTCGAACATCAAGCACATAGTCCCGGAACTGTTTGGTGAAAATCTAGTCCGCGGTCGAGGATTGTTCTGTCGGAGCATCATGAAGGCCCAGGCCGCTTCGCTACCTTTCACCCCCATCTATGCGGCGATGGCTGCCATTGTGAATACCAAACTTCCTCAGGTTGGAGAGCTGCTACTCAACCGATTGGTCGTCCAATTTCGCAAGGCCTTCAAGCGCAATGATAAGGCAGTCTGCCTGTCTTCCACCACATTCATCGCCCATCTGTGCAATCAACAAGTGGCGCACGAGACTCTCGCTGCGCAGCTACTTTTATTGCTTCTGCACAAGCCGACCGATGATTCCGTGGAAATCGCGGTTGGATTGACCCGTGAAGTGGGCCAACACTTGGAAGAGATGAGCCCTCCTATCGCATTGGCCGTGTTTGACCAGTTTCGAAGCATTTTACATGAAGCCGACATCGACAAACGAGTTCAATACATGATAGAAGTTCTGTTCCAAGTTAGGAAGGATCGGTACAAAGACAATCCAGCAATTCGGGAGGAACTCGATCTCGTGGAGGAAGAAGACCAAATCACGCACCAAGTGGACCTTGATGATGATATAGATGTTCAAGATTCACTAAACATCTTCAAATACGACCCGCAGTGGGAAGAACACGAAGAGGCGTATAGAAAATTGAAGGCAGAGATTCTAGGAGAAGAGAGTGGCGACGAGGACGATGGGGATGAAAGTGGCTCTGAGGAGAGTTCAGAGGATGAAGAGGCGGAACAAGAACGAGCACTGGAGATCAAGGATCAAACAAACACAGACCTGGTTAACTTACGCAGGACGATCTACCTGACCATCATGTCCAGCCTCGATTTCGAGGAAGCCTGTCACAAGCTGATGAAAGTCCAACTACCGGCTGGTCAGGAATCCGAGCTGCCGTCGATGATTATTGAATGCTGTTCTCAGGAGAAGACATACTCAAAATTCTTTGGCCTTGTTGGGGAAAGGTTCGCCAAACTTAATCGGCTCTGGACGGACTTGTTTGAACAGTCCTTTGCCAAATACTACGACACAATCCATCGGTACGAGACAAATCGGTTACGGAACATTGCTCGGTTCTTTGGACATCTGTTAGCCACCGATGCTATTGGCTGGCACGTGTTTTCGGTGGTGCACCTCAACGAAGAAGAGACTACTTCCAGCAGCCGTATCTTTATCAAGATACTGTTCCAAGATCTGGCCGAAGCCTTGGGTATGCCCGAGCTTCAAAAGAGGATGAAGGATGATATCCTGCGGCCCAGCTTTTCAGGAATTTTCCCGACAGATACACCTCGCAACACACGATTCGCCATCAACTATTTCACATCCATCGGCATGGGCGCCCTCACGGAGGAGATGCGCGAACATCTCAAAAATCTGCCGAAACCGGAGCTGCCTGCCCTTCCAGCGCCAAAGGATGACGTTTCCGACTCGGAAAGCATCAGTTCGTATTCCAGCTATTCGAGCTATACGACGAGTAGGTCATCCACAAGAAGTCCTGCTCGACGGGTGGACAGGAGGTCTCGGTCGTTAACTCCAGATAATCGGTCGACGGGCAAGACTCGCCGTCGCCGTGTTTCCGTTTCTGCGTCGAGATCACCGCCTCCAGCTCGCGAGGCCAAAAGACGGGACAGAAGCTACACCTCGTCGCTCTCGCGCTCTCGCTCACCCCCACGACGTGCGGTGCCGAGACGACGATCATCCTCCTATTCGGTCTCTCGAAGTCCGTCACCAAAACGAGGACGAGACATCGACCCTCCACGGGGGCGAGCACGCACACGTTCTGCATCCTACAGTAGCTACTCTGCCGATTCGCGCTCGCCGCCCCCGCGCCGTCTCCCGGCTCGCCGCCAGGGCAGTTATTCGACGTCACGGTCCAGATCCCGATCCCCACCACCACGCCAAGCCAGTCCTGCTGTACATCCATCTCGTCGACGCAACTTACCACCGGCAAGACCCAAATCCAGATCACGTACACCACCGCGGTTCAGCCGTCGACCAGCGCCAAGAAGGAGCCCAAGCCGCAGTCCGTCGCGTTCACTGTCGCGGTCTCCTCCACCGAAGCGGAAGGCCGACAGATTTTCCCCAAGCAGGAACAGGAACAGGAGTCGGAGTCTGACCCCGCCCCGCCGAAGAGCACCTCCACAAGGAGGAGGAATTCATCTAGCGTCAGCGGGCGATCGGCCTCCAGGTCGAGGTCACCGTTACCTGCACGAGGGATGCAAAGCAAGGGTGGAAAGAGGCGATGGTCACCGAGCCCGAGCCCGAGTCCGAACAGACGAGGCGGCGATGGAAGAGCGAGGGCTGCGGATTTCGACTAGTTCTGTGGGCTAGGTATATCGGGAAAGGATGGAAAGGGCACAAGAACCGAACATGGTGGTTTCTTTGAGTAGGATGAGCATATTTCCGATGCAAATGCAAAGGTCCAGCACTTTAGCCCGGTAGCCAGTCTATGTCTCGTTCTTCCCTCGACAGCAACAGTGAGAGGGATACCGATAGTGACAATGGTTTTCCATATACGTCTAATCCCAGTACTATCTACCCAGGGGGACACCCGGAGACTCACTTTGGGAAGGGGTACGAACGATGAGGTACAGTACCTACTTCCTACCAGGCCGATGAAGCAGGCATTCACACCCTCTAGTGAGGTGAGGTGAGGTGAGGGCTACCAATATCAATACCAATACCAATACCAATGCCATTCATTCATGCATTCATTCCCAGAACCAGTATTCGCGCCTGCCCGCCGATCGCCGCAGTGAGATCGTCTCGTGCCGTATAAGGTCATGTCGTCCCGTCCGCCCATGCCATCCTCTTTTATCATACTATGCCATACGATACGATACCATACCATACCATACCATACCATATTACAGCATGTGTCATGCATGCCATGCTCTGCCACGATGATGAAGATGATCAGGGTGATAGTAGCGAAACAGACAGAACAGCTCCGTCGTCCATGGATACCGTAACATCTCTCTCTCCCCCCCTCCTCTCTCTCTCTTTTTTATCTCCTTTGAGACCTCATCGCCGGCCCCGGCCTCCTCCTCTCCCCCCTCCTCTCTCCTCTCTCCCCCCTCTCTCCCAAACAATAAAGTTAGGTCCGAGCTAGAAGCACACGCATGAGTGTGTATAAAAACATAGGAAAGGAAGGGTGGATGGATGCATATATGATGGATCCCCCCTAAGTACGTGAGTCTTGTAGCGCCCGGGCGGAGGGGGAAGGTGTATAGGATCCGTTGTGTGATTGATTCCCCAACGTGCAAACAAATTATCTGGCCCGTTTGATGCTGAGACCAATATCCGTGGCGCCCATCACTCGCCCCGAACCCACCAATCAACCAATCATACCCAGCTAGCCAGCCAGGTAGCCGTCCGGCGACATCTTCTCCCTTTACTCCCAACGCCTTATGCTTGTCCCGTCGTCGTCGTCGTAGCATTTTCATACCGAGTCGTCGTCATAAGCAAATCGTACATCCCTCAGCCCTCTCCCGCGACCGCCGCCTCTGTACCCGCTCCACCCGTCCGGCCCGCGGACGCCCATGCTCTGGCAGAACTGCTCGTCGCCGGGGGGTCTCTGGTTCTTGGTGTTCCCCGTCAACATGCTCTGCAGGCTCATGCAGACCGACTCGACCGACTGCACGGGCGACCACCCCACCGAGCCCAGCAGGTCGAGACAGATGATGCCGTTGGAGTAGATGTGCGGGTGGATCGGAATGGGACGGCCGGGAAAGGGGGTCGGGGACTGGGACTGGGACTGGGACTGCTGTTGTTGCGGTTTCGCCGGGTCGGTGGCGGAGGGTGATACTTTGATGAAGACGACTTCTGGTGCTTCTGTTGGTCATTTCATTTAATCTCCCGTCTTAGCCATAAACTGTCCACATTCCGTGTACAACAATGAACCCTTCTTTTCTTTCCCCCATCCAAAAGTGAGTGGCACGTACCAATGGGGTATGAGTCTGAGAACAGGAAACTGAGGCGGAACACTTGGTTCATGTAGAGAGGATTGGCGTCGAGGACTTGTATGTCGACCAGCCATTCTCGGAAGTCGTCTGCTTTGACCAGCTCGATGCCTGGAGGGAGTTTTTGTTGTGCCTAAAACGTCGTACCAAAGGTCAGAACTCGCGTCTCGCGGACTGGGAGGCTAGTACAGGCAGGACATCTCGAGGTTTGTCGAGGAGGTTATGACAAGTATGCCGCGGTGTAGTTGGGTTGGGTAGCATGTGGAACTTTACCTTGACCAGTTCCTGCAACGATGGTGGCGGTAATTAGCCAGTGCTCTGAAAGACAAGTCTGGATATGGACTGGGAGTCACCCACCTTCCCCAGTCTCTTCGCCGCGAACATTGTAGCAGGGTAGACCGGGCGGGTCTGGGGGAAAACCTGGGTTCGAGCAGCGCAGGCACTACAGGTGCGGGAACAAGGCTGAACTGGACGAAGCAGCTGAAAGTCTGTGGCTGCGAAACGCAGGTCGAGGCAATAATATGGACGTGTGTGACAGGAGAGATTGGAAGAATGACGGGGAAGATGAGGATACCAGAAGCTCGAAAGTAAGATATAATTCCTCTCAGAGACTCGTAGTTGCCTGTCGTAGGTTGGCAGTGACTGTATCATGAATGTTTCGGTGACAGGACAGTTTTTCGGGGATCGAGTCCTCACCAGCGAGCAATGACATCGCAGCGGCGAATCACCACCAGTCACCAATTATCACCAGGTCACCATTTGGGTGCCATTTTAACCCCCGCAACGAGTCCATTAACAACCCCCACCTTTTTCAGCCCTATTAACACTTTGTCTGGCACTAACCAAGGTCGGTCAATACACTGCTCTCACAATGCTGTATTACCTCGGAAGAAATGACAATGGGTTACTACACCATAAAGTGCCGGGGATTGCATTGAAACAGCGACGATTTTGATTCCACTCCTCGCTCGAACTAATGGAAGCTCCTACATATCTGGGTATAAAAAGTGACACATCTGAATACAGCACCACCACACTAGACAATCTGGAGGACCAGGGCTGGTATGCAACACAATCACAATCACTGCTGCCCTTCGGCGGTAGCCTTGGCCGGCTCCTTTTCTCCGGTCACACTCTCGGACTGAGGAGTAGATGACTCACCCGGTGCGATACCCTGGGTGATCTGAGCATTGATCTGAGTAATCGAGCTTCGTCGCACGGTATTTTCGTCCTGGAACAACGACCACTCGCCAATAAGCTCGTCCGAGAACTGGTCGAGATCCAGACCGATGATTTCGACCTCATCAGTCACTCTCAGGTGCAAGCCGGGGATGTACTTGAGAATAGTGAGCATGATGTAGGAGAGGGTGAAGGACCAGGCGGCAATCGCAGCGATCTCAGCCAGCTGCTTGGCCACCTGGACGCCATGGCCGTCAATGGCACCTTGGGCGATGGTAGCGCCATCGAGAGCTGAGACAGAGGCAGAAGCGAAGATGCCGGTCAGGAATGCCCCGCACATGCCACCGATGCCGTGCAATTTGCTGTGAATGATTGTTAGCGCCAGGTCAACAATAGTAGCAAGTTACGGCGGTACTCACAAGACCTCCAAGCCATCATCAATGTGGAGCCACTTGTTGACGGGCTCGAACAGGTTGACCACAATGGCGGTAATGAAGCCGATGGCAGCTCCACACCAGACAGACACGTAACCAGCAGCGGGTGTGATACCGACCAGACCAGCAATGGCACCCTCGCAAGCGCCAACGACAGAGAATTTGCGGTGCTTGATGTAATCCATCAAGACCCAGCCGGCAACACCCGTGGACGCTGCCAGGTTGGTGTTCCAGACCGCCATCATGGCTCGAATGCTGGCATTCAGAGCAGAACCGCCGTTGAAGCCAAACCACCCGAACCAAATGAGGACGGTTCCGAGGAAAACAATGGTCACATTGTGGGGCTTGTAGACGTGCTTCTCGCCATATCGGCTTCGCTTGCCGAGGACCAGGGCGTAGGCCAAGCCAGCTGTACCACTCGAGATGTGGACGGGGCCACCTCCGGCGAAGTCAAGAGCACCGAAGGTGAACAGCCAGCCGTTGGCATTCCAGGTCCAGTAGGAGATCGGGCAGTAGCACAGGGTGGCCCAGCAGAAGCCGAAGATGATAGACGGAAGGACACGGCCACGTTCGAACGAACCGCCGACCACGATCATAGTCGCGCAGGCACAGAACATCAACTCATAGAAAGCGAACACAATATCGGGGATAACAGCCGAGCCCCAGGACGGTGCAGCCATGACCTGCAATAAGCGTTAGTTTTTTAATTCCTCGGGGAAGTTCTGTAGTCGGTTTCCCGGGTGTTCCTTACATCGATCATTCCAAAGTTCTTCAGGTCGCCAATGAAGGGCCCGCCAGTTCGGGAAAAGGCCAGAGAAAAGCCCCAGAAGGCCCATTGGAAAGAGCACACGGCCATTACTGTCAAGGATTGGAAGACCATAGCCAAGGCAGACTTCCGGCGCGTCATACCACCGTAGAGCAGACCGATACCGGGGACAATGACGAAGACGAGACATCCCATGATCACCTGGTAGACGTAGTGGTACTCGAGGCCGGTGTAAGGCAGGTTGACGTCGATCTCCTGTGGATTGCCGCCATTGGCCATGCTGGAGTTGAACTCCGGCTGGTATTGAGGTTAGCACAGTGCGCTTGGAAGGAGAGTCGAGGACGAGGAACATACGGCCACCGGGACTGTGACTGATGCCATGGTCGTGGACTCAGACAACGCTGGAGGTCGAGTTTCGAGAGGATCACACTGCGGGACAAGAAAGTCTTGATGGAGAGAAGACTTGTGGAGACGACGCAGGACAAGACCTACTATATACCTGGGGCCTGTTCAACGGATATCGGAAGCAGAGTCCATCATGGCGAGCATGCCCGCGGCAAATTTTTCAATGCATGTCCACCTCCACGCTAGATCCCACAGTTCCCAAGGTACCCATAGCTCGTGTGGTCGTCAACACACCCGGTCTGGTACTATGTTTGACCTGGAAGCGAGAAGCACGAGAATTTTTTTTGTTAATTCTGGATCCCTGGGACACGGGAGGCTTGCGGACCTTGACTCGAAGGGGACAGGGCAGCCGACTTGAGAATGGTGGTCCTGAGGCTAAGCCTGGTTGATAGAGAATCATGGGGGGTCGAGATTGGCCAGGAGTAAAAGACGATGTCAATAGCTGGATCAAATGGGTTCGTATGGCCCCCTGAATACGCCCTCGTGGTTGAGTGATGAGGTTGTAAGATTAGCGAGCCTTGCTGGCCTTGCTCTTATCTGTGGAGTCTTGCCAAGACATGTGCCAAGCCTCATATCTCTGCGCCACGGGCCAATGACACGGAGCCGGTCGGGATAAGCAGGACTTGTTGACTGATGTTGAAGCCGCTTCTCATCTATCAACAACTTTCTTCTGTCTTCGCCCTGTGGAGCCCAGAATCCTTGGGCACAGCTTGTGCGTTGCCATGGCCCATGACGGCCCAAACAACAACCGCCAGAGTGCCCCCTTCCAAAGGCTCATCCCGACGACGCCGACGCCGGAGCAGGATCCGCCTCCCCACGGCCGTCCTCCTTCTCTCCTCCCCCCCTCTGCACCAGACACGGCCCGGGAAGTCGAATTTCGCTTGATTCGTGGTACTTCAGTTAATGCACGCCGAGGGTCTTGGTACGTGAACAGACGTTTCTTGGTAAAGAGTCCGTCCTGGAGATTTTGGGGTCGTGTGCCACGAGAACGAATGAGCAATGATGATGATCCCAGTTGGCTTCTGAGACGGCAGAGAATGTCGACCAGTACTTATGCGGTGCGGTGTCTTGGTGTTTGTTGCCAACATGGTTTCACGGCCACTTCATTGGGCTCTGGGCCACTCCTCAGACCCCGAGGAGTGAAAATTTCCCATCTTCACTACCTTTTATCGGCCATGCTCTGTGCTTACGCGAGCCGACAACCTCGACTGAAGCCCTCAGGAATCTCGACGCATGATAAGGATGTCGAATTTCAAAGCCAAACGGGTTGCAGCTGAATTCCTTTTTTTCGTTTATGTCAATAGAAGACATGACCCAGAATGCTTGGCCCCCCTCCAAAATGCTTGACTGGATTCCTGTCGATCGACGTTTTGCGGAGCTCGACACACGTTCCAGGCCTGGTGACAAGATTTCTTCGGGCCGCTGGTACCACATAACTGACGCCTTGGTATCTTACAGGGTCATGGGTACGGCGAGTTGGTGTGGGAGAACTTGACCCGCCATGTCTCAACCCTCCACAGGTCGATGAGCAGACAACCGAATGCCCAGCCTTTTGGCGAGCGGAGAACGTTCTACGGTCAGAGCATTTCCGTGAGGTCTACCTGCGTCCCACACCTGACACGCCTGGAATGGCTGTTGCGTGCCCGTCTTTGATGACTGGTGGTGGGTACTCGAATTCGTAAATCTAGACTGGGGATGTTGCTGCTCAGCTCAAGCAGGAACAGACTACCCGCGTAGCCACTGATGGTTTGCGGTTGAGCCCCGTTCGCTTGCGCTATCAATCTCATGACAGTTTCAGCCTTCAATTTAGATAATCATTGGCTGCTTGCGCAGAGCAAGGCTCGGAGAAAGCGCGTAGGCTCCAGAAGAAAAAATCACCCTGGCCATTTGAGGAAAGCTAAGAATCTACGGGAGGTGTCTCCTGAAAGTCGACATCGCCTAACTCTTGAAGCCCGCACCTTTTCAGGACGAGCCAAGAGTTTCTGGTGATTGCGGTGTCTTGGAAGAACGACGCATCTGTGCTAGGCTGATAGCCGACCACTACGAGGTACCTGATACTCGATGAAGATACGCAAGAGACCAACGCCGCATCGAGGATCGCTCAACGCCACGTCCTGGCGCCTACGACGTGTGTGGCGCTCCCAATTATCCGCCCATTCTCGCCTACCGGTAAGGCCAGCAGAAACGAACCGGATTCGCCCTGCCCTCGCGGTGCTTGCGTGGACCGGCCTCATTAAATGATGCTGACCGCCGCTTCAGCCCTTTGGATGTTCCGAGTTGCGACTTGCAGCACTGCGGAGTAGAAATCATTGAAGAGAAATTTGGTCATTAATATTAAACTTAGGAGTCGACTCAAGGGACTGCTCCAGGTCTAGTCTACTTGTATATTCGAGGTTTCTGCCTCATCTCGCCTGAGATTAGCTACCCGACCTGACGGACTGACACTACGGCGTTATGCCTGTCCGACATATCAGCGATGGTAACGTGTTCGCTCGTCGGCTAACCCACAGGAGCGCGACTTATACACGAGGGCAGTTTGCCTTCTCGATATTCTGGTCACATTGACCCTTGGTCTGGCTTATTTCGTTCGTGCTTCGCATTATTCATGTTTGATTCGTGACAACTGGTCGTTCGCCGCAAAGAAGGGGACCAGCAAAGAAGTGGTTATGGAGTAGGGAGACAGCGACCTCAAATACCGTGTCTCTCCGCTGTTTCCTCCTCAAGCCTTGGTCTCCGGTTTCTTTGCGGCTTGCTTCTTGCTATATTTTCCCCAGCCCAGGGCCCGTGGACTATGCACCCAGTCGTGTCAGCAATCTCACCACCCTATGACAACTCGCGAAAGAAAATGCTTACATTCGAGACGACCACGAGTCTTCATAGACCTCCCTCTCGACTTCGGCCTTGTCGACAAGACGTTGCAGTGACGTTGGCAGACGGGGCTTTTTGAGGAACGATCTCTTAGCGCCTTGCTCTTTGCTGGGCTTCTTTGGCTGGTTGGCTTGGGTTGAAGCCTGTGGGCCAGGACTGTGACAAAATCCTATGTGTCAGCATGGCGAAGGCGATCGTCAGGGGCCAGACCACTTACATTCGACTCCAGGTGTCTTCGTACAGCTCTCTCTCCTTCTCTGCCTCGTCCACGAGATCTTGCAGTGGTGCTGGCAGGCTGGAAATCGACTCAGACCTACGAGGGCCCGACGAGTTCTCTGAGTTGACGGGATTCATAAGGATGTGCTTGGTATTGTCTTTCTGCGAAGACCTATGTCTTTGTTTGGTTGGATGGTTGGATTGTTGTTTGTCTTTTGAATGGTTTGACGTGCTTCCGCTTTCGAAACGAGTGGCCAAAATCCCACGATCCTGGTGCCATCTTTATACATATGCACACGCTCCCCACGGGGGTGTTGTTTCGCAAGGGTCCAGCAATCGCTCGCATTAATTCCCGCGTCCACGCAGCCAATCAGCGCCGGCAACGCGTTGGCGGCACAAACTCGGCGTCAGTGTCGGCGTCGTCATCCGACGTCAACACCTGCCACCACCATCATCGTGCAGCGGAAATCGAGATGCGAGAATCGTCCGACAATCCTCCGCCAGTCGTTCAGTACACTGTACAGTAGGCGGCGGCCGCGAAGGCCGATCACACGTGCCCCGAACCCTTACTCATCAAGCGGTCACCGGGTTCATCTCCTCATCCGGGCATTGTACACATACACCCAACAGGACAGACAGAACGCTTACTTTGGTATTATGAATTTGTCCCGCTTCAGAGAGGAGTCAGGTGGCAGAGGAAACCACGATCCCCTCTCTGGCCTCCATGGCATCACCTGACGAGTGCGAGTATGTGCTTGTGTAAGTATTGGCGTCGAGAACGACGCATGTATCGTTTCGTCGTCGTCGTCGTCGTCTGCTGGATTTACTCTATTCACTTCACTGAGGTCATAGCTTAACTAATCCGTACTAATCGCCCGCACCTTGCTGCGCAGGATTGGTCCCCAGAAAGACTTCATGGGTCGTATCAGTCAATACACCAAACAGTGAACTCCGGGGCGGTGTACACTTCACAATACGGGCCTATATCGATGAATCCCCCCAGCCGGTCGAAAACCAGATCGAGAACTTGATGCTCATCGACATACCATCCCGAGCCGAGCCACTCCTCCAGCTCAAGGTCGAGAAGGCCGCTTTTTCGCGCATAGTCTTCGAACGAGGCCCGAAGTTCGTCGTGTCCCTTGTTCGAGGCGCGAAAAGCTCCGTCCGAGAGCCTCCCACTGAGGTTATCGCAAAAGACCCTGTACTTCTCTGAGATGGCGGTTTTGAGCTTAGACTCGACACTCACCACGGCGTGCGTGTGCGCTTTGACGTGCAGGACCGGGGCCCCGACCTCGGATCGAGGATAGGTCACCAGCAGAGCGCCACCGACAGGGCGCACCTCAACATCGGTCTTCGTCACAAAGGACCTGTGTGTTGGGGCTGAGTCGAGGATGATGGCGGGCTCGTCATCGCAAACGTCCATCGAAGCAGGGTCCTGATGCCACCTCGACATCTCCCTGTGTCTTCCCAATGTAATCCGGTACCAGTATCCGCCCACATCGCGCAGAACAAAGGACTGGAAGTCGTTCCGGAACCGACGAAAGATGGTGCTCTTTGCGCTCTCGCTGAAAAGCCCGCGGGTTATGCTGCTGGCCTTGAACAATATCCCGGGGAGCTTCACCTCGAGTCCGCGTGGCGTGGCCTTCGCATCATGTCGCGCAGTGAGATTTTCAGGGCCGCCCCACGGGTGCTTCAATTTGAGATCGCCCATGAGGGACATCGGAGCCCAGCGGTAGCCGGAATTCGATAATTTCCGTGTCGCGGGAGAGAACGCAAGGCCGGCTGGGATATTGGAAACGAGACTCCAGAGAACCTGCATCTTCTGCTCGTTCGGCGCCTCGACGACCTTGCGCGTGTCCACACCCATGACGGTGCTCAGGCAGATGGGCTCGTCGAATCCCCAAGTCGTGGTCCGCGTTTGCAGCGCGAGGCGCAGTTGTGGGATCTGCCGCAGTGTAGTCTCAGCACGCACTTTGGACATGGGTGTAGTGACTGCCATGTGCTCGATGATGTGGTTGACGACGTGAATTGACGGGAGGCAAGGAATTCGAGTCGCGGTGTTCTTCCATCTCTCGATGACGCCGGCAATCTCAACGGCGTAGTCTTTGAACTGCACCCAGACGCGTCGGCCGAGGCGCGCCTCAGACAGCGTCCACAGCCGTCGATTCCAGTCAGAGGACAGAATCCGGGCAAGAACCTCGATCGGGGCCATCGACCGGGCGTGAAAACTGCGCAGGTAGGAGTCGATGACGAGCACGTGCGTGGCATACCGGAAGGCATCGCTCAGAAACGCCACTCCTTTTCTTCGTAGCTCGAGCGGCTCGCGCGGGAGACAGAGCGTGTCGATCCAGAACGGCATGTCGTCGTGCACGCCTGGGGAAGAGAGTGCGTTTGCGCAGTTCTGGAGGTCGCGCAGCACGCATTGCGGGAGAGTGTTTGCTGAAAGGTTGCCCTTGCCGTCTGCCCAGACGTGAGAGATGGCGACGTATGCACAATCTTCCCGTCGCTCTCGAAGTGTTACGTGCACTTTGGTAGAACCCACAGGGTGCTTAGCAACGGTGACCAGTGAAACTATGCCCTTCTCTGTAGCAGCTGCTAAGGTATCTGCCGGTGGGCCTTGAAAGGGACAACGGCAAAGCTTGTCGTCGTGCAATGTCTCGTAGCGCTGTAAATCCACCTGCAGCAGAGTGCACAGTTCCGGCGTACAGTCCAGATGCTCCCCGTGCGCTTTTGGAGGCGCCAAGTTCGCAAAATACCACAGCATGCCGAGCGACCGGGGGTCCCGAAGCTGTAATCCGACAATCCTGTTGGGACACCAACCTCGTGCTTCCATGAGGTCGAGGAGCGGATCGGCGGGGGAATTGGGGAGTAGAAGAGACCACCAGTTCTGTGTCGCTGGAGGTTGCAGACCTTTGTGCCGACATACCTCTGTCAGAGCTTGATCAACGTACTCCCCCAGCACGGCTATGCCTAGGCAGACCAGCATCAATTCACGGGGCATCACCCGCGACTCGGCGGCCGCCGTGTTGACGATGATCTCACGGACGTGGAAGAGCGCACCATAGCGATGGTCGACCCAGGGTTGCATCTGTGCGGGGTCTGACGACCAGCTCTCTTCGACGACCAGCTTGCTCCACGAGCCGACGATGTCGGCGAGGCAGGACGAATCGACCCGCACGTTGCCACTGGTGGTTTCTTTGCGAAACTGCGTCGAATCCACGAGTTGGCCGGTCACTTCTGACAGGAATCCAAAGTAGAGCCAGGTCTGGAGGAAGGAGGCGATCTGGGTGCCATTGGACACTCTCTCGCCGTGGTGTTCGAACGTCACATGCCCGGGTTCACTCTTGTAAGTCCATCCCTTGCGGTCAGGGTAGAATTTGAGGCCCTTGCCGTCGTATTCGTCGTGGCTGAGGAACGGGATGTAGAAAGATTCGATATCAATGACGGGGTCGTTGGGTCGAGGTAAGTGGTCCATGGTTCCGAATCCTGGAGCGGTATCAGTCAGGGCGGTACATAATTACTAATGTACATAGTAGGACGTCACGGTGGGGAAAAGAAAGGAAGTGAAGGTGGAGAGGGCGCGATATACAATAGTGGTGGAGAAAACCCTTCTTGTACTGTGTGTATCGAGCCTCGTCGTCCATCCGTTGTTCCCGGCCCCCATCACTACATGTGACGGGGGACTCGCTGTCTCCCTGCTCTTTTCTATTCTGTGCGATGCTATGCAGAAATGGGGAAAAGCCACCTCAATGGACTTCCACCGGGTACTCCAAGTTTCAGGACCCTGAGGCTGTTGAGGTGGTGAAACGAAGATGTCTACGAGACGAGGTACTCGAGTGCATATTCGAAAGGGATGAAATGTGTCCACTTTCCGAGTCATGCATCAAGAAGGGAGGGCATCTAATGATCATCTCGTGCAATCATGGAGGCCTGTTTCCAATCTACATTCTATACAGGGAGTTGCCTGAGGGAAATGTTATCATCCAAGGGACAACGACATCTTGCAGACCCTTCCCTCCGGTCTGCTCGGGTCGCATACTGACTGACTGTACTCGAAACCGAGCCTGGTGTCATTTCCGTATCGAACTACCAATGAGAAACCCTCCTCGTTCTCCACGGACCACAGTCCGCTGCTGTGGCCATCGCGATGACCGGGACTTCACGATGATCGCTTGAATGCCGTTGAGGAGGACATCGTCGTCTTGCTCGCTGTCGCGGAAGGCCTCCTCGACGACTTTCTTGTGCTGCGGGCTGCGCACCACAAAGGACGCCGGGAAGGGCAGCGGTCGAGAATCGAAGCCCTGGCAGAAGGCGAACGTCCACAGCAGGCGGGCGATGTTAATGAACAGCGAGTTCGTGGCGATGTGCTGGCCCGTGCAGACGCGTCTTCGAAACCCAAACGCGTGCAGCGGCAGGTCCGGGTTCTCGAGCCAGCGCCCCGGGGGCGGAACTCCATCGCGTTCGCGGACGTGTCGTCGTCCAGGCGGATGGCCCAGTGGTTGCCGATGACGCCCACGTCGTACGACAGGTCGAGGGTCGACATTGCTTTGCCTTCGTCCCTCTCTAGCACCTGCTTGGACCAGTTCCACGACTTGGTCTTCTGTGCCACGCGCAGGTTGTCCTGGTTCGTATTGGACTCGAACTGGTAAAAGACCTCGCCGACGCGCTTCCACGCCGCGAGCCACATGGGCAGGTAGTTTCCGAGGGTCAGTAATGCTGCCCCTTGGCGTCTGGCATCCGTCGTCTTTCAGCGGGGTCGAAGGAATCATCGACTTTGACACATAAACGCCGGTGGGATGCTGGGGACCAAGTTCGAGGCATGTCTGTGGAGGAGGGAAGAGTTGCCCACATTGTGACGACGCATAGGTCCCAGAAACGCCTCAAGAAGTGTGAAGGCGGATGCCGGGAGTATGTAAAGGTCCGACAACAGCTGACTTTTGATGCTGACTCTGGCTCTGACTCCGGCTCTGACTGTGACTCGGGTTGAGGCCTGACACACCCATCTATATTGCAGTAAGTGTATATCGATGCCGGGGTTGCTGCCCGCCGGGGCCACCAGCCACGGTCTCTATATCTCTCGTCTATACCAAGGGGTATATAGTTCTGGGCAAGCACCCATCCGTCCTCGCCCTGAGCAGTCAGCACAAAGATTATTTATATGTTTCTTGCTTGTGCTGCCATCCATCCATCCATCCCAAAATAAAAAACAAAAGAGAGAATCTGTCAATTCAAAGTCCACATCAACATCATGGTCGCGACACGCTCACCAATCTACACGCTCCACCACAACCACTTCTCCATCTGCTCCATCATGGTGCGCTACACGGTGGCCCTGCGTGGCGCTCCCCAAGACGCGGCCTCGGAGGTGCCCATCCAGGAGCAGTCGGTCGACATCTTCCACGAGGAGCAGCTCAGCGAACATTTCCTGACCAACATCAATCCCAAAGGGCAGGTAAGTCAGACAGAGAGAGGAGAGGAGAGAGAGAATAGAACATAGGCCATTCCTTGGTTCCCAAAAGGAGACAACAAACTGGAAGAGTTCTGAAACCCTTCATCCAGGTCCCCGTCCTCACCTCCCCGGCCCTCCCCGCCCCGATCGCCGACAGCATGGACATCACGCGGTTCCTGGCGCAGCGGTATCCGACACTGATCCCGGCGGCGCACGCGGAGGAGATCCACGCGCGGCTGGACGCCCTGCACGCGCTCAACTACTTCTCGCTGTCGTTCCCGGGCCGCGACCACGTCGCCCAAGGCTTCAAGGCCGCCGTGCAGAAGCGGCTGGATGACCCGACCATCTCCCCGACGTACCGGGACGCCTTGAACTATAAGATGAGCATGTGAGTCTACCCCCTCCTTCTGCACATGAATCGACACGACACGACACGGCTTCTCACTCGGCTCGGAACATCGATCTGTCCGTCTGTCCGTCTCTCTATCCTATCTCTCTATCCAGGCATGCATATAATGTAATATTTTGATAAGTGATCACTCATTGACACACGCGTGCTGACTGATCCTCCCCCTGTCGTCTTGTCGGCCGGTACAGCCTCGAACGCGACAAGATCGGGGGCCTGAAGCCCGGGCAGCCAGAGCTGATGAGCGAGCGCGCTCACAACCTGCTGCGCGAGTACGAAGACATCTTACCGAAAACAGAGGCCGGGGGCCCGTGGCTATTCGGTCTGACCCAGCCCAGCGCCCTGGACGCCCACCTGGTCGTCTTTGTGGCCCGCATGCGCGACGTCGGGCGCGCCGCCATCGTTCCCCCGGTCGTCGGCGACTTTGTCGATCGCGCCATGGCGCGGCCGGAGTGGGTGGCTATCATGGAGGGGCGGAAGACCATGGTTGGGAATTAGGGGTAACGACATGCATGTTCAACGATGGAACGAGGTCGGGTCTCAGATGAGGGAAGAGCTGGTCTAGTGGTCGCTCATGATGCTCATGCCGGTCGTTAATTGATGAACCCTTTTCCCCCCCTTTGATTCAATAGATCTATATATCTATCTAACCACCTATCGATCAAATCAACGAAGGCCGAGGCTGTTGCTGCTTCTCCAGGATCCTGACATGTATCCATGTGAATGGACGTCACAGATACGTCCCATGCACCGTCTTCCTCCCCTGCATGACGTCCCTCCACGCGCCCTGCCCGTCCTCGCACGCCCGCGCGGCATACGTCCGCACCCGGTCCGGCAGCATGCCCACCCGTCCGACGTCGACCAGCCGGGCGGCGAACGGCACGACGTGGGCGTCCAGGGCGGTCGGATCGTGCGTGCCAAAGATCCAGAGTGGCGCGCAGGAGGAGGAGGAGGACTCACGATGGCCGGTCTCGGACTCGGCGAGCAGGCTCTCGATCTGCGACAGGAACGCGGCCGCCTTGGATTCTTGCGCCGCGACGGCGTCGGGGGTCAATGCCGGTGCGCGTGTCGCGCGGACACTCCATGTCAGTCAGTCAGTCTCACTGATTTTTGGGGCTTGTCGATTCTCTCTCTCTCTCCCGACTTACACCTCGAGCTTAAACTCCAGCGCCTTGCGCCATCGCGTCGAGATCTCCGGGTCGGCGAGGCGCGTCAGCACAGCATTCTCCATGTCGGACGCGCGCTGGGGCTTGCGCGTGTAGGTCAGCGAGAAGTAGTTGATGTCGTGCAGTTCGGCGAGGAGGCGTCGGATCGGTTCTGCCAGGTGCGGCGGACACAGGCTGGGAAACCGGCCGGCCAGGAAGTATGTGATGTCGACGCTCTCGGTGAGGATCTGGGATGTCTTGGGCCCGGAGAGGACGGGGACCTGGATGATTGATTCCATGTGTTGGTGTCGGTTGAGTAGAGTGAGGCACCTTGCCACGTACCGTGCCTCGCGGGTTCACTTCACACAGGTAGTACTCGGTCAACTGTCCCCCCTGCTGGATGTTGACCGGTGTCTCCTCGATGTTCAACGGGTCACCATCACCCTGAAGACGGCGACACAGGGCGATGGTGTAGCGGACCATGATCGAGCAGATCGAATAGTCGTTGTAGAACAGGGTGTAGAGTTCGTCCTCCATTTTTCTGTTTTGAATTTGCTTCTAATAGAACAAGACTCGATGCAAAGCAGTTCTTCAGTATAGAAGAAAAACTGTGCTCTGGAGACAGACAATGTTATACTCTGTAGAACGTATGTATCTCCATACAATAGAAATGTGGGACCCCCCCATTGATTATTGTGTATTACATCCACCGTCTTTCCGACAATACTTCGGCCTTTCGAAGAGTCCGAGCTTTGAAATGCTGGTTGGTTCCCCTTTATTCCTGACTCCATGATTCCTCTATCTTCTCTTCCTCCGGGGGGATATCGGACCGCCCAAGCGAACAGCCAGCCTATGTAGCGCTTGGTGCTGATTCTTGGTCCTGAACGCCCGTCTCCAGACGAGTGGTCCTTGCCCCGGATTTGTGGAGGTGGTAGCGAGGTGTCTAGCACGGGAGTACGTCGGCTGTCCAGACAATCCAGCCTGTGCTGAGACTGGAGACTCTCGGTCGAGTACGAACGACCTCCCCCACCGGGCCTGGAAGCGAAAGAGCGAGAGAGCGAGATTCGTACAGCTGACGAGACGAGAAGGTCCCAGACTCAGCTTCTCTCTTTCCACGAGATTAAGAATAAGGGCCAATCTATATAAACAAATGGGTTTGTTTGTGGTATTCAGCCAGCCAGCCACCAATCCTTCGATCCTTCTGCAGGCGTGCAGTGCATCATGGAGTCGCCGTCCGTCACCAAGGCCCTGCTTGACGTGTTCTTGGGCCATTTCCGGAGTGTTTTGCTTGTCGCTGTTCTGGTGAATGAATACAATCCATCCCTGGACAACTTCAATGTCGGATGCGGCACGAGGCTGTGACTGACTGAACTGACCAACAACACTGGTGACCAGATCTCATATATCGCATACTCCCTCCTCCGCGATCCCCTCCGGCATGTCCCTGGCCCCCTCCTCGCCCGCCACCTGCCCGGCTGGCTCGCTTACCATGCCTTCCGGGACCAGACCGAAAGTGCCATCCTCGCCGCCCACAGACGGTACGGCGACGTGGTGCGCGTCGGCCCCCGCACCGTGCTGGCCGGCAGCGCCGACGCCGTGCGCCGCGTGCTGGGCTACGGCGACAACCACCTGGACAAGTCGCCCGACTACGAGGCGCTGGTGGTGCACACGCCCAGCATCTTCAGCGAGATCGACCGCACGGCACACGCCCGGAAGCGCCGCATCGCCGCCCACGCCTACAGCATGCAGAGCCTGACCAAGATGGAGGACGTGGTCGCCGCGAACCTGGCCGTGTTCCTGCGCCAGATGGACGCTTGTGCCGCCAGGGCCCAGCCCATGGACGCCGCCATGTGGTTCAAGTTCTACGCGTTCGATGTCATCGGCGACCTCGCTTTCGGGAGGAGCTTCGGCATGCTCCAGCGCGGCGTGATCGACGACTTTGTCAAGTGCATCTCGGCCGGCGTCGAGTTTACGTTCGTGGTGAGCCTCATCGGGAACAGCTCTTACTGCCGGGAACGCTGAGTCCTTTCTCCCATCTAGAGGTTCCTCCTCCCGTCGTTCTTGAGGCCGCTGTGCCACCTCCTGGTGGACTACCTCCCCTTCTCCCTGTTCCGCGAGCTCAAGAGCGGCTTTGCGTACGTGAAAAAGGCAGGTATTGTTCTTCGGTCACCAGAAGCGTCCATGCACGTCAATTCCACCACTAACAGCCTTGTTCTCGTGGAAGGAAACAACCACACTTGTCCAAGACAGATGGATCAAACGCGACAGCGGTGTCCAGCGCGGCGACATCCTGGGCGCCCTCATGGAAGCCCGCGACCCGGCCACCAACGAGCGGCTGGAGTTTGCCGAGCTGGCCACGAATGCGTCGACCAACATGTGAGTAATAGCTTCATGAGCAGTCGAGATTGGTCAAAAAAGGAAAAAAAAGAACAGCCTGACAAGACGTAGCATTGCCGGCTCCGACACCGTCACCATCTCGCTGACCGCCATCGTCTACCATCTCCTCAAGAACCCTGACCGGACGGCCACCCTGACCGCGGAGGTTCGGGGAGACAGTTCGTCAGGCGACACGCCGTTGTTCAAGGACATCCAGAGACTGCCGTACCTGGACGCCTGCATCAAGGAAGGCATGCGTCTCACCTCGCCCTTTGCGGGACCGTTGCCACGCCTCTCCCCACCGGGCGGACTCGATATCGGAGACACACACATCCCGCACGGCACGGTGGTCAACGTCATGCAGTGCCAGGTGCACAAGGACGGGCGCATCTTCCACGATCCGGAGTCGTTCATGCCCGAGCGCTGGCTCGACGGCGACCGGGGCAAGGAGTTGGACAAGTACTTCCTCGGGGTAAGTGGATCGATCTAGATCTATCTCCATCAAATACCTTATACACCTTATTCCCTTATTGCGTGACAGATGTTCCAGCTGGCCCCTTTTTTCGTATTTTTTATGTACTGACCGACCCCGCCCCTTCGGTGGCTGGCCATGATCCATACATAGTTCAGCACCGGCCCTCGCTCGTGCATCGGGAAGAACATCGCGCTGCTCGAGATGAAGCTGTTGCTGTATTGTTTCTTCCGGCGCTACGACCTGTCCCTCGTGGACCCGGGCGTGGAGCTGCGCTGCCGTCGATATCTCGTCACCAAGCCGCTGAGTGCGGTGCTGGTCCGGGTCGAAAGAGCGGACGGTACAGGGATGGCCTCGACGACGAGCCCGAGAGAGAGGCTGGAGAGACCGGGAGAGGTATCCATCAAGATACATAGATAGAATTGGTTCCCAACATGAATGATAGCAGGAAACGCGGCAGGGAAGGACTGCCAAGGTGAGTAGTACGGTATTTGTTTTATTTTATTTTTTTTTGATTTTTTTTTAGAAGACTAATACTGGCTGGTCACGACTAGAAGCGAAGCGTACAGTACAGGATATGGAAGAGCACAGTTAGTTGTCGATAGGTTGGCGAAGCTGACTTGTTTTATTTTGGGGGGGGATACATATATTGTAATGTGACTGACAGGCTTGCCAAGCCAATGTAATGACCGTCACGCTAGTCTTTGGCCGAAGGCCTTCGGACTAGCGTCGGTAGGACCCTGTAAATTGCTCGAAGGTATATAGTCAGACGGTCCCCAGGACCTAGTAGAATTCACCATGTTCCTCCATTGAGTCACAGTAATGGGAAAGTCAGGTCACGTGCCTATACATTGTACAGGGAGGCAATGGTGGCTCCTGATAGGACGGATGGAGTGGAGAGCTTTTTTTCTTTTCTTTCAGTGGTATTTTACATAGGCAGTAGTACACAGACATAGACTGACAATCAAGCATTCCAATCTGTCTTGTTTTGGTGGTGTTGTGGTGTGTTATACGTGTCCCTACCGCCGCAGAGAGAGGCATCGCCTCTGGCTATGAAGCCTCGCCCCAGTTCAATATTTTTGCTAGGGTGCTGTACTAGGCCCAGCTCATGCAATAAAGGATCTGTGGCTGAGGAGCCTAACTCTGTAGGCTATACAGGAAGCAGCTCTGACATTAATATATTAGAGACTTAGTAAGAGTAGGCGCTATATAAAAGTATAGCGTCACACTCTTTCCTTCCTTCCTTCCCTGTTCTCCCTTCGTTCAGTCTCTCGTTTTATAGGAAATTATATTCTTAGAACCTTTTCCATATCATATGTGCCCTGCCGTCACAAATGCGTCGGTCCACGGCGAGGTCGGTCAGCTATTCTGATGTAGTCTACTATACTATAGAATAGCTATTTACTAGATAAATGACGCTGTCCTGGCCTATCTAGAGCTACACCGCCATATACGTCTATAGCGGTGTGCTGTTGTTGTGGCCTCGGCAGAACTGTGGAATTTTTTTTTTTTTGGATTTTTGCTCTCTACTGTACCACGTGTGGAAAGCATTTTCATTCTTCGGTAAGCGAGCGGCTTCCACCTTGTTCCGTTGGCCGCATGGAGCCACGTAGACAGACTCTACACTAGGAACTGGCAACGCTCACAAGTGTATCGGTTGCAAGCTAAGACCCCCAACAACGACCTGTGGACTTCGAACCAAGCCGGACTCAATCTACGAGGGCCGCGTGTAAGGGCATTCGGCTTTTGCCATGGGCCAATAGCGAGTCCGCTGCGGATCAGATAAGATCAAATTTTTCATCTGATGCCCGCCTGCCTACAAGATGCTGTCGACGCCTGGTCTGCCCTCTCCCTGCGGTCTCTGTTATCCCCACCTCACAGCATTCCGCGAGCTATCAGCTTGGCCGATAGAAAGCTTGTCGCCCTTTATTCGGTCTCCGCCTCCCTGGTCTGAACTCTTTAGACGTGCGACTATTCAAGATGCTACCTCACCATGCGACCTGGTTTGCATTGCTGCCCCCTCCACCCAAGGGGAAATTGCTTGAAGCGAGCAAGTCATTCCCCGCCGGTCTCGGAGTTTTACGGTTGGTATATGCTGTCCCTGTGTATATAATGGTGAAATGATCCGGCCCCTGGCCTGATTGAACTTTTTATCTTATCAATCTGGTTTATCAATCTGTGTTGTGACGTCCCCCCTACGTCCACCCACCATTCCAATACTTGAACTTTGATATGAAACCTCTCGCTGGTAAGCTGGAGGTTCCTGGCTACTTGGCAGCCCTGGGCGGTAAGCCTTCCGAGCCACAGTCAGACGTGCTCGCCGACCATGGAGCCACCTCTGACCATTCCCTCAAAAAGGATGTCCGCAGCAACACCACCTCGTCGCTCGCTGATACATCCGACGATGAGTCCGTCGAGAAGATCGATACCAATGCCGAACATGGTGTACAGGCGGTGCAGGCCATGACCTATGCATGGTCGAAAACGGAAATCATCTTCCTGTATATTATGTGAGTCCAGATCTCACCCTAGTGCTTTGATCGGATCCTGTGTACTGATGCCGCTCAGCATCTGGCTCATTTCGTTTCTCCTCGCATTCTCAAACGGCATCATCAACACTTTGACTCCCTACGTGACGAGCTCCTTTCAAGAACACTCGCTTACCGCCCTTACGAGCGTCATCTCATCCCTGGTTGCCGGTATCTGGAAGCTCCCATATGCCAAAATCATGAACGTGTGGGGCAGACCACATGCATTTGCAATAAGCGTGGCCTTCATGACCATGGGCTTGATCATGATGGCCGGCTGCAAAAATGTCCAGACCTACTGTGCGGCTCAGGTCTTTTACTGGATGGGCTACAATGGCATCGACTTTAGCATTACCGTGTGCATTGCCGATACTTCCAAACTGAAGAATCGAGGCTTCATGATCGGCTATTCTTCTTCGCCATTCCTCATCACTACTTGGGTCTACGGATATGCGGCCGACAGCGTGATCAACGGCATGGGTTATCACTGGGGCTTCGGTATCTTCTGCATCCTCGTCCCCATCGTCATGGCTCCCTTCGGAATCATGCACTGGATTGCGCAGGAAAAGGCGCGCAAGGCTGGCCTCATCCCTCCACGGGCCACAGGCAACATGACTCTGGCTCAGAAGACCCGCCACTACCTCAAGGAGTTCGATGTCATCGGTCTCCTCATCCTCGCCACTGGTCTGGCGCTCTTCCTGTTGGCCTTCAACATCTATTCCTACCAACCGGATACGTGGCGATCTCCCTTGATCATCTGCTTCCTCATCTTTGGCGGCTTGCTCGTCATCGCCTTCGCCGTCTGGGAAGCCAAATTCGCTCCCATCACCTTTGTCCCTTGGGAGCTGCTAAAGAATCGCACGGTCATCTTCACCTACACCATGGCGGCTTCCCTGTACACTGCTTGGTATATTTGGGACAACTACTTTTATTCGCTCCTCATCGTCCTCTTCAACCAGACCGTCGTTCATGCAACCTACATCAGCAACATCTACACCATGGGCAGTTGCTTCATTTGTCTGGTCTACGGACTTTGCCTGCGCTACATCAGCGGCCGCCTGAAACTTTACTCTCTCTTCTGGGGTGTCCCACTCACCATCCTCGGTGTCGGTTTGATGATCAAGTTCCGCCAACCCGACGTCAACATCGGATACATCGTCATGTGTCAGATCTTCGTCGCCTTCGGTGGCGGTGTGTTGGTAACCTCCGAGCAGACGACGCTGATGGCCGTGTCCAAGCAGCGCGACTTTCCCGCCCTCTTGGCCTGCGAGAGCATGGTCATCGCCATTGGCTCCGCTATCGGTTCGACCATCGCAGGAGCCATGTGGACCGGCATCTTCCCGAAGAAACTGCTCAAGTATCTTCCGGCCAGCGCGCAAGGAAACTTCGCCAACATCTACGGCGACTTGACCGTCCAAGCCAGCTATCCTCTGGGCAGCCCGACCAGAGACGCCATCAACAGGAGCTACGCGGAGACTCAGCGATACATGCTCATCGCCGCCACCAGTCTCTACACCATCACCCTTGTGAGCGTCGGGCTCTGGCAAGATGTGGATGTCCGCACGATGAAGCAACGGACGGTTGGTCTGTTGTAGACCGAACAAGACTTCTCGTGTCGGTCGCGGATCGCAGCCGGGTCGTTGACCGCGACGTCGCACGACTGCAGAAGAGTGAGTGTTAGGATTGGGATATTCCCATCTTCATGACATGCGCAGGATGCCGGGTGAGATGTATATTTTGATATAATCAGTGATTCAAAAACCTAGGTAGGATGTATAGCTTAGTGAAGGATCCCGAAATGGCACCAAGATGACAGGTCTTTGCAACGAACTAAAGCGCCCGTAACACCCGTCGAACCTTTATCCTTTCTGGATCTGGGCGAGCCACGCTCACTCGGTAAAGACAAATAGGGGTTGTTGCTCAACTTTACGAATAGTAACGGAGGAAGAACACGAACCTGCACCAATGGCTTCCAGATCTTGCTGACCGCACGATGTTGATCATTCGGATTTCGTCGAGAACGTCCCTGATGTTAGTCCATGGGTTGGGAATGCGTTTAAAACAACTCGCGTATCCGATTTTCATGCTTGCAACACTAGTAGTGACTCGAGGGCGCATATTTCCAGGATTCGTTGGAGATAATGACAGCGCACTTCACAGGAAATATGTATTTTCATATACAATCCTCGACTCCGTCCCCATCAATAAGTGCTGCATAAGCTATGCCGGCTTCGATCTTCCTTAAGACAACAACAAATGGTTGAAGCGTCCGAAGTTGAGTTCCGGTGAATCCTTCTCGTCGAAAAACATTGTATCTTGCGGTGTTGTTTGTTGCGTTCACGTGAGTGAAGTCTGTACTGCAATTTTCCTGCTCACTCACCCGACCATCGACAAACCACTTATTCAACAGCTTTCCCGAACGGTGTTACAGTACCAAAATTTGTCTACATCTTGTATATGATGAGGCTCGTTTGGAAAAGTATACATTGGTAGGATACGAGAGACAATCAAACAATGTTTCTGACTGGTCTACGCAGGACGCGGTGTCCCTACTGGTGATGTGGCCATCAAACTCGAGCACCAGTGAACACTATTCGATTACACCTTCGCCCCCGCTCCTTGGATGACTTAGCATTCCTCGAGTGTTCTGGTATGGCATTTAGGTCATTGTTTGCCCGCGGATATATGCGACCTGCAGTACAGTACATGTCCTACCTTCGTGGATTGTGTGTCCAAACTTATAGAGGAACTTGTTCGATTCCCTCGTCGCAAAGGTTTCAAGTATGACAAATGTGTCGATTGACAACATGTCCCGGAAGATGGCCCTTCCGAAGATGTGCAGCACCAAAAGCAAGGTACATGGGGGCTAAGCTGATTGATGCCCGCGCTGTGCAACTATAGTCGAGGCCCGAAGGGGACCTCTGAGCCCGAACTGGCTTCTGTGGATTGGCATCAGGCAGCGCTCCCTGTGGCTCGCCCAGTGCTTGGGCGCTCTCCCCCAGGGTCTGCCGTGGCTCCCTTGACGTTCTCCCGTGCTCGACCAGGCGCCTTCGATGCTCCGTCACGTGCGCGATTAAAGCGGCCTCGCTCCCTTTCCTGAACGAAAACAGTAATGGACGAAGCACAGTTCGGGGCGTATATAATGTATATATATAGTTAGTTATAGTTATACGTATGTATTTCTCTGAGGAAAAAAAGCCCCAGCAATATACAGACGGAGTATGAATCAAATCAGCTACACATGTAAATGCCATTGACGGCGGAATGAATCTTGGATATCTTTCATTCACATCCAGATCCTCGTCACAGTCACCACCACGTTATGATGCGCTCTCTTCCTTCTTCTCATCCTTCCCCCCCTCCTCATACGTCAGGTCCAACCCCTCCAGCTGCCCCTTGGCCCGCCAGTCCCTCAACAGGTTCAAAAACGCGGGCGCCCCGCCGCCGTAGCTGGCATTCTTGGCCGCGGACGGGTTCGGCGTGCCCTCGTTGTTGTAGTAGCCCGGGGTGCAGCCGGACAGGAACTCGGCGCGCAGCTTGGCCATCTCCAGGATGGTGTTGATCCAGTCCTCCTCGGCCGCCGCGGTGGGCTCGACCGTGCGCACGCCGCGTCGCTGGCACTCGGCGATCACGTACGCCAGGTGCTCGGCCTGCTCGCCCGTGACGTGGAGGAAGTTGGGCGACAGCGCCGCCTGCACGATCTGCACCCAGAAGCAGTTGGGGAAGTCGCGCGTCGTCCAGCCATGCAGCGTGCGCGACCCATCCTTCCAGCAGTCGGTGATGGTCTTGCCGCCGCGCCCGACCACCTCCATGTTGGACCGGTGGCTCCACTCCGTCGCGAGCTCGAAGCCCGTCGCGTAGATGAGAGTGTCCAGCTCGTACAGCTGGCCGTTGGCCACAACCCCCGTCTCCGTGATGGCTTCGACGCCCTTACCCGCCGTGTCGATCAGGTGCACGTTGGGCCGGTTGAATGCGTCCAGGTATTCGTCGTGGAAGCACGGCCGCTTGCACAGCTGGTTGTACCACGGCTTCAGCGCCGCCGCCGTCACGGGGTCCTTGACCACTTCGTCGCAGCGGGCCCGGACAGATTCCATTTTCTCATAGTCGGCTATTTGGCGCTGTGCGGCCGCCTTGGCCGGATCCGCCGGCTCGTTGCCCACCGTCGGTTGCCAGCGAGCGAGGAGTTTGTGCAGGATGTCGGTCCAGCCGTCCTTGACCAGGTCGACGGGCGCAATCCCGCCATTGACGATGATGTTGAAGTTGTCCATGCGCTCCTTTTGCCAGCCAGGCTTCAGGGAGGCGGCCCACTCAGGGTCAGTAGGCCGGTTACCGCGGACGTCGATCGAGGATGGCGTGCGTTGGAAGACGTACACCTCTTTGGCCCATTTTCCCAAGTGAGGCACGATTTGGACCGCAGTCGCACCGGTACCGATGATGCCGACACGTTTGTCCGCGAGCTTGTGGAGGTTGCCGGTGGTGTCACCGCCAGTGTAGTTGTAGTCCCACCTCGACGAGTGAAAAGAGTGACCTTTGAAGGACTCGATTCCCGGGAGACCAGGGAGCTTGGGTCGATGGAGCGGTCCAGCAGCTGGGATGACATACTTTGCCCGGATTTTATCGCCCCAGTTGGTTTTGGCCGTCCACAACCCGCTCTTCTCATCCCACTCGAGACGGTGCGTCTCCGTCTGGAAAAGCGCTTTGTCGTACAAGCCCCAGCGACGGCCGATCATTTCAGCATGCTTGAGGAGTTCATTGGCCCTGGCGTACTTTTCGGTCGGCATATAATTGAGCTCTTCGAGAAGAGGCATGTAAATATATGATTCAATATCGCATTGAGCACCTGGGTATCGGTTCCAATACCTGTTGATGAGAGTCAGGAATACTCTGCTTCGTAGCGCAATACTGGGGAATCGACGTACCAGGTTCCTCCAAAATCACCTGCTTTCTCAATGATCTTCACATTGGTGACACCAGCCTCGATCAATCGAACGGCGACGAGCTGAGCGCCATACCCACCCCCGATAATGATAACGTCAACTTGCTCCTCGATGGGGTCTCGCTTGAAGCCGGGCTCTACCCATGGGTCCCGGAGGTAATGCGCGAAGGGGCCGCCATGCTCAACCAGCCGATATTGGTTGATACCGCCTTTCTCCTGGCCGTACTTTAGTCGCTTGTCGCGTTCTTCCATATACTTGCGCCTCAGCGCTTCAGGGTCGAAGGGGAGATCATCGGGTTTGGAGGCCAACGAGATGTCTGATTCGAGTGTCGTCTTGGGGGGCTTTGGGCCCAAGAGATCAGAGGGTACAAGAACCTCGACTGAACCCATTGTTTTAGTTGACGTCTGATTTCTGACAGGATTCGTAGACAGGCCCTGGGTTGTGCGGTGAATACAAACGTTCTATTGCTGATACGCCCGTCGCTGTCAATAGTGGCAAGGCAGTCTTCAATCTATCCGCAAGCAGTCAGGTTGTCCGACAGCGATGTAGACAGAGAGGGTCTGTCCTTGGCCAAGTTATATGTGAGCTGACTGCTGACTCTCGGGCCCGACGTGTATTACCGTATCAAGCCGAAGAGCTGTACCTACCACTCCTCAATGTGAAACAATAATAGTGTAGATTTGCAGAATAAACCGCGGAGTATGGGCGGCTATCGTATCGCCCCGCATCTCTCTCTCGGGTCGCAGAGTCCATCCAGCTACCGAGGTCTGCAAAGTGTAAAGGGAATGCGTTGCGAAACGAGCACGCCTTGGGTCCTGCGATGTTGTTCCACAGCCGAACCTGGATGCTGTGGTAACCTCGCATTCGTTACCCAAAACGTCCTGCCTCGGTAGTAGGTTGGATACGAAAACGAGCGTGCAACAAGTCCCAGGTCTCGTGGACCTGCGGGGTCTTGCTTTGCTGGCTATTGCCATGTGATCCTCTCGGGCCCGAACATTTCTCGTAGATTTCGTATAAAAGAGCAAACAAGCAGAGCAGTAGCAGCGAGAGTTAGACCCGACAGGTGCGTTGATACATCGTCCTAAACATAAGCAACATGGCTACCAACGGTGATGCGGCGAGAGCTTCAGCGCCTGTGGCGTATATCACTGGCGGCGCAAGCGGGATGGGGCTTGCTGTGGCCCAAGAGCTATCTTCCAGAGGCTGGAACTTGACGATCGTCGACCTCAACGAGAAGTCGATATCATCCGTGCAAGCCGACTTTGACCCGACAAGGACCATATTCGTCCAGGCCGACGTCACTGACTATCACGCACAGGCGAAGGCCTTTGCTCAGACGTGGGACAAATGGCACCGACTGGATCTCGTGTTTGCGAACGCGGGCATTGGTGATCGAATGAACTTTTTGGCGCCGGCCACTGAGTTTCTGCCAGACCTGCCGGGTGTGCCTGCGAAGCCGAACGAGTTGGTGATCGATGTTTGCCTCAATGCCATGGTCTACAGTGCCTATTTGGCTCTGCATTTCTTCCGGCAGAACCCTTCTAAAGCGGGCAAGATAGTCTTCACGTCTTCCATGTGTGGGTAAGTTACACACATCCTTTGGGCTTGCCGTTTTCCTTCCTGTTAGTCCCAGACCGATACTGACCGACTCTGTGCAGGCTCTATCCAGGAGACAGCATCCCTCTGTACACCGCCGCCAAACACGGGATTGTGGGCCTGACTCGCGCCCTGGCCAAACGGTTGAAAATCCTCGGCGAGCCCATCACAGTGAACTGCATCTGCCCCGGACTTGTCGACACGGGCCTGACGCCGGTACTGATGGAAGTTGCTCCGCCTGAGTTCGTGACACCCAAGTCGACCATTGTGCGCGCGGTCATGGGCTTTGTCGACGACGACACTCTGTCGGGCGAGGCGGCGGAGTGCAGCGTCGACAAGATTCACTATAGGAAACAGCCTGAATGGGGAGACGCGGGATCAGAGTACATCATGACGAACAAACTGGAGGCGGCGCTGAAGGAGCGAGGCATCCGGACATAGTGATGAGTGACGGTTCTGATAAAGGTCAACAAGCATTTCGACCAGCTTCACCGCCTCATCTGCCTTATTTTCGGACTGACGTCATGGGCCCCGCGACGCGTCCAGTGCGATACAATACGCGACACGCGTGTTTACCACTATTGAGTATTTCGCTATCAAAGTGTTCATTCACAGCTAGGCCAGATGCTGCTCGAAATACTTCGTCCAGTGTAGATGTGACAGTATACCAAGAAGTCCAACGCAGCCCGAGCCTCTGTGTGACCGACCAGAGGCAGTTCGTCGTCCTTCCAACTCAGAGAAACTGACTCGGGCATCGAGTTCCCACCTCAGATTGGCTTGTTAGTGCCTTTCTTTCTTCGGCAATGCATGTCCCATTCGGCAGCTCATCAGTGGGCCTAGTGAGCCTTCAACTACTTTACCTAGGTTATGTCGCCATTTACCGACTTAGGCTTTGAACTCCCTTGGCGTGGGTACACTCAGATAAAGCTTACTACGAATCCCCATCATTTATCAGACGCCCACAACACTCAGACAACGCTTACTATACATGCCGGCCCCCCATTCAACCAACCCGCATTGCCATTCGCTGGCCTGATCAGCTTTGCGAATGCCACCAGATGCCAGTGTGTCGCTTAATGGTTGCTCCTGAAGGGTCAGACGTGGTTAAACAGGTTTGCCAGACACCGTCTCGCCCAAAAGGACAGAAAAAGGCCAAGCTGTCCGACGAGTGGCAAGATACCGAGGTCGTGGTCCCGTCCATCCTGGTCATCTACGGTGGGTTGGAGAGGAGGGATCGATGTCTCATCCCAGAGTATTGATCATCCATCCATGCTCCCCTCGCAACCGGGTGAAGTGTTTGTCAGATATCTGTTAGTATCGATTTATCGTTATAAATCAGACACAGCCATGCAATAGCCAAGAGGGGAAGGGAGACAAAGTCGCAAAATGCCTCGCAAAGACCAAGGGCCAAAATCCTGGCTTACATATAATAGCTAGCCAGCAGCTCAGCCTCGCCCCAGACCGTTCCTTGATGATGACCACATATATGCTAAGCAGATACAGACGGAATCAGCTCCCCACTATTGCAGCATTCGCAGAGAGCCTTCAAGACCGATATGCCGCCTTATAGAGCCATATGCTTGCTTGCTTGCTCGCTTGCTCGCTTGCTCGACCGCCCAACGCACGCGACCGGAGCTTCTCGCCCGACAAATAGCTGAGCCAGACTGCAAGCACATGTGATCGGCATGTAGGCAGTTTCCCGGGAGGCCGTTGTTGAGGTTGCTGCCGGTTCCGGTTTCATGAGCACACACGCATCATCCGAACCCTCGATCCCGCCAAATGTTGACCGCTTGCAGCAATTCCCCCACACACTTGGGTTCCCCCATGCCCAGCCCGCCTTATGAGGTGGGACACGCGGGTTGCGCGTCAGAGGTATATTTGGGTTTGTGGGGAGGGCTGTGTGATGAAGAGTTGCATGTGTATCGGTGGTAAGGCTGTACTGTCCTGTTCTGTACTGTGCTGGGGATGTTTAAATAGGGCGTGTAATGGCATGGCTTGAATTTACAGACTCTCAGGGGAGGCGGTTGGAAAAAATAGAGAAAATGGACTGAAGTCCATAATACTTCTCATCCCATCATACCATACATCCTCTGCATCTGGTCTGATAACAATGCATCGCTTTGGTGTCCACAATGGATTTCTTTCCCAGCTTCTCCTACCTGCTCGCAGCCTTGCTCGCCGCGTACTGCCTGCACTGCATCCGGATCGCATTCCGGCCAGGCCTCCGAAAGCTGCCGGGTCCCTGGTCCGCGCGCTTCTCCCGTCTGTATCGCCTGTCGCTGGTCGCCGGCAGTGATGGTCCCAGGCGATATCGGGATGTCCATGAGGCGTACGGCCCGATGGTGCGCGTGGGACCGAACCACGTGTCGGTCGCTGACCCGGCAGAGATTCCTGTGATCTACGGCATCAAGAGCAAGTTTGTCAAGGTGAATCGCCTTTTCTTCCGTACCAGGTCCAGCAGAGGCATGCCGACGGGGGGCAAGAACATGGGCACATTGCTAACAGTCAGCAAAAAAACAACCACACGGACCGAGTTCTACAACACCATGAGCCCCTGGTACGAGGGTAAGGTCATGCATGCCCAGCGTCTTCACCGAGCGTGAGCCCCTCGCCCACCGCAACCTGAAGCGGCCCGTCGCGCAGTTGTTCGGCATGACCAACATGCGCAACTACGAGCCGTACGCGGACGAATGTACGGCCATCTTCATCAACGCCATGCGGGACCTGGAGGATCAGCCGATCGAGCTGTCCGTCTGGGTGCAGTGGGACGCCTTCGATGTCATTGCGAGCATGACGTTCCAGCACCGGTTCGGGTTTCTGGAGGAACTCCGCGACGTGAATAACATGATCGGAGACCTGTGAGTTGGCCCCAAGGCTGTCCGAAATTCGTCAGGCCGTTGCTGTCATTGGAATTGGGCGACGGCTTTATTTAGACGAGACTGATAAGCCATACATGCTCAGTGACAGGGGACTGCAATACGTCAAGATCATAAGGCAATATCCCGAACTGCATCCATGACTTCTCGAAAACCGGAACGTCGTACGAGCCTTGAAGTGGCTGTTCCCAGACCTTCCCGACGCGTTGTATAGGTTTCTGAAGGTCAGGAGGCAGTCCGCTTACCTAACCCGACGGCCAAGTCTTGAAGTCCCTTTCTAACAAACATATCGACGGCAGATCACTGAAGAGGAGATTGCCAGATACGACACCAAGGAGGGCGCGCGGAAGGGGCGAACCGATTTCCTCGCGCAGCTACGGGAGAAGGAGGCCAAAGACGGCAAGATCCCGTCACCACCACCACCCGGCGACACGAACGCAACTGGGGAGGGGGTGATGATCCTGCTGACACGTCCGGCGAACAACACAGATTGCCGGCTCCGACACCACAGCCGCGTCGCTGCGCGCGTGCTTCTACTACCTGGTCAAAACGCCGCGGGCGCACGAGAAACTCGGGGCAGAGATCGATGAGGCTGAGAGGAGAGAAGAGCTGTCGACGTACATCTCGTATGAGCAGTGTCTGAAGCTTCCGTACCTGTATGTCCATCAGTCACCCCTTCTTTCTGGATTTCATCCGCTAAAGCTTTCTCCTCGGGCAAGCTGTGATGAAAGAGGCCGTGCGCCTGCATCCGGGCGTCGCGTTGCCCCTGGAGAGATACGTGCCTCCAGAAGGCGCCACGATCGGCGATGTCTATCTCCCGGGCGGCACCAGCGTCGGCATCACGGGCCCCGTCGTTCATATGGACAAGGCCGTCTATGGGAACGATGTGGAAGGATTCCGACCCGAACGGTGGCTCGGGGCCTCGCCTGATTAACTGAAATTGATGGACCGAAGCTTTCTTGTGGTATTGTTGTTCACGGCCTTCTCACCTATCCTGTGTTCTCCCTTGTTTGTTATTCTTTGACCTACCTGCACTAACTCGCAATTTCTTCCTCCAGTTCGGCGCCAGAGCCCGCACGTGCATCGGCAAAAACATCTCCGTCCTCGAGATGGGCAACTTCATCCCACAGATCCTGCGCCACTTCGACATGGATTGGGCGTCGAGGGAGCCAGAATGGAAGATGGCGGCGTCCTGGTTCTGGAAGCAGTCCGGGCTCGTCGTCAGGCTCAGGTGGCGAGGGAAATACTAAAGTAGGAGTGACTGGGAAAGGGCATATGCTCGAGCGTTTAGTGGGGTCACACCAGCCAGAAGACTGAGTTCTTCTCTTTCCAGATGTTCGGTTCGGGCTCATCTCGGTCTGCAATCCTCGTGGAAACGGTAGCCTCTAGGTATGTGCCCGGTACATGGTACGGGGATTCTGCACACCCAAACTATTCGACTCAATGCCATGTTTTCACTGCACACATGGTCACTTCGCTTCTTGAACCGGCCGCTATCCTGAAAAGTTCCGGGGAAGCCGGAAAAAAGGGGCCAACGGTCTGCCGGAGGTCTTGATTTGAATAATAGTCCCTGCCTAGTGTTAGGGCAACAGCCAGCACTAATAAATGAAAAGTTTCTAAACACCCACCATCCTGCATCTGCCGTGAATCTGCAGCACCAAGGCCCGCACAAACGGGCTTGGAGCGGGTTCATTTGGCGGATTCCTTTGCTTCGAAACAGATATTGTGGAGTGCCTACTCCAGTGGTTCGAGAGAAGGCGGTCCCATCACCATGCTCACATATGCAGATTGAAGTACGGAGTACATGAAGAATGATGCTGGATTGACCCCATTTTGAGCCACTTGTCGATCGTAGCCCGGAGATGTGATTCCCTTCTCCTGCTTCTCGGTCATCAAAGGGACAGGTACAGTAAATCACCTGACTAATTCTCGCGCGACACAGGTACGTAACTCCAGGGAGGAGTCCGGTTCAGCTGTGAGACGAGACGTGCGCGAATTACCTCGATGGGCGACTTCCACACATCGATCAACCAAGACCCCGAGCACGCGAGTGTGTACGTAAGTGGGGAGCAAAAAGATCCAGCTTTCTATGCACCAATCTTGTGGAGATAGAGATAAGGACTAGCCCTCACCTGGCTAAAAGTGCACCTCTTTTCTAGCCTGGGGATTGCAAATCACTCAAGGTGGAGCAGCGCCAGCATATGTGGGCCAGCAATGTTCGATGTCAGGATAGTTCCCTGTGCCCTCTGCTTCGCGGTAAAGAGACGGCATACCTCGCCCCTTGATGGGGTTTGTTAGTCACAAGCAGTAGATAAGGATACGTACAGGTCTGTTAGGAGGTTCCTGGCATAACTATGCTCCGGGCGAAGAATATATTGCTCAGGTTTTGCAGAACTCTTCGCACGATTTTGACCTGAGACAAGAAGTTAAGACGCGAGGTCTCGAAGTTTACCGTCGGGGGATTCATCTTGCCACATGAGACTCGTTGTATCAGGTACGTACCTAGGGTCAAGGCGGTGGACAGCAAGTGTGCTCTACCTCCTCTTGGCTGGCCAGGATGGCCAGCTTTCGGTGCCTTGCATTCGTCCGCTGAGTGTCCGGAAGGAGACGACGAGAACGGCTCACAAAGATCGGGCCAAAACGCCACTGATCTTGATGAAAATTGTGCGAAATCCTGGCAGCGTGGACGCCAGCGAATAGATGTGGGAATATTCCTCCCCGGATCAGTGGGGTATCGCACGCTCTGCAGAGAATAGTTCTTGATTTGACTTTGTTAGCCCAGGCATATTTGACGATGGATCGGTGGATCAACGCCCTTGATGTGTTCCATCCAGGATAGTCGAGTCCTCTGATCCACATGAGAAACCTGGGCAAATACTCAACCTGAGTATTCTGGAATTCAGGTTCCGTATATACTCGCAGCTCGCCGCTCTTTCAACGAGACTGCTGCAGCCATACCAGGGCTTTACCTACGAGTAGGTCTTTCGATAGATCACAAGTGAACCCTGCGGGACATAAGGAGCACGGATGACCGACTGCGGAAAGTAGCCTAGTCTGTGCCTACATAGTCTGTGCGTAGAATGTTCGCAGTATCAACCCTAGTTGGTCGTAGCGAACAAAGAACCTCGTAATCGGCTGCAGATTTTCATGAGGTCGCAGCTGGACAGGCTTCCTTTGGTGCAGCTTGTCTCGGCTGATTTCTGCTGCCCCTTGAAACCAGCAAATCGAAGAGTCGTAATCCACGTCTAGCCGAACGCCGTGGCTTGGGCTCCCGAGCGGACTGTACGTAAAATACGGGGTGCCGAATGTGCCCTGGAACATTCCTGTGAAAAATTAGTACTCAGTAATCGGTCGAGTACTCGTAAGTCCTGTCTTCCAAGACAAAGCATCGTCCTGTGGTTGGAAGGCTGGAGGGATCAGGGGCGGGCTTGGGTTGAGTTCGTCTCCCTCGAGGACTAATTTATGCCCAAGTCGGTGTAGCTTGCAGGATCTCGATTCTTCAGGCTTCAGACCCAGACCTGCCAACCACGTTTTGATTTCTGCAGTCCTGTACCTGCATAGCGTCCCGTGGCTCTGCAGACCACTGAAGGTCCAGCTGGTGGTGTCCCGCTGCCCCGTCGGTCAACAGATCCTAACTTACGAATCAGATTTCTCTGGTCTGGAGGCAATTGACGAACCGACATCAGCGATCGAGGGCCAAGCCAGGCCAGGCTTGCAAGGGGCTCGGGGCAGGCAGCATCCCTAGCATTATTACTAGCCATTATTACCAGAAAGGAAAGATACTGGCCGAGCTAGGGAAGAGGATGTTGTGGCTAGTTGCCTCAGAAATAGTCTCGGGGCAGGTGTGCTCGTAAGTTCAAGGATCTAACGGCCTTGTTGAGCAGCCGAGTGGGACAGGAACCTCTGTGCTACGTTGCACAGTGGTACATTGCAACAACCGCATTGGATTGGACAATGCATAGCATTGCGGTACCAGGAGGCCACCGTCGCCGCCGGCATCAGTAGTTCGTGTGAGGTGGATGTGTGCTTCCCGTGTCGAATCTTCCCGTCCATCTGGAGCTTCTCGAGGGGTGAAATGGGAAATAAAGGCGTGGGAACTCATCCTGAACCCACAGGTCTGCTCCTTCCCCCCCTCAATTTTGGTCAACCTCAAGCTCCTCCTCGTTGAATGTTTTGTTTCTAACCGGCGGGTGCGTACCTGTCCCCCTGGGATCGAAAGACTCACCAGCCGCCCTCTTTCAACATTTCAACATGGCGCCCAAGAAGGGTAAAGAGTCCCTGTTGGACCTCTGTAGCCGAGCAACCACATTGGGAAACAGTGTGTCTGTGCGCATGCTTGAGTATCTCAGCACCGTCAAGGAGCCTCCGCATGGGTTTCGTGAGCTTGCGACGAACTTCCTCGACATTTGCCGGGTCATGTGCTCCATCGAAGCAGGACTGTCCGAGGCTTCGCGGGCGCACAGCCAGTTCCCCAATGACATGCAGCAGGAACTGGACAAGAAGTTCCGTCAGGCCAATGATGACTTCATTGTCCTGAACCAGATGCTTGTCAAGTTCCTGGAGTATGAGAAGAAGGGAGGCCTGGGGAAACTCAGAAAGGGATGGCACATGATGTTCGCCGACACGGACATTCACAAGATGAAGGATTCGCTCGCCAGGAGCCGCGATGCGCTCGGCATGAGCGCCATGGTGTTCCGATGGTATCTCGGCGACGCAAAGACGGATGCCTCTGTCGGCATCGGATATACGGGTCTTGCAGCTGTCCTCGAGCGCATGAATCCCAGCGTCAGGCACACTCCGTCGACCAGTGTTAGGCCTACTCTTCCTCCTCCTCCTTTTTCAGAAGCACCTAACCTTCTGCCACCTCTACCGGCCATCCCATTGACGGAGAGAACGTCAGAGTCCAACTTCCTTCCTCGGCTCGGCGAGGATCCCGATACCTTGACCGCGATCCCCCAGAGACAGAGTTTCAGCCGACCAGCACCCAGCACCAGGTCCAGCAAACTCACGATAAACTCCGCTACCAGGGAAAGGGAACAGCAAATGCAGAGCAGCGAGAGTTCGCGAACCGAGATCCCGGTTGAAGATCATGTCTCCATCAAAACGGCGGACTCATTTGCCCAGATCGAGGATATGATACACGAGATCGGACTGGATAAGCACTCTTCCCCTACGGCTCGGATGAAGGCCGACCCTGCCACAGTTCCAAGATGGACACCGAAGCAAACGTCTGGGGCCAACTCCGCTGCTCTCAAATCGTCGTTGCTGAATGCCGTCCAGCAGAAGAAGCACAAGATGATTGAGCAACTGCTGGACTGCGGCGTCCCTCCTGACGGCGACAATGGCGTCAACCTTCTCCGGGAAGCGGTCCTTCACCAAGACGTCGAGACAGTCCGACTGTTACTCCTCTTCGGGGCCGATCCCAATGGCCTCGACAAGATCAAATTCAGTCCTCTGTTGTCCGCGACAGAGCTGTCGTTCCTTGACGCCGCAAAGTTGCTTCTGAAATATGGGGCCGATCCTAATTTGCCCGCCGGTCCCGATGGAGAGTGTCCCCTCGCAATGGCGGTCATGGAGAACAAGCTTGAGTTCGTGCAACTCTATCTCACATATGGAGGAGATACCAACCTCAACACTGCGGAGGGCAACACCCTTCTCGTCAAGGCTATCAACAAAACCAATCCGAAGAAGTTAGTAGAGCTACTGGTCGACTACGGGAGCGATGTGAACGGGAAGAATAGCGAGGGCGAGACGCCGCTTTTCACGGCGATCGAGGCGAGAAGAGTTGATATCATGATCTTCCTCCTCGATCACGGGGCCGATCCCAACCTGCCTGGGCCCAAGCACCTTTTGTGGCCGTCAACTTACCAGCCGAAAGCGCTCCAGCTGCTGCTGTCTCGCGGAGCAGATTTCAAAAAGTGTCCGGGCATTCTAGAACTTGCCACGAGTATCAACAACCTGGAGTCAGTGACGACCCTGCTGAAAGCCGGCGTCGACGCCAACGCTAAGAAGGACGGAGTATACACACCACTCTGTACTGCTATTCGTGACAACCGGGGAGAACTTGTTTCGCTCCTCTTGGCCAACGGAGCTGATCCAAATTTGATGGCGTCGGAATATCCAGCCTTCAAGTGTGTGACTCACAACCGCACCCATCTGCTTCCCCAGCTTGTTGCTGCGGGCGCGAACCTGCACAAACCCAAAGGCATCCTCGAGAAAGCAGTGGCTCACAACAACAAGGATGCGCTCATGTACTTACTTGACCAGAAAGTCAGCCCCAACGACAGAAGTGCTGAAGGCTATACACCTTTGACAACAGCAATTCGTGATGAGCGACTTGACTACATCGACATACTTCTAGCCAACGGTGCAGACCCCGGGATCAGAGGTCAGGATTGGCCCATTTGTATGGCGGTGAAAAGGCCCGAGATTCTTCGCAAGCTTTTACCTTCTCTCTCGAATCCGAGAGCGGTCAAGGGTGTGGTGGAGATGGCCGTGGTTGCAAACCAGCTCGAAAGCATCAAGCTCTTGCTGAAAGCCGGTATGAATGTTGAGGACAAGAATGGCGGTGTTTTCTCTCCTCTGACGACGGCCATTCGAGAAGACAGAAAAGAAATTGTTCGATACCTGCTCGACGAAGCTGGTGCCGATGTCAACGCCCCGGGGGAGCATTTACCCATCATCAAGGCCATCCGCAGATATCGCAACAACGACACCGAGGTCATTGAGATGTTGCTTGCACGAGGAGCCGATATCAATCTCATGTACCGCGGCTGGAACGCAGTCCTCCAGGCAGTGGAAAATGGGGACTCGAAGATTTTGAAACTGCTCGTCGAGAGGGGTGGTGGCGTGGACCTGGAAGCTAAAGACGAGGCCGGGAGGACAGTGATGGACATTGTGAACGGACGGGGCTGGGACGAAGCTGTGACCATCTTGCTGGGCGGTGGAAGTCCGTGAAGTGATGGATGATGGTTGTATGGCTAGCGTGAGGGTCTCCGAGACTCACTGGACGACATTCGGGGCGGTAGTTTGTTTTGCACGCTGAATTGAGCGATGTACGAGTATACCCATTTCTTTTGTCGTGGTAGGAGGCACTTTGTAAGTACAAGGTAGTGGTGACACAGTTCAATCATCCATAGGCGAAGGTTGCCGTTGGGGTGAGATTGTGGATTTAAAAAGAGAAGGCAAGTGGAGTGAGGATAGGCCAGGAGGTTGTGCCACTTCCTGAAGGGTTAGTACTGTCACCAGCTGCTTTCCCTCCTCTGGTAGCTCCAGTGGTGCTGGTGTGTGCAAGCATGAAGCCTCTTCCTCCTTTTCTCCCAGAGCTGGCGCACTGTCCGAGGCTAATTCCGCCTGCAACCAACACTCAGTCGTTGACGAATCAAAGGATCGAGGAAATTTGAGGTGTGCGTACTTCGGGGGGTAAGGTCCTGGCAAGAGACACTGGTTTCGTGCTGCCCTTGACAATGGAGAGGTGGTACCGAGACCGAGCAGTTAGATTATTAGTCGCGCTGCGTCTACAGTCTGGAGGAGGAGGCGATACCCAACAAGCAACCACGCCAAGGCAATTACATAATTACAGTATCTGTCACTAATAATTGGGTGCTAATCCCTTGTAATTAGGCGAGGGACTTTTCCGGCTCGGCGATCCAGGCCTGGTACTGTAGCCCGTCGAGCCACGAACCCCTGAGTGTCGTCGATCCGGGGGGCCACTAGGACTGGCGCCGCCGATCGGCGATTGAAGCTACTAGGTGGGCTAGTGCGGGCTTTCATTCTTTGCGTGGCAGCGAAAGCAAAATTCCATGTCATGATGTAAATGACCATGAGGCATGACGTTCCCATGGGACAGAACCATGACGCAGCATTGATGTGCTGTGGTGAAGGTAAGAAAAGGGGAGACGGAGGGAAGATGTAAAAGCAACAGTGGAAAAAGAGACCCCAAAGTGCGAGTTTCCAGCCATTATTGTGACTATTTTGTCGTCAAAGTCCCAAAATACTTTTCGAACACCATGCTACCTCGAAGCCGTGCAATCCAGGCCATCAAGCCTGCCCTGAGACCTATCCAACCCCTGCAGTCTGGGTCACGGCAGTCTAGAAGAGCCTATGCGTCCACACGCCCAGATGCCCCAGGGGCCTATAACAGCAGGGTACCAATGTAAGAATCGCCTCCGGCCTAGACCAAATCTTTCAGAGTATATACCTATCAATACACAGGCATTGATCTGGAAAACCTATTAACACGATGATCCCAAACGCAGAATTGCCGTCGGAAGCGTCTTGGCCTTTGTGCCCTTCTACTACGTCTTCCACAGCACCAAGCCAGCGGCGTCCGGTAATGCGGAGATCACAGAGGCGAGGAGGCAAGGGAACCCGGCGAACGAGTATCGGGATCCTCGAGACAGTCCTGTCAAGACATTGGAGCAGCAGAAGAAGGCGAGGGGGAGCAACTGAGTGGATGGATCGCAGGGTGGAGGTATAGGAATGGCTGAGGCGAAACAAAACAGGAGATGCATTCACCTTGAGATGTTCTTGTAAGTGAGGACTGGATTGGAAAAAGCGGAAAGGGGACTAGATTGTATATATGCATGGTTGGGGGGGGGAAGGAAATGAGGGTTTCTACGCCGCCATCCTACATCTCTGCCACCTATCCTGCTTTGAAAACGTGTGTTGAAGACGGAAACAGTGCGGGCTCGCCACGTTTCTGCCAGTGCTTGCCTAGGTACCATTCGATCGCTTACTGATGCTTTATGCGTAGGGTGGTAACTACATTGTACGCCCATCTGTTTCGCGCCTGCGCCTGCGACTTCTGTGTTGCGACCTTGACTATCATGTTCGACCTCCAATGCCAGACCCTCTATCAATTTCTGACCCTGTCACAATCTTAAGCCCGAGCATATACATCTCTCACAATGCCTACGCCAGCGTGGCTCCGAAGGTCTTCAAAGAATGCTTTCCCCTCAATGGGGCATCGACGCCCTCTTCCAGGTCGCGTGCTTTGTCTCGGGTCGGCTTGCGTCCGAACGACTTCTGCGTCATCAAGCGACTACGATTTAACCATCGTTCGTGGCTCAAAATTGAGGGCAGAGGAGACTGGAAAGGGACATCTGCCAATACACTGGACAGTGGACACTGTCCCCTCACGCCTGAGAGCTGATATTGTCAGCTTAGACTGTGGCCCTCACCTCGACGTACATGATTATGCGATAATACAGAACGGCTAACACGTGGATCCCCGTCTGAGGTTTCGTCGAATCCAAATGGCAGGGAGCAGGGACATTGGTATGCGTATGTTCCTATGCTGGAACACAAGAGTTTTAGAAACATCAACGACCCGAATAGAGTGGAGTGATACGGAATTGTACAGCACAGACTTATCAGATGAAGTATATGCTTCTCCTGGAAATCCCGAAGTTGTCAACCCAAGTTCCCGAGTTCCTGTGAGTCAAGGGAAGGCATCGGCTGGTATCCTCCTTCTCCCTCTTCTACTGAATCCGTAGGGCGTTCGATAAAACTCACCAGGAGAAATCCTGCGGTAGCCGCCTTACTTTCAACATATCAGCTACCTCGGCACCCTTCGCTACGTATGAGCCCCAGATGATAATGGTGATTGGTTTCCTATCTGACGAGCTAGTGTACGACCTGGTCATCTTATGTATGATCGACCCGGTACGCAGTATACATTACTCCATACCTTCACACAAAGGGGTCAAGTGAGATCCACTCCGTGGGAGAGCTTAGTCAGGGAGACTTGTTGAGCAATATAGGACGTGTGGAAACTGCTCATGTGCCCGCTGACAATCCAATCACTGCAGGTAGAGAAAAGGGTTACAAGAGCCAAAACTAATGGATCACGTCAAAGCAACGACCTCCTTGAAGGTGATTAGAACAAAGTCCTGCCCTCACACCACCCATGGTCGTCGACTTACGCCAATAGACACTCAGTCTCCACCGCGCAGCTCCACAGTAGCTCAATCTGGGACGTCCAGCCTGAAAACATAGCAGGGAACATGCTCCTGACATCTTATGTAAGGCCTCATGAAACCATGGAAAGCGGTGGGAGTGGGTGTCGACTCCAACCTATGTCCTTGGGCATTGCTGTATGCCGAGACGGGCCTGATCACCGCATGAAACCCTTCCAAAGGAAGTTCCGCCACGTTTGAAAAAAAGATACATCAAAAGGTCCTCATGGGTGAAGCTGCTTCTTCATCTACACTATTGTCTTCAATAGCCCAGTGTCCCAGAAAGTTTTCAAATATGTTTTTTTCGCTGTCCTTTTTGCTTTGGGCTGTTACCATCTTCCTGCTGGCAACAGCTCTCTTCAGATATCGCCGTCTATCTTCAGTTCCAGGCCCTTTTTTGGCATCATTCACGGACTTCTGGCGGTTCTCCGTCACGCAGTATGGCGGATTCTCCCAAAGACTCAAGCGACTGCACGACCAGTATGGACCACTGGTGCGAATTGGTCCCAATACCGTCAGTGTATCTGACCCTGCCGCGGTTCCTGTGATCCATTCGATGCACGGAGAGTTCAAAAAGGTACGAAAGGCTCTTCCCGACTGCATACGTTTGACTGACGGCCACGTGCGATATTAAGGCACAGTCTTATGCAACTCTGAGGGCTTTTGTAAACGGTAAGGTCATCGGGACCGTCATCGACATCTTAGACGAGGGCGAAGTGTCAGCTCTCAAACGTGCTGTTGGAAGCGCATTTGCAACCAAGAACTTACTGGATTATATGCCTGATATCGACCACGCTGTCGAGACACTCGTTCAGGTGGTTCGAAAATCCCGCGTGGTACCACTTTTCGATCTGATGCAGCAATTCCAAGTCGACTTTCTCATGAAGGCAGCTTTCAGTAAAAAGACTGATTATCTGGCCACTGCACGACCAGCAGGGCCGATCTCGGCCTATCCGCGACTGTTGCATTGGGGACGTTGGCAGAGTGTGCCTGTCCTCGAGAGACTCCTTTTCAAGTCTCCTCTCTGCTGGGCATGGTACAGCAGACGGGCAGCAAAACCTCAGGCGTGGACGGTTATGGCCATGGAAGAATTCAACAAGCGAAAGGAAAAGGAGCCAAAAGGCTTTAGGAGCGATGCTTGTGACAAATCCGACCTCATGGCGAAATACCTGGACGGATGCAATCGACATAAGGACAGCGTATCTGAGGAAACCATCTTGAGAATGGTCTCCAGCACCCTCGCTGCGGGGTTTGACACTTCGGCCTTCACCATGACGGCAATCATCTATTATCTCCTCAAGTACCCAGAAGCCATGAAGAAGTTGCGCTATGAGATGGACGAAGCGCTCAACGGAGGTCGACTTTCGGCGCAACCAAGATTCGTCGAGACGGATAAGTTGAGCTATCTCGCCGCAGTCATCAAGGAGACCATGCGCATGCAACCGTTCGTCCGAGTCCCGTTGGAACGAGAAGTACCTCCCGAAGGTGCCGAGATTGCTGGGCAATTCCTGCCCGGCGGCACGACGGTGGGTGTATCGGTCTGGAACACGCATTTCGATCGTGGCGTCTTTGGGAAGGATGCCGACGAGTTCAAGCCCGATCGCTGGCTCGAGTGCGACGACGAGCGTCGATTCATGATGGAGAGGTCTGTGCTTGGATTCGGAGCCGGCAAGCGTATCTGCATTGGCAGACATATTGCCGAAATGGAGATGAAGATGGTGATTCCAAGGATCCTGCTCGAGTTCGATGTAAGTATCAAAAGTCCATACTGGCGTTACACTCTCTGTCCCCGCTACCTTCTCTCCCCTTTCCTTTTCCTTTTCCGTCTTCTTGCAAACGCAGATAGTATATCCCTATCAAAAGCCCGCGCGCCTCGCTGATCTGGACATTATTCTGAACTAGCTCTCCTTCGAGGACCCAACATACCGTCTCGAGCCTCGCGACAAGTGGACCAACTTCCCAAAGCCGTTCTCTGTCATCTGCCGAGACAGACCTTAGTGGATATGCCCAGGTGAGAGATCGTAGTCGCGAATCCGGAGTTCGAAGTTTGAAATCAGTCCCATTCTAATTAATGACCAGCAGAACATGCCAGAGGGTTGCTCTATAGTTGGATGCAACACCACATGTGGTTCGAGCGGCCAGGGGTTGGTTGGCTGGGCTCAATCACGCTGGTGTCAGTTGGAGTCGAGTGATGGTGATGACGGTGTCATCAAAATATACTTCCTTCGTGCTTCTATGGTCGTACGGGAGGAATAATCACTTATCAACAACAAGCTGTGTAACGAATGTTTGTCCGGGTATCTCATGCCTATACCGGAGACAGAATAGACACACTCGTTCGCTGAGACTCTTGATTGACTCTTCTTACTGATGAAAGTGCTCTCAATTCCGCTGCCCGTGGTATCGACCACCTACAACCTATGGAGTAATCCGGCCCGCCCGAGTCGGATGAGATGAGATGAGATTCGAATATAATAGCTAGATTCGCTAGCTCAGTCATAATGGTACAAGTGGTGAAAAATCCCTTCTTCGTTCCACCCGGGCAAACTCCACACCTAATAGCGCCCAGGTAGATAGATGACCATCCTTCGTGTCCGTCCCACGGTGTTCGCTTCCCCTCACCACCTACTCATCGGCACACACTCAGCTGTATTCTTCGGCGTGCTCGACGGCCGGGGTCAAGTCCTCGAGGAAGCGCCAGCGCGCCTTGCGCGCACAGTCCTTCTGCTTCCAGTGGCGCAGCGTGCCATCCGGGAACCAGTCGACGCCGACGCGGGGGTCCAACAGGCTGGCGTCGTGGGCGACGACGACGAAGACGTCGTCCGCGGCGTCGAATTCCTGCACCATGTCGACGATCTCTTGCGCCTGCGGCGCGTCGTGAGCGACGCCGCCCGCGTGGATGTGGTAGAACGGCTCGGTGCCCTTCCGGCGCGGGTGCACCGCCTCGAAGATGTGGCCGGGCACACCCCCGGGTACTTGGCCGCGTACGGCGACGGGCTGACCGTCTTGGGCAGCGGGAGGTATGCGGTTGGCCGGAGCTCGGCGCCGTGGTGCGCCGTATCGCCCCCCATTAGCACGAAGGTGTCTTCGGCGTCGCCGTCCTGCGTCGACGTCACGCGCGCGAGTCCGCACATGTGCCCGACGGCGTGGCCGGGTGCGTCGAGGAGATAGAAGGATCCGTCGCCGAAGTAGTCGATGGCATGGAAACGGCCGATCTGGAGCGTTTCTTGCTTCTCAAAGTCGATGACTTTCAGCTCGCGACCCGCAAAGTCCGTGGCCAGGAGCGGCGACTGTTCGTTCTCAGGGTACGCTGGGAGGAATGCCTCCTTGACGCCTGGACCTACGATCAACGCGGTGCTGCCGGGAAACGTGCTCGGGTCGCCGGTGTGGTCGTAGTGCCAATGGCTCCAGATGATAGCTTCGACGGCACCGCCGGCCACATCGACGCCAGCCTCCTGCAGGATCTGAGCCACCGAGTCCTTCTCGACCTCGATCTTCCAGCCGGGTTGTGTCACGAGCGCCAACACCGGAGGCGGGAGTTGCTGCCAGTCCTTCCTGCACCCGAGGTCAAAGAGCATCTTGCGGCTCGAGGATATATGCTCGACGAGGAACGAGAAAGACGGCACTCTGAGGATCTCATGCCCATACTGTGCGGGACCCACGAACACCTGCACGAGTACGTCCAGCCGAGATGTTGTGTCGATGATTTGCACTTTGGCCGCTGCTCCCGGCGGGATATGCAACGCGGGCGCCGGTTTGGGCGGGTACAGGGGCACCGAATTCTCGTCGGTTGAACTCATCGTGAAGGGGGCCAAGGTATGTACACCCACAGAAGAGAGAATGATGTGCTTTTCGTCGCTGGTTCCAGGGTGGTGGTCGGTAGCAGAGCCATTCCACTCCTTTATATTTGGCGCAAAACAATAGGTATTTTGCCTGTCAGGGTATCATCAGGAGTTTGACACTTCGGCGTTCGAGTCTCGGGTTGCATCTTTCGCCGAACCGCCCCAGAAACCATAGTGGCCAAGGATAGCGTTGCGACCGTGAGAGATGGAGTGAACACATAGGTGAGTAACGAGAATGATGGCGGACTCGACCTTGACATATGCTCGCAAGGCGATCGCAAACATGGTGACACTACAAGGATATCAATTCTCGGAACATTTCGCGGTAGGGGAAACTCATCGTTATTGCGTCCGGCCGAGCCCGATCCAAATGTCCTGCTGGAGATATGGCACGAATTGCCTACTTTGGACATCTCTGTTGTTTATCTCCGGTTTTCAGGTGGGTCCTTGACAATGGAAACATATACTGCCGGTGAGAAGGCATGTCAACGTTGCAGCATGGAGACAATCGAACCCACAGAACCCTCAAAGCTGAAGCCTGCACTTCATTGCTATTGAGCCCGGTCATCGTCAATGGAACGAAGCAGGATCGTGTGTCGAGTTCGCGCTTACCACATTGAACCTGTCAAGGTCGGAGAAACACCTTGGGAGGGAGTAGCATTTTACGACTGTGGTGGCGGTATGTGTCCAATAATCCATGCTGTGATTGTGTTGGATGCCAGCACTCGCAGCGTCCACGGAGTGCCTCGTATAGCCATCATGTACGCTGTTGTCAGGCACCATTTTGTAATTGAACAGCGATTGATGCTTCATTGCTCCGAACGCCGTGGCCATTTCCGATAGAGTTGCAATGATTGCATTCCAGGGTTAAAGAGTCCGCTGGCTGCCCACCAGTTCTGTTTCTGGTCGTGGTGTGCTAAAAGATCGTCGACTACCACCTTGTGTGGTTGAGGAAGGACGTGGCAGCAGTGCAGGCACAAATTTAGAACCGTGAGGCTCGACAACATCACAGTCCAGAAAGCCGTCAAGAATGGAGCGAACAGCCTTCCAGGAGGACAAGCTCATACGCGCAGCCAAGAGGGAGAACTGGTCGCTGAACCAGGTCTCATCGCTTCGCCGAATGCCCAAGTGGTCATGCTCTGCTTGAGCGCCGACGTAAAGAGCCCACAGTCGGGCGTTTGCGTATTTCATCGATCCGGTGAATTCAACCACTAATTGGTCTTTTTCAAGGAGCTGCCGCGTTAGCTTTCGCAGAGGGCTCTTCGTCTGATAGATCTCCTGTCCGAGGATGGTCTCATCACCGGCTATTAACCGCGTCCAGTAGACCGCCGTCAAAGCGAGGTAGGCGTTCTTCCTGTGGAGATACGATTGCTGGCCTTTCCCTTCTTTTGCCTCATCGAGGCGGTCCAGGACGAACTTTACCAGCTTCGTGTGCTTGACCAGATGGCTGGAACACCACCACGTAAACACAGCAGCAGAGAGTCCGTTCCCTCTTTCGGAGCCGTGTCTCCAGACTGCAAGGCTTTCGCGCTCCTGGATGAACATGTCCCTGAGAAAGTTATCCTCAATGGATGGATCCAGAGATATAGAGAACGATAGTTGCAAAGCTTGTAGCCCTTTCCTGCCTTCTGCCCAAGGTACCTCGAACACCTCCGGAATCCAACGATCATAATCCAGCACAGGCTTGCGCAGGAACATGCAACAGGCGCAAGCTTCATTGTACATGAAGGATCGTAGAGATGTGATATCGACTTGGCCATGTTGACTCTCGTGCTTCAATGCCCGAGACAGCATTGTTACGTGGAGCCATGCCCCGTCAGCGTTTCCAGCTTGTGCCTCGGCCATATACAGGGCGATAATGTGCCAGTAAGACGACTTTGAGACAAGTCCAGAACCCTGTTGCATCTTCTTCAATAGTATCGAGGTGCTCTGAGATCGAAAACGTAGACTCTGGACCGCGAGCTCGGAATTTTCGGCGACATTAGATGCAACCTGAGCCCATCGCGCAAGAAATCCCAGCGCGCCACCTTTTTCATACAGCGAATTGACGACATCTCTCCAATCTTCCTTAGCGGCCTCGAACGTTGTCCAACCATCCACGCTAGTATGGTATTGTGAGGGTATGACAATGTCTCGGTAGAATCTCAAAATGTCGTTGACTCTTGGGGATATGAACACTGGATAAGCGTTGAACGGGTCAGAATTTCCGTGAAGGCACTTGACCTTATATGCGGCAAGACCAGAACTCCTGTCGGACATTGTCGAAGTCCATGACGAGGCTGGGGAAGTGCTCTGTGGAGTAGGATCAGCATAGTTTCCTGTGCACGCCGTGAATCTATCCTCACTGATGATTCTGAGCGGTCTTGTCCACTCTCCGAAGACTGCGCTCGAGAGCTTGACGGTGGTAGTTGAATGCTCTTTCTTAGCTTCTGAGTGGAGTCGCGTCTCTGCCATGGTCGGTACCGTTGTTGAATGTGAGTGAAGACACGTTGACGGTGGGGCTGCGCCTTCATATTGAGCGCATCATGGTTAACCCATAGCAGATCGGTCAAATAGTTAGGTTTGGGTGGCGTCGTCTCGGCCATGGTGGAAATGTCATTGTACGGATTCAAAGCCATTCAAAAGGCTTACTCGGAAAGCTGAAACTGTGGAGCATACGAGGTATGGCAGAGACCCTATTATTATTTGCGATTCTGTTAGCCAGTCACTCGCTGGAGATAGCGAGGGATCTTCGGTAGGTGGGACTTTGTTCAGGGAGTGTTTCTCGACGCTTTCCTCTGCTGACATGTCCGCTGACGAACTTAGGGATCCTCTGCACCAAGGATTGCGGCGTCAGCCCCGGTGATTCCTTAGCACAGAGAGGTGGTATCGGTACCGTTACCCTCGCCTGTAGAACCCAAGGATGTGGTTGAGAAGCTTGGGGTTCTCCCGGGTGAGGCCTGCGGATTCGTTTGTGCTGAATAGCGGATGATAATGCCCTTGCAGTTGGAACTTCCGCGACTGGCGTCGTGGTTGGCGTCGAGTCTCCAAGCAGGGTCGATGTGTCAATGCCGTATTGTTGCTGTAAGTGCAGTATCGCGCCGGAAAGCCGGCCTTTTCTCGTTGAATGTCCTTATGGAATTGCACAAATCTTGCTTGAATGCTGAGTAGACGGCAGACTTTCTTATACTCGATATGGAGTTGAATAGATAATTACACACTGCGTCGAGACTGGAGGATAGATAATGGAATGGATAAGGTACTTTGAGAACCCCCGGCGGATTAGGAGCATGTGGCCCGTCAAACTCAAAACCCGGATCCTGTCCAGTAAGTATCCAAATGCTCTTGGATTGCCAACCGAACCATGCTTGGCTGTTAGTTGGCTCGGCTAGAGGCAGGCTAATAGCAGGAAGATTGTCTCTATGAATGAACATCAGATGCTGGCCGAGATGGCGAGGACTGGAGCACATTCCACGATATCACCAGATGGGAAGTGTTTCTCTGTCGCCGGACACCTTGCAGGAAGCAGCATAAAGAATTGTCGGCAGCCCGCGGCCCGATAGCATCGCCAACTTAACGAAGGATGAAGCCCTCTAAAAGGCGAAATCATAGCCATGCAAAGCCCAGCTGAGGCTAATAAGCGGCTCTGAGACCGTGAAAAGCCAATAATCTTCGATGGTATATGTATAAATTGCCCCATATATTGAAACTTCATCAATGCTCGTTCTCTCGTTTCCTGTTTAATGAGCGACATCTGCTCGATCTGCGAAGGCGCAGATCCCTGTAGAATACATAACATACTGCAGGCGTACTGCTACTTCATACGATAGTTTTGCGCCGTGTGAAGACTCTTTTCAGTTTGCTGCCTTTGACTTCCGTCGGCGCATTCGCTGTGGCCGCACCGGCAGCAGCCGAATTTTGTCTCGAAAGCGTTGTGGCACTGCCGTTATGCTCGGCGAGCGTGGGAAGCTGAGGAGCCACTGTTGCCCTCCTCTGCTTTCGAACAGGCTTCTTCGCACCCCTAGTTGTCCCTTGTTTGCTCAGGATATCATCCAGTGTGTTGGTGCCGTAGAAGCCTTGCAATTGTTCATCGGACTCATAGTACATTTTTGATTGTGCCCATTCTTTGAGAGCATCGAGGTATGCTTGCTCGGATGGGAAACCTCGGTAGCTCTGATCAGCGACAAGCGTATCGATGGATTGCGCTGAGAAAATGCTCGCAGGTCGCGACGGCTGAGGGTTGCGGTCAAAGGCAGACCTTGGCTCTTTGATCGACATCACGGAGTAACGTCAAAAGACTATGGCGAGGACAGGCTAGTCGATGAGTTGCTGGAGGGGGTCGAATGAATCCCAAACCTGATTCTGAAAATGTGGAAGGGAAGGGTATATTGGGCGATATAAAGGGTGAAAGGACTTGACCAGTGCTGTGGTCACCCCACAGGTAGCAGGATTGGCAAGTGACTCGAGTTATGTATGTCTATCCTTCGCCACTGCTTTCTCGATCCCCGTATGTCTGCTGCTTTCACGGGAACGAGCGAGCCTATTATCCGGATCTCTCACCCTTCAACCCCGCCTAGCGAAGGCCAAAAATAGCGGGCTCTTCATCGATTCGTGTAGGATGACCGGCCAGTACCCAGGAAGGGACTGCCCGACTGCAAGGTGATGTCGACAATGAAACAAGATAAGAAATCATGGATGGACAGAGATGCCAATGCTCGTCCGCAAGGAGCCCACGTGCAGCATCTCGGGTTCAAAGCATGACACAAAGCTTGCTGATTGCAAGATGGATCCGGTGCCGCGCTCGTCCGAGGCAAAAGAAAGACATCCCGGGCAGCACTAGCCCTACTAGTCCTTCAGTAGAATGGCGTGTGGCTCACCGTATACTGTACACACTATTGACATACGTATCAGTTAGATTCGTGCCACAGCGTATGTCAAATCCGGATCCACCATGTGTTGAAACGGTTGATGTGTAACCGAAGGGGTCTAATGGTATGTATATGTATATGAGGCATTCAAAAGCCGATCCTGGGTAAAGTCGAGCTTGGAGGAGTTTCAGTCTCGCTTCAACCCGATCTTCCCAATGTTCCTCAAACCCCAAAGACTCACTACGAGGGTGGTTGACGTCACGGCTAGGCAGAACCAGAATGCTGCTCTGTAACCCTCCATCAGTGCCTTTGGTGCATGTTTATCAGGATAGTCTGACTGCATCGTGATGCTTCCCGCGATGACCGCAGACAGTGCAAGCCCGACACTTTTGCCGATTTGTGCCACGGTATTGAAGACTCCTCCAGCCAATGCTTGGGTCTTCTCTGGAAATGCGGCGGTGATGACCAAGTTGGAAACAGTGAAGAGAACGTCTGGGCCTATAGCATTTAGCGTTATAGCTGGGAAAACGTACTCCCAGTAAGACGCGCGAACTCTCATGATGGCAACGAGTAGAGGTGAAATACAGGAGATGGCCATGGTGAAGATAACAGCCCAGTCCGCGCGAACTTTGTGCACCGCCAGACCCATGAGAATGTTCGTGATGATACCAGCAGCCGGAGCTGGCAAAAACCGCAGAGAAGTTTGAGTGGCGCTGAGTCGTTGAATATCCTGGAAAAAGAAGGTTAGAAGGGTCTCGGTTGCATTGAATGCTCCCCAAGCCAGAAAGACGTCGATGCAAATGCTAGTGAAGATCCTGTTCCCCCACAGCGAGTTCGGTATGATTGCTGGGCGGTTGAGCTTCTCCTGCCGGCTGACCCACAAGATAAACGCTGGAATCAGAGCCACCGCAGTTGACAAACATGCTATGTTTGCAGGTGACTTGATACTTGAAACATTGCCAGTCAAGACACTAAGAAGGTTTAAGCATGCTGTTCAGGTTAGGGCTGTGTACGAATACTCACGCAAAAACGTAAGAGAGGAGACCTAGCGAGGTGCTGAGGATCAAAGCTCCCGGCCAGTCAATCTCTGATGCCAGTCTCTTGACTGATAGCCGCGTTGGCTGTGCTGGTTTTGGCAGACCGGCGACAGCCAGAGCGAAAATGACAGCGTTAATGGCGGCTGCGATATAGAAGCCCGACCGCCACCCAGGTCCGTCGGTCAGGATCCCGCCCACGACGAGGCCTACTGAGAAGCCCACCGGCTGACCAGCACCCATCATTGCAAACGCAAAGTTGCGACGCCGTCCGTGAGGGAAATACGACGTGATGAGACTCACGGCGGAGGGCAGACAGAAAGCAATTGCGATGCCGGCAAGGGCGCGGAAGAAAAGTAACTGCAAGCTGCTTTGCGCTAATCCGCATGCCAATGTGAATGCACATTGCAGGAGACATCCAAGCAGGTACATGAAGCGGTTGCCTACCACGTCGGCCACAGCTCCCGAAAGAATCAGTGAGCAACCGCATGTTAGGGCATAGATTGACGAAGGCCTTTGATATGGAGTTAGTCTTTGGCTGTGCGGAGGACTCGGCAGTCTGGAGGATACCATAGAAGAACAGAATCAGGAAGGTGCAGGTCCTTTGCCAACGTCGGTAGGATGACCGTTATCAAGCCAGCGAGCAGACTGCTAATGCCTGTAACACCCGTCACAGACACAAATATTACCGCAGTAGAGCCGTTCCGTAAAGCAGGCTGCTCCGGTGTTGTTTCAGGATTTCTTTGAGGCGGGATGCCATCATCCTGGACTGCAGGTAGCTTTGGTGCAAGCAGGGCAGAAGCCGGGGTTGTGAGTTCGACGGTGGTGGTTTGGGACATTGTTTTGAGACTATTCTTGGAACAAACTGCACTGAAGTTAGAGCTCGAGGACCTGTGAACATATTTTATGTCTTAATCATGGCCCGTCAAAAGGCGTGTGCCTGACAATGCCGTCACCTCAGTCTTGACCTCTTGGGGATTGGAGGAATTGCGACGTGCGATGACCACCTTTCGACCCCACCTTTTTCTCTCCCTCGGTCTGTTTGCTCTGTTTGCTCTATTTGCTCGGGTTGGACGCTACTTCGCCAATCTCGCCGTCTCTCCTGACTGGTGGGAATTCGGCACCAGCATCTCTCCAGGATCAGGCACAGAGCCAGAAGTGTTCGACCCCTAACACGCCACTCTCCAAGCCCGCCACTCACCGCCTCAGCACACTCGGCACCCCCCTACGAGCGTCTGCGCGTCAGCCCACCATCTTTGTGGTACCTACCCGGAAGCTCCAGAGCCGCCTGCAGGCCCGAGTGATGCCACCAGCAAAACGCCCAATAAAATCGATCAAAGAAATGGCTTCCGGAACAAGCCACTGATCCAGGGTTCTTTCAGTTCGAGATTCAAATTGTTGACCGAAGAATTTCTAGTTTTTCTTTCCTACTATCCTTTTCTTTCACAACCACATTGTCGTTGAACCGTCAATCTCTCCAGTCGCTTTTGCCACCTCGTCCTTCGTTGCGGTCGAGGTTGGCGAGACTCGCCCTTTGTCAAGATGTATGCATCAGAAAACCCAATCGGACGCCCCAGGGTGTAACGATTCGACCGAGCTAACACATATCTCATAGGAATTCCACAACCTACGCCGCACCCGTCACTTATACGGACTACTTTAACGATATTGCCGCTTACAATGTGCACCTGAATATCTTCGAAAAACTTTGGGCAGCATGGTACGCATACATGCAGAACGATGTGCTGGCGACGGGCATTATGAGCTTCGTAATGCACGAAGTGGTGTACTTTGGGAGGTGTGTACCGTTCATGATTATGGACAAGATCCCCTATTTCAGGAGATATAAGATCCAGGTGGTAAGTTCTCTGTCGCTCCGGATATCATTCGCAACCTCTTTGATCTGCTGACATGGGATCGATATAGAACAAGATGCCCACACTTGCTGAACAATGGGCATGCGCCAAATTGGTCCTCCTCTCCCACTTCACCGTCGAACTCCCTCAAATCTGGCTGTTCCATCCGATGGCTCAATACTTCGGCTTGTCCACGTCCGTCCCTTTTCCTCCTTGGTATACAATGGCGTGGCAAATCGCGTTGTTCTTTGTCCTCGAAGATGCATGGCATTATTGGTTCCACCGAGTCCTCCACTTGCCTCGACTTTACAAGATGATCCACAAGCTGCACCACCAGTACAGCGCACCGTTTGGGCTCGCTGCCGAATACGCCTCGCCGCTAGAAACCATGATTCTCGCATTCGGCGCGGTCGGGATCCCCATCATTTTTTGCGCGTTGACCAAAAACCTCCACATCGTTACAATGTACCTGTGGATCGTCGGCCGACTTTTCCAAGCCATTGACGCGCACTCCGGATACGAGTTTCCGTGGTCGCTGCATCATTTCTTGCCTTTCTGGGCAGGGGCCGATCATCACGACGTGCATCACGAGAAATTCTTGGGAAATTATGCCAGTTCCTTCCGGTGGTGGGACGCGGCACTGGGTACCGATATTGGAAGCGCTTCCGAAGGGGCGAAGAAGAAGGAAAAGAAGACCGTTGAAGGCAAGAGCGAGTAAGTTCGGTCGCCTTCGGCATTGAAAACCTGTTAGAAAGAAGTTTCGACCCAGCTTCGCTGTACATAATGCTGTCGATTTCATTTTGAAGAGCGGACAGCGGACGGAATAGACCATGCATAAATGGCGTTGGATTACATTGAGGAGGTATGGCAACTGGACAGGCTCGGCATTTATTGATAATGCCGTGTGGCGAGCTCCTCTCAAGAATTAGACAGAGTATCATCTCGACTCTGATGCGACTTCGTACTCATACTTTCGCTCTTTCCCTGGTGATCTTGACCGGGATCGCTAGTTGGTTCCTCTTGCAGTTCCTATGGCCCCCCGAATGTTCTCTTTTGAGTTGAGAGTTCCATAGTGAACCGAAGTCCGGCACCATCCTCGGTTCTATGGAGCTGAAGCCCCTTCTGGTGAAGTTGTAGATTTTGATTTCGCTGTATCGCAGGAGCAGCTTTCTAAGGCTTCGGAGATCTTCTGCCGGTTGAGGGCAATCATCCGTTCGCGGTGTACAGCGAGCTGTTTCTCGGCTTCGCCCAGATCTTGTGCAGCATCAATACTCATAGGCTCCATGGCCTCGAACGCATCCAAAATCGCGTTGATCTTATGCGCCAGCCTGGTGTCTCGAACGCTCAGCCCTCGAGGACTGTGGGTTGTACATGTGATAGTCATGTATTTGTCTTCTCCGCCAAACTCTCCACGGGCAATGTGTGGATGATGGTTCATTTCCTCGGCCTCAGCCATGATCAACTTTTCCGCTTCCTCGCGTTCTTTGGCGGAAGGGTGAGCCGTGTGTCGATGTATAGCATCGCCGAGGGCATCGAGGTGCCATTGGGTCGTGCCAAACGACAAGCCGGATGAAGGCTTCAACGAGAGATTGCTCGGCTTAAAGGTTTCCGGTGTGGAAAGTAGTGAGGCCAGGGCGTTTGCAAGCTTGTCACGGTTTGCTTTCGGGGTAGGCGAAATCTTCTGCGTGATTGTCTCGCCATTGTTCAGACGGAATGTGACGGTCTGGCGGTCCTCGGAGATTGTGATTGGACCACTCGAGGAAAGTGACAAGTGCCGTCGTGGAAATGAGGGATACATAGAAGGTTGAAGCAGAGGTTTCGACCTGCACTGAAGGTGCAGTTTGTTCACATGGCGAGAAGCTAATGCATTTGCATGACAGCGGACAAGAAAGCTGCCTACATGGCCAACAAGTCGCATACTCGTGTCGTAGTAGGGAAACACACACCAGAGCTTCTCAACGGGTCAATGCAGGATTTGGAACCATTCGCAAGTAAGTTCTGACTGCCCTCTGTGGCGCAGACATGCTCGGAATATTATTATTGCCTACGGTTCCCTGCCGAGCAACTCTTGGGTGGTGCCATCACTGACTAGGCTTGACGACTGGTTCTGGAGCTTACTGTCTTCCACATTCTTTAACTATGACCAGCCTCCCGTTGAGCAAGGATCGTGGAGGATTTTCAACATCTTTGTCCTTATCGGCCTTCTGTCCATCCGCATGGCGATTGTGCCTTAGCCGCAGAAGAGAAGCCAGGATGTTGACAAGCACCCATGTCCCTTTCATTCAGGCACAGGTTTCATCTCGCCTTCCAGAAGATTAAACGCCTCGACACGGGGACCACAGGAAGCAAAGAGACCACGATCCAAGGATCCGGGATCAAACACCACCCTTCCCCGGTCGTCTCCCGAGCTTGGGCTCAGATCCTCCCGCCGAACGAGTGTTCTGCCTTGCTATAAATTCCTGAAACGCTTGCCGTTTGGCCCAAGCCTCGTGCACGGGCATTGGTGCAAGCATCGCGCCTACTCAGCCCCCGCGCGATGGATTCGCTTGCGCATGGTTACAGCTTACCTACTGGGAAGCCTAATGCAGGTACCGCTGTATCCCAGGCTGTGGGAGTATCTAATGGCAGGAAGACGCCCAATGGGTGGGTAAGTGTCTGAATGTGCTTTTGTTCTCACCTCTCCCCTTGTGTTCGATTTTGCTTGCGGGTTCAGCAGGCCGCTGTTCTTTGAATCTTCCAATCTGTCAGTTCAAGCATTGCGCAGATTATTCTACTCAAACCTCGACACCTTGAAGAAGTTACAAGCAAATCTCAGCAGACAAAAGAATGCGCCAGAGCGAACTTATTGTTGCACTTCTGACTGCTATTTACGCCGTGAGAGCGAGTCCATTGCGACCTCGAGATATATACAACCCTCTAGATCCTCTGAAAAGCGTCGCCAGCGAGTTGTTCGGCTTCACGACGGCAATATCTGCACTGGAGTCGGCGAAGCAAACACAAGCAACAGTCTCGGCTTCCTCTACACCTTCAGCAGATTCGCCGACAGTCTCTGGCCAAACAAGCACCGCGCAGACCAATACCGTATCATCAGATGCAGTCTCGAGCACCATCAACAGTGGGACAGGACCTGTAACAATCACCGCCACTGAAACACGGTTATCCTCCGGAAGTGCCTCACACACGAACACAGCTTCCAACTCTGCCCTCCTCAACACCGCAACGACCTTGTCTGGCGGCTCCCTCTCTACTTCATCTGGCTCGACCAGCGCGCCAAATGGCGTAGTTCCCACCACCACTGAAAGCAGTGGATCGTCACATACCGGTACAAGCTCTAATCCCGGATCAAGCTCTGGATCAGGCTCAGGACCAGGATCAGGAGGTAATGCAGGGTCAGGTTCAACATCGGCCGATTCAACGGGTGGGTCAGGTCTGTCACCAGGAGAGATTGCTGCAGCAGTCATTCTCCCTGTCCTGGCTTTGGCCGCGATACTATTTCTTCTCTTCCGCTTCTGCGACCCTCTCCGAGAACGCTACACAGCTTGGCGTCAAGAAAGGATAGAGCGATCTGCCTACCGACGCGCGCTGGACGACCCCATTCTTTCCTTCGGCATTCATCAGCAAAACGGTCGAGATCTGGATGGTTTGGGCATGGGTGACGTGGAGCAGTTGGTGCGTCCCTTATCCTTCGGATTCCGAAATCCTCAGAGACAAATTCCTAGCATCAGGAGGAAGCCGTTGAATTGGGACCCTGCGCGGGTAGGCGGTCAAGGAGCCTCGTCAATTGGAATGGCATTACCAATGCCCACCGGACACCGTCCCAGGAGCCTCAGTGAGATATCGGAAGTGAGCGATATCAGCAGTGATGCAGAGGCCAGATATCAGGACGCCCGGTCGAATCAGCCCTCGCCGGAAGGTATCATTTCATGATTGCAACGACACTTTCGTGTTCCTCTTTTCCCTTTGCCAGCGACAGCCTGTCTGATTCTGATGAACATGCAAGCGATGAACATTCTGTATATATTTATATATTTTCCCCAACTTTATTAGGAGGCTAAGGATACACGCCTGACTCTTCGGGGCATTTTGTTAGCTCTCGATGAGGCAAACCTCTGTACAAATGTACTCCAAAAAAGTCTCGGAGTGCTATTCGCACAAGACTTGCTATAACAACGAGAGCTCAAAGCATCGCAATACACCAGTATTTTTTAAACTCGATTCCCTTGTGACTCTCCAGGGGGGTTCTGAGCCTCACCTACCTAGACGGTAGTTCCCAATGTCCAAATGTAAGGATGCTCTTGGCCATTGACAACTCAGGATAAGGTCTAGCAGGAGCAATGCAATATTTAAGTGAGGGATTGATATCGATGATATGTAAAACAACCAGTGGCAGGCAGCGTGACACGGGCTTCCAGTCTCATTGGAGAATCGACCAAGCATCGTCTCAAATAGTCCCGATCAAAATTGACACGAAAAAAACAAAAATTACGGACGAACCAGTCTCCGACATATCCATTGCTCATACACATTATCGATGTTCACAGGTCGCTGAACAGACAACGGCCAGACACATCTACGGAACATGGATGGCATCGACCTCCCCGCCCTGCGGGATAAACTCATCAGCATCGCCCTGCAGGCCGGCTCCATGATCACATCCGCCTCGTCGTCATCTTTAAATGCCGGAAGCACAGGTACCCAACAGAAGGCGGCGTCGACGAAGAAGAACTCGGCCGACCTGGTAACGGAGACGGACAAGGCCGTGGAGGACTACATCTCCCGCACGCTGATGCAACAGTTCCCGTCATACCAGTTTATGGGCGAGGAGACGTACACGCCGGGAAACAAGCTGGGACCGGAGCCGACCTTCATCGTCGACCCCATCGACGGCACCACCAACTTCGTCCACGGCTGGCCCTACGTGAGCGTCAGTCTGGGGTTCGCCGTGGACAGGGTCCCGACCGTTGGGGTGGTCTTCAACCCGTTCACCGGCAAGCTTTACCACGGGATCAAGGGCCAGGGCAGCTATCTGCGGATCGTGCGAGGCGGGGAAGTACCATTGCACATCACCCCAAGCAGTGAGGCTGACACCAAGTTGCCGCTTCGCTACCCGAGCGCGGTCGCCGGGCTGGACGAGTGTGTCGTGGCCATCGAGTACGGCAGCGATCGCACGGGGTCGAACTGGCGGACCAAGGTCGAGACGTGGGCGGCCCTGGGCGCCAGCAAGGACGAAGGCGGCGCCATGGTGCACTCGGCGCGCGCGCTGGGGTCCGCGGCGCTCAACCTGTGCGCGGTCGCCGAGGGCTCGATCGACGTCTACTGGGAGGGCGGCTGCTGGGCGTGGGACGTGTGCGCCGGCTGGGTCGTTCTCACCGAGGCGGGCGGGCTGGTCGTCGACGGCAACCCCGGGACATGGGATATCCCCGTCGACCACCGGAAGTATCTTGCCGTGCGGGCCGCGGAGAAAGGGCAGAGGGAGTTGGTGCAGGAGTTCTGGGGCTTTATCAAAGGGCGCATGGAGTACGAACACTGAGTTGGAGGGTTAGATAGGGGGTCATTGAATGGTTTCGATTCCTGTTCAACCACTTCGGAACTTCTGACATATACTGCCCGGAAAGAACGAACCCAACTAGAGGAACCCAGACGTGAGACGGGACAAAGACAACGATACTAGAATATAGACGAGAAACGTTTTGAAATCCGGCAAATCGACAGGCTCGGATTTGGTGGCTTCCTGGAGTTCTCTATCCTTTCCGTTCTGATTGTCCCGCTAATGTTACACTTGACGCTATGCAGATGGAAAAAAAAGGTCCAACATGAACACAGCATGGGACTCACTTCCATAACTTGCCTAGTGACACCTCCTTGTCATCATGCTTGTTGAGGACTTTGGCTGTTGCCAGGTCAAAATCTTCCTGCGTGACGTGGACCCTCCGTTCTCGCAATGCGAACATGCCCGCCTCTGTGCACACACCCTTGAGTTCGGCCCCGGAGCAGCCGTTCATTTTCTCAGCAATCTTCTTCAGGTCAATTCCTCTGGTCAGGTTCATGCTTCGGGAGTGGATGCGCAGAATATCGGCTCTGGCCTCGACAGTTGGTGGAGGAAACTCGATTTTACGATCGATGCGACCCGGTCGCAGAAGCGCAGGGTCCAAAATGTCGAGTCGGTTTGTTGCCATGATGACTTTGATGTTGTTGGTTGGTTCGAAGCCATCCAGTTGGTTCAGCAGTTCCAACATGGTGCGTTGGACCTCTGAGTCTCCACCGCTGCTTCCTTCCACACGGCTGGAGCCTATACTGTCGATTTCGTCCATGAAGATGATACTGGGTGCATGTTCCCTGGCCATGACGAAGAGTTCTCGCACCATCCTGCTCCCTTCACCGATGTATTTTTGTACCAATTCCGAACCGGACACTCTGATAAACTTGCAGTCGGCATGGTGAGCGACGGCTCGTGCCAAGAGGGTCTTGCCTGTTCCTGGCGGCCCGTAGAGAAGGACACCCTTTGGTTGGGCAATCCCGAGCGATTCGAAGAGTTCCGGATGGTTCAAACCCAACTCGATGACTTCCTTGATCTCTTTGATTTGTTGATCGAGTCCGCCGATCATATCATATGTGCTGTCCGGAACCTTTTCGACCATCATCAAGGAAACGAGCGGGTCAACGGATGAAGGGAGTATCTTTTCGAGTTTGTAGGAGTCGGAGAGAAGGGAAACTCGCTTTCCGACGGTCAGTTTGGAAATGTCGACGCTGTCGGCGATATCAACAACTTTGGCAATCCGTCAGCCTGAGCCAGCAATCTAACCACCTGTGTGCGAGACTTACCGTATTTGCCTTCGGGATGCACTTTGACCAGCACCTTCTTGGTGCCCATGACCTTGACGACTTCGCCCACGTAAGAGCCAGGTTGTTGCAGCAAACCCAGCTCTTCTCGCAAGAGTCGCACTCTTGAGTTGTAGTCATTTCGTTGGGCTTCTAACCGGCGCAACACCGCTTGACCTTGGAGGATTTCAAGCTTGAGAGCTTCGATTTTGTTGTGGTAGAAGTTGTCGAGAGCCATTATGAAAGGCGGTTATGGGAGTCACCGAGGAACCGGGTGGTAGCCTGTTTATTGCAATTACAACTGTTCCGAATGAGAGATCAACAGGCTGAGACAGCGAGGGAGACTTCGAGGATGTATTGATGGCGACGGTGATGGTTGGTGAAAGGAACCAGATGAAATAATGGACGCGACTGCGCTTGGGAGCCTGCGGCGGCCGCTGCTGGTGAGAGGCGTCTAACGCGGCTAATGACAAGTAGGAGACCGTGTTGCCACAAGGAGGGCGCCCGGCCCAATACCGGCCGACTTTTGGTTAAAGGAGCCCCTCTAGCGCTTGGCTTTAGGCACTGACTTCGGTGTTGACGGCTCTCCCTTATGGGGCAGCTGACTCCGGCGGAGATCCGACCGGCTTGACTCTCAGCTGAACTCGTAGGCATCATCGGCCCACCAACTGCACCTTTATTTGCTTGTCAAGATATCAAGACATTGCTATGAGCTCAGTGTGCAGCTTGCCTCCCTTGCGTGCGACTTGCAACTTGCATTGGGCCAAGGGTTAAACAAGGTTCGGACTCTCCAAGTTTCGGGCAGTCGCTTCCACACCCCATTCCTTCTTGCAGCCTCCGCTGCTGGTTATAGCACGTGCGCCAATTGACGTGTTGTCCTGGCGCTCTGGGCTCGCCCGACTCGTACACCTCAATACCCCATATCGTTAAAAGCATCACTAACATGCCAACCAGTTACCAACCATAAACCGACTTGCCTACCTCTGCTATCAATTATCTGATCCATTTCAAAGACCATCGCTCGTTCCCTCCCAAGTTCCCACATCTTGACATCCTTGTGTTCCTCCACCTGGGATAGATCGTCATCAAACACATCAGATGATTTGAAAGTCCTCGTGCCCATTCCATGCACACACGTGCCTCAACCAGGCACCAACCCGCCTGTCTGTCTGTTATTACGAGAGCTGTGCCGCATTCACAGCGCAGCCCCTCGAACCCCTACCTTCTCTGAGTAATGGGAGCAACTGGAACAACTCAATGAGGGAACAATATCCCAGTCAGAATGTCGTCCAGTGACCAGCCTCAGAAGATCCCAGAAGATAGAGCTGGGCAAGACACCCAGTTCACGCCGAGGCCGCCTTCATTCGCCGGCTCTGGAGCAACAGACTCGAGACAATGGGAAGAGCCAACAGCACTAGACACTACAATCCGGCGAGACTATGGTGAGTGCCGGCGTTCTTGAGTACAATGAAATTACCTGCTAAGATCAAACAGGAACCCTGAACAGCGGGGTCTATGCATCAAGCAGCCAGAGACCACGCAGCGGACAACGAAATGATGAATCCCAAGAGTCTTCTGGCGTCCTACCTATATCCCCACAAGCTTCCAGGCGGAAACCTCCCATGAGAAGAGTCTCAACCCGGAAACAACTGCCTCATCGAGGCGAACAATTCTCGGTGGACGATGACCCTGACGAAGTCGAAGTTGACAGAGAGTTTCAGACAACACCCAATACACAGTCCTTTCCGTCTTTGACCCGATCACAATCCACCATTCGTCGCAGAACTGCGGCCGCACTCCCGCAGTTACCACGTGTTGATTCCGCAGAAGAGGAGGCCGAGGAGACGGTTCAACAGGAGTCTGCTGCAGCACCGCCACCAGCTGAAGAAACCGATCCTGAAGCAGAAGGCGAAGAAGAATTGGAAGACTCTGAGGAGGCGAACCTGAGTGATGCGGAGAGCTTCACCTTGAAAGATCGACAGTTGGCCATCAACGAGACGCATCCATTTGGCATCAGGATTTGGAAGCCCGCATTATACAAAAAATCCAGATCAGTCGAGAAGGGTGCGGAGGAGGACATTCATTCCTCACCCAGTCAGATTGTGAGCACCTGGTTGTGGTTCTTCAACTGTCTGTGGACGGTTCTGTTCGGCTGGTGGCTGAGCGCTGCAGCGCTTTTCGGAGCCTTAGTCTGTTACTTATTTGCCTTTGACCCTAGTGCGGCTGCATATGGCGGAGTCTTCTTGGGCCTTGCTCGCTACCTTTTCTGGCCCTTTGGAAAGTTCGTAAGACTCGAGCAAGATGAAAATTATGCCGAGGAAGACGAAGGCGAAGGCCGCAGCATCAGCGAGTACGAACGATGGCAGAGTGGAGATCTGGAGTATGGCCGACTTATGTTTGGGCCCACCCTTACTCACACTGGATCCATCGTTGGCAGACATCGAAACAGTGTCGACTCTGCGAGCGAGAGCGACAGCCTCTTGTACCGAAGCGGAAGAGCAGACCGTCAGGAGACCAATTCGAGCGCCAAATCCAAACGGCGACTATTTGGCCGTGGGCAGTGGACACTGGGCAGGGTCATCTTCTTCATCTTCTTCTACTTCAATGTCGCCCCCTTGATGCTCCTTGTGTCGATGGTCTGTTGGTTGATGGTGTTCTGGATTCCCATGGGCAGGGTCACCTTGATCCTATTCTACCACCTACGGAAACGACCCTTGGCCTTGACGTTCCACCGAGATGCCTCGCTTGCTAGAAGCTCTACCAAGCCCTCGTCAATCCTGCTGTGTACTTACCGGGCGGTGGGGATAAAATACTGGAAATACACCGTCGATGGAACCAACATCTTCCTCATCAACTTTCTGGCCATCGTTGTCTTTGTCATTTTCGACTACTTCATCCTCAAGCTTGCAGCTGGTTTAGATATCTGGCTGACCAGTCCCGCACTCATGTTCACACTGGCCCTTATCTCCATCATCCCTCTGGCCTACTTCATTGGGCAAGCAGTGGCGTCTATTTCAGCTCAATCATCGATGGGGATGGGGGCCGCAGTCAATGCTTTTTTCTCCACCATCGTCGAAGTCTACCTGTACTGCGTCGCCCTTAACGAGGGGAAAGCGTCATTAGTGGAGGGAAGTATCATTGGCAGTATCCTCGCTGGTATACTTCTCCTTCCTGGGTTGTCGATGTGTTTCGGGGCGATAAAGAGAAAGACTCAACGCTTCAATGTCAAGTCCGCTGGTGCGACGTCTACTATGCTGCTGTTCGCCGTAATTGCAGCCTTCGGCCCAACCTTGTTCTACAAGATCTACGGAAGCCACGAGCTCATCTGCAGGGCGTGTACTGCAGAGGGAGTGGATACTCCCGCAGATTGTCGGCAATGCTATTTCCGCCAGGTGCCAGCCGTCTCAGATGACTTCTTCCTGAAAGCCGTACGACCTTATTGCTGGATTGCTGCTGTGTTTCTCTTTTCGTCCTACATCATTGGCCTTTTGTTTACTCTGCGGACTCACGCTGCCATTATATGGAGCACCGACCTAGATGAGAAGAAAGTTCAGCCTCCGACGGCTGATGTGAGTCCGATGGACACCCGACATCAAAGCGTAGTCAACTCTCAGAACCTGCCTAGACCCGACGGGTCTTATCTCCCTCGATCCGCTATCAGAGAGTCCCAGCTATACAAAAAGATCTTGGGACAGTCTCTGCGATCCGCCGGGCTTCCAGATGGCGATGCGAATATTGAACGCGAGCAATACAGCTCCCACGAAAGCGCGTCACACGTCTCAGCTATCGACCAGCATCACCACAAGAGTGATTTACCTCATGTGGTCCCGCCTAAATCGAGTCACGGTTCCGAGGACATCCGAAGCCCTCCTCTCCCTCCTGTCCTGCCTGGACTATCTGAAGAAGACAACAATAACCTGGTTCGACAGGTTGCGGAGTTGGCGGCCACAGCAGCGACGATTGCCACTCGAGATGCAGTCAATCATCCACGGGCCGCATCGTATCAGGCAACTCATGCTTACAAGCAAGAGACTACAAAACCCCAAAGACCGTCCGTCGTTCGCAGAGATACTGTGACAGAGGAGGGCAATGCAAATGCTGCGACGGACCAAGTTCCTGTGCCTGCTGTTGAGGGTGGTGGTCACGATGCTCCGAATTGGTCCAGGGCAAAATCATCCATCATCTTGCTGACGGCAACGGTTGCTTACGCTATCGTGGCTGAAATCCTCGTCGATACCGTGGATGTTGTGCTTGATTCGGTTGATATTGATGAGAAATTCTTGGGCATTACCTTGTTTGCTTTGGTGCCCAACACGACGGAATTTTTGAACGGTATATCGTTTGCTATGAATGGGAATATTGCGCTTAGCATGGAGATTGGATCAGCATATGCACTGCAGGTGTGCATGCTTCAGCTTCCGGCTTTGGTCCTGTTTTCCGCATTGCGTTGGCCCTTTATTGACCCACAAAACCTCATCAACCACACCTTCAATCTCATCTTCCCGCAATGGGACATGGTGACGATTATTCTCTGCGTCTTCCTGCTCAGTTATATGTCTGGGGAGGGGAAGAGCAATTACTTCAAGGGCAGTATTCTGGTCCTGACGTACCTCGTGGTAGTACTAGGATTCTATTTCAGTGGTTTCACAACTCTGACCATCATGGGGGTGGATCCTAACGATACATTGGCCATCATGTCAAGCATGGCGTGGCAACAAAATACACCTGGGCCGATCCGAGTCCCGAGGGTGGTCAGCGGGAGAGAGTTGTAATGAGTACCTCCGTCTGAAGAACGTGACGGGTTAGGTAAGAGGACTTTGCACGGGATTCTGATGTGTATTCGAGCGGTGGGAGCGCTGGGACGTTTCACTTCAGCGTCGAGCGGTTATGCATATTGGTAGTTAGAATTTGGACAAAAGGCATTGAGGTTCCCAAGTCATGAGATTAGGAGGACTATTTAATCACAGCTTGCCCAACTGGTTGGTCATTAATCAACTCAGGCGAACTGCGCCCTTTTCCTTTTCTCGTGGGGTGAGATTTGATCATGATTATATATGGACATGATGAGATGGGGCATTGACGCTGGCACGCAAGGTCGTATACGCCGTCCCCTGCCCCTCCAGGGTCTTTGTGCTTTCCAATGATGCTGCCGTGTGAGCTATTGAAGTTGACCGGTGTCGTGTCCTCCTCGAAGCCTTGCTTTTTCGCTAGCTCTTGTACTGAGTACCGTGCGTGTTAGATTTGAGTGGTGAGTGGTGAGTGGTGAGTGGATTGTCATATGTGGGTTGGTTAGTTGTTTCGATATCTCCTGAGTTCTTAGTTTGTGATACAAAACACGAATACCAGCTATGAGATATTCGCTTCGAGAGACGACCTTCGAACCCCGGTCGTGCTGAAGCTTAGCTCATTCAGTAGAGCTCCCCACCCCTCCTGCCTCCCCTGTGCATGCACCAATCGCACTATGTATTCCAACAAGCACTGGTTAGTAACCGATCGAATGTTCCATGAGTATCAAGGAGCTTTTGAAAAGAAACAAGGGAAAGAACAATAAATTGATACACGTACCACACTTTCGTCACAGCCCGTCCGATGAATGTAGCAATAGCTGGCCTTGCAGCGCTTGCACGTCCTCGCGAACCGCCGCGTACAGTCTTCGCACTGCCGGCCACAGTCCCAGCAGTCTCGTGTCACAGCGGCCTGGCCGGGTTTGAGTGGGCCGGGATGTTGATGAGGTTGATCATCAGGCTGTAAAGGGGAGAGAGACATGACGAGACGGTTAGCAAGATACATGTCAGCAAGGACGGATGGAAGGACGAAGAGGGAGAGGACGACGACGACGGAGAGGAAGAAGGGCCGATGGGTAGGGAGGTATGTGTATTTTGCGGGCTGTAGGCGGTGGAGGGAGCGTCTGGTCGGCGGGATACTCGCTTCGAAATGGCGGCTTTTGGGGATGAAACACGGTCGAATCTTGGTGCCGGAAAACCCTCCCTGTCGATGTTTCCACATGGTGGTGGTCTTCTTGATCCTTGATGTGTTCCTTGATTATCCCCCAGCACCGCCACCTCTAGCTTCGACACCACCCGCCTGCGAGGAAAGGCAGTTTTCAACACAATAGCCTTGATATACCTTGAGATAATCACTAACAGAGGGAGAAGATGGCACAGATATGTGACCCGACCCCTCGGACAAATGGAGGAGGGAGAGCTTTTTTGCACGTTCAGGGTTGTAGCAGTCAGCGCACCACCACCGATGACAGCTCTCGCAATATCGGTTCGCGAGGCACCAGGTGCAAGAAACGATAAGTCGTTGAGGAAGGATCCGTCCATCCTCGGCGAGGCGGAGAGGAGGTCGGACAGCGTCGATTAGCTTGCCACTGTGCGGTGGAGGCCACAGGAGTGGAAACTCGCGGACATCGCTTTCGCCCCAGACGGGCGCACCGTGGGGGCTTCGACCACAGCCAGCACACCCCGCCGGCCCCAGTGCCATCGTCGCCAGCGTAGGAATACCGGGTTTGTTTTCCGCAAAATAGTCTCGAGACGAAAAATGAAGGACAGGTGCCATATCAGCGTGCATATGGGTACATAAAACAGCATTGAAGCTGATTATGCCTTGGCATGTTTGTAAGGTCTCCTCCCACGAGGTTCGCGAGGCACGACCCTGAGCTATGGCGTGGCCTGATGCCGCGTACCAGACTTCCACGTCGGCTGATCTAGTTGCTCCACGCGTCTTAGGGGGGCTTAAAAGTTGATGGCGGGGCCATTGCCCCATTGGGAGCATGGTGGCATAATTGTCGAGTAGAGGATGAAGGCGATCGCTGCCAGGTCCACGGGCGTCCGATGCGGGAGGTGTGAAGACGTATAGCCCTTGCAGTCGAGGGGTTCCCTCAGGTCTACTCGGTCGACAAAGGTGACAGAGAAGCTGCTGCAACCTAGATTGATTGATGTTGATACATCGCCGTATACTGAGGAAACGAACGTTGTATTCGTTTCTCGTGACGATATCGTTGATCAGATCAACTGTAACCGAAGCCAGACCGTCGAGGACTAAGGTCTGAACATTCTGAAGGACTTTCATCTTGGCCAGTCTCGCTAGGACGCCGCGTAGTGGGCCGGCATAAAACTCGTCTTCGGTCAGGTTCTCGTCCATTCGTTCCGCGCGCCAGGAATGACCCCCGGAGTCAATTCTCGTCAGGAGACTGGGGGGAACATATGCACCCCGACACTTCGAAAGGTCAACATATCGGAAGACGCTTGCTGTGCGAAGGATCAGGTCTCGGAAAGCGCGGGATGTTCTGGCCAAAGCGAAGAGAGTGGAGAGAGGCAGGTATTGCACGGTGTTGTCGAGAATGATAGAGATGGACAGAACGTCGAGGAGAGTTGGCGACAAGCCGTCGGACTGTGCCGGGCGCTCAATGGACATGATAGACAGTTCGTTTGACGACCTAAGAACGCTCCAGGAAATGATATTCAGAGGGGGAGGAGTGATCGGGTCGAAACTCGATCAGTCGCGGTCACGGACGGGAGCGGGTTTTTGTAAAAGTCAAAGAAGCGGTCAGAATACCAGCCACGATGGTACGGTGGCGGCAGCTGGCACAACGTGATGGGATAAGGGTGAAATATCGATGGAGGAGGTTTGATGGGAAGGAAATGCATGTCGGTGAGGTGGTGGTTGAGTCAAATATCCACTAAGCCGGATCTGGCCGGGTAGCACACTTTGTTGAAAGAGCTAACCTCATTGGGAAAGAGCGTGGGGTGTTGGCAAGACACTACATCAACACCGCCCTTATGCACCAAGACTGCAATCAATCCACAGCACACAGAGCTCGGGATCAAAAGGCACAATGCAGCTAGTGTTGTTCCATCCAGACTTGTATCTTTGCTTCGTATTTCATGTCCCGTATGTTCCATTTCCTCCCTCGCCATTGCTTTTAATCCCTACTCACAGAAGTTCCAACCCGGCCCAGGCACAATCCTGCAACAGCCTTGTTGGGTTCCAAAGTACCAGAGCCGTCGAGTGGCAGACAGTGCCGTGCAACCTGTTGCGGAAATACTCGTTACGGTGCTCCCAAATCATTGTACTTTCTTGCCCTTGCTCGTCCCTAAATCCATCAAGTCGATCATGGCCAGACCAACCCTCTCACACTCGGCCCAATTCCGCTGCCGCATCCAAAATCGCTCGGTTGCACTTCCCGCCGAATTGGTCGTAGACACACTCTGATTCCTTGCGTCTTCTTCCAGGCTCTCTCTCGTGATGCTGGCAAATGCGTGCTCTCCAGATTCCGTCATTAGTGGACTGTTGGGAGGCGAGGCGAGGGGTTTGACTGCATGTCCCAGTCCAGCTTCCTCGAGGTACTTGCGACGCACCATGAAGCGCTCGCTACGCTCCTTGCGCATGGCTGCAGAATCCAATTTGCTGATCGCTGTCCTGACCAACAGTCGCACCACCAGGAATGTGTGCTCAGAGACAAACACGCTAAGTAGGAGTGCCCACAGTTTGATTGCGTGAGGTCGGCCATCTGGTCCCTGTCCGTCATTACCCGAGAACATGTAGACCAGCGCCGCGGAGGTGAGGCTGCCCAGCCAGGCGAGGAATTCGAGACTATCGAGCCAGGGTCCAATGGTATCTGCTCGGGCAGGGTTGGGTCGTCGGCATTCGACGGTCAATTTGAAGGTGTCTCCCCTCAACTCAATCCAATTATTGATGAAATATGAGACTGGCGTCAGTGGCCATATTACACTGAAGAGCGAAAGGTAGCCGAACTGCATACACATCTCCCGCAGGTCTGAGGTCACATCGTACTCAGGCAAAGCAGCCTCTTCGCGGACTCGGGTGAGGAATTCCTTCTCTTCGGGCGGATCGTGGTCCGCGACCGAAGGTGTCGTTCCGCCATGCTTTTCTGCACGTTGAGATTGGATTTCTTTGAACTTCTTAGTTCCTCTCTGAGTGAGGACTGGCATGACTGTCTCCATGGCGAAGTTGACGACTTGGGCTGTTACTGCGAAATAAATCATCTGGTTGCGTAAACGGTTGGGGTTGATGCTGAAGGCCGCTGGAGAGGGCGTCTGGAGCTGCTTTTCGTCCTCGGCGAATGCTTTGACTGTCAGGCCGAAGATATCCAAGTAAGGCACCAGGATCGAGGCAAAAGGAACATATACGAAAGAAGTTAAGAAGATGGCCGTATACGACGTGATAAAGTTGATGACGAAGACCTTAGAAATCATGGCCTTGTCATGAGCGTCTTGGGTCTCGTAATTTTCGTAGAAGGTGAGCTTTTCAGCAAACCCGGTCAGGAAGTTGCTGATGGTGGGGACGGCAAGGGTGAGGAGAATTGTGGGAAGGAAGACGAGGATGGACTTCAAAGGGCCGTCATAGACTTCTGAGATGAAGATCTCAATGGCGTAGCAGGTGCAAATAACAGCACCAAGGGCTATCACGCACAAACCTGCTAGTGGGATCTGGAGGAGTTGTCTCTGGAGCCGCTTCAATGCTGGGAAGTAAGCAACCTTTTCACCCGTAACCGGGTCCGTGGTGACTTTTTCCGGTTCAAATTCTCTCCGCTTGTCTTCGATCAAGGATACTCTCTTGACGTTCCATCGAATAGCCAGTTCTTGTTCTTGACGTTTCCAGTATTCGACGAATATAACACACCACAGACCGTTGACAATAGCATAGATGGGGGAGTAGCTGCCAAGGAGTGCCCAACATGAGAAGCCGAAGGCAGCAGGGAAGATCATGAAGGAAAAGTAGGTTTGCAGGAATGCATAGTAGTAGCCGATCTATCCTCATCAGTCAGTTCAAAATGACAGGGCAGAATAACGGGGCACGGACCTTCTCGCCGACCGTGTTCCTGATGTCGTCGAGATCATCGGGCGTCAGAAATGTCTTGCGGGTGAACTCGGTCAGCCACGCTTTGTTTTTGACGTGGTCGTGCAAGGGGAACACAGCTTCAACATTTTTCCATTCGCCGTGCTTTGGTGTGATGCCAGCTCCTCCTTCTTCACGGGGACAGCATATCATGTGGTGAATGTGTCGATGTCGTTCGGCCACGGTGAGAGGCTCTGAAGTCAGAGTCTGTGCTGGGTCATTGCTGGGTTGAAGTTGTCGGACCCCATGTAACCAATCTTTTATCCTCGACCGATAAACCACGTCTGCAAAGATCTTCTCGTCGGCGGCCTTGACAAAGACCAGCAAGGATGTTTCGTCGCCGCGTCGCACTTCGGTGGTCAATCCGGTCTCGGTGAGAGCTCGAACGAGTTTCCTGAATTGAGTTACGCCAGCTTCCTTGTCTGGCTCAGTGTCAGTATCAATGACTGTGGGTGGGGTTTGTGGGAGCAGTACCGTCATCGGGCACCCGATAGCTAATGACATAGTCAACATCGAAGTTGGTCTGAAGCACCTTGGAAGCCATGATGCGAGCGAGAGGGAGGATGGTGGACGTGAGAGAATAGAGCAAGGGCTTGCCCTGGCAGACAGCCTTCGACAGAGAGTTTTGTTTCTTATCAAGGAGTTGTCTTTGCAGAAGAGTGAATTGAAGAAACTTGGAAATCAGGTTGCACAGGCACGCCCGGTAGACTGAAGTTTGATCATCGGTTCAGGCGCGACGTCATCAGTTGAGGAGATCTAGCATTGAGAGATTATGCCCATTAGCCTAAAGAGGCTAGAAGGTTCTTAGCTCAGCATCCTCGTCTATCAGCCAATCGGTCAGCTGAAAGCTAACGCTAGCCTTCCTGGGCAAGACGTCAAAAAGGAGCCTCGGCATCAAGGTTACGCTTATCGACGGCATGAGAAGCAAGACAGCATCTCAGTCCTTGCTTTTATATACCCATCTCTCATCACGAATCTGGAGCACCCCAGGCTGACACTCTATCGATAAAACACAAGTTGTATAACAGCAGAACGGAGCACATAAGCAATCATGGCCCATAAGTCCGAAGGCGCGAGTTGGAACCAATCCTATCCGGAGCCTGATCCAAACAACTACTCTGCGTACCAACGGGAGATCTATGGCTCTCTGCGGGCTCCTATATTCTCCACCAACCCGTCCACGTGGGAGTCTCTAGCCCGCTCCAAGGTCCCTGCTCCTAATTTCGGCTACGTGTACGGGTCAGCGAGCAGCGGTCAAACCAATGCTGCCAACATCTCTGCTTTCGATCGGTACCGGATCCGACCCCATATGCTGGTCAACGCCACACGTCGCGACATGGGCGTTGAGCTGTTCGGAACCAAGTACAACAGTCCACTTCTGTTGGCCCCAGTTGGGGTCCAGAATATCATGCACGAAAACGCTGAAGAGGCCACCGCGAAAGCTTGTCAAAAAGTCGGCGTACCTATGATTCTCTCCTCAGCCGCCACAAGAACCATTGAACAAGTCGCCGCAGCCAATGGCACCGGTGACCGTTGGTATCAACTTTACTGGCCCAGACCGCAATGGGAAGAAGTCACCGTCAGCTTGCTAAACAGAGCAAAAGCCAACGGATTCAAGGTCTTGGTCGTCACATTAGACACCTTCAACCTAGCCTGGAGGCCAACCGATCTTGATCATGCATATCTCCCTTTTGTCTGGGGTGACGGCTGCCAAATCGGACATTCTGACCCGGCTTTCAAGCGTAGATTTGAAGAAATTCAGAAGAATGATACAAGAGGCTATGGAGAGAAGTTGGCCGAGCTCTGGGCAATGATGAAGAGGCCGGGCTCCATCTATGGCGCGGCGCGAGTGCTGACAAACATCTCTCTCCTACAAAAGTCAAGGGCTTGGTTGGATGTCATGGCTTCTGGGACGTACAGGGAGTGGAAGCACTTGGAAATTCTCAAGAAGCTGTGGGACGGGCCAATTGTCCTCAAAGGAATCCAGACGGTGGATGACGCTCACAGAGCCATTGACTATGGAATGGACGGCATCATTGTGAGCAATCATGGAGGCCGGCAATGTGATGGTGCTATCGCTTCCCTCGATGCTTTGGCCGAGATTGCTGCCGACGAAAGGGTCAAGCGATCTAACTTGACTCTTTTGTTTGACAGTGGTATCCGGACAGGGAGCGATGTGTTGAAAGCATTAGCACTGGGTGCCAAAGCTGTGTGCATTGGCAGGCCTTTCATGTATGGTCTTGCTGTCGGGGGACAAGAAGGGGTGGAGCATGTCCTCCGGTGCCTGCTCGCTGACACTGACAACATGCTGGGCAATATGGGTAAGACGAGTGTGAAGGACCTGAGCCGACATGACTTGCAAATTAGACCCGAATCAAAGCTGTAGAGGCAGTTGATATAAGAGCCAAATGGAAAAAGCAGTGTTTACGGTCGTATCCTCTCGAGAAGCCGCAGCCTCAGTTATTTACTGAGGTAGAATGTTCCCGCGGAACTGGACCTCATACTCTTTTCCCTTTGGAGCGATGGAGAGTTAGACGAATCAAACCTCCTCGCATCAATCCGGGGGCCAAACGGACAACACTTTGCAAAATCCTCACGTGAAGGCAACGCCAAACCAATGGGCTTTTTCCTACATCAGCCTAAGTCGCGCCCGACAGCAGTTGCTCAGCTGTCCAAGCGGCCAGCCGAGAAGTCCTGCAATGGCTGCAGCAGAACAAGCCAGGACAGGCCACGAAATACACACTAATAACACCCACCTTGAGCCTCGCCCCCCAACGCAGGAAACCCCAGGTTTCTCGCTATCTGTGGGATTTGGCTCTACGGACGCGTGGCCTCTTTCCATTGGTGCCGGAGACATGTGCCTCGCGAACGGCTGAGGAGGACAAAATGTTCGCCCGGCTGGTGCTGTTGGGCATGTCGACGGTACATAACGGTGATGGCTCCCTTCAGCCTAACCGTGAAACATATCCTTCTGCTTTCTAAATCAAGAACCTACTACCCATTATACAACCCCTAAAGTAACATGAACCAGCCAGGACAAACACTGAACGAAAACAAACAAGGTCTAGTTGAAGATGATTCGCCGGCAAAAGGCAAACCAGATGTGTTTGTCGACTCGACCGCCCTTGTCGCCGACGGACAGGTCATACGCATCTTCTCTGTCCTGCAATCAACATCCCCGAAGTTGACCAAGGCATGGTTGTGGGTGCTGGGGACAACGGTCTTTTGTGGTTGGACCGTCTCGTTCACCTACGCCGTCTTCATCAGCCCCCATCCCGTCTGGCGCTTCTACGATTTCTCGCCCAGAATCACAGTCGCGGTGGTCAATTTTGCCTCTCACGTCGCCGTGTATCTGGCGGGGTGTATGATCCAAGCGACGTTTGACGCTGTGTGCTGGGCGGTGATATCTGGGCGAAAAGGGGCGCCGCTCAGGACGTTCCTGGTCACGAAACACGATGCAGGTCCGACAACGGTAGCGTCCATGCTTTGGACGTACGGAGGACATCAGCTGTGGGGCATTTTCAGGTATATGATGGCAGACATCCGCCCGCACAGAGCCTTTGAGTAACCTGAAGCTTCAAACAGGCTCTCTCTTATGGTCGGCGGCCGGGTCATCGGTCTGCCCCTTCTGAGTAAGTCGGTGACGCTGCCCTTGGGCTTGCCATGCATCATAGCTGAGCCGGTCTTCCCTCTTCAGGTGGGATATCTTACAAAGACGTCTTCTATCCCAACCAAACCGTCTCTGTGGTCGGCGGGATCGCGCCTTTCCACGAATCAGTCGTGGCGCTGCAAAAGGCCAGCTCCGGTGGTCAACAGCCTACTTTCCAGGACGCAAGCACAAACACAATGCTCATCAGCTCGACCAATAGCATCCTCACCGACCCCAAGTTTGTTGTCAGAGTTGCTCCAGTATCCTCAAATTGCCACGGGTCTGACTGCAAGTCTTTGTTCCTGCCTGGTGGGTTGGAACTTGTCCTCAAGGCAGACGGGACGTCTCTGTTTGACGGGAACCAGCCAGAAGACCCCGTCATCATTGTCCACGATGCTCAAGGCTACCAATTGGACTTCTCATCTCAGGACTACACGTTCAATACCTCAGTGGACTGTAATACCTACGGCCTTCCTGTCTCAGCCCTTTACGCGTGTGTAGCAGGTCGTAATGACACAATCTTCAGTGGTCAGTAGCACACACATGGATCGAGCTATTTTGGATCGTCATCTAACACAACGTCACAGGCTTCACAGTGTGTCCCTTCAACTTGATGAGCAACGGCGCCTGCCAATCTGATCAGTCATGGACACAGCACCTCCAAGCATCCGTCGCCATGAACATTTACCGGCGGACGTCGACGGTGGCGTACGACCGGTCCAACTTTTCGATCTTGAGCGTCGAATCCCTGGGACCCCCGACGGTGGCCAGCGATGAAGACTCGGTATCCGACTTGCAACAGCTCTTCGAGATCATGTATCCCAAATTGACCACCATCATCGGGGACATTGAGGCGTCACTAGAGCATTTCGACTCGGGCCAGGCGTGGACGGACCTCGCCTACCTCGCCTCGGTGTACTGCATCCAGGCCGAGATCACCGCGGCCGAGCTATTCCTCACCGACGGCTACCCCAGCTGGATCAATGGCCAGCGGGACATCCTGGAAGGCTTCTTGACGATCCCAGTGCAGTTTGGGACCCTGCTGCTGCGGCAGATCGACCAGTCCATCCTCGGCGACAGCTTGACCACGACGGCGTCCTTCGCCCGCGTGTCGTTTCGCGTGAGGTCGGAGCCCTGGACCATCATCATGTTTACGTCCGTCACAGCCGGCCTCGTGGCCAGTGCTATCTTGGCCTTGCTGTACGCTCACTGGGCGGCACGGCTCAAGCCTTTACCCGCACGTTCCTCCCCTGTTGTGACCGCCTTCAAGCACGGAAACCCCTTCGACGCGCCGCCCGCAGATATTTGGCAGTCATTCTTGAGCGCCCTCTTATGCTGCAGTCGCAGGAAATACTCATCTGCGCTCCAGAACGGGGCTTCTGGTGGGGACACTCATGTCGTGGCGCGGAAAGTCACTGACGAGCTTCTGATCGCTGTCGACCGGGAACAGGATAAGGAAGATCTAGGCGGTAGCGCCACAGGGTACGAGAACAGTCATTTCTAGACAGCTCGCCACGCCTTCTTGTGACTTTAGTGTGGCTGAGGACATGCATGGCAGGCTTTTTCCAGTTCTGGCCTATTGGAGCGCAAAGCAAAGCAACGCAAAGGAACCAAAGCACCTGGACAAGGGCGAACTGGTTGCGATATAATTCATTATACAGGGATCGGACCATTCTTGTTGTATCGCTACTCGTGTAGCTCTCTTTTTCCCCTCTCAAGTGCAGTGACGAGCTACTTCCCGGGGCATGCCTACAACCTACGAGTATATTCACCTCCAGCAAAAGTAGACTGCTTGTCTCTCTACCGAGGCCAGGCTACGAGCTTTCAGAACGGACGGTATGCTAACCTACCGGATACCGTGGAAGTGGCTGGTGCCTAACAATCAGGGCTTTTTTGATCATGAGTTAAAGTTCGTCTGACCGCTCTCCGCAAGTTCACGGGCTCAGTGCATAGAATCAACTCGTCCCCTAGAGATTGAAGCAGGCTAGTGCTCAACAAGCCAGAGCCAGAGCCAGAGCCGAAGTCGGGAGAGTAAGGCGTTCTTCAGGTAGAACCGGTTTTCAGCACTTTTATACATCGCCCTTGATCCAATAATGTGGCCACAAAGACCATTGTACCCGAGAATCCCTTGCAGGGTCTGCGTGTGCGAGGCACGAACATTACGAGGTCTCGCATCGTTGAGCTCCGCAACAACGCGGCGATGAGTCCATGGCATTGCATTGGGCATGCAGAGAGCAATGAGATATCGCTTGCAGAAGTGACCAGGGCAATTGCACAGGCCAGGCAGGCGGTCATGGACTACGTGTCCTCTTCTGGTCCTTCTATCTGGAAGTCTGCGATATCGGGACACAAGTGATGGCCAGTTCGCTCTTGACGAGTGGAATGTTGTCGTGCAATTCGAGCAAGCACAACGCTGCCTCACAGAGCAATACAGCGCCTCGCAAGACTTGGTCTTTGCAATGCGTGTGGGCGCAATAGAATAACGACAGACGGCGAAGTATAAGAGCATATAAATATCTGAGCAAGTGTCAGGAGTAAGCCCTTCCGGGTTGCTCGATCATTTTCAGATTTTTTTGGTCTCTCGTCGACGTTGTCTTCTGTTACATGCCGCTGCCACCACGGTCCAAGTCAAAGAACTTTTTTTTTTCAGACGAGGGCAGAGACTTGAAGGTCTCTATTCTTCTGCCGCATCCATCTGCTGCTTCCCAGAGGTTCCAAAGCATAGGCAGAGTTGCTCTGTTGGTTCCGTCGTCGACCGAGACCAGTGTCCATATCTATCAGGCGCTATTACAGGACCGAATGCGCATCTAGCGATCTCCCTTCTTGAATATGGGCTTCTCTGGCCCTGAGGGTATGAAACGGTTGGGAGGCTTGAATGACCACCTCCAGCTGCGGTACGTGACAGCCACAGTTTTCCTCGATCCCAGGATCTGTGGGAAGAGCAATTGGATACTAATACAAATTTCGACAGCGGACGTCCAGAGTCTAATACAGCTGCAATTGCAAGCCGGCGCCCGCAGACGGAAACCCCATCGATGCTGTTGCCATATTTGCACGATACAACTTCCACCCTTGAAAGGCTGCTCTGCAGGCCTGATGATGCCAAAGAAGAGGAGGAAACAAAACGTCGGGTGAAGTTGATGGAGCATCTCGAAGCTGTGGAGACCATTGTCGGGAATGGGCTGCAAAGCAAGCCAGAGCACGGAGCTAAGCTTTGATTCGAAGGCCCACCAAGCATTGCACATTGGAGCGCTGAAATGGGACTGGAAGTATTGCGTATCGAGCCCCCACAATGGCTGTGTGCTTGGAGCTTTCATTGTGCTGGAAAAGCCTGAAAAAAATCGTGCAAACACCCTGATTTAGAGTAGCCTTCTGGGTTTTCGGATTTTCTGGCGCCACATCCTGACTAGCCAAGTGATTGGAGACGTTTCACACGGCTCTGCTTCACGTTGGCGTCAGGTAGGCTTCTAATTTATTTGTTGCCAAATCATGCCGTCTCTTCACCCTATTAAGACGGGAGCAAACAGCGAGATCTTGCCGGTCGCTGCCGAGGTAGAATGTTGTGACCTATATCGCAGCCGCTGGGAGGAGGCCTTTTGTTGAGATGGGTGTTTCTGCTGCTAATTTGGGCCCTGAGGCTGATTTATCGCCGCATGTTATCATATGTTTGATGGAATTGATAGTCATTTAGACTCGGATTGTGAGCTCTCCCTTCGTTATTTCCCCGGGAAATGACACAATAGGGATATCTGTTAGGATTCGTGTTGGGGTATTCGAATAGCCACGGAGGTGATTGACCGCTGTAAGATGACCAGGGAGGCTGAGCTGGAAACGTGGATTGTGGCAAGATTGTTTCTTCTATTGGACTTAATAGTGACATCTGGGCATCTTGCTGCATTTCTGGATCCTGTGGCATAGAATAGAACTCCTGGTCTTGTGAGTAAAAAGCAGAGTCATCTCTAAAGTCCGCTTCCACAGGATTTCCAGAAGGGGTAGAGTGAGGCCTGATACTTGCTTGCCGTGGATCTGGCTGTTGATGCGTCATTGGAGCTGGGCGAGGTGCATTTTGGGTGATCGCAGGGAACATCCCTTGTTGGAACTGAGTGCCGGACCCGCCGGCCGTTTGAAACTGGGTATGAATCTCTGTAATGAAATCCGTCAAGTCGTTCAAGAACCGTGCTGCCACCTCTGAGTCAAAATATCCTTCTATCAGGCTACGTGCTGAAGGAGAGCGACGCAGTGTGTCCATCAAGAACATATTGTATCGTGCATCCGCCGCTTCCTCGAAATATGGTGAAGGGATTTGCCGACCAATCGCATCGGGAAAACAAGTTTTGTAAACCTCTTCCCAATAGGTCTTCTCGTTGTTGTTGGCCTGGTTTTTCTTCATCGTTTTATCATGCAGTTTCTTTTTTTGATCGTCGTCGAAACCGTCCGCAAAATCTCGCTGTCGCTGCTCGGTAGGGACAGAGGGGCATGCTTCCTGAGCTCTGCGGTGCTCTTGCCTCTGTTCATTACCCTCAAATCTCTCACCGCATCTGTCACAGAGGTGGATATAATGTTTTTCGTGCAGGTGCTGCTTGAGACGACTCACATCTCGCCAGCCATGAGCGCTACACGCCTTTTGGCATCCGTAACGGTTTGGAGCGTATTTGAAGTAAGGGCAAGCGTAAGTTAGTGGCGGCTTCTTGTTTGTTGGTATGTCGTCCCGGAAAGAGAGATTCGGTCTTTTGTTTGGCGGGGGCCGCCCCGCGTCGTCGTCGTCGTCGCTATCGTTATCGTCGTGGCCGTCGGCATGGTCCTGAGACCCGTCGGAAACCAGCTTTCTCTTCATAGGACTGTCTGTATGAGAGCCACGAGTCGAGTTTGAGCCATTACGCCTCGTTGAATTACTTCCTCGACCATTGGAGCCGTGACATTGTTGCAATATTGTACAGTCCACCATTTTTGGGTCTTGACGCATGCTCAGTATTATACGATTAAGCCACAAGAATCGATATCGAGATAGCGCATCCGCGTAGCCAAACGCGGCTTCTGCGCCTTTCATGAGGAGCAAACCAATCGTGGAAAGGTTGGACCCCAGTATCGCATAGTGTAAAGGGCCGAGATTCAGATATCCAGCAACTGACATCATCCTGCCGTGGATAGGAAGCTCAGAATGGACGTAGACCTTATCTTGAAACCCGGATGAAGTCGGAGGCCTGTCAGATGTTGGACCCTCAGAGTCCATCATTGCGCCATGGTCCAGTAAGAGTCGCACGACTGCTACGTTTCCTGCTGTGGCGGCAAGACAAAGTGGACTGATCCCGCTTCGAAGGTCGTTCACATCAGCTCCGGAGTTGAGGAGGAGGCTCATCGTTGGCATATTGCCAGCCGCGACTGCCCACATTAATGGCGAATATCCGTACTTTCGGTCGACGATATGTAGATCTGCACCATAATCGACCAGCAATTTACAGACTTCCAGGCCGCCGGTCTCAGACGCAAGCGACAGTGCTGTTCTCCCTTCTGTGTCAGTCTGATTGAGCAATTGGTTTAGATTTGAGGGTTCTTTGAAGAGGTCAATCCGTGGTGATGCCTCCCCTGTTAGGTCCTGAATTTTATCAGCAGAGCGACGGGTTTTCAGCTCTTTTTCCATGTTCCGTGCCCACATGCGGACCAGCCTTGACAGATTGTAATATGCTGCAACATGTAAGATGGACGATGATTGGTAGAGTCGCGCATCTTTCCCTACCAATACCAATGCTCGAGACCAAGAATGGAGTAATTTCTCTGAAGGAAGGGGGAAAATATCTGCCCAGACTTCCTCTGAAATACCAGCTCCGTTCGCAATCTGTAGGTGCTTGAGCCAGAATGTTGAAGAATAGCCCAATAATGGAAAGACAGCGTTCAAGTCTTGTCCATCAGCGTGGGGTTGTTCGAATGCCTCCACGGACTTGGCACAGTAATTGAGACAAAGGCGAGCAAATTGCAAGTTTTGAACGGCTGCAGCGTTCGCAGCTGACTTCTGGCTCGAATGCATCATCAGGAATTGAGATGTGGATAGGAAGTCTTTCACGCTCGAGTGCAACAAATGAACCGTCGTATGATCTGTTTTTGACCAGCATTCAGAGATGTGGTCATATTTGCTGTACACAGTTTTGACAAGTCCCCAAGTACGCTCAGTCAAGACGCTGGTGAAGTTGGGAATTGAGTCGAAGGAGACGTGTTCTTCCAAATGGTGGATTTGATGGATTTCGGAACGTTCACGATATACAGGTGAAAGCGCTGCAGCAAGCTCTTGAACCGAGAGAGGACGGCTCGCGAAAAGCACCCAAGACAGTGTTCGAGAAATCTGAAGCTGAACTTGGGGCTTTTCTTCTTGGATGTTTTCGAGAATCCGCCGGTATACACTGTTCAGATCAGTGGGTAAGCTTCTGAGAACACGTAGAATGTCTGCACTATTCCTAGTTTCGTTGTAGATGATGTGGATGGCCAGAGAAACCCATAAAAACATTCCGTCAGCCTTCTCAAGAATGATATTGAGAACTTCATCCTTGAGATGTAAAAGTGAATCGCCATATTTTGCGGCTCTGATTTGGATCTGAGTTTCAGTAAAACTGACAATATCCTCTTTGTTCTCTTGGTCAACGAAAACACTCGCGTCTTCTGTACTGCAAGAGAGCGTATTTCTGGAGGAGACGCAGATGCGAAGATGTCGCGTTGGTGCTCTCCCTAGCGCTTGGCGTAAGAACTCTAGGATACTTACGACTTCATTTTTTGCACACTCGTCCAGTGCATCAATGAAGATATAGACTGGATGATTTTCACTGATGTCAAATAGCAGAAGGTTGAGCTGTTCGGCTAGCAAAGAGGGTTCGTTGGCCCGATTCCCTCGTAACTGACTAGTGAAATGCAATTCGGTTGAAGCTAAAATGTCGTGCTCACACGGAAGATGCCTGGCTTGCTCCCAAAGCTGATACAACAAAGCTCGATAGAAGTCAGACGCTGATAGTTTGGTCCTGCCCTTGAAGGGGTCAAAGAAGTAAGACAGTGTGAGAACTGGAGTTTTGGCGGCGACCGGGTAATTTCCACGGTCCAACATATATTTCATCAGCGTCGACTTTCCAGAACCTGCTTTTCCCCGAATCCAGAGAAAGCCCGTGTCGTCGTTCTGAGCCCACCTTTCGAAGACCGAATTCTTACCAAGCCAAGACAAGGTGCCGTCTGCTGGAGAAGCAATGCGTTGGCGGCCGTCTTCGAGCTGGAAGAGTGCCCCAGCATCTGCAAAGTCATTAGCCAACTCGTCTCTTTTGGGAACAGTCAGGAGTGGGCATCACCAGCATCATGGTTTTCAGGTAGTTTCGAGCCATGGCGAGAGAAGGGAATTGTCAGAACTTTGAGTGCTGCGAGGATGCGACGATAATTGACGGAATTGGAAGAGAGAGATTTCCAGATACTCTTTTCGGGCACATGTTAAAAGCGTCAAACAAACTTGGAAAGGGAGTGTACCGTATGATCTCCCCGTATTGGAACGCAGTCAAACCCTTCCAAGACGGCGTCTTCCTTCAGGACAACGTGGGTCATTTTTGTATCAGAGAGACTTGGACTGTTATCAGCAAAACCAAGAGTGTCGGGTTCTTCAAAGAACGAGACCAATTTGATTTGATTTGGTGCTGTGTTCAGGTAGTCCTTGAACTTCGTAGAGATCGACTGAAGAGGTGGTAGAATGTCGTGCAGTCTTTTTTCGACGGTAGCCAGATTGGCACCGCTGGCACAGAGCTGGAGGAACTTCCAGATAGCTCGGTCGGTACGGTCGTTGACGCAATGAGGGGTACCAACGAAGACTATGCCTTTGATGAGTCGAGTGAGGTTGCTTGCCGGCCAACTGGTACTATCCACACGTGCTTGTGAGCAGATTAATGCCTGCTTCACAATGAGACCACCCAGACTGTGAGCGATAAAGACCAGTGGGCGGTCAGACTAGAAAGACAATTAGCCGTCATTACTAGTAGGATGGAGAAGTTTGAAATCAAAGTATAACGAATGCCTGCAAACCGGCATCCGCAGGACCAACTTGAGGTGAACTTCCCATGGACCGTCCTTGGGGAGGAGACGAGAGCGACTGCGCCCTCACAAAAATAAAGGACCATCGACCAAAACATAAGAAAGTGCACGACGAGCTGGTGCTTGGCGCTGAGAAGGGGTAGGATGAGAAGACAACGAGCAGAAGTTGGGTCACAAGACCGAGAAGGTACTGACTGTATTGTCGGCACTTCGCGTTTGCGAAAGGGCTTCAAGCAGATGAATCCCCTGTTCTTCCACAAGGCCAATGCCTTGGAGCTCGAAGTCGTAGCCGTAGGCGAAAAGCCTAGCCTCCGGAAGGTCGCGGGACACCGACAGCAACCACGATGATGCCTGAGGGCCCAGTCCGTGGACAGCAATGATATCAACAATTGCCTCCGTGCTGTCTGGAGCATGTAGCATGTTTAGTCCGTGACCCGCTGACATGGTGATGAAAGTCTCACCCAAAGATCTCTGAAAAAGTCTCGAAGCAGAACAGAATCTCAGAGTCGAAGAGCAACCTAGAGGAAACAATGGAATAATATCTGATTTCCGGCAAAAATCTCCAAAAACTCTCCAAAACTCCTGCAAAATACGCAATCAGGCTCGGCCAGCTGCTGCGAAAGGAAGAGAGAAGAATGCGAGGAGAATGGAGAGTCTATCGGTCCTCCATGTGTTGCAGTGCAACCTGTGTTATGGCCAGCGGCGACAGCTTGACATCCGCGCCGCATGGCACACACCAAGTATTGCGAGGCCGCGCATTGCGAAGTGTGGGATTGCGAGCCCGAGCATTGTTTTGCAGCGAAGATGCGAGGAAGGTATGGGGGACTCTAATGCAAGGCAACGAGCCCAGAGTCAACCGAAGTCGTCAGCGGTGGCTCCTTTTGACTTTTGGGCAGTCAATGTAGGGTTCTACGCCCAGTGGAGGTACTTCGGCCGGCTGGGAATCAAGGCGTTTTCAGGGCTTAGGGACCTGGAGGATTGGGCGTCATGCAGATCAATCTGCGCCCGCAGCGACAACGGGCCAGTCGGCGTGGGTAGTGGCGCACGGCGCGTGACATTGCGAAGCAAACGCCGTCAATAACCAGCAGAAGACGGCAGGAGATTCTGCCTGACAAGGCGTCGACCTGTGGGTTATCAGGCTTTCCTGCGACGGCCAGGAGTACGAGCCGCACTATCCGGTCATGAGGATAGAGTTAGTCGTGGCAGAATCTCATATACCGATGGGATAAGTGTTGAACAAGAAGGGTGAGTGGGTGAGAAAGAAGAAAAGAGGATGATGTTAGATGTTGTGGGGAAAGAGTTGCCTGTTTCTCAGCCTCGTCGTCATCTTCTCGCCCACTTCAAAGCAGCACTCCATTGACAACAATCCTTGTCCTTGCCAGGTCATCTGCACAAACTAGTGCGCTATGGAAAAGTATCGAGCTGTTTTTGTGCGAAAGGTCTGCGTCCAGAAGAATCTGCTTCCATACCAGTGATGAGGCTGACTTCCTCCCAACAGCCAGAACTATGAGGTCCGAGTTCCTATCAGCAACTGGAAATCCTCAGGGCTGTGCAAACGATAAGTATTTTATATACGGTGTTGGGGACCTCGAGCAATACAGAAGGAGAGACAATCTTTTTGGATGTGCAGGGAAACTCGATCCTGTGGCTATGCCTGAACCTCAGGCTACATCGCCCTAGCAGCCTGGATGTCCTCCAGACTCGACATTCGAACTCTCTTTCTTCCATTGGCGTGTACGAGTACCTCGTACTTCAATCATCCTTCACCATCACCATGATCACGTCATAAACCAGGAGCTCTGTCTTATCTCTGTTGTGCTACAACCTTGGCGCTCACCAAGCTGTTGCCTTTCAGCTACGCCACTTTCTCAGCTAGCAGGGTTGACTCAGTTCCTGGCCAGGTCTAGAACCCTCCTCCAAGAAATCATAGGCTAGTCTTGGTTGCGCTGTCGTCGCAACGATATTCGGTGCCGTCACCTCGACTATGTTCATCACAGAACTGCGAACAGATGCATACCATAGTGCTTGAGCACCTTTCTGGGATCGCCTCAGCGCGACTTCTCCGGCAGATTCTCCTGAGCATCAGTTCCCAATCACCCAGAAGTTCAGGCACTCAGTTGAAGCTCTGGTTCCACGAACGCTATGTGTGGCCAGTCTTTTCCATATGCGTACACATAGATATCTCCCAATCGTGAACACGAGAGCTGAAAGTTCAGTCCCGTCCATATGCTTGTCAAGAACTCTCGTCAATTCCGGTCGCCATGCTTCATGCATGCCGGTATTGGCATCACCATCAACCTCTTTCCTATCCAATCTCTCCCACTTTTACGACTTAGTCCAAGGGACTACATTTTCTAAGTTCATCCTTATTCGCTTCGTGTTCATTGCTCAGAATGTGAGTTCTGCAAAAGCCGCCGCGGCGTTGCTTTTAGAAGCCCATCGAGGCAATTCTAAACGTGCTTTCATTCATATTGGCAAAGGCTTAAGAGGGTAATTGGCTGTCTCTTTGCGAGGCTCGGGGGCCCGGCCCTTCACTCCTACCGGCTAATTCAACGAAATCTTCATTGCGAGATCAGCTTTAAACCACCGTGAAGGGAATTTTCTAAAGGCTGATAAGATGGATCCTGCCCGGCAAGTCTGGCAGAATGGAGTACTTCCTTTCTTGACTCTATCATTGCAGCAATCGTTTGCATGTCGCATTGCCTCGGGGCTGAAATATGGCCCCAAGTGAAGCAGAACTCAACGCTGGAGTTGTATTCGGCATTGGCGCCTTGAACCACGATGAGGTGCGAGCCAGACTGGACATCGATGTGATGATCGCCAAGCAGCCAGATGTGTTCAATCTGTTCCTTCTCGCCCTCATGGATCTGAAGGCAGATACATCAAAACTTGGCTACTTTTCTCTCGCCGGTGATTCTTCAATAGTTCTTCACTCCGATGTTATTTTCCTCTCCCTTCCTTTCCTAATCAATTCGTGTTGCAGGAATCCATGGACTTCCCACAGCTCTTTGGGATGGCGTGGGAAAGACCTTCCCCGAAGGAACGGGAGGATACTGTGCACACGGACGGCTTGTCTTCCCAACATGGCACAGACCTTACTTGGCTCTTCTTGAGGTGCGAATTGCTTGGGGCGTGTGTTATGAGAACTTGGCGAATCCTGATATTCGCGGATGTTATACAGCAAACCCTTTTTCGCAAAATGATGGCCGTCGTCAGGGAATTCGATAGGGCATTTCAGTCCAAATACCTCACCGCGGCGAGAGCGTTTCGACTCCCCTACTGGGACTACTTTCGGCCTCGCGACGTCGACGCAAAGTTCCCGGGCATCAAGCTAGAAGGAAACCGTACGAGGCACGACTACGACTTCCGCATGCCGGACATCCTCAACGTGAGGGAGGTGATGGTCCGAGTGCCCCCTTACGACAAGTTGACGGTTCAGAGCAATCCGCTCTACAACTTCAAGTTCACCGACAGACAGAACCTGGACAAGGACTTGGCCAGAGCGAGACTGACGGTAGGTGTTTTCCTCCACCGGTTCTCTTGGAGACCTTCGGCCAACTCAGCGGGCAGAATTACAACCCTAATCGCACCGTTCGATACCCCAGGAGCAAGGACTCCAAGTACCACGACGTGCAGCAACTGAGCGACGCTCTCAATAGCGGTCGTGAGGGCAGGGCGTCCATGATGCTCGATATCCTAGATCCAGGTTCCACTCGGTACCCGCGACTCGGGGATGTGGCCTCCGACTCGGTCTTGCGTGAAGGGGACTTGACACAGACAGGACTTTCAAAGGGGACTGCCGGCATATTGCCCAGAGACGGGAATGGCAGGCCCGCGAGCTATGGCTCGATTGAAGCTCTGCATGGCAATTATCACACCCTGATGGGCGGGCCCAATGGCCACATGTCGAGCCCGTCCGTTGCAGCCTTCGATCCGGTCTTCTGGCTTCATCACTGGTAAGCCCGCCTCTGGTGTGTTCAAGGAGGGATCTCATTGGAAGTACTAAAACCCACATAATGTATATATAGCAACGTTGACCGAATCTTCGCCATCTGGCAGGCTCTCCACCCCAAAGCCTGGTTCCCGCCACCGGGCAAGGACGCACGAGGCCGGCGCCTGAAGCCGGAAAATGAGAAGGACTTGCTACCCTTCTACAAGTTCATATGCGATCTGGGCCCCATCTACTACGACTCCGACTGGGCTCGAGATATCGAGAGCTTTGGCTACACGTATCCCGACCTGGACCGCGTCAGCGACCCCAAAGTCATCTGGAGCAGGGTGTACCGCAGGTATATCTGGAGCATCCGCAGTGCTTCCAGCCGCCGCTTCTCCACGCCGCCTTCGGACATGATGCCACTGAACCTCAACCGCGCCCAAGTCTTTCGGTACCCTGCTGCCAATTCAAAAACCTCGACCGCAGAGCCTCCCTACTCTGTGACGACTCGGATCGTTTTCAAGCGAGTCACGTCGTCCGGTCCGGACACTCTGACGACAGAGCAACTCGCAGCGCAGGATCGAGGGTATGTGCCGGCTCCTGACAATGACGTCGATCCGTCCTTCGATCGTGAGTGGTACATTGACAACGTCGTGAAAAGGTTCGTACCATTGTCGCTTTGTTTGGAGATGCCTTCGCTCCATCTCCCTTTGACCTCCTTTCAACCTGGCAATCCAGTTGCCCTCGACTAACGACCCCGTCTTTGCTTAGAAACGCTCTGAACGGTCCCTTCACAATCTACTTCTTCCTCTGCCCCAAGTCGCGATTCCCCGACGACCCGGCCGAGTACGTGGCCAGCCCTTACCTGGCCGGCATCAACCACATCTTCGCCGCCCCACGCGAAGTCTGCGACAACTGCGGCCAACAAGACGCCGCTGGGGTTTTGGCCTCCGACACCGTCCCGATCACGCCGCTGCTCCTCGATTATGTTGGAGTCGGGACGCTGGAGAGCATGCGGGCCGAGCATGTCCGGCCCTTTTTGGTGAAATACCTCCGCTGGAGAGTTGTATATGTAAGTCCTAGTGCATGTAATGACCTTGGAGCAGCAGTGGAAGTGTGGGGAACCTTTTCTGAGGTTGCGGCTGATTCGTTGACTTCTAGGCCGGCATATCGAGGGCGGACCCGAGGCAGATGCCTAACTTCGAGGTCTCGGTCAGTGCGAAGATTCTTTACGATGACGGATCGGCGACATACGAGGCGTATCCGGATGTTGTCGACGACATCATCTACAATGCCTCGTGAATGGCTTTTTTTCCTTGGGTTTGGTCGGGTCTCATATCGCAATATTGGGTTATCAATTGCTGGCGTCACCAATTATCTCTGTTATTGGGTAACACAATGGCTCTGCTGCCTTTTTCCTTTAGCTGTTAAACCATTATTGCAATTCGGTAGGCGCTTTGGCAGTCAGTTTGTTAGCATTGAGATAGGTAGATAGTGAAGGACAATGCAACAACAATGAAGGGCATTGTGTCTAGTCAGGGGCTTTCAGCCTTGTCATTCTCCCCCTGAAAGTCTTCATTGACACACCTTGGACTATAACCAGTTGTAGCATCATCAACATAGTGCCAAACGATGACATCTTGGTATAGTCTCTTCATGTGCACCACAAGGCCTCTGTACACAACCAGGACATGGCTGGTACTGGCCAAGAGTCTGCAGACATGTGCGGGTGCGGTCTCTTTGTCAGTGTCTCAAAACACTTCACAAACATTGACTTTTGTGCGGCATTGTCTCCGACAAGCTCAAGACAAACACCATTGTCACCTCGATAACAAAGTCCTTTATGCGGGCCTTTCCTGTATATACGCGCAGTGTCCTCCGGCAATCGCGCCAGGCCACCATCAACATCAAGCTTGCCGTTCAAGATGACGGGATCCCGAGAGATACCAGTGATCGTCATCACGCCTCCTCCGGAGGAGAGCCCGACGTCCACCGTCAGCATCCTGACGGCGCGGCACTGGGGCCTCTGGGCCAAGGGATGCTTGCGCAAGTTGGACTGCACGAGCGCCAAAGGGTACAACTACTCGACCATGACCGATGACGACGATGTCGAGCTGGTCGACTTGCTGCCACGCGCCGCGCCAACTGCTGGTAAGTTGCCAACCGAACCACAAGACAAAGTAGCTGCTGAAGCACGACACAGACAGGTTGAAGCCCACGATCGACCTGTTACAGAGACTCCTCTCGATGAACGATCCAACAAAGGACACAAGCAGACCGAGGAGGCAGACCGACATGGAGCTAAGGCAACTTCACCCAAGCGATTCGTCGACATCGACGTCGAGCGCGCAGCCGCCTCAGAATTAGACAAGTTGGTCTTCTACAAGAAGCATCTGGCAGTGCTGGAGTCCATCAGGTTTCGTGGCGACATGATGCGGGCATTTGAGCAAGAATGCAAGCAGCCATGGTTCAACCCGAGCGAGTTTGAAGACGACCTCCCACCACTTCTTCCACAAACAACACATATTCGAAGGAAGGCAGAGGAGCTCCTCAAGGACTTGGTGGAGAATCCAATCCCAGATATCGGGGATATGCTTGAAGCAAAAGGACAACGCAAGACGAGTGTTTGCATGGCATGGCATGTCGTGCTGGAAAGCCATGGAAGAGATATTGGCAAGAAAGCCCTGTTTGAGCCTGTTGTGCTGGGTGATTGGAAAGAAGATAGCTGCCAGACATGGGAGGAAATACTCAACCAGAAGTCCAGGGACTATTAGCAGACGTTGTAACGCTGTTGACCAGCGATTATGGGAGGAATCCGAGGTATATTACATACTCATAAGGAAAGAGGAGGAGGATAAGTGAGTGAGTATTTGCAGTGATGGTGTATGATGGTCTCGTGGTGTCACTGGATCGAAATGGAAATGCACGATTGCGTCATTAATCGAACGCGTCGAGTCGCGTCTTGTCTCGCCGTGTTTCTTCTCCCTCCTGTCCCTCTTTAACAACTGATTCCTTTACCCTCCAAGTATACACAATTAGCCACAGATCCGATGTCTCCCTCTGCGGTGGAAATAGATAAGCAGGGTCCCCCTGGAGACTCTCTGGGTTTTCTGCGCGAAAATGCCACTGCGTTGAAAGCCTCGACGAATGGAGCCGCGACCACTCCATCACCGGAACCAGCAGGCCAACCTGTCTCGACAAGTACAAGAACTCATGAAGAACATCAATACCTCAATCTGATCCGAGATATCCTCTCTCGTGGCGAACACCGACCGGACCGAACAGGAACCGGTACGCTCTCGCTCTTCGCTCCTCCTCAACTTCGCTTCAGCCTGTCACGTCCCGATCCTGCTTCGCCCACCGCTGACAGAATACCCATCCTTCCTCTCCTCACCACTAAACGCGTCTTCCTACGTGCCGTGACCACCGAGTTGCTGTGGTTTGTGTCAGGCTGCACAACGTCAAAACCTCTGTCGGAAGCAGGTATCCATATTTGGGACGGGAATGGCTCTCGAGAATTCCTCGATAAGCTGGGATTTGTTGATCGCGAGGAAGGAGACCTCGGCCCTGTTTACGGATTCCAATGGCGCCATTTCGGAGCAGAGTACAAGGATTGCCACACAGATTACACGGGCAAAGGCGTGGACCAGATCAAAGAGGTGGTACGAAAACTGAAGACCAATCCATACGACCGACGGATTATCCTGAGTGCATGGAATGTAGCGGATCTGTCCAAGATGGCATTGCCGCCTTGTCACATGTTTGCGCAGTTTTACGTCAGTTACCCCGACGCGCCTCGAGGCGAGGCAGCGCTCAAACTGCTGAGCAATGGATCGGAGGCCAATGGGAAAGAGCAGGAAACAAAGGGCCGCCTTTCCTGTGTGCTGTACCAGCGATCCTGCGATATGGGACTCGGGGTGCCTTTCAACATCGCCTCATACGCGCTACTGACACACATGCTGGCTCACGCATGCGATCTTGTGCCGGGAGAGCTGATCCATACCATGGGGGATGCGCACGTGTATCTCGACCATATCGACGCCTTGAGAGAGCAATTACTCCGTGAGCCGCGAGAATTCCCGACCCTGAACATCAGGCGGGACGATAGGGGAAGCGGCGAAATGGACGGCTGGAAAATCGAAGAGCTGGAAGTCGTAGACTACAAACCACACGGCGGGATCAAGATGAAGATGAGTGTATGATTACGATTGAAATGGAAACGGGGATTTGGGGTGTATTCAACATCGGTTGGAAAGGAGTCTTAAGAAGACAAAGTATTATGTCTTCATTCTGATGAGTTATTGGGTAGAAGTCCTGCAGATCCTGTCTAGACTTCGCGGTATATTGTTCTTTTCCTCTAGATCGTTCGCTCATTATGCTATCCTATTACCTGCTGAACCTGCGCTGGATCGCTCGCCATGCCCATAACCCCATAGTAAACGCCGACGCTATGCAGCAACCAGATGTATGGAAACCCCCTACACTGCAATTCACTTCCCATTTTCCTTGGGCCCGACTCCTCTGAGCAGGACGACCGTGTTCCCAGTGACCAGACACGTCCCGATCTTTTCACCAAACTCCAACAACCGTCCTCCTTCGACGTGGTACACCCTCAGTCTCTGCTCCTCGGTCTCGACCCGGTTGTTCACGTTGGCGACCTGCAGTCTCTTGGCGGCGTCGTCCAGCATGCGGCCGACGGACCACTCGGCGGAGAAGAACAGGTCGGCCTTGGGCAGCTTCGCGGTGGTCGAGGCGGCCTCGGCCTCGACGTGGAGGTAGACGCGCTTCTCGGGCGGGAGCTTGTCGTCGCCCTTGGCGGCGCGTTTCAGGGCGTTGAGCGCGGCGATCTGGGCGGACTTGCTCGACGGGCTGGGCTTGGGCGTCAGGGCCTCCTGCCGCTCCTTGCCCCAGGTCTTGAGGCGGCCGAAGCCGAGGCGCAGCTTTTCCTTGTTCGACTGCATGGCGAGGTCGAGGGGCCGCGCGCCCAGCGGCGTGAGGTTCTTGCAGTCGTGGTCTTCCCGGAAGCGGTGCTTGAGGCAGTACGTCCGGTTACACTGGGGGCAGTGCACACCCAGGTTCTGGGTCGTGTTGACGAAGGTCTTGCACGTCGTCTCGGCGCATTGTGTGGCGTTGGCGAGGTTTGGTTTGGCGGTGGTGGTGGCGCCTCCTGCGAATGTTGTCGTCGACGTCGTCGACGACTTCCCAACACTGTTCAGCCGTCTATTCTTGGCCCATTCGCCAGCCCGCGGGCACTGGTGGGCCGTCTCGCTGCGGTGGTCGAGACAGTAGGTGTGGTGGCACGAGTCGCACCGAAAGGGGAGGAAGTCGAGTTGGTGGCAGTAGGCGAATTCGCAGTGAGCGCCAATGGCTTCGACGTCGCGGTCCATGGCGGTGTATGATGCCTCGGGGGGTGTGGTTGAAGCAGACATCGTGGTAGTAGTGGTGGACGACGGCGTTGATGCGTTTATAGGACGAGACTGTTAGTAATCCGTGATTTGTTTTTTCCACCTTCATTCAGTGTGCCCGTCGCCACTGCGGCAGGCTGAGGACGCACTCGTCACGGGCTGCAGGAAGAGGCTGATGTGAGTGAGTGAGCGAGTAAGGGAGGGATTGAGACTGGAAGATTCGGGATGCTGCGCAGTCATTCTCATTCCCCGCGCCGAGGCTGCACACACAGCCTCGCCTCCGCGTTTGTCAGCCTCGTGGCAAATATTGCTTTTCCTCCAACCATCATCACCCTATTCCGTGCTATAATCTCATTTCTCTCAGGATGGCATGGTGTAGATTGTATGTATGTACGGTGACTTCTACTCGCACGATCGCAGTCTCAGACCAGATGCATGTCCGTGAAACGTGTCTCAGGATCCCATCCCGCTTGCAGTAACATCTACATACGTAGATTCGATTCAATGTCAGTCCCAGAGCAACACTGCCTTGACGGTAGTCCCACTATGTATGTCATGGGCTGCTTTCTCAATATCCTTGGCACGATATGTCTTGATGAGCTGGTCATAAGGAAATCGCCCTTCCTGGTTCGCTGCCAGCAGTCTTGGTAGAAACTCTTGAGGGTAGCAATCTCCCTGGTTGCAGCCAACGTAGCTGCACCCTGCATTTACCATTTCGAACATGTTCAATGACGCTTCTGCGGAGAGCTTGGGGGGTACTTGTCAGCCTGTAGGTTTGATTTGTCGTGAGGCGAACGGGACTTACATCGCCAACACCCACTGTGACGACCTTTCCTTTTCTTGCAGCACTGTGCACGAGTTCTTTGATTACTTCTGGCTTCCCCGTGGTGTCGATAGCACCATCTACCCCCCGCCCGCTCGTGATATCCAGAAGGACTTTCATGAGCTCAGGGCGGACTTTAGAGTTGACGCCATGGGTTGCGCCGAATAAGCGAGCCATTTCCAACCTCGTGGGAACGATGTCTATGGCGATGATCCTCTTGGGTGGTGTTTCGAGCATCTTGAGAGCCATGATTGCTGATAGTCCCACGGCTCCGACACCTACGACAGCAACAGCCATGTCCGAAGATGGTTCAACCACGTTCAGCATGGCTGGCCACCTTAGTCAGAATCCTGCAAGGAATAAGCGAATAGCAGAGTTACCTCCGGCGCCCGTCATGATTCCGCAGCCTAGAGCCGCGACCTGCTCAAAGGGCAAGTCCTTGTCAACCTTCACCAATCCGTTTTGAGACACCAGGATATGCCTCGCGAAGCTGCTTTGTCCGAAGAAGTGGCTCGTGATGGGTCTCCCTGTAGTTAGGCTCGAAAATACCTTGGACCCATCCAGCCTCCCGATGCCAAAATTGTACTGGAACCATAAGTCGCAATACGACGATTGCTTGCGCAGGCAGTACTTGCACTCTCCGCATGAGCTGAAGACGACGGCGACGTGGTCCCCTCTTGCGAATTTCGTCACGTTTGATCCCGTCCGCTCGACGACACCGGCACCCTCGTGGCCCAGGACCGCTGGAAACAGCTCCGGCATGGTCTTCTCCTTTGAGAAGTTGAGGTCGGTGTGACACACCCCGGTGGCCTTGATGTGGACGAGCACTTCATTGGCCCGGAGGTTATCGTGGAGCTCGATCTGCTGGTACTGGAAGGGCGCTCCGGGCTTGGACACCACGATGGCGTCGGTGATCATCTCAACGACAGGCAGGTATTTGGAGACCTCGCAAATTGAAAGAGGTCGTCAAGTCATTGCATCTTCTGCCAATGACCATCTAGACTGCTTTGATGATGCTTTGAAGATCCACAGGCGCCACAGTCATGCGATCTTGCATATGTAAAGTTGTTGCCGGGAAATTCGCCGGCGGTTTAGGCGGCGAGAAGGTTCGGCCGTTTCGGGCATGGTTGTAGTCTGCGTGCCCAGCCGCTTTTAACGGCCTATAAGAAGCGACCTCAGGTGCGGAAGCTCATAACTCCCATCGATTCTGATTTTTGTTCCGTCACGCTTCAACAAACTTCGCCCAGTCCCACATCTTCTCCTAGGCCGGGTCGCTCACGGTTGGCCGTGTGTCCTACCGGTATGGGTGATCGGCGCAGGAACAAAATGATATTACTAGGTTATCAATTCCCCCCTATTGAAATAGGCTCCAACGGCATACAGTTTCATCCTCCAACCGAGCTTGAGAGCCCCGACTCCCTCTTCACACCGGGAATCCCGCCCAATGCTAGCATACCGTCGCCCCGCTGGCTTCGCCGCACAAATAACCGCGAGTGCCTTATTTTTGCTGACGGCGCTTGCCTTGGGAATGGCACCGACCAAGCAAGGGCCGGCTGTGCGTTCGTCTTCCGTCCTCCGAGCCCTCTTGAATCCAGAGCTGGTGCTAGCAACAATACCATGACCTCTCTCGCCGGGCATACGTCGTTCAGACTAGAGCTCAATGGCCCACAAGGGACGCCTGAGCGCCAAACAAGCAATCGTGCTGAGCTACGAGCCGTTATTGCACTTCTCCAGTTTCGCGCCTGGACTGGCGAGGGCATCCAAAGACTTGTCATTGCGACCGACTCTTCATACGTGGTTGACTGCGCTACGCAGAGAATTCATGCTTGGCAGCATAACAGGTGGAGGACATCGAGAGGTGAACCAGTCAAAAACCGAGATCTTTGGGAGTTGTACCTGGCAGAACTACAGCGCTCTAGCGACTCAGGATTACAAGTTCTCTTTTGGAAAATTCCAAGAGAGTGGAACACCACTGCTGATGCACGGGCAAAGGAAGCTGCCACTCTCGCTGATCAAGAAGAATTTTCGAAAATCGTGGGCGTTGCTTGTTAGCAACCCCGTGGCCAGCTTGTTACTTGAAGGGTGGACGGTCGCTTCATGGACGCCGGACCCGCCTACATCGGTGTCGAAAAGAAGCTGAACAAGGCTTCACGCACAAGTCACATTACTCATTATGATGATGACTGAACAAGATAAACACAGCGGCGTGTGCCCCTGGAACTTCCCAACGACCTGCGGGATAGATAGTCCTGCATTTTCAGAAATGGATCAGGGATCGGACGCCGTATGGTTACACCCCTGTTATGGAGTCGTTTCGATTCCATAAGAGGGACGATGCATGTATCGATGCTGGCTGGAGAGTGAGGCATGACGTGTACCTGCTACCAATTCGACAGAGCCCCAGGATGCATGTCAGAGCGCAGACACCACTCATTATCGTCCACGCATTAGGAAGGGCACCTTTAAGCGCATTTCCGGTACACAGGCTCACGCCGTCTGTCTGCGTTGCCAACAGGCCAGCAGTCCAAGCCAAAATTATCATAACAGCAACCCGGAAAACACGATGTAGTGACTGGTTGAGTAGCAACACCTCCAGGACTCACCATAGCCAATCTCAAGTTATTCCCAGCAGTATAGTCTTCCCCAACCCTTAGACCTCTTTCACCCCGTCCATGGAGAGACGAAATCCGCCAAACTCGGTGGGAAGTTTTCCTACAACCTCCGTTTAACTTGTAGACCAAGCACGACTGGATCTGCGAAAGAAATCAGCCCCATGGCGAAGGGGGTAGTAACAAGTCCCACGGGAAGTAATAACGAGTGTGTCTGCTCTTCCAAGCCCACGATCAGCGACTCTTCATCCAACCATTCCAACCCATTGCCTCCTTGACTATTCATGTCAGAACTAACTAACCGAATCTCTTTCTTCCGTGCCGGCCGCCTGCAGCTTCATTCTCGTCGCTAGTGGCTGCCTGCAGCCTCTTGGTTTTCTGCATCGCGCGAGAAAACACCATCTTTATTGTCACAAGCCACAGGCTAAAGCTTGAATTGAACGTGAGAGAGCCTGGCCATTCTTCCTCGCAATCCTGACTTGCTCAAGGCACAATGGCTGTTCTACCGCTCATTCATCATCCAATACCGACCCTCTTGCGAGAATTGCCCGATCCTGCTCCCCTGCCAGCTTATCTCTTCTTCACCTCACACTCCGGATCAGCCACTCAAGTCTCTCCAGAGGGAATCTTCTGCGGGTCGTGGGCGCGGCCTGGTGCACACTTTCTGAAGCAGTGGGTGCACGACACACCTGAACAGCACTTCGCGAACCATTTCGACAAAGATTCCCTATATCCCACCATGTTCATCTCGACCACACCGGAATTTCTCAGGGCAGTCCAGATTGCAGTCCGACACTATAGATATGGTCGTCACGGCATCAAGATCACAGTCATTGATGTCGAAAAGGCAAGGCAGTCATATCACGACATCACGAATGCCCGTGACATCGTGCGACGCTTGAATTGGGATGAGGAGGACGCAGTCAAGTTCAAGTCCGAGTGGCTGTTTCTGGGACGAGTCAAAGCTTGCGCCATCGTACACCAGATCGATTTGGACGCGAGGTTTTTTGAGTTCCTTTGCCGTCTCTTTCCCACGTTCAACAACGAACTCTATCTCCGCGAGTTGCGATCCAATATTGCCAAGGACTTTTGCATATCTAATCCATACCCATACGAGCAGCCCAACCAAGGAAAGGACGACGCCGAAAAATGTGCTACACTGGCTAACCGGTTAGGACCTTGGATGCGCGAGAAGGGGGATGTCTATGAGGTAATAGTTCGGCAGATCAGAAGTTGGAAAGATGATATGATGGAAGCTGAGATCGAAGCTGATGTCGAATACCGGCGGGACTTCCAGGACACCTTCAACTCTTGGGTCCACCCTGTGTTTTGGTAGTCATGTTGAGGAATGCCACCATTGACAAGTCCAAGAGTAAAGCTACGTCAACTCAAAACTCAGTCCATATTCAGCTGTTCCACAGGATCGCACGCCTGACGATGAGCCTCACCTAGGCAACACCGTATCTCCACTGCCGCTACAAGCGAGGCCTCACTAGCCCGAACACAGGACCGCACGTTCGGCCGATGTGTGATTTAACGCCTCCGGCACAGCCACAGCTTCCTTTCTTCGCAGTTCTTTCTCCAACGGCGTCACTGGCCGGCCGATAGAGTTGGTGCCTGAGCACCCTAGCGCGTTTTGAGACTGGATGGCCTCCGACAGCTCCGAACCATGTGGCGGTGCCTGAGCCCTTGGGCCGACCTAGAACGAGAAACATCTCATTCGTGCATGAGCCGCCTTACCACATGCAGCTGATTCTGCGGAAGTTTACGAAGACAGCCAGGGATCTGGAGCCGGGAAAAATGCGTGTGCCTAATCTATTCGATCATTGAAATGCATGTGTTGCTATCGCTGCGTTGACTGTTGACGTCCTCCTCTTTCCTACTTCAACTACTGTCAATGGTAGAGAATACCATTATGTGTTTATTCCCTTTCGATTGCTCACTGGTTTTCCTTGCTGTACCCTTACATATCACATAAAGCAGGTACATAATCAGGACTACTCGGTACCACAGAAAAGCGACATCACACCACTTGGAGTCGGCGCTGAACTGCCGCTACTATCTGTTACTTATTCATCATACACATTCGAGCCCATCCCCACATAGCAGATCTGTGTATACGGTTTGTATTGTTTTGCAAAGCACAATGTCTTCTTCGGAGAAAGGAAACCTACGGAACAGCACAGCGGGGGACACATCGACGCCGGCGGACCTGCCGCCCTCATACGAACACACGATCCTCCCCAACACCAACCCATGGACCGACAGCCCGTCATCGCAGAGCCAACTACCTCAACGGACAACCACACCTCTCTCCGTCCCCTCACAGAACCCGCTCTCCGCCCTGTCCCGGCTAACGACGGTGTCGTTCGCGAAGTACCGGATACGCGACTCCAAACTCTCCGAGGACCACACCGTGATCACCACCACCAACCCGGAGTTGACGTCCAGCTCGCACTCGCCGTCGACCTCACAACAGCAGCAACGGGCGCTCCTCAAGTTCATCCGCGAGCAGGCGCGGCTGCCGCCGAAGCCGATCATGGTGATTCGCGGGACGCACGTGCACGGTAACGCCGTCGTGGACTTTGACCTGAAGCTGAACCTGACGAGCATGTTGGACTTGGATTGGGGAGGTACGGAGAGTGGCGGGGGCCGCATGATGGTCAAGAGCTACCAGCATGGCTCGTCGAATGGGTCGCCAAGGCAAATGACGAGGGAGGAGATGAACATGCCTGAGCTGGATCTGTGGGCGAAGAAGTTTTGTGAGGACAAGGCGGAGAACCGAAGGTGAGCCTCCCCGTCATATGCATTTACATTGATTCCTTAAAATTCCGAGATCAAGCCCGCCTCCAAAGTGTTCCCGTTGAGAGGGCCACTTCTCACGATGGTCCCACAACTTGACCACCACGGCTCGAATCATTGTGTTGTTTCTCATTCAGTTTCCCCTTGGCCAGACTCTTCTCCCCAATCCTATCAACCTCAAGTCCCACGCTCAACACTACCACACAAACCCACACGCCTGATCCCCCAATTCCCCTTCTATTGCAACCAACAACTAACCACTTCCTGCACCATCTAGCTTCGCGCTGCGCCGTTCGACACCAAATCTTCCTATCGCCCTGCTCGAAGGCTACGCCCGGAACCTGCTGGCCATGATCAAGTACCGGGGCAAGCTGCACGTGGAGTTCCCGCTGGAGTACTCGGACGTGGTAGTGCAGCGGAAGTCGAGCAACTGGTTCACCAATATGCTCCGGCTCTATCCGACCAAGAAGTACGAGGTCGTCGTGGTGGAGTGGCCCGTCATCGGCACGGTCACGCTCGAGAACGGGGGCCAAGGAGACACCGACGACACAGCCGTATCGGCGGCATTGACAGCAGCTGCAGGCCTGAACGGTCCGTCATCATCGTCACCAACATCTTCCAGACCGGCAAACCAACGCACAGCGACCGGGACGGGGACTGCAAACGCCGAACCCGCTTCGTCAGCGTCCTCAACTTCCTCGACCTCTTCCTCCAACCCCACCTCAAGCGGCCCCGGCCACGGCGGCGACCGGACAGGTCTCCCGCCGCTCATCGCGCAGGAGTGGTGGCGCGAGTGGCAGTTCGCGATCCGCAACGCGGCGCTGTCCGGGCGCAAGGGCTGGGTCACGCTGGAGGACTGGATGGAGGCCAAGATGGGCATGCGGGAGAAGGAGAGGGCGAAGGAGTGGGGGGTCGACCACGAATGACTGAACGAATGAATGAATGAAGAAGAAAGCCTGCTGCCGCCCAACAGCCTCTCCTTCTCTCTTCCACTCTCTTTCGCCTTGTAACCTTTTCGGCTTTCAAACAAACCAAAAAAGATATGTAATGAATGAACGGATGGATAAATCCAGCGAGCGAGTGATGGGAAGGAAAAGATGAACGGATGGTTGGTCACCCAAGCACACTCCCCCCAAAAAACCCCAAAGAGAGGCCCAGGGAGGGATAAGGGGGAGGAAATCTCACTGAAAACCCCAGGGTGTACGGAATGAGAGGATTTCCTTTTCACATGAGCAAGCGAGTTATGAGTTCTATTATACTATATTATATTGTGTTTCATCTCGCCCCGCACTGTTTCGTCTCTCCATTTGGTGATGATGATGATGTTGTTGTTGGCGGCCTTCACATAACCCCCATCTACATTGCATAGGTGTGTTCGCATCGGTTTATGAAATGGAGGCCATCTATCTTTCTATATACTTATCCACCCTATATCCGTGGGTAATACGGACGTAATTGTAGACCTGCCTGTGTGTCTCTGGTGATGGGAGATAATGGCTAGTGATGAATGAATGGATGCACGGGATAACACACACACACACACACATACATACATACATACATACATACATACATACATACATACACAGGTAACAACCTTAGCTTCTCAATGACCTTACTCGCTACTCGCTGCTCGCTAGCTATTCACTACTGATAATCTGGGACAAGTTAGCTGTGTAGGCCGCCAACACTCACGCACGGCTGTGATGCACGCTGCCGTGCGAGTTTTGTTATCTGTTTACGCGTTGAGTAAAGAGAACGGAAGCCATCAGAAAGGTGAATTTGCCATGGTGGCATTGATTGAACTTGTTTTGCTATGCTATACGTGGCTACGAAGCTCTTGCACCTGGTCCATGTTGTTGCTCTCGCGAGGCTGTCCTGACCGCACTGCTCAGTTGCAGTTTATATGATATGTAACTCCTGATGAGTGACGGCCCAACGGACCAACAGATGTAAACTTCCTAGCCATCCCGAAAATCTGCGGGTTTCGTTGCATGATGATGCTGCACCGTGATGCTTCTTGATCTCATCAACCACAGCCAACCAAGGAACCAGCCCCTTTGGTGGCGGATGTAGACCGTGGATGTTGTTGTTGCTGTTGTTCTCGAGACTGATGCTACCTCTGCCATCATCTCAGACAATAGGAAGCTCCGGCAAAGACTCGTCCGAGCCATCCCACTCATCGTCCGTATCTGTAGACAGGCTCGAGGGAGGTTCCCGCATGGCATCGGGATGCTCAATCTCTCCTGTTTCCGGATCCACGCTGACTTGATAAAACTCGGCAAGTCGCTCATACCACTCCTTTTCCGATGCGCGCTCGTCTTCTTTTGAAGACTCGCGCTGCATTTTGATCAGCCATTCCGTACCCGAAACCTTCATTGCAGCCAACTCGGCCTCATCGTCTGGTTGGAAACCTCTCACCGCCCTCTCGAGACCTCCATTTCCCTTGGCCAACGCAGCAAACTCGTCGGCGTTCATGGTTTTCACAACTCCTCCTTGTTGTTCCGTCAGCGTCTTCAAGGCATGCGCCTGGTGGGCCAGCAAAGGTGACATTCGAAATTGGTTGTCTCCCCAATCCAGGAGGGCCCACATGGTGTCCAAAGGAGGTTTTGGTAACTGTTTCTCTTCCTCAACAGGACGGTCGCGAGTGCTCGAGGCAACAGTATTCAGGACCAGGGTTTCCGAGGCGGAGGGTGATTCAGAACTCTGCAAAATGTTCGTTCCCTTCGCTCTGTGAAGTAATCTTCTCATTCGTACAAAGACCTTTTGACTAAGATTTTCACATCCATTGAAGATGTATTGCTCTTTGTTCAGCAGCACGAGCTTCCTAGCTTCCTCACTCTTGATGATGATGAGCGGCTTCCCCTTCTTGACACAAGTTTCCCTGGCATACAACGGGCTGAAAAGAATGCACCTCACCCAAGCAGCGCTAATAACGCCTTGAGCATCGGGCCCCCCTTGGTCCTTCCTGAAATCTGGATCAGAGGTAGAATAACAGCTGAAAAACTGCTCCCGGCACATGGGGCATTGCAACGCATGGTTTTTGGCAGCGCCGAGCTCTTGGTCGATCCACTCCAGAAGACAGGTCGCGGGCCAGCTGTTCCTACAACTGTTGCTATTACCAACATGGGTGAGGACTTCGACGTTCGGGGCCACAGGTCCACGACACCAGATGCACGTTTCATGCTCGCGTGGGCCCCGCCCGCGTCCCTGCCTCCAGCCGCACTGATAGAGGGCAAGGAGGCGAACAAGATTGTTTCTGTCCGACAAGTCGACGTTAGGATGAATGGTTTCTGGATCTGGTTCTACGAAGAAGAGGGCGCTGCTCATGTCGTGGTCGGTCAGACTAGTTAGATCTTCGTGGGTCTGTGAGGATTCATGGTTGGCTGGACTCTGGGCCTCTGCTTTCACCTCAGTCGACAGTGGTAAAGTATTGGGAGTGTTGGTCTTGAGGTTAGGCAACAACCCCGGCGACTGATCTTGTTCGAGGCCCTGTACATTACCCATGGTTGTTGGCAGTAGGTCAAGATTGTCGATTGCCATGAGGACAGACCAAGGCGGGAAAGAAAGAAAGAAAGAAAGAATTGTTGGTCAGGTAAATTTGCTTTTCAGCGTTGCAGAGTTCCCAGCCGCGTTCGCTTGAGGCTAGAGAGGGGCACACCCGCACTCGCACCCAAGACATGGACCATGGCAACACAAACTGGGCGCCTGCTGAACCTCTCCAGGCCCTGTAATTCGGTTGGCTCACAGACCTGGAACATGATAAGACTTCGTTTTGTTTGGATACTAGTTCTCTGAGTGTTGTTGTCCGCGGCCACGAATCAAAATGAACCACAAGGCAGCCACAAGGCAGCCACAGCTCTGGGACTGCAGCAGCCCAAGGCAACAAAGAAATGCCAAAATGCCACATGGAAGTTGGGAAGCAGGTATCATGCCGTTCCAGCAACAAATGGTCCTTTCTCCCACACTCTCTTCACACTTGAAATACCACAGCCCAAGTTCCATCAGAAGACCTGTCAGAGCCAGACCTCTGAGATTACCGTGTTAATATTAGATGCGACACCAAGTCGAGCCCCAACTCCTTCGGAAATGCAACCAAATAATAGACTCCGATTGCTTGTCCGTTCTATCAGACGTGAGACAGTGGCCAGGCGATCACAATGAGCAAGTCTTGTACCGAGCTCATGTTGCGCCATACAAAGCAGACAGATTGCTGGAACTGTATTTAGTTGTGTTCCGGAGCCATCAAGTCGTGTGCGCCGGTCGACCTCTGCTTCAGTGATCGTCCAGGAGAGGGGCCCGTTCTCGATCCTCGCTGACAATGGCCCCCTCGTGTCGAGCGCTACGATCTGCTCCAAAGAGCTTGGGAGCCCCCACTGCCAGGGAGATGACGAAAAGAATGCCAGCAATGATAAATGCAAAGATCCACTGGAAAGCCACAACCTTGGTTGCAAGTTGGCCCAATGCCAGAGCTGTTCAAGTCACGTCAGCAGGGACATCTTGCAGTCAGTCTGGTGCAGCTCACATAAGGCGAGAATAGCCAATTCAAACCCCATGGTATAGTCCTTGAACACGGCGAGGAAGAAGGCACCCAGCATGAGAATGCCCCAAATGAAGATGTTGGCGACAATCCGAGCAGGCAATTTCGTGGCACCGGGAACCATAGCAGCCCCGTTCCAGAAGATTGCGACATAGTTCCAGGCCAATGGGGCAGAGACAATGGGCATGTGGATGATCAAAGGTGTAGTAGGATGGCCGAAATAGAGAGCTGTCAAATTGAACAGGTTCACAATGAGAAGGAGCTCGCCCTGCCAGAAGTACGACCGGACCCAAAGCAAGATGAAGCCAAAGGTCAAGAGATTATGCTGGGCGAGGCCATTAGTGATGCCGCATTCTCTCATGGACTCGAGAAGCATACCAGGATGAAATGCGAGCCCACGTTGGCAGCATTAGTCACATAGTCCTTCTCTGCACTCCAAAGGAATCGAACATAGTGCGCCTGGAAGATGAGGACAACGACCCAATAGATGCTTGTCAGCACCGAATTGACGCTGAACCCTGTGGCATGGTGATTGTTTTGCCCCCATATTGTGTGACAGTGTTTATGATGCTTGCAATCGCTGGGACGCTGGAAGGTGTAGATTGCTCCGAATATAACGAGCAGGAGCCAGCTAACTATCGTGAGGATCTTGTAGGCAATGAGATTTCTTTGGGTGAACTCTTCACGCTTCGCGAACGGGTTGTCTATGGTGGGTAGTTAGCAGACATGTTCGAGAGCAAGCTCGCGGGGTTGAGCAATTCCATACAGTCTGCGAGAGGCATCTTGGGCTTCTGAAGACCAAGTAGCAGGAATTCAGAAGCTTCTCGCGATAGCTGTCTTGAAAATGCTGCGAAGAAGGGTACTTTGTAGACTCAGAAAGGTTGAGCCTCAATCACGACGAGGGACGCGAGGGAAGATGGCTTCGCAGGCAGGGTCAATCTGGAGGTAATATCCGGGTCGTCGGTCCATGGAATTCAAGCTGTCCTCGTGATCGACCCGGAGCATTAGCAATGCAACGATGTGAGAAGGATGGAGAAAACCTGGACTTGAATAGGGAGTCGATTTGCATGCGGGAGAAGTCTTCCAGCCATTCACCACGGCGAGTGATCGAAGAATCGTGGGGTAATGACGTCAGGAGGATGGACTATTATCACGTGCAAGTCAGGGCCTTGTTTACTATATCACATGCGGAGTCATGCCTACACAGAATGCAGTTACAAAGGTCCGCACAACCAGACAACAACAACGTCAATCGGATGATAAGCAGAGACCATCACAAGAAAGCCAGTGAGAAGAGTGATGTGATATCATACAGTATCCAGACATTGGCACGTAGGCACATATGGTGTTATGTCAAAAGGTGGGTATATTGTTTGACAGATCTCCGCCTCCTCAGAACTTGGCCATGGCTGCTTCATATGCAAATCCCAGAGTCATCTTAGCATGTTGAAGCATGTGATCAAAGCTCAGATACTTGATAACATCGTCTGTGGTGTGGATTTTCTTGTCCGAGTATTCGAAATCTGACTCAATCACAAATGCTGAGGGGTAGCCATATTTGCTCGCCGATGCATGGTCGGAGCAGGCATATCCGCATCTGGTCAGTGTGTAAGGGATGTCACAATAGGCGGTGATAATACTCTCGACGAATGTTGTCAGAGCCGGGTCCACAAAGTCTGTAATCACTCCGACCGATTCAGGTTTGCCGTTTGCGAGGGTTTGCGCGATGTAGCCGGTCATGTCTTGCTGGATCATGGCCTTGACGTCCTTTGCTTCTTCGTTATAAGACTTGAAAATCGCTTGGCTTCCAAGAAGACCTCCTTCCTCTGCCGAATACCAGTGAAACTCGATCGTGTTCTCACTTGACCCGTTCACAATCTTCTCCGACTTCAGCAGAGCTGTTAGGGCTTCGAGGATGGTCACCGTCCCGCTGCCATCATCATCGGCACCAGGAGCACGGAGGTAGGGGAAGAACATATTGACGCTGTCCAGATGTGCACCGATCACAATTGTGTGGTTTGTTCGTCCTGGGAACCGAGCAATAATACTCGGCTGTCCCCATGTGTGCGGGAACAGGTTCAGAGAAGCGCTGTAATTGAATGCGCCAGATGCGTCAATGACTTCTTCTATTTGGTCATGCAACCACATAGCTGCATCAATGCCGTACTGGCTCCTGTAGTAGCGCGTGTGAAAGGCCGTAAGACCTTCAAGGTGCTTGCGCATGTTGTCTTTGTCTAAGGTCTCCATCAAAGCCTTGACCTCGTGCTTGTACGCAGGTTTTGAGGGATAAACGATCGCATTTGCAGCTGTTTTCGATTCGACAGCTTCCGGATATGTGTCTCCAGTTTCGGTGATGTCCATAAACTTGACCCCATTCTGTTGCCCTTCAAATTAGCAGTGTGTTCCAATTGCCTACACAGTGTGCGAGACGGAGGGCATACCCTCATAAGCTCCCATTTCTCCTCTTCCACAACCCATCTTGTCTCTCCTGGGCTCAGTTCGATCAAGTATCTGTCCTGACTCGATGGCCGGCCATCTTGAGGAGTAAGTGCTTGCTGAGATTGAGCGTCAACTGAACGGGCGACAACAGAAGCGGCCAGTGAGGTGACCAGCAGCGCGAGGGACTTCATGATGATTTTTGTATGGGTGATAAAGTGAAAGAACGAATGTACAACAAAGGTCAGAACGAGATCCCAGAGACTGTAGGTATACTTTGGACCTGGTATGCCTAAGATGAATAATGTATAGAAATCACATGTAGGGTTGGAGACGAGACGCAGGCACCAGGCGTCGCGAGCTGCAGTTTGTTGAGCTTCCACCTAGCAACTTGCGTTTGGTCCCCCACAAGAGCCGATGCGCCCGTTGCGGCAGCCCTTTGGCGTCACTGGCTTTAACAGCTTACCTGGAGTTCCGCCAATTGGTGGTGCCCCTCACGCAGGACTCGTGGTGCCTGCGCAGTCGAACACTTTGCGGTCAGTTTCTCGTCATGGTAAGTATGCATTGTTTTCCTTCTGGCCTCAATACAAGATAATTGAGTCATTAAGGATACGTAGGTCTTGTAGTTCCCAATATGAACCGATGTGTGCAAAGTACGTCGCGGCCCTCGTCGGTCTTTGACTCATGTTCAGTCAATCGTGCCCGCACGCTGATGGGGGCTACGTCGTCATTCGTCCGCATCCGAGCCGCCATGACTCCCACTAATACGCAGTAATGTGCGAACCTCCTGGTTCCCAACTGCGGGCGCCACATCCTTATCCCAGGTGAGCCTCAACCGCATATCTTAAACAACCTCAGTTCTCGCATCCTGCCCATCCATTACTTTCAACAGGTCAACCCTCTGTTTTCATCTCTACAGTTCCGGATCTTTGTGCGGCTAAACCCCCTCTTGCTCGTTCCTGTCGTTCGTTCGCCACCGTTCCGAGAATTTGTACGCTGCAATAATCAGTTATCGTTGATTACTATGGCTATCGTCCCAATCATGTCGGCCCCTGAAGCAACCTCGCCTGTGGTTCAACAAAACACCGAAGAAGTGACTGCGCAGATGAACAAAATATCCATTGAACCCACGGTGACGCCTGAGCGTGCTCGTGTTGCTACCAATGCGGTTCGGATCTTGGTTCCCAAGGACGCCACCTCGAGAACAGCGGGCATCACGAAGTCGGGGGCATATCCCGACCGCAAGCTCGTACGTCGCGACAGCCTAGAACGCCGCGAAGCCTTCCTCAAGGGTAAGGAGGGTTCGCGGCAGCGACGGAGATGGGAAAATGGTATTCCTGCCCCTGACCAGAGATGACTGTTCCAAGGCTAAAGAAACTTTGATGAACAGATCGCCTGCTGTCAAACCCTTGGGCCGTTCCTCCCTTGCCCTCCGACTGGGAAATCCGTCCTACGTACCCTCGACGAACCGTCCCTTATTACCTGGCTCCGCTCTGGGATGCCGCTGAGTTCCAACGAGCCGTCGAATCCAAGCTCAAGGGTCGCAGGGACAGCACTCGGTCCCATGCAAGACGCGTGCAGAACACTGGCATGAGTCCCATGGAAGAAGCAGCGACCAGCATTCCAAAGGAAGTGCGGGCCAAACTCAAGCGCGCTAAAGCCGCGAAGGGTCTGCTCCAGGATCTGGAGGAAACCGTGCGGGCGTTCGTGCGCAAGTGGAACGAAAGAGAAATTCGCCTAAGAAGAGATGGTCTGCATGACATTCCTCTGAGCAGCGATAGTGAGGACGAGGAAATTGTCTTTATTGGCAGAAATGGTGCTATGCACGACTCACCCAGCAAGGAGCAGAAGGGCAAGGGCGAGGTGGGATGGGACGACGAGGGGACGATCAGCACTGAAAAAATGGTGTTTGAGGGTCTGGATAACGACAAGGGCGCCGCCTTTGCGAGGTGGTTGGTTCATTGCGTGGGCAGCTACTATGGCTTGCGAACTTGGAGTGTGACGCGTGACATCGAGGGTGAGGAGAAGAGAAGACAAGCCTATGTGGGTGTGGACACCCGAGCAAGAGGATTTATGGGCCGAGGCGTCGAGGTTGGTCGCGAGATCGAACTTCCACGCCCACTGTGGGGGATGGTGTGAAGCTGATCCGAACCGCGTTTCTATGGTATTCTGTGTAACCGTCGTCCAAGTGTGGTGATCTGTATAAGCTACTCCTTCTGTGAGTTTCTGGGTGAAATTTCGTTTCGTTCAATTGGCCGAATGTAGAACATTAGGCAATTTAATTGCAACAGGAAATTTGTGATTCGTGCATCACAGTCATTTTTCCAGGACTTTCCTCATGGACAGTTCCGCGCTTTAGCTGAGTGCTAGTCATGCTTTTTTCTAGCAAGCCCCTCCAGACCTGAACAGTCGGATTGGCGTGGAGCATATCGTGGAACGACTGGTGGTGTCCGCATGGGTTGCGCAGCCAAAGGCAGCTACACGGCATATCGCAGCGAATCGAAGGAGTTCTTCACAGTCATTGATAAACCAAGGAGTTTCAGAGCCAATGAAATATCAAAGTCAACTCCCGGCAGCACCAGCAAGGTCTGTGTAAGGTGGTGGGTGACAGGAATGTAAGACGGACAAACAAGCCGAGGTATCACGAGTGAAAGAGGTTTGAGCCCGATTTAGGTGGCATTTCTTCCACAAGAGGTTTTTTGTGAGCATCGGCCACATAGTGTAGTGATGCCTAAGGAGGCGTGCAAATCGGTGCACCCATTGTACGAACGTGCTCGAAGCGCGAATTCAGGCATATGACAGTGACAGCGAAATGAGCTGCGCGGCAGTCGGCAACTGTAGCAGTCCAGCTCTATCATGGGCGACTCTGTACAGGAACGGTCGTGGGAACGGGGAAACGCCTGGAGGCGGCGCCACGCAGAACCGAGGATGAGGATCAGAAATGCCCCGTTCCAGACCCGGCTTAAGCGGTACGTATGTACATAAAGTTCATGCGAACCGTCCAGCAGGAAGCCCACAGTTCGCATCGGAGCGCAGGTGGTAGCCCCGGATGGGAGCTGGAGCCCGCAGGCCTTCAGGGACCAGGTCTCAAGAGCTCGGAGCAACCACAAATCTTCAGAGTTGCGTACTGTATTTGGTAGTCAGGTACGTGCAAGCGCTATCGTTCAAACAACATTAGGAGCAGGTTGGGCATTAACCGTGCCTCATCGCCGTTGTGCGGGTCGAGCCGTTGCTAGTCGTGGATGATCCAAGCAAAGCGATGCAACCTACCGAATTTCTCAATTTGGTACAGGTTGCATGACTTTTGTCCAGATTCGTTCTTAAAATGCCTCACGCCCGGATGATTATGATATTGTTGCCTGACTCAGATTGATCATAACCGCACGTGCTTGAAATGGAGGGTAGAAGAGGACTCTTCGTTGGAGCTCTAGAGCTTTAAGATGCAGGATGACAGACCCAATGCTTGAAAATGAAGCGAGACATGGCTGCTGCCCAAATGTTGGCATTGTCGGCGGGACAAAATTTTGGAGATTCTTCAGCTGCAGCACCCGAAACTCAACCGTGGAGTTGCTTTGGTGGTACGGAGGCGCAAGGTACAGCATCTGGCAGTGAACACATGTTCATGGTCGCTCTTGAGGTCTCAAAATCGATTCGAGGGCGCTCCCATATGGGCACGGGCATTGCATACCAGCCAAGATCAAAGCAACGTATCGAAACGCAAAGCAGGTGACATGGCCAAACTCAGTGCCAATGAAGTGGTGCCACATATCACCGCAAACTAACGAAGGAAGGGAGTTCGTAAGAGCTTCGGCACAGGTTGAATTAAGGCATGCCGCTAATCTCGATATGGCTTAGCTGCCACCGCCCTGTCCCGCCAGACCCCGGCCTTCGGGTTTTCACCTTTTCGTCTGACGTGGCGCATCCACTTTGCACCATCACCTGCTTGACACGGAGTAGGGTTCAGTCTGACAGGTATTGAATTCCTTATCTGCACGGGGGAATCCCCGTCATCTTGTCACCTGCTCCTTTCTCACAGCCTCGTCTGACAGCAGACACTTTGATTTTTCGCCGTCTGTCCCGCGCCCCATCCCACCACGAGATCCGTTGTTCACCCCCGTGGCCCTTTTCTCCGTCCGACACCTTCTCGCCACCATTGGCATTGCACTGTTTTTATCTGCCTTTGCTCTGCCGTTCGCCTCCCACGCCACGGAGATGATGGTGGCTCGGCCCTCTCATGGCCTTGTCCGGGCCACTGTTACCCCGTACAAGTCGGTTATTCAACTCTCGATGGAGGCTGGTCGCTAAGCAGGATCACTAAGATATCTTGGTTGAACATCCGTGTCTCAGCAAATCCGGGTGCAGAGTGCTTCCAGAAGGACACTGGTAACTTACGGCAGGTCCCGGCCACACCCGCCATATTGCTATTCTGGCTTGTTCTCCCCTTCGTCCTCACAAATCGGCCATAGCATGTACGACCGCTGCCGCGCCATCACCTGCGCCTGTGCTTCGTCGTGCAAGATGGCTAGAGGAGGTTGACATCGCCCTTGTCTGCCTGTGGAGTGACCCTGTCACTCAAGTCTGCTTGCTTTTGGTCCTCATCACCAATGATCGCAATGCTCTCGCTTTCTTTTGATATGCCGTGGGCATCGCTACCTTTGGGACTTTCCATTGCCGTGGCTTCATTAACTTGCACCTCTCTGAGATATATCTCTTTTATCAAGACTTAGAATTTACTTTCCCATTTCACTACAGACCAACACCGCTATCCTGCTTCACAACATTTTCTCAGCAACCCATACATTTTCAACATCATGCCACGACGTACCTCAGGTCGTATCTGGTCGAAAGGATCTGCCACTTCCCAGAGCTCCACCTCAACCCGCAGCGACCAGTCCAGCCATTCCAGCAACTCCAGTCACACCCAATATACCACTCTCACGTCTTGTAGCGATACCAAGCCTGTCGTCAAGCATTACCACAACTACGAGGAGCGTGAGATCGTCGACGAGCCCTTGGACTATCTCGACGAGCACGAACACGACCCCCGAGCATCAACAGAAACATATACCTCAACAATCGCCTCTGAGACTGATTCATCAAGACCTCCAAGCCTATGTCCGTTGATGAGACATATATGCTATCAGCCTGATGCGATCGCCACAACCCCTATTGAATTCGGAGAGCTATTTCCATCCACAAGAAGAATTCTTATTCAACACGACGACACTACTCCCGATGGCAATCTGAATCTCCGCATCGATACTGAGTTGACCATCACTAAAGGGCACAAACTGAAGTTAACTCTCTTCCACCTTCGCATGTACGATCTCGCTGAACGCCAGTTCTCGCTTCGTCGATATCAACGGCAATCGGGTCGGGAAGTGTGCAACTCGAAACGAAAGTACTTGAAGCCGGTCGTCCAGAAACCGTCATCTTCATCATCCTCGCCTCGGCGACGGTCATTCACCTCGACCCTTGCCAAGCTCAATCTCAGAACACTGAAGAGCAAGCCTCGGCCGAAGCCAGCTGAAGAAATTCCACACGAGGAGTCAGACGATGATTTCAGTGCTTTCGCCGCACAAGTGGACGTCAAAGCCACCATTCCCACGGATACCATCAGACTCGAGTTCTCCAACTACGCCCAGGTCGAACTGGAACGGAGTAAGGCCGGAGACAGCAGATATGAATTTGAGTATTGGGGCGAGCGGTATTCTTGGAGGCGGAACATGTACCGGGATGATTCAGAGCTGGTTTTCTCTTTTGAGCTAATCGCATCGTCCTCGGGTGCCTGTATTGCTCACATCACTCCAGACAAGTTGTCACGGAGACAGAGCAGACAAGAAGCAGCCCTGGGTGGTTGGGTCCCACCGTGCAGCCTGCGGCTCACAGAGAAGGACATCTCGAATGACTTGGGAGACGTGATTATGGCAACTGGACTCATGACCCTTGTGGATGACTGCATCAAGAGACGCTGGGACGAGCCACACCGCTCCTGATCCCGGAAGCACCGATCAGTCTCAGATCGCATTTTGTGGACTTGTTCTCTTTTGCCTCTTGGTCTTTTGTTCAGTCTGAACACAAACTCGGGAATGGATTTCCCGTTGCGGAGGCGTTACACAAAGCTACTGGGCGGTGTGGGATGCATCGCGAAGACCAGATGTAAAGGGCATCAATGATGGGAGTTGTCAGAGCGGAATCCGTCACATTTCTTGTACAGAATTTGCATTAGGTGAACTTGTGGCGGAGGGTTGATCTGGACAGCGATGTCTGGACATATTCGGGCTGGTCAGCCATGGGGACAAGGCTTGGACAAACGTAAATCAGGACGCACAGAACACGACATAACCAGAAGGGATGGGGCCATGCCGCATGACTCGTGTTCCACAAGCTGAAAGGCTCCGGAAATGTATATAGCTAAACGGATGATTTCCACACGAGTATGTTTTGGCACCGTGTCCACGCTTTCGTGGTATGAAGCTGTACAAATGAAAAAGCATAGTTACTTTTACTACAAGAACCCAACAGGGCACTGACTGGTCTCCTGGGTATGATATCTAGAAGGCTGGATGTACTGAGTCGCATGGAGTATTCTACCCAGAAAACTTGTATAGGACCAATCTAATCCATATGTGTGACTAGTGGCTTGGCCTCCGTCATGCGCTGCTCTGATTGGCCGACAGACCCCTGCTGACCAAATGGGCTTTCCACGTCCGTCATCCTCATTTGCGCCCACTCTGTTTTTTGTTCCTGCTGTGCATCTTGCTCCAACCATCAAGCTTCCATCATCCTAGACAAGATACTACTGCTGCACAGCTCTCAAAACTCTTGCCACGCTCGACGGCTCAATGCCGCGTTACTTTCTATTGAACACCAATGCTCACTGCAGGCCTAAGCTCCCCCCAGCCTCCGCTTGTCAGTCGCAGGTCTCCAGAGGCAGGGATCTCGCCTCCCTTTTCTTCATCATTTTACCTCATTCTCTCAACCCCTGCTTTTTCTTTGGTCCGAAATGACTGGACACTTACGTCCATGGCCCCCTGCACTCCGGGGTTGTTGCCACGGACTGTGTTACAATGCACCGACTAATCGATCCTGACAATCAAGTTGTTACCCAGATTCTCGCCTCCTGGCCTCTGCCCGGCTTGTCCCCAGGAATGTACCTATCGACAACCATCTTACGCCACTATAACCAATCTCACGGTGCAAGTACTCACCATTCTCGGACCTTGTGGTTCAACGCGAGACGTGGATCGATCTCATGCGTGCTCTGACACCCGCCCCCCGTCCAGCTCAGATTGCTGCCCAAATGCAAAATTATCCCCGAAAGCATTGAAGGCGACCAATGAGGAAAGCAGCCCTGGTTTTCGACGTACTCCGAATGCAGCAGCAGAAACGGAAATTCACACCCCTTGTTCGGAAGCTCCCTGACTGCTTCCAAAATCTCCACGACCATCGAGTCGGGTTGATGTGGACATGTCACCGATGGAAACAGTTTGTGCTATTTTTTTTCGCCGCTATCTTGCATTTGATCGGTCGGCACCAGCTCTGCCGCCCCCACCTCGATATTGCCATCCGTCATTTAATGGTTTCCTTCTAGCCTCTCGCGGACTTTTCCCCCATCCCTTTGATTGTCACAGCGTCCTCTTATTTTTCTACGCCATCATGCATATCATCGCTTGCGCTTGGAGCCGGACCTTTCGTCCCACTACTGTACGCTGCCGGATACCTGATGTGTTGGCAGCATCTCTCTGGTGAGGCTGTTGGCTCTGATTTTTTGCTTTGCGTTCTTCCATCCCATCCTCTACCCACGTTTGACATCTCACGTCTCTGCAGTCTCGTTCCTTGTACCACGAATGCCTTCATAGATGATGCCAGGGCCGCTGGTCCATCGATACAAAAGTGTCACGAGATCTCAGATCATGTCGCACAGAGCCAACCTATCTCCTCTACGTTCAGTTGTTTTCAGTGCTGCCCTACCTTGAAATGAAGCGGCCTTGATAGACAAAGAACCTGTCGTGGAAACGAAATACTGGAGCACCTGCAGCTCGCCTTCCCTGATTTTGGCACTCGCTCTGTCACTTTGCTTTACATCCCTAGCTGAGCATTCGAGTTGCCTGGGAGGATTTCTTTTGAATATAAAGTCCTTGGATATCTGTTGTCACGCAGGGTGGTTTCCGTCATCATCTCACTTCAATTCTTCCTCGTTGGCACGACCGAATATCCTCCGCAAAGACGCAAATCATTTGGATCAAGAGTTCTCGCATTCAAGCTCAAGACCCCGACCACATTCCCGTTCCACTATGGCTACCAAATCCCACAAGACCTGGCAAGAAGAGCTTGCTGGTAAGTCTCGCACCATTATGCTTAGTGAATCTTTGGCTGACTTATTGGCGATAGCTGAGTGCCGAAAATTGAGGTTGCCTGCTCCCCAGTTCAACATTGTCTCTGACCGTAGAGGTGAGTTGTGTACTGGAATAGTCCCTTTTCGACGATTCTACAGGTTTCTCTTCGCTGTTGTTCGGACGCTGACTTGTTCTGCGACTTTCTAGGTGGCCGTACAGCTTGGTCTGCTACAGTCACGATCCAGGGCCAGAATCTTGCAGCCAGATACTGGTATGACGGGCAATACCTCAATAACGCCAAGGAAGACGCCGCAGAAGTGGCTTGTACCAAACTGCGCAACCCATCGATCACCGCCGGTCAGTCGACAGTCTACCGGGCACAGTCTGGCTACGGTGGGCCCTGGGCTCGCTGAGTCTCATCTCGCGACGTGCTTTGGAGGGCAATACAGTGCTTTCAGCCAGGTACAAAGCCGTGGGCAGGTTTAGAAGTCGAATTTCCGGAGGGGTGATTGTCTCAATACCTGCTATATCCAATGGGGCAAAATGAGGGTTTCGAATGAGAGCATAGCGATGGCGTTACGGTGACACGCAGACACAGGACAGCAGGGGGGTTTTGAGGAGGGGATCTTTCTTTTTCTTTGGGATTGGATTTTCTTTCTCCTTTGTCCGTCGTTGCCACTTGCTCTCTCCGAGAGAGAAAAACTAACCCCCCAGATTTTAAGGGAGATTAGAGCCAGTCTGTCCTCTTGTCTAGGCTTCAAACTGTCAGCCAACGGGAGAGGTCTCAGTCCTCACCAAAATTTTCTTGACCGCTTTTCAGGGTTGGTAGAAGAAGATACAGGAATCAATGATATCTCATGCCTATGTTTTGATCCTGCCTGTGGATTCTCCTGCGCAGCTGTCCGAATTTTCTTCAGGATTTTTTTGGCCACCCCATCATCTCATGCCCGTATCGTGGCAGGTGGAGCTTGTGATCTAAGCTTGCAGCATGGGGCAAAATGTTTGTGTACCGTGACCTGTCGTGCTACAGTCCATGGGCGAGTTGGAGACTCTCAACCCACGTATTCGCATGACCCGACGGTCTGGATGTCGAATCAGGGCCAGGGAGTTGATGCTCTAGAACGGTGTGGGATGGAGGGAAGCATGGGAAGGAACGAGGCGTGGCCGAGCAAAATGTTCCGGGCCACAGCTCGCCCACCCAAAATTCTGTTTCCACCTCACCGTCGCCCAGGCTCCAACAAACCGACTTTCCTTTGTCGTACTTGGTGTCAATGATCTGTCAAGTACCCGGCAAGCCTAGTTGACGTGTAGAGGTACATCCCCGTGCCACCTGGATCAACGGACGAGTGCATCTCCCACTGCCGGATCTCTCATGCACTGGACCCGTCAAGTAACCAAACCACGTCTTGACATCTTCACCGCCGCGAAGCAGGCAATTCCCGCCAGTCCCTATGCATTTGGACCAGTCGCCGCCATGTCGACCGCTCCAAAACCCTCTGCACTGACCTTTGACCGCAAGGCCCGGTGTTCGGTACGCAGCCATCAACCCCCGCCCATTCCCCTGCCGCAAGACCATTCCCGCAGTTGACAAATGTCCTCCACCATCTCTCTAGACTTCGAAAGCCCGCGCCTCGACTCTGAATCTGCCTCATGGTCCAGTGGACCTGCCCATTTTCATGCCAGTCGCCACCCAGGCATCTCTTAAAGGACTGACCCCCGAACAACTGGAAGAGACGGGCTGCAGGCTCTGCCTGAACAACACATACCACTTGGGATTGAAACCTGGCCAGGCAGTGCTTGACACCATTGGTGGTGCCCATAAATTACAAGGATGGAACTACAATATCCTGACTGACAGCGGCGGGTTGGTGGTGCACAGCACCCTCTCTGCCCCAGGATAAGTGACTGATTCGAGCTATCTCAAGTTTTCAAATGGTTTCATTGCTCAAGTTGGCAAAGATCACAGAGGAAGGCGTGCGATTCCTGAGTCCCCACGATGGCAGTCCAATGTACGTGAGGGTCCGGATGGAGGAATTTTCCGCGAACCACAGACTCATGTCATGCATAGGCTACTGACTCCCGAGCATTCCATGTCTCTTCAGAACTCCATTGGCTCAGATATCATGATGCAGCTCGACGATGTCATTCAGACGACGTCGCCTGATCATGCACGGATGAAAGAGGCCATGGAACGCTCCATCCGCTGGCTCGACCGATGTATTGCTGCACACAAGAATCCCGGTACGCAAAACCTGTTTTGCATCATTCAAGGTGGACTTGATCTGGACATGAGGCGACAATGCTGCGAAGAAATGGTCAAGAGGGACACACCCGGCATAGCGATTGGCGGTCTGTCTGGCGGAGAAGCAAAGGCGGATTTTTGCAAAGTGTACAGCTTACTTGCCTTATCCCGTTTCTGCCTCGGAATATCCGCATGCTTACTCTTTGGACAGTGTCGATACATGCACCGGTCTACTACCTGACAATAAACCGAGATATGTCATGGGCATTGTACGATGTTCCCTTTCATTACCAGTCCCAGACAAGCACTTACCTATACAGGGCTATCCTGAAGATATAGTCGTCGCAGTAGCTCTTGGAGCAGATATGTTCGATTGTGTGTGGCCGACACGGACGGCGGTGAGTTTACATACCTTGCGTGATTTTTATCTTTGAAGGCCATCGTTCTGAGCGAGGAATGACTGTGCGTGTCGTTTAGCGCTTCGGCAATGCGATTACTTCTTCCGGCGTCCTGAACCTCAAAAATGCTCGATATGCTCAGGATTTCGGGCCTGTTGAGCAAGACTGTACCTGTACTTGCTGTCGTTCAAAAGAAGAAGGCGGCTTGGCTATCACCAGAGCGTACATCTACCACCTCGCAGCGAAGGAGACTGTCGGAGCTCACTTGTATGTGGTTCAACTCTCATCGCAGCTTCTCTACTACCTAGCTGTGCCCCTTGTTCTGCGCCAGCCCTCCACTGGATCCCTTGATTGACTCGCTACATTCACAGATTGACTATGCATAATGTACACCACTTGCTTTCACTCATGCGACGGATCAGGACGGCCATCCTGGATGACCAGTATCCTTCATTCTGCCAGCAGTTCTTTGCAAAGTATTTTGAGGGACAATCTCCGCCTGCATGGGCTGTCGATGCTCTCAAGGGAGTGGGTATTGAGATATGATCACAGTGCACACTGGCAGGCATCGACTTTGTGTGTTTCCAGGTGCGTGAAATCCCAGCTTCGGGTCGGTAAGCATTTCAGACCTCAACTCTCTCCAGATGGAGGGCCACTTTTTGGATCATCTTAAGCTTGAAATACTCGGCCCAGCTTGAGGCCATTTCTATTTCTTTCAGTCAAGTTCACCAGATAAAAACAGTCATCACGCTCAGTTCAAGTCTCTTTGATTTAACTCGGCTGTGAAACAATGACGTGAAGAGCATACAACATGATTGACTTCTGGGGTCTCCAATTCGATCCTGTAAATCTCTATGAAACATTGTCATGTCTAAAAGCACGTAGTCAGAGACACCCTCCCAATCTGCAAGGAAACCCCGACCTCATAATCATTCAGATCCTGGCCTGTTCCCCTGGCTTCCCTGTGCTACTGATTTGACGTTTCTTTTCGAGCTCCCTCTGGAAACTGGCATCCAACGCCTTCACGAGGGCATAGATTCCTTTCAACAGCGGCGTTTGCACACCCTTTTCCTCGGCCAGTCGGACGGCGTTGCCAACAATCGCATCCACCTCCATTCTGGCGCCAACCTTGGCGTCCGCGAGCATGGAGGGTTCTATTCCCGGCAGCTCTCGGACCTTGGCGCGGTTGATCTGATATTCTATCGTCTCGGCGTTGATGTTGTCGTAGCCCCACGCCTGTGCGATGGAGGCGATCTCGGTCATGAGCGACTTGATCAGGTTGAGCGAGAACTCTGGCGGGGAGGACCTGAGGAACTGTGCGTCACGCGACCGCGAGAGCGCGCACACCGGGTTCCAGCTCGCGTTGACCATGAGCTTGCTCCAGCGCTGCGGTTGCACGTCCTCGTGCACTTGCGTGCTGCCGCCCCCGGCGTTGAGCAGTTTGGCGAACGAGTCTGCCGCGACTCGGTGCTCCCGTGGCGCGTTGGATGGGTAGGTCCCGATGTGCAGAAGCTCAACCTCGCGGTGAGCGATCACGGCGGGAGCGATTTGCGTGGCGGGAAGATACACCACGCAGCTCAGCAGGGGGTTCTCTGGGTAGAGGGTTCGATAGGGTTCTTCGATGGCGATGCCGTTTTGTATCAACACGATGGTCGTGTGAGGCGAGATGGCCGGGCGGAGTTGTTCTGGCATTGACGGGGTCGTCTGGATGGCCTTTGCGGTGACAACGATGTAGTCGAACGGTTTGGCCCCCGATTGGGAGACGGCCTCATCCACGGTCCGCACCACTTGGGGTTTGAAGTTGAGGCCGTCCCCGAAGATTGTCGAGTTGATGGTGAAGCCGGCCGTGGAGGCCACCGCATAGTTCGACCGGCATACCGTGTACAGGTTGGCTGAGCCGACGGGACGGAAGAGGATCCAGGCGTACACCGCGCCCACGCTGCCGGTGCCAAAGACGAGAACGCGAGGAGGGGTAGTCATGGTTGTGCTAAGAGAGAGAGAGAGAGAAGATGTGTTAATCAAGTAGAGAAATTCATGTCACGAATGGGCTTTTGTCCTCGCTTTTCTTAAGTTACCCTTGGCTTGCGAAAGCTCGGGTGTAGTTTTGGAGATGGATTCATGAAGAACTTGAGTTATGGCCGATATGAGCGGCGGAGCGTGTGGAGATATCGGCAAAGGTCCCGATGGATAGGATGATCGTATGTCCAATGGGATCATTCCCGAGCGGGTGTGAGGGGCAAGGCGTGTTCTCTTGCATCTCTGGAGGGAGTAACAGCAGGGAAGAGGAGAAACGAAGTATGCCTACCTTTTCATCGTTTGCTGCGATGTACGGTCCCGCCTCGTAGTCGCGGTGGAGGTAGCTTGGACAGCTCTCCAGGACTGTATTCTTCGAACAGGGACAGCAGTGTGTTTGCAGAAGGATATTGCAGAAGAGGCTCTCGAGTAGATACCCCGGTGCTGGTCACAGCCAACGTAGAATCTCACATCAGACCCGCCACGGGAGGGTGTTCGTGGTGAAGGCCTTGATATGCCACCCACCCAGTGCTGGGCCACACATCCTCGGAGAGATGGTCTCATGTTCGGCAGCAGCTCTCGAGATGTCGCAATCCTGCGCCAATGGCGATGAAGAGCTGTGGCTTGCGGTGTGGACGATGAGTACAATGAAGAAGAGAGGTCGCAATCGTTGGGCACTTGGTGTGAGAAGATCTCGTCCTGCATCGGATGAAGGAACTTGCTGGGGCCGACTGCGGCGGAGCAGATGCGCCGAACACGACGTGCAGCCGGCAACGCGACCACAGCGACACCAACGGCAAAAAGGGGGTCACCGGCGACAAGGATCTGCCAAATGACGTTGTCTGGTTGTCAAAGAGGCTGAAACCCACTTCCCAGGATGGAGACGCTTCCCTTTCATTTGATCGTACACACGGCGCAATCAGACAAGAGAAGGACTCAGAGAGAGCACCACAGCATCCTCAGCAAGAAGAATACCAGAGACACACAGCCATGGATCCAGACATACCTACGCCCTCGATTGAGCATGACGGCCCTCCAGATCGCAACGGCGTCTTCACCACCACCACAACAACAACCCCAGGTCTCGTGTCACCCTCCATCCGAGTGAATCATCAAGACCACACCCACGCGCACCCAAACTTGCTGAGTGCTGCTGCGCAAATACCGCTCCCGCCCTCTTCTCCCATGCGCAGTCCCTACCACACCCCTGCAGCCTCCAAGACCAAGTCTCTGTCGCCGAAACCGCCCTCGCGCTCGCCGTCTGTCGCGAGTTCATATCGAGGCGAGAGACAAGAGAGACAGTCCACTCCGACCCTGGCCAGCAGAAGGTCAACCTCCAGCCTGAGTAATACCAGGGGCAGCACACCTCAATACCGTCGAGCGTCCTCCAACCTCAACCCTCTCTACCCTGCGACAAATGGCAAGATGTCGCTTCCAGAACGCCCGCCTGTCACGGCTAGTTCGGTAGCGAAGGAGTACTTTGGAAAAGAGCTGGAGGCTCATATTTCCCTGCAATCCCCCGTGGTGGTCATAGTCCATGATTCGTGTTATGGCCATCGCTTTTCCCGCCCTCGCACCTCAAAGAATGCGCTCGCCACAATTGTCGAGCGGCCTGAAAGAATCCACGCCACGCTGCTGGGTGCATCTGTGGCCTACGTGCGCCTGGGAGGCCGGCATGCTGACGGTGAATATGCGCCGTGCCCGAAGCACGAACCGTCACGCGTGTGCAACATCCCCTTCCAGATCCGCAAGACCTCGAGGATTATTCCTCTCACCCACCCTTCAGTCGCTTTCGTGCACGGCTCAAAATGGATGGAAGAGTTACAAATCATGTGTGACACTGCCGAAGGGAAATTGGCCCTCAATGGGAAAGAGTTGGTGAGACCGATCGGCTACGGCAAGGACGAGAATGGAAATCCCCTTCCTAAACTACATGAGGGCGACCTGTACCTGTGTGCGGAATCGCTGGCTGCCTTCCAGGGCTGCCTCGGCGGGGTCTGCGATGCAGTAGACACTGTCTTCTCCTCGCCACTGACCAAGCGAGCCTTTGTCTGCATTCGACCTCCTGGCCATCATTGCTCGTCCGATTACCCGTCGGGATTCTGCTGGCTGAACAATGTCCACGTGGGAATCGCCTACGCGGCTATGAATCAAGGTCTGACCCATGCCGCTATCATAGACTTCGATTTACACCATGGAGACGGTTCCCAGAATATCGCCTGGGACCACAACCGAAAGGCACAAAGCGCAGCTAAGAATACTGCAGCGCACAAGAAGACCCCTATCGGCTACTACAGCCTCCATGACATCAACTCCTATCCCTGTGAGTGGGGTGATGAAGAGAAGGTGCGCAATGCCAGCTTATGTATTGAAAACGCTCATGGCCAGTCAATTTGGAATGTCCATTTGGAGCCCTGGTCGAGCCACGAAGAGTTTTGGAAACTGTACGAGACCAAGTATATGATCCTACTTCACAAGGCGAGGTTGTTCCTGCGCCATCACACGGCAAAGATCCGCTCTTCTGGAACTCAGTCCCCTAAGGCTGCCATCTTCATCTCGGCGGGGTTTGATGCCAGCGAGTGGGAGGGTGCAGGCATGCAGAGGCACAGTGTCAACGTTCCGACAGAGTTCTACGCACGGTTCACGGCCGACATTGTCCGGCTTGCTCACGAGGATGATCTCGGCGTCGACGGGCGAATTATCAGCGTCCTAGAGGGTGGATACAGTGATCGCGCCCTGACTTCGGGTGTCCTGAGCCATATATGTGGTATGGCGGGTGACAACCATGCTGCGAGTGGGAACAGCTCGTCAGAAGTCAATGGGAATAAATTTCAGACGATCAACAATTGGGTACAGGACATCCCTTCCTCGGCCGCCGCGCAACACTTTACCTACTCAGCGGATTGGTGGGCTCTCCAAAATCTAGAAGAGCTTGAGTATGTCGTCGCAGGTCGTCAACCTCCAGCTTCGAAAGCTAAAGATAAGTCGGGAAACTACTCATCACCAACACAAGCGTCCACTCTGAAGATGACTGACCATGCTCGCGAGAAACGCTCATTCTCAGCTTTGCATGCCAGGCTTTCTCTAGAAGCTGCATATGAGCCTCCGCCGCCTGACGTTGACTGGGCCATAGCTGCGTATGAGCTGTCTCGTGTCATTATCCCCAGTACCCGCCAAACTTTGAGTTGTACTCACGAAGAGCTTAACGCGGAAGCCACCAGGGTACGACGAGAGCGGCTTTCGACGGTCGGCTTACATCCTGGACCTGATGAACGGATGCAACTGCGCGATCGAAAGCCAAAAGCACCCCCTGCAAATCTTTCAGCTGTACGAGCAATATCGCGGAATGGCAACCGGCGGACAACCATTGCGGCAGTTAGTGACTTGCCTGATCCAAACATAGAGCATCCAGACCTACCCAACGGGAGAATGCGTCGAAGATCCAGCGATGCGTCGAGCATTTTGTCGAGTTTCCAAGCGATGAAGTTGTCAGATCAGGGAGCTGGTGACGCAGGGATTATGCCAAAACTCCCCAATGCACAAGTCTCTTCGAGGGAACCCTCAACCGCCCCGGGGAAGCCAGTGAAGCCTGTTGCCGTGAAGAAGACAAGAGCACCTACAACCACAAAGCCACCGGCAAAACGGCAGACCAGTCCTCGGAGGCAGAAAACTGTTTCATCCGCTGTTACAGGCTTGCCCGAGGCCAAAGCTTCTGCCCGCGTAACTCAGGAAAGTGTGGTCAAGAAAGAGCCATCCTCGCCTTCTCCAGACGGCCGCAAACAAATGTCAAATAGTGACGAGCTGGACAACCTAACAAATGGGATGAAGAAGATTTCGATCAAATTGAAAATGCCAACTGCAGAAGAGCACACCAACAAACAGAACCAAAAGATGGTTGAGGATAAACAGAAAAGGCCTCGTGCACCGAGGAAACCACTGGTGCCGAAAACTTCCAAGCTAAGTGAGCCGACTCCTGTCGCCAATCCCGGGCTCCCGATCAATACGCGGACAAAGCTGCCGGAAGACGGCTCCCAGGGCTACTCTGAAACGCCAGCCTCAAGTATTGCCGGAATAGGAAAGGCAAATGACATTTCCCGACCGCTTGAAGATCCCATGCCATCTCCCAAAGCGATTTTTCTGCCTGGAGACAAAGACATGGACATCCCTCCACCATATATAGCACCTCAAGAAATCAATGGCGAGCAAGATCCACAGCGATCGACCGTGGCCGAACCGAATGTGGCTGTCCCTGTGTCCGACACGCAAGCTCCAAAAAGCAAACCTCCCTTCGCCCTACCTCCAACACCAAGCTCCCAAATACAACCAGAAATGGCCGACACTGCGTCGTCGGAAGTGCCTTTGTCGTCTGGAACCAATAACCCGCCACAGAAAACAAAGCAGGACCTACCCGTCTTCACCTCAAGCTCTCCGATCCCGTTTGCGGTCCCCGTCCAGGATGAGCAACACTCGCTGGCACAGAATCACCAACAAGGTTCAGACCAGCAAGCTTCGATCTGGAATGTTCCTGAAATTCTGCAGCAAAAATGAATGTCCAAGATAGATTCTTTGGAGCAACTCCGTTCTCTTATTCACAATTTCTTGGAGCTGGGCAAGTGGGAGCATTGGATATGGGCGCTTCGACGGCCTGAAAGGAACATTCCGTCCCCTCCTTTTCTCTTTGTTCCTCTTTTTGTTCGAGTTAGAGATACCCCCTACAGCATGGTCAGAAGCTTGGAAGTGTAATGGGAACACCAGCGTTATTTTCGGCTCGTTTTCCGGTCGGAAGTGCGACAAACTGCCTCAGTTAGATGCGGCATGCTCAGGTGAGAACCGTTCGGAGACTACTCCTTCGACGACAAAAAATAATGAGATACATTCGAATTGATTTATTATTGCCCCAGCCTCTATCGTGCCCTCTAGATCAAGTCACACCAAATACAACGTGATACTGTGAAAATACACGAATCTCGCAAGAAGAGAGCAAACAGGGAATCTGCTGATCAAACATTGACATTTAACACAACTCTTCCCGCCGCTTCAGCTCACATCACCACACAGCCGCCCTTCCTTCTGCGTGCATCCCTCTTATCCTCCTCCCAAGTCTTCATATGATGCAAATTCCTGCCCTCCAATGCGGCCTGCACCTCGTCTCTCCGCGCTTGTCGCTCTCTGTGATACGGCCAGAAAACCTCCTCCTGATCTTTCTGGCTCAGCATGGCGAACTTGGCGGACGCTATGATCTCTTCGCGCGGGTAGCCGGTCTGGATCATGTGCTTGACGTCGTCGAGGGTCTCCTGGTAGGCACGGGTGACGCCTTGCTTTTGCCGGTTCGCCACCTGGGAGGCCACCGCGTACCCGGAGTACGTGTTGGCGCTGTATTGAGCATTGGGTTGCGTGGGCGAGATGCGACGCCCCGGGGGGAGCTGGGCTTGCGGCGTTTCGCGACGCCGGCATCCTGCAGCAGAATCGGAGATCGCTGGTGACGGCGTCGGGGCGGGGAGAGGGGCATCATCTCCGGTATCAGGGTCGGAGGAAGCTCTGACACATCTTGCACGGTCCCGTGGAGACGCACGTTGGTCGGGGAGAGAGCGATGCCACTCCTGCGCTCTCGGGCCGAAGGCATGGCGATGTTCGACAGGTCTTCCGCGATGTTATTCAACCGGCCGACCATGGCGGGCGTGTCGCTGGAGTACTGGGTTCGCGAAACCCTCTGGCGCTTGGCGATCTTGGTCGGGCTGGAGGCGGACAGACGCTTCTGCGGCAGGGTCGCGTAGTTTGCGTACTCGGCGAACTCAGAGAAGTCATAGCCGTCCTCGTTGACGGTCGGGTCCCGTCGGCCACTGTTGGGCGGCGACGGGGTCTTTCGAATCCTTGCGCTGCGACGTGAGACTCCGGAGTGCGAGGGCAGGGCCACAGAGAACATGGGCTGCTGGACGCTGCGCTCTGCAGGGTGGATGTTGTCCTCGGGATGGGGAGGGATGCCTCGACTGAGGCGCTCCGCGCAATCGGGACAGTTCCACGGCATGTAATGTTTGACGGCGTTCTTTCGCGCTTTGTTGCACTTTGCGGTGGGCAGCGCACAGCCGCCGTCTCTCCTGGTGAAGCTGCCGTTGTGGCCGCAGTCGTAGATGGCCAGATCCCAGAGACACATGTTTGCGGTGGCAGGAAGGGATTTTTCTATTCTTGAGAAGTAACACGATTGAACGGGCTGTGTCAAGGATGTGGGAAAAGGGAAGAGCAGGACCACAGCACGATATGAAGCAAAATGGTAGAAGAAGAAGAAGAAGAAGGGTGGTGGCCTGGCCATACAAAGCCTTTGTTCGAGGGTCTGCATGCGGACGGTCGAGTTTCCATGAAAGAGTTCCCTCGGGAGGAGGCAGAGGATAATGCCAGGCCATCCCATGCCATCCCATGTCAATCGGGACATAGAGCGTGCGTCATCGTGTCTCTTTCGCCAGAACAAACCCTCATTCTTACCTCTCTCCGTGTTGTGAACGGTCAGGACGCTGGAATGTGAAAAAGCCCTGTGACCAGCCATTGTGTGGACTGGCGAGTAGTTGCCGTTGATGCTTACCCTGTGCTCGAGTATCACACCAAAATAGTTCTTTATCGACCGCGAACGAATCAGGCATTGTCTGGCGAGGAGGAGGACCGCAGTCTTCTGTAGGAATCAAATCAATGTGGTTGTTGTTGAAGAGTTGTGATGGACATGTCGACGAGGCTGAATGCAGTGCCAAGACATGAAGCCGGTTGCCCCTCGATACGGTTTGTAGCTTTCCGCATTGGGACATGTGGCTGTTGTCCACTATTAATATCATCAACCACAACCATCAAACCGTCAGCCATGGCTAAAACACGCCCCGACGCCATTCGCTCATCTCCGCCTCCACATGACAAGTACTTCATCTGTGCGCTGCATGAACGCCTCTTTGCTATTCTGTATTGTTAGCTATCAGCTGCGCATGGACTCATCCTTGATCTGACCGCCATCGCCGAACTCAATCTCGACCCTCGAGTAAACAAACCCCGCCTCTGCTCGACGAAACAATGGACGACCGTCCAGCCTTCACACACGTACCACCCAGCTATGCCGACGGACCTCCCTCATATGTCAACGGCCCAGGAGAGGAGGATGTTATGAGTATGCCCGGACACAACACATCGCTTAGGCTGCTCCCGCAGGGCGATGACTTCAGATCGTATGTGACAAGCTCTGTTTCTTCTACTCTATCCGACAGACCGCCCACGCCCAGGCGCAAGCCGGTACCTGACCCCAAGGTATCGCGGGTTGCATGGGAAGACTCTCCCATAGAGTCCGCCGCCCGAGGCGCAAGGCCGCAGTCCCCAGTGTCTTCGTTGATTGCAGAAGCCGAAGAAACCCTTCGGCGCAGTCGTGAGACGACCACCTTTATTGGCCGCGCGCCTACCCTCAAGGCTACTGTGACCCTGAAGAAAAGCTCCCAGACTGACAGGACCCCTTCCTATAGACCCTCTCCTTCCTTTCGGGGCTCCCCAGAAAGATATCGACCTACGGCATCGACCGCATACAGTTCAAGGCCAGGCTCCAGCCTAGGACGAGCTCCCTCGATTCCCCCGCCGACAGCGAACCCTCGTTCCCCAATCAGACCTTCTACTCCTTCTCGAGTATCTACCGACTGGGGCAGACCGGCAGCGTCCACTGTTTCTTACGAACCGGCAGACCTCAATGGCAGTCCACGGCCGGGCACACCATCATCGCAGTATGGTGGGAGTCCACGGAGACCTCTGCCTCCTGCACCGCTCTTCTCGGCCAAAGGCGCGGCAACAGAGACGGCGATACCGATACCGGACTCAGACATGGACAACGACATCTTTGTGAACGGCCACCCAATCGTGCCTGACAATGATCCGAGAGCGAGTCTCAAGTCAGCCCATTCATACATGACCGACTCGACCTTTACGGAAGAGGATGACGCACAGAGCGAGAAGTTTGATCACTATGGCCCTGCTCCAGAAGGAAGACAGGACCGACGAGGATTGAGATCGGCACAAATGACAAAGAAAGAAGTGCGCCTCATCAACGGAGAGCTGATCCTCGAGTGCAAGATCCCGACGATTCTCCATAGTTTTCTGCCCAGGAGGGATGAACGAGAATTCACGCATATGCGATACACCGCCGTGACCTGCGACCCAGACGACTTTGTTGTGAAAGGTTACAAGCTACGCCAGAATATCGGGCCCACCCTTCGGGAAACCGAGCTGTTCATCTGTGTCACCATGTACAACGAAGGCGAAATCGAGTTCACGAGGACGATGCACGGCATCATGAGAAACATCAGCCACTTCTGCTCGAGGACAAAATCCAGGACTTGGGGCAAAGATGGCTGGCAGAAGATTGTCGTGTGCATTATTGCGGACGGAAGACAAAAGGTCCATCCTCGCACTCTCAATGCTCTGGCGGCCATGGGAGTCTACCAGGATGGTATCGCCAAGAACATCGTCAACCAGAAAGAAGTCACCGCCCATGTGTACGAGTACACGACTCAGGTCTCACTGGACGAGACTCTGAAATTTAAAGGGGCGGAAAAGGGCATTGTGCCGTGCCAGATGATCTTCTGTCTGAAGGAGCAGAACAAAAAGAAGCTCAATTCTCACCGTTGGTTCTTCAACGCATTCGGCCGCGCCCTGACGCCCAACGTCTGCATTCTACTTGACGTGGGCACCAAGCCGGACTCGAAGGCGCTGTATCACCTGTGGAAAGCTTTCGATCAAGATTCCAATGTCGCCGGGGCGGCGGGTGAAATCAAGGCTGACAAGGGCAAGGGATGGATGGGCTTGCTGAACCCCCTGGTCGCCTCGCAAAACTTCGAGTACAAGATGAGTAACATCCTCGACAAGCCACTCGAGTCAGTGTTTGGTTATATCACTGTCTTGCCCGGTGCACTATCAGCATATCGTTACTACGCACTTCAAAATGATCCCAGCGGCCACGGTCCCCTCAGCCAATACTTCAAGGGAGAAACGCTGCATGGCCGTGACGCTGACGTTTTCACCGCCAATATGTATCTGGCGGAAGATCGAATTCTCTGCTGGGAGCTTGTTGCGAAGCGCGGCGAACAGTGGGTCTTGAAATTCGTCAAGAGCGCGTACGGAGAGACCGATGTGCCAGGTAAGAGCCCAGCAGAAATAGTTGTGAACCTTCACTGACCGCGTGCAGATGCTGTTCCGGAGTTCATCTCCCAACGACGACGCTGGCTCAACGGAGCTTTCTTTGCGGCAGTGTACTCCTTGGTCCATTTCAAACAAATTTGGCATACTGACCACACTTTGACTCGGAAGATCTTGCTACACATCGAATTTATCTACCAGTTCATCTCCCTGACATTCACCTTCTTCTCCCTCGCCAACTTCTACCTCACCTTCTACTTCATTGCCGGATCGCTGACAGATCCCAAGATCGATCCCTTTGGTCACAACATTGGAAAATACATCTTCGTTGTCCTCCGCTACGTTACGGTCTTGTTGATCTGTCTCCAGTTCATCCTCAGCATGGGCAATCGGCCGCAGGGCGCGAAGAAACTTTTCACAGGTACAATGGTCACATATTCGGTTGTCATGGCATACACCACCTTTGCATCTCTCTACATTGTCGTCAAACAGCTCACAACACACGCGCTCGAAGAGACGGACCCGAAGAGTCCCTACAAGCTGGGTAACAATATCTTTACCAACCTCATCGTCAGCACGGTCAGCACCGTTGGCCTCTACTTCCTCATGTCATTTCTGTACTTGGATCCATGGCATATGTTCACCAGCTCGGCTCAATACTTCGCCCTCTTACCGTCCTATATCTGCACGTTACAAGTGTACGCGTTCTGCAACACCCACGACGTCACCTGGGGTACGAAGGGAGACAATATCTTACACACCGACCTCGGAGCCGCCAAAGCAGTGGGATCTGGTGGAAACACGGTCGAAGTGGAAATGCCCTCTGAACAACTCGACATCGATTCCGGGTACGATGTGGCGCTCCGCAACCTGCGGGACAGAGTCGAGGTCCCTAAACCGTCCGTTAGCGAGTCTCAGCTGCAGGAAGACTACTACAAGTCCGTTCGCACGTACATGGTCGCCGTGTGGATCGTGTGCAACGCCATTCTCGCCATGGCCGTCTCCGAAGCTTACCCCGTGGGCAGCCACATCAGCAACAATATCTACCTGAAAGTCCTTCTGTGGTCGGTGGCCGCCGTGGCACTCTTCCGTGCCATCGGCTCCTCGGCATTTGGAATCATCAACCTGATCTCAGCAATCGTGGAGGGACGATTACAAGCCAAGTTCGAGAGAATCTTTGGTGGTGGGGACGAGAACGGACGGCACCGGAAAGGACTGGGGAGCGGCATCAGCGAAAGCGGCAAGACAGGATTGAGCAGCGGCAGCAAGGGCAGTGCCACGGGAATCAGCTTGAGTGAAGTGACGAGCAAGATTTCAGAGAAGTTCAGTTGGATCGGCAGGAAATGAGGATAGTGCCATGCGTGGGCATTTGATTGAATTGATTCTAAGGATGGGAAAAGGATTCCGACGCATGGAATACGAGTTTTTGGCGCATGATTATGGCTGATTGATTGGATGGTTGTTGATGTACGATAAATGCCTGTGTCTGTCTGTGTATGATGTGTTTTTCTCTTCTTCTTTCGGGATCTGCTGTCCTTTTTACGAGAGAAAGGCCTCTTGTGTTCTGGGGAAAGGAGGGAAGGAAAGGAAAGGAGTAATGAATGAATGGCATTGATTGATATCGCACAACGCAAACACATTCTTTTTGGGAAAAAGAAGAGGCAAAAAGCAAGAGCAAGAGCAAGAGCAAGAGAAGAGAAAAAGTTCTGGGGTGCGGTTTTTTGTCTTCTATTCTCCATTCTTTCTCTATCTATTATCTACTTTTCTTCGATCTTGTTTCTCCGGTTCTCCTACAGGTTCTTTGGCTGTATGTAGAACATACGATCGAAAAATCATGCATGCATGCATGGGTTGGGCGGGGTTAATCTCTTCGAAGGCGAAGTAAGTAAGGCCAGGAAGGAAGGATCGGGAGAGTGAGTGAATGAGTGAGTGACGAGACGGAAAGACGGAACCTTGGAAATAAAAAGCTTCGACTTATCTTTTCTTCCATTCAACTATCAATTCACCTACCATAAAATTACATTCACCGCCGGCGTCAGGCAGGAGTGCACATGTGCATATCAACCAACCAGTACAAAAGCACCGATGGAAACACACAAACACCTCGACACTACATGACCTGGGTCGACTTACAATTTTCAACCCAATCCTGATAGTCCCAAACAATTCCCATAGCACAAGGTTTTGTCGCTCACCAGGGTGGTGGGACAGGTCCACTTCGAAGAGAAGACGAGACGAGGTGTCGACCTTACCGTTTGTCACGGAAAAAAAAAGAATGCCTCCCTCCGTTACCAGCTCCATTTTTTCGGGTGCTTCGCTCTCTGGGGTAGAGACATTCTCGCCGCCCGGGAGAAGATATGTCTGCCGGCTCCAGCGAGGAATCCTGGGAGAGTCTTTCCGTTTTTTTTTGGGTGTTTCACATTTTCAAATGTTTTTGGGGTTGGGGGTTTGTAATCGAATCGAGCACAAGATAATCACCACCGAGGAGGAGGGTCTTTGGGAGGGAGGGTTGACTTACCTTGCACTTACTGGCGATTAGCTCTTCTGTTTCGAATACGGTCTGAGCGTCGCAGTGGTTGTGGATTGGAATCGAAATCGCTGCCATTTACAACGACAACATCGACGCCATCCTGGCCCACGGCGGGTGCAGATTCAGAGTGAGGTGGGGAGGAATGCGCCCGAGGGCGAGATGTCCGTGGCCGAGGTGAACTATCGGATTCATGGTCACTTGTGAGGATGACATCTCTGTTTTCTTGCTCGACGCCGGATGCAGCAGACATGGGTGAAGTAGACAGGGGTGCTGGGCCTCTCTGCACCAACGGCACGTGGATGACTGAGCTCGGGGCAGGATGAGGAGGGTGTGTGTAGAACTGTTCGACATGACGAACATTTCCCAGGACCTCTCCTGTACGGGCATGTTCCTTTGGAGTTGTAGGACCTGGGGTCATGACAGGGGCAGGGATTATGCGAACGGGAGTGGGTTGCCGCGCACGCACATTTTGCGGGAATGGAAGGCTGAGAGCAGGACTTGGTGTGGGAAACCGTCTGGACTCCCGTGTCCCCCGTCGCTCCTCCAAGATCCTCTCTCTACGTTGTTGATGATTTTGCCGCTGGTGCATAAGTCTGATGCGCAAGGAGTTTGCGGCTCTGGCAGCAGCCCCTCGTTGATAGGTGGTACGCGATGACAACGTCGCGGATGACCCGGTTGACCCGGTCTCCGTCACTGAGAACTGGGAGGGAGTCAGAGTATTAGCGTTCAGGAGAGTTCCGGTGACGGGGTTGTAAGTAGAGTTGAGCTCTGGAAGGTCTTGCTGCATGAACTGCGGCAATTGGGGCCTTCCGACCGGGAGTGTTGGGAACGAGTCAGCTGGGAGATGCAGCGGAGCCGAGTTTGGTTCGGGTTGAAGTAGCTGCGAGTAACCGTAGACACCGGCGAGGGAATCCGTGGAGTGTTGCTGCAACTGAACCTCGTCAGGAGTTTGAGAATAGTTGGATGAGCGGGTATTGTGAAACACACCAGGAGGGAGAGGAGACCCTAGATCCACGCCAGTCGAAAAGTCAAACCAGAAGTCGGGATCAAATGTGTCGATCCTGGATAAGCCTGGAGCAACTTGTGAATGGTTTTCAACGACGAACTCATTGTCAGCTGGTTCATCGCCACCCATATTTAGATCGTTGAAATCTAAAGCTTCGTTGTTTGCCATATACTCGTAGCTAGAGACTGGCTCCGAGGTCAGTGTTCCGGGATGAGGAAACTCGAGATCTCCGAAGATTGAATCGTCAAGATAATCCTCGAGTCGAAAATCATCTTCATGGACAACATTATTCTGTGCTGAGAATGGAATGCCAGAAGCTGGGGTTGACCCTTCAGGTTGGGACGCCATTGTTGAGAAAAGGGTGATCGTTGAATTTGCTTGGTTCTAGAGATGATCTGCGAACGAGAGCAAATGTGCGATCGATTGGGAAACCTTTTCAGGGGCGTTGAGGCTTGCGTTGGAAGGATGAGAGGCAGAAAATAGGTGCTGCGTACTCCATGGCCCATCTTATACTGTTCAACCTTCGACGACAAGAGCGAAACTTGGCGAGGGAAACATGGGTTCTTTGATCAGACAAGGACACTGAACAATTTGTTGCCTAGACAATATGCAAGGCCCAAAGCCTGCAACATCGCGAACATCACAGTTTGTTGCAATCCCCTTCGAGTCCTTTGTGAGGATTGTGTCACTCGACCCTTGTCGGAGGTTCAAGTGCCTACAAGGCGCAAGTCTGGACAAAGTGATTGTTACTTGCAGGCTTTGTCTTTGTTGTCCACCACCAGATAAGCTGCCTTGTCTGTGAATAAGGAGCAAAGGACTGGAGGTAGATCGGAGGTGAAGGCAATGAAGAGGCAGTAGAGGGACCATGGCGATGCAGCCCTCGTTGCTCATCGTCTCATCTTATATACCCGTCGATTGTCTAGGTGGTTGTTTGCATATTCCCCTACATCACACAATGACTCGTGGCTCGAAATTCAAGGCGGGATACACCGACGACATCGGTGATGGCATTGCTACACTCATCGGCATTCTCATGTTGGTGGCTACAAGCCTGATAAGGCGCTGTCGTCGCAAGCTAGAGAAGCGTGAGGTCGATCCGTGGGAAGGAAGAGGTGAGATGGAGCCACAGTCGATCGAGCCCGCTCGACTGCAAGCAGAAGGATGTAGCTGAAGGGCGTCGGAGTGAGTCGGTAGGCACACGTAGAACATCAATGAACGGATGGTTGTGTGTAGTGAGTTTGTCGGACGTATCGGGCGGATTTAAGACCGGCCTCGGCCGAGGCAATGACCGAGATGCGTGGTACAACGTCTCATACGATCATCTACCAATAATGCAGGGCGATCAATGCCTTGATGCCATCCTCGTACGGCCCCCAGCCCCGACTTTTGTTCCGTAACTCTCCTTTCGTACAGCTCGAGTTGTTTCAGTAACGGTTTCTGCCTATTTTCAACTGGCGACGTGAGGACTGAAGCATATCTATAGCTGTGTGTGGCAGACAATCCCGAGCCGTTGCAAAGGGCACTTCTTTACCCACAGGCAGACTGACGACTTTCTATAACGGCTCAACTCCTGTCTCGGCCGGGTCCTAGTGGAAGTTCGCACAATTTCTCATTTCGCGGCCCGGTCGCCCACCAATCAATACAGGAGCACCTGGACCAGGGCCGAGGGGCGCGGCCATCAAGTACTCTCTGCCTGTCAAGCTCGCGTTAATCATCCCTCGGTGTTAGACCATCGGCCGCCTAAAGCTCGATTTCCACGGCCATGGGTCCCAAACGCCGTCGCCTGGCACTCTCCTGCGTGGCTTGCAGACGGCGGAAGGTGAAATGCGACAGAACCTATCCGACCTGCGTCCGGTGTCAAAAGGGAGGGGTGAGTTGTGACTACGTATCTTATACCAAGCACGACAGTGCTCTCCCTACTCCATCCGAGGAGAGTCCACAGCTTCGTAGAGAGGCTTCGGTTACCTCTTGGACTGGTAAGTCCTCTAACACATGCTCTCCGATGACCATGCAGATCATCTTAACCCGCGTCCTTGTATGGTCGTGTTCTTCTCCCAAAGTCATATCCTGAGCAAGCAACTGACGCACTGTAAACACCAGAACACGCCGACGTGTGGCACGCCCGGTCAAAAGAGCATGAAAGTGCCCGGAACCATGAAGAGGGTCAACAGGCCAGCTCTTCGCAGCCTCGGACGCAAACAAAGTCTTTGCGGGAGCTACAGGACCGAGTATTCGACTTGGAGACTCGGGTTCGGGCGGCGGGGGCGCGTCCCATCTCGTCGGCTGTGTATCTTGGTCTCGGTCATTCGGCCGGTTCAGGGGCGAGTACCGACAAGAATGCCTTGCATGACCACGAACGAGCCCTACTCCGGGGTAAAGGCTTCAAAACGCAATACTTCGGTCCCAGTCACGGAGCTAATTTACTGCTACAATTTGAGGAACTCTCTCGCTTTGTCAAGGATATCCTGCAGCGGCTGCCAACACTCGAAAAATCCAGAAATATCTGGAAACAACAACGTCGAGACCTCAACGCCAACTTGATTCTTCCAGACTTCGACACTCTGATATCGTTGGTTCCGGAACAGAGCCGTGCAGATGCTCTAGTGCAAGAATATTTCGAGACGCTGGAGACGACTTATCGAGTTCTGCACGCACCGACCTTCTTCCGCAAATACAAGGAGTTCTGGTCATCGTCCAGGGACTCTTCCTCGGCATTTCTTGTGCAGCTTCTTCTCGTGTGCGCGAGCGTGAACTGCTCCGTGGCCGGCGGTCCCGTCGGATTTGTCGGTCGAAGTACCGTTTCCCGCGATGCAGCGGTCAGATGGATCGAGGTCTGCGAGAGTTGGCTGGAGCTGCAAAGCCAGAAACACATGACCCTGGAGGTTTTTCAGGTCCGAGTCCTCCTAGTGATTGCCAAAAAGCTGAACTGCGTCAAGGTCAAGCGAGAATGGACAGTCTCGGGACATCTGCTGCGGGAAGCCATGTCATCCGGGCTGCACCGGGAGCCGACTTTCTTGAGCAACAACATCTCAGTCTTTGACCAAGAAATGCGCAGGAGACTCTGGTACACAATACTCGAGCTTGATATCCAGAGCAGCATTGACCGCGGTATGGGAGCAAGTATTGGTCCATTCGACTGGGATACTTTGCCGCCGTTAAACCTCCACGATGAAGACTTCGACGAATCAACGGAAAAGATGCCCGCAGCGAGGCCAATGACCGACTTCACTCGGACATCATTCATTTGCCTAGCACATCAACACTTGCCACTCCGCCTGGAGATATTGTCTAGGATCAACAGCATTCGTATGAGCCTTGAAAGTGATACCGCCATCGAGCTTGATCAAAAGATTCGGCAGACCTTGGACAACTTCCCTAAATGGTCCGATAACTCAGCAAGTGCCATTGCGGAAGCCCTCTCGGGGCTTCTACTCTACGAGATTCTGTTACTCCTGCATCAGCCGTTCGCCACCCAAGTGGATGCCCCCGCGCAACATTTCTATTCACGAGCCGCACGGCGGAACGCGGCATCTGCAACGATGAGGATCTTTATGGGATTGCGACCCAGCAGCAGGAGGACCTACCTCAACCTTCGGGATGATTTGTTCCGAGCTTGCTTGGCAACTTGCCATGATTTATGCATCTCAACCGGCTTGAAGGAGGGATTGTTGCAGGATCCGACAATTGCGGAGAACTTGATCGAACAAAGCGTCAATTTGATGGAAGACCGTATCAAAAGCCTCGGCCAAGGGTTTCATACATATTGGCTCACCTGCAGCGCCCTGGCGCTTCTGCATTCGAAACTCTCTCCAGCAGAACCAGCAGAGAAGTTTGCACAGGAGACTGCTGATAGGGTAGTCAATCTACAAGGCTTCATGATGTCGCAGCAGATTGCGCCAGTCGGAAACAGCAACGGCGTGGAAGATGTGACAATGAGCACAGCCAATACGTTAGTGGGAATGAGTACCCAGCCTACGCCCGGCCAACCTCTACCAGAACTCGATCCATTTGTGACGACGACCACGGATCCATTCAATACCTTTCCCGAGACATTGTTTGACTTTGATATCACAGATCTGTGGAACATGGGAGGAATTGGGGGAAGCACGCATTACTGATGGCCCCAGTTGCTGTCATATGTACTCCTGGATGAGAGGACAGAATACTACCACCCCTCCTAAAGAAGTCTTCAAATACAACTGTGGTATACTGCTTTGGTGATCACTACGTACTGCAACGTTGGCGACGCTGCTCACTGGATAGACAATTCGGATAAATTTTCTCATCGACATGCCAAGACTTGTTATCGGCTCACTTTCCATTATAGGCATAGCCGACTGTTAGCGGCGGCTGCAGCCTTTGGTTTTCGCCTTCCCTGTATTTCTAAAATTTCACCCTTCGCCCCTTCTTAACACAACAATCTCTTCTTCTCACCTCTTCCTCGTTTTCGCTTTTTTCTGTCTCACACCTCTTCTCACGCTTTCACCCCATCTAAAGGAGGATCTGACTCTGCTCTGTTAATCCTCACCACCTTTCTCTCACATTTCTTGATTTTACAGACAGGTGACGGATTTCGGCGCCCATCATGTCTTACGGCGGCGGTTACGGATCATCAAGAGATGCCGGTTATTCTAACGGGTATGTGAGAATCGCTCAATTTCGTCGTTGCCTGCGTCCCAGCTTTTCTCCGCTCTTCCCACGACATTCAGCATGGACTGGCTCAGGCTCTTATCTTTATCGATTTGCTTGATCATAACTAACAATCTCGCAGTTACGGCGGCGGTAACGGCTATTCCAATGGCTACACGAACGGCTACGGCGGATCCAACGGATATTCTGGCGGAGGCGGGGACAAGATGTCCAATCTGGGCGCAGGCTTGAAGCAACCAAATTGGGATTTGAACAACCTCCCAAAATTCGAAAAATCGTTCTACAAGGAGGATCCGATCGTCACAGCCAGGTCACAGCGCGATGTCGATGAGTTCCGCAGAAAAAATGAGATTACAGTTCAGGGCCGCAACGTTCCACGGCCAGTTGAGACATTTGATGAAGCCGGATTTCCCAGCTATGTCATGTCTGAAGTCAAGGCACAGGGCTTCACCAAACCCACTCCAATTCAATCGCAAGGCTGGCCTATGGCTCTTTCTGGCCGGGATGTCGTTGGTATCGCTGAGACCGGGTCTGGCAAGACCTTGACCTACTGCCTTCCCGCCATCGTGCACATCAACGCTCAGCCACTCCTTGCTCCTGGTGATGGCCCCATTGTCCTGGTCCTTGCCCCTACCCGAGAACTGGCTGTTCAAATTCAGCAAGAAATCACCAAATTTGGCAAATCCTCTCGGATCAGAAACACTTGTGTCTACGGCGGCGTTCCCAAGGGTGGTCAGATCCGCGACCTTGCTAGGGGTGTGGAAGTGTGCATCGCTACTCCTGGCCGCCTCATTGACATGCTCGAATCTGGAAAGACAAACTTGCGCCGTGTCACTTACTTGGTCCTTGATGAAGCAGATCGTATGCTCGATATGGGTTTCGAGCCTCAAATCCGCAAGATCATTGGCCAAATTCGTCCCGACCGACAAACTTGTATGTGGTCTGCAACGTGGCCCAAGGAAGTCCGACAATTGGCCTCGGATTACCTGAACGATTTCATTCAGGTCAACATCGGCTCAATGGATCTGTCGGCAAATCACCGAATCACCCAGATTGTCGAAGTTGTGTCGGAATTCGAAAAGAGAGATCGCATGATCAAGCATCTCGAGCAGATCATGGAAGATCGCAACAACAAAGTCCTCATCTTCACCGGCACCAAACGCGTAGCTGACGAAATCACTCGATTCTTGCGCCAAGATGGATGGCCAGCACTTTGTGAGTTTTCCTCCACCCTTTTCAAGATCGTAAACTAATGGTTTAAACAGCTATTCATGGCGACAAGCAACAGAATGAACGTGACTGGGTTCTAAACGAATTCAAGACTGGCAAGAGCCCAATCATGGTCGCTACGGATGTCGCATCCCGTGGTATCGGTATGAACAAACAGCAATCCCCTTCTCCCCCACCCCTTTCCCTATTATATTTTGTTTCTTGTATTTCTTACCATTGCCGTCGTGTGGAATGGTGCCGCTCTCCTCCCGCTTGTTACGCTCTGCGTTGCGTAACTTGTCCTGGCTTTTGTGTTCTCCTCGGTCCTTCCTCCGGAAATCCTGGATCTGTTGCAGTTTGCCGGGACTTTGCTTCCTGACATCTCTACATCTGCTTTGTCCAACACGAGTAGGTTGTCGGACACATTTACTTGACCAGATCAAACTGCAAATCCAGGATCTCTTACCTTCAAGGACCGTAGACGCTTGCCGATCTCCCGGACATGGACATTTGTCACCCAAAAGGATAATGCTCCGAGCTTCAGAGAGTGACATGCACCTCCGCTCACACGACCACATATGGTCCCCGGCGCCTCGTAAGACCACCAATGACTGAGTTGCTAACCTATACTTGAAGATGTTCGAGATATCACTCACGTGTTGAACTATGACTATCCCAACAACTCTGAGGATTATGTTCACCGTATCGGCAGAACAGGTCGAGCTGGCAAAAAGGGCACAGCCATCACACTTTTCACAACCGACAGTATGTCTTTGGTGTCCCCGTCTTAGTATATTTCAAATCGCTGACCTTTTTTCCAGATGCCAAGCAAGCTCGTGACCTCGTTTCCGTTCTGCAGGAGTCGAAGCAAAGCATCGATCCTCGTCTTGCAGAAATGGCTCGCTATTCTGGAGGCGGCGGCGGTGGTGGCCGTGGGTATGGTCGTGGTGGCCACCGCGGCGGCCGTGGCGGCTTCACTGCCTCCAATGCTGCACCTCTTGGCCGGTCCAGATGGTAAAGCGTCGGTCGAACGAATCAAATCAGTCGAAATCAAGACGGCATTGAAACGGTGAGAACGACGACTACACGTTCAATCACCTCGCAAGTCTTGTCACTCATACACCTTTCCTTCACCGTTCAAGAGACAATAGACTTGTTTTATGCATTGCTGCTATGTCAGGTTCGGGCGTCAAGGAGCACAGTCGAGGGAAAGATAGACTGTGTCTTTTACAAGAGCTGTGGGTAGCCTTTTTACCTCGGCCGGCAGGTTTTATGTATTCCATGGGATTTGGAGGGCCGCGCGAGCCGTTGGGCTCTCCGAGCAGGAGATTTGAGCAAAATGGTGATAGAGCTGATGTCTACAAGGATTCGCATGCTCGTTCCCGATGTCGATGGGGAACAGATGTGATACAGAAGGCATGAATTCGGCACAAGTGTGCAGCATTGTGATCATTGGTCCAAAACACAATAGACATAGAGATTACTTGCTACATAGCTTGAGTGTACAATCAATGACGTGCAATCGTGATTGGCGAGAGGATCCTGGCATACCAGTTTCCAGTTGTGGGGAGTTGATATTGACTCAGGCCGAAGATGGGGGAGTGATTTGGACTCTGAAGCAGAGTCCAACATGCATGAGTGTGCGAATAAATATGGAGATATATCCAACTGCGATCACAGCAGATTCATGCCAACGGCATCGCCGAAGGAGAATCCGATAGTCTCTCGGCTGCATTTCCTTTGGTTTCCCTCTTGATGTCCTGGCTGCCACATTCTGGACGCGACATGAGCATGTCGATGATAGATATTTCCCCCCTCCCGCTCTTCAAGCCTTTTGTTGGTCTCTTGAAACTTGCATGCCTTTCTTTTCTCATGCCTCGTCTTTTGGTGGTAGCGTACCGTCGTCTCCTTCATCTCGTGATGCAGCGGGCAAGACGAAGTGAAAAAGGCACGTACTTGCTTGCTTGCCCACTTGCTTCCTGCCTTCCCGGGTAGTGTTGGGTCAGGAACGAGGTGTCCAGGGAGTGGGTTGCATGGGCGTCCAGAAAGCCAGGGTGCCAGCCAGCCAGCCAGCCAGCTGAATTGGGGTTTTTTTCTTCGTTCGTGATGTGCTGCACGACTATGACTATTTATTGGACTTTGCCAGCAAAAGACAACAGAACTTACGGCGAAGAAGATTGTAGGATAATGTGGGCGGATATATGTCGTAAGTATGTATTGTATATATTGAACTCTAATACGGTGGTACCCGTACAACAATACAATAATACTTATCCTCAATTCGGACTATATCGTGACACGGACAACGACAACACCGGTCTTGCACACTTGTAGCAATGTACAAAGTACCCTCAGGATTGCTCAGTAGGTTGTCTTTCTACCTCTCTGCCATATGTTGCCTTATCTGGCTTATTGGTAAGTTGGTTTGTGATGTCTGCAAAGAATGCATTCCAAGGTCCAACCTTGTCAGATCTGTCTCAATCCGGAAGACCACCGGATGGACTTCATGGGCGCAAAGAGAAGGGAGGCAATGGGCATGAATATTATGTACATAGCCATCACCATAGTGAACGCTTCTGACCTACATCTTACCCTAGAATGAGCAGTCAGTGGTGGAAGCGTTGGGGACGACGTGGTGTGCCCTGTCAGGGGCACAGACTATGTTAGTCGTGATCTTTCCGCAGGATTGACGCAGCATTCTGGGATAAACAGTCCCTCAGACGGGGTTCCTTAGTATTGACATTGTGGTTGTTGTGGGTGAACTTCTCTATCGATATCCTCAATACTCCTGCATGCTTGGCAGACGAGGTCTTGTTGCCCTTGTGGTGCTCAAGAACCCCTATCTACTCTTCCCTAGGACGATACGCGGTTGTTCTTGGGATCATGGGATCCACAGTAACACGACGCGCATTAGTTGCTGACGGAGAGGTAGAAATTGGTTTGGAGGTTTCATATTGCAAGCTCACTAGGATCGGGCTCTCAGGAGGATACACCGGTCCAAGACAGATGCTCAAACAACACAGCTCAAGACGTTGAGGTAACGAACGTTTGGGTAAAAGGGGTTGTGCTGCGAGTAAATGCACTGGTCAGTGGGTTAGTGGTGCGACACTCACTCCAGCTTGGGGAGTGCCCGAGGGGTGCCGAGAGATTCACATTAGAGCAAGAGCATTCTCCAGCTACCTGGCGAAGTGATGAGGACAGCACCGATTCGTCCCTACCTCTGGTAGGTGTCTGGAGTCCTTACCTATATCTTTTGGCCGCATTCGATGTGTGCCCGAACTTCGATGTGCAGGTACAATGTTTGAGTGCATTCAAGCTGTAAATGACCCTATCGGCAGGTTGTGGTCCCACGGGTATGTTTGGCAGCTCGTGTAGATGGCCCATGGGTGTCAAGCACCAGGTGTTCTCTGGACCTGAAGGGCATGGCGTAGTCTTCTGAAAGCGGTTCGGAGTACCAACCTTCTCCCTACCTTTCCCTTTGAAGCAGCAGCCAAGGTAATTGCACATCCTCATGTAACTAGACTGTTTCGTTCATTAAAGCCACAGAGGGATCTTGCTAGCGGCTACCCCTTTTGCAAATGGCCCAGCCTAAAGTCGGAGGGTCTTTCCGTAGTTGAGGCTCTCAATTGCAACATCCCACCAGATCGTCTCACAGTGCAAACTCGGGAGATTACGCCGTCTCCAGAAGATTGTAATGATCGACATGTGCCGGTTGTCCCAGTAGTGACCATGAGAATCAACTGAGTTGAGGTAGATTCCAATCTGTGAATCTGGTACCTCTAGCCGTGGAGGCTCACCTCTCAAGACATTCGACTTTCGACAGGGTAGTGCTCGCAATCTGGTTAAAGCTTTGGAGTCAATATAGCTTGACAGCAGCCCGTGAGATAAGGCTGAGAAGTCGCATCATCCGGTCCAATACCCTCTATTCCCAATTGAGGGTGATGTTTGAGCTCACGATTTTGCTCTTGTGCCCCTTTTCGCTTAATTTTGAGGCGGGATGAAAGATATCTGCACCATGTCTCATCACGCCGGGCTATTAGCATTAAACTTTCAGAAACTACAAGCCGTTTTCAGGGAGTCGGTGGGCGCTCAAATCCGCTGTCAGGCCGTTGAACGAATGCAGGAGCAGTACGAGGTAAGTCGCGATCGTTTCTGGGGCGTCCCACCAACTGCAGCATTCACCTCTATCCATACACTTCCTTTGTGAAGTTAGACGCAGGTTTGCGTTCATGTAGCTGTTAATCACTTTGCAGGATGCAAGGTGGATGGCATCAATCCTCTTCCCTATGTCGGGCTGCAAGCTTGCAGGTCACGAATGGTTCGCAAAGGCTACGCCGTAACAGGTACTGTACCTCTCAGTAAGTATCGAGTCACACACATCTGAATGCGGAGCAGGCGGTTTCTTTCACTCTTCTGCACGAGTGTTTGCGGGAGGTGGGGACATGAACGTCCAATTTCTTCATCAAGCAGCCTGGAAACGATCTCCCTGGTGGGAGGAACCAATTTGAATCGGAGAGCACCCGAGCAAGCGACCACAAGCTCTGATCGCAGAACTACTCGTAACTAGCCAGATCGCCCAAGGGTAGAGAAAATTTCTCCGCACAAACCCACTAAATCAAAGAGAAAGCGAATGCCAAGGGTGCTGGTGGGCGTCGCTGAAGATCGGCGGTGTATCTTCGTCTTCGAGTACAGTGGGTAGATGCCTTCTCATGACTGTGGAACCATGGCTATATCAAGCCACCACCTACTTTTTTCTCCCTGTGATGGGAAGTGCCAGGGGTCTAGGTGACCGGCAAGGCAAAACAAAAGCACCACATGGTCAGTATCCTTGTTTTGCCGAGTTTGACCACTGGGCTGGTCGCAGGATGACAGCACATCCAGGACTGAAGAGGTCTGTGGCGAGGATGAGATGCTTTGACTGTGGTCCCCGAAAGACGGAGGGCCCAGTGGAGCCGGGGTCTCTCACCAAAGTGCCGCGTATCAGCTTCCTGGTTCGCCATTCGCATCCTCTCTTTCGGGCTCTGTCGACTCTACCTCGTACTTGTTGGAGATGTCAGTCGTGTTGACACAGAGGTGTCTACGAGTACCGAGTATGCTGTGTGACGAAACAGAACGTATCAGTTTCGTGGTTGTCCACCAGGTGGGTAAACGGGTCTGCATTGGCGTCGAATCACCTGCGAGCAACCCCGAGCTTTAGCTTTCCAGAAGCACGGGCCTCTTTTCTCTCCCTGCTTCCCTGCCTCCTTTTGAACTTGGCCTGGGAGGTTCCAGTACCACGGTTCCGAGTTGTCCGACATCCTGCACCTTCGGCTGCTCAGCAAGACGCAACCAAAAGCTTATCAGGAGACAACATCACCTCGAGGTCATTGATATTGCCTCTGGTAGGCTCACTTCCGATAATTCTTGCTGTACCTCGTGGATGGAAGAGGCCGGGAGTAGCCAGCAGCACCAGTGTTTGTTATGCAGGTACGGAGAGACCGGTAAATTCCTAACGAACACACTATCAGAAGTGCTAGCCGAAAATCGGAGCGTTTGAGACGGCTGCTCGCCTGGTGGTCAGCGCACCAGGTCTGGACTTGAGTTTGCAGCTAGTTGGGTGCGTGGAATTGTCCCACCAAGCGCTTCGCCTTACTGCGTAAGTCGAAATATGGGCAAGGGTGGCACCCCACGAGAGTTGGACTCTGTGGCGGGATCCAGAAACAGTTGCTGGAAAGGGCTACCATGGGGCTCCTCCTAGTGGAATGTCTGCTCGTGTGCCAATATAGAAGCGATTGTCACATCTTGAGTCCACTTTCCGCATGGGTGATTTCTTGTGAGCAGCAGAGGCGAACCCTGGTCCTGCTGCTTCGTCAGGAGGCGAGTTCCAAATGTCGGTAGCATATACTCCATACTCAGAGCAAGCCGTCGCCCTCGCTTGTTTTTGCCCTGATCTTTGCATTAGAACGACCATGTTGGCTTCTGGTTTGGGGTGATTGCAGTGATAGTGCAGTAACCTGCATATGCAAGAGGTTGGGGTCTAGACAGCCTCTCATCAACTTTCCACGAATCGTAGTGTGTGCGAGCCATCGGGAAGCTGGATGTCCGTTCAAGTCGACAGAGCACTTGACCTTACAAGGTATTGTCTCTCACCTGCAGGTACTCGGTCGAAAGCGATCATCATCATCAGCCGTTGCAACAATTTCCCGTGTTTTGTTTAGAAGATCTTTGTTGACAACTTGTGGTGAGCTCGACCGAAGCGGCAAGGTCAAAGTTCCTGTAAAGCTCTTCTAACTGGCGCTTGCCAACCTTGCACTCTTTCTCTCTAATCTGTAAGCGGCTCTCTTGACACTACGGGAAGTGAGAACGGATGTCGCGGACTCGCAAAGTTTTCGAGAGTGCCCATGTCGTCCGACCTCATCTCACCGTCTGCTTCGAGGACAAGAGCTGGTCATTGTCGGGCTTGCTGCTCGATGCGACGCTAGGTCATGCGGTGTCTACTTGCCAATCGAAGGAAGGAGAACATACCGACAACCAATGTTCGCGTCCAAAGGGTCGTACTTGTACATATCGAAGACTCTGGTGCAGGTCCGCTCCGCAGACTGGCTTCACGAGGCTGACCCAGTGCCAGTCACCCTAGAGATGGCAAGAAGGCTAACTACAATAGAATATCGCCAACAGCATAGGGGCCCAGAACGTTTAAGGGCGTTCTCCCCCTTTCCCAAGTGCAGATGATACCATCAGAGTGATCGACCCCATATCAAAAGAGTATGGTCAAGTTTTCCACCAGGAGTCTTTCTGCCCAACTAAGACATGGCGGTTGACCCGTTTCTTACGGTGATGGCCAGGAAAAAGAACACCAGGATCGCATCGAGATCTTGCAGCGCTGCCTTCATGCTGAGACGAATTCGAGTGTGATGATGGTTACCAAAAGAGTAGGGGATTTGTCATACTTTCCAAACTTCGCTGGGGACCTATGTCAGAGGACGTCACCTCGATGTAGACCTCACATTGGGTGGGTGTTTTGTAAGTATGTCAATGATAACGGGCAACCCCAGACGATGAGTTCCACCAGCAAGATAATTGAGCAAACTCAAATGACAGAAGGAATGTGACATCTGAAGCGTGGCGGCATCCCACGTCAACGGCACCAACGGGAATCTTTCGAGTCACCTCCGACAGGCATTGCAGGGATTTGCTTGTGCCGACGGTACGGACTATTCTGCCCATAAATGGGACCCACCACAAGCATGGGAGTATTGTCGCATGGGCCTTGAATCATTCCCAGCACGGGCGGTGTACGGAATCCTGCCGCCTCAGATCGTCAACTTGTAGGTGAGGCTTGGGTATGTGGCGAGCTGGATCTATCATTTTGCTCAGTGATCATGGTAGTCAACGGGCAACACCCAAGGTCATCGGGGAAGAGGTCAAAGCTCAATCTGCACGCTAAACAGTAGGAGTAGCAGGGTCTCCAGGCATAATTGGCGTAAGTCGGCTTCTTAGGCATCCTGGGGAAGTGAGGCTAAGGAGCCTAGAGAATTCGCTCCTTTCAGGAAGGGCAGGCGCCGCAGTTGGAGTTGCCTAGCTCCGTGGTAATTAGTTAGTCTACACCGAGATCTAAACAACACGGATATACCGATTTTGCGAGGCCCAAACGTTTTCTCAATGTCCAAAGAAACCCAAACCGGCCGTCATCAGAGCTTTCTGTTTGCAGCATTGTGAACGCAAGACAAAGGATCACGAGACGCGGGAGATGCAGGTCAGGGTCCAGAGTAGTAATCGCTTGTATTTTCTCTTTTGATAAGTTGATCTTGCGCTGTGGTGGTATTTCGAAAGGGGGCAACGGCTTTCTGTTGGAGTTTTCACGGAAGGTGGTGTGAAAGGCCGAACCTTGCAGGGCCGTCACTTGTCACCTGGTAACTTCCTGTAGGTTGCCATCTTTGTAACAATAATGATTCAGTGCGGTGGAGGAGCAGCACGACAAGGGAAGGATCATGGCATGGGGGGCGGCGAACCGGGTTCTCCGTATCCAATAAACCGGGCAAGGCCTGATGCTGCAGTCGGGGGCGTGGTCTCGGAGGATGCAACTCAGGGGATTTTTGATTGGTATGGAACAGACCGCCTTGGGGCAAAAGAAAGAGAGAGGGAAAGACAACCTTTCAGAGGACTGAACAATGTGTGGCACTTTGGAGAAGCGAGTTCTCGTTTGGAGCGCAGGCTAGGAATCGAGATAGGCAGGGAAGGGTTCAGGTTGGCCAAGCGGGCCCTAGACTGCAACAGGCGTAGTGGCAATGCAACCTGTGCGTTGGTGGCATGGTGTGCTGCCCACTTTGCGGATTTGTTGCTCACACCTCACCCCTTCCAAGTTGGAGAAATACTCCGGTGACCACGGGACAACTGTGTGAGACATGGGGAATAATAAGTGATTGATTGGCGCAAGAGAGGGAGGCGCAACTCCGGCAGCCAAAAAGGTGGGAAAAAGGAAAAATTGAATGACCTCCGGGCACAACAAAGGCTGTTGATCGCACCGCCAGCAGTACCGGTGCTTGTAAACCGCGAGTAATTATAGGCCTTGTTTGGGGGGTGCTTTTTAGGTCTCTGGGCGGCAAGTAGGCTTCAGTAGTAGACCTGGTAGTGAGTGCTTAGGACCCTAGGCCCTTGCTAACTTAGGTACAAGCCCCCGTGCCAGATTCCTGTGCTCCGCACCCAAACTGCTGGCTCCTTGGCTCTCCTTCCTCTTCCTATTTCCAGTTGTCGCACGGCCCCCTAGGGGGCTCCTTTGTCCCTCGGTATAGTGGTCGGGTTGTCGGCTACTGCTGGGGCTTCTGCAAATCACCACCGCTCCCACAGCTGGTCCCTCGGGCGAATCAGGATGCCCACTAATTTGTTCCAACGGTAAAGCACGAGGCAATCTCGTCAGTCATTAACCTTTGGAGTCGCTGGCCATCACAACCTCATTCTCCACCTAACCACATCATCGCGACCCCATCCTTCAACCCTTTCATCCTCGCTGGAGAGCCTATCCTGTCCCGTCTTTCTCCGTACTGCGTGCTCCTGCTCCACCCAGAAACTTTCGGCGCAGTCAACTTGTCTGGCCACCGTAGGAAGCGTCCCCGGTCGGTGACCAGCCATCTTTGCATGTTGCACTTCTGTTTCTGCCCCCTCCTCCACTCATTCGGTCCAATCACGGCCGATGCCGTAGCTGGTGCGTTCTGCATCATTATTCACCCTCAGTGTTCAGTGACCACAGCACAGCGTGACCGCCCTCTCTCTTAATCTTGGAACCCTGGGGCCGCAGATGCTTGCCATTACTGAGCAGGATTCCCACGGTACTCGGTCCCTCGTCTTGACACTCTCTCTGGTC